GGGGAGGGGGCAGGGGAGAGGGGTGGGGGATGGTCACGATAAGAAAAAAACGGACGACGATGCGGGAACGCAAATTGACCTCAACTTGGCATCACGATAGCACTGGCTCGTTTGTCATTGGATCGTGCAGAGATAGGCTCACAGTCACCATCGACCAAGCCGGTTGGACGAGCAACAATGCAAGGACAATGAAACGACACGATAGACTCCGATACTGTAATTTTTTTTCTTCTCCGTGTGACTCTCATCAGGTTTAGCCATGGCAAGCAAGGTCACGCGTAGTTTACGCCGAACATCCGCAGAGGATCTTCCGAGCCGTTGACAGATCGACAGAACCTTGAAAAAAATGTGTGGAGACTGCATGAGTCGAACACGCGACCTTTCGCAAGTTAGACACCTCTAGATGCTAAGCGAACGCTCTACCAACTGAGCTAAACCCCCGTACACGGCAAGGATTACAGCATTGCTGATATAAAATGCTTGACTGTGATAGCTGAACGCAAGCCCTGCAGCGGCTGTCCACGTGCGTCAATCAGCTTGCATACTTTTTCGTGCGGTGCAGACTTGACAATGTGCGAGTGCGCTACTGCGATGGGCTTCGGTAGCCAGACATTGGCAGCTGCTGGGAGTGTGGAATCGTCAGTCTTGTCATCCTTGCATCCTGTGGTAACGCTTGCTCAGCGCTAGTTGATGAGCAGGCCAGGATGGCGAGAGGTACGCTGGGTGACGGTGGACGGAAGGAACGACGCGGAGCGCGGCTTGACTGATTTGGCCCCGGACGCCGCTCAATTTTCCGGCGATTGGGCCTCGCGTCCGCTGATTGACTCGCTGCTCAGTGGGACACCTTTTCACCACGAAATCATTTCGTCGCTCCGTCCATTTTAGCCATCACCATCTCCCTGCACTCTACCGCTAGCTACGTCGGATCAGCACAAGTCTGTATCCGCCACGAAGATGCAGACCACACTGTCATCCATGTGGGCCAATGCCTCGGTCGCCAGCGCCGGCGCGTACGACGATGACAGTTGCCACGTCCACCAAGACCCTGTCGCCGTCTACCTATCCGCCTTTCTGTGCGTCGGACTCGTCATCTCTTATCTGCCTCAAATCTTGCGCATCGTCCTCAACAAATCGTCTCAGGGCTTCTCACCGTGGTTCTTGCTGCTTGGCGCAACGTCGAGCGCTTCTAGCTTCCTCAATGTGGTTGCACTCCAATGGGGGATCGTCCGATGCTGCCCATCTCTGCCCACCTTGGAGTGCGCCGAGTCGCTGCTCGGCATATTTCAGGTCGGTCTGCAGTGGCTCATGTTCGCTTCCGTATTTGTGCTCTTCCTCATCTACTACCCCGCAGAACAGAAGTACGAGCGTGCCATTGCGCTTCCTCAACGCGATCATCAGGACCGTCGTCTTCGCGCACAGGCCCGCAGCGCTGCTCGCAGGGCCGCTGCCGAACGCAACATCCCCTCTCAGATCGACGAAGAACCAGCGAGACTCGCAGTACCCGCAAAGGCCTCTCGAACTGCCGTAGCCTCTTCGGCCAATGATGCATCATCCGCTGGCTCTGACAACTCGGACCTCGATTCGGTCGACAGTCACATTGCCCAGAACTATACAAATCCACCAGCCCACGTCGCAGACGATGACTCTTCGGACGACGCCCACGAGGAGGTTCAGAATGACGATGAAGATCCAGAGTCGCTCTCACACGCCGACGACTCAGCCATCTCGAGGCGAGACGCCAGCAGCAGCGCCTTCTCACGCCTCGCTCCTGCCTTTTGGCCCATGTGGAAGGCTCCCAACGGCGAAGTCATCCAAGCCCCTGGTCGTCCCAGCAGATCGTCGAATGGACGTGCCATTCTCACCAACGCGCCTCGCGGCATGCAAAGGATCGACCGTCAGAGGAGAGCCAAGCTCACCAAAAAGGCACTCCGCACCCGCAAGCGTCGCACCGAAGAATGGAGTCTGGCTCTTGCGCTTGCATGGGTCGTCTTGATCCACTTCATCTTCATCAGCGCCATCACGCTCTTGCTCGTCAGTTCGCTTCCTTCAAAGTCATTCCCACCACCCGAAGAAGTTTCGGCTCTCTCCCACTGGACACAAGCGCTCGCCAATACACCCGTCGCCAAGCTCAGCCGACCCTCTTCACGCCTGCTCGTCTCGCGGTGGGCCGCCTTCCTTGGCAGCTCAGCGACGCTGCTGGCTGCGGGTCAGTACCTTCCGCAGATTGTCCACACTGCGCGCTCCAAGCTCGTCGGCAGCTTGAGCATCCCCATGATGTGTTTGCAGGTCCCCGGCAGCGCCGTGTTCGTCTACTCGCTCGCGCTGCAGCCTGGCACTGACTGGTCTTCACTCGCTGCCTACGTGCTCACCGGCGTACTGCAGCTCGTCTTGCTCGTGCTCTGCGTGTCGTGGCGCGTTCGACAGCGACGTGCAGGCATCGACGACTATGGCCGCCCGCTTGCTGGCATCTCGCTATGACGATTCAGTGCGCATGTGCGCTAAACAAAGCGGATGGTTCTTGTCGCTCCGAAGTAAAGTTTACCTATCATTAGCCTTCATTTGTGTCTACACACAGCCTGCGCTTTGCCTTGGGGTTGTGTGGGATCAGCGATTCGCTCGCTCAAGTTTCATTTCGCTGTCATGACTTTGAGCTTGGTCGATGTGTTGCGTCCAAACGATTCTGCCTCCTTCACACAAGCATCAAACCAATCTGTCGATGGCTGACGTCGTTGACATTACACCCATCATCATCGGCACAAAGAGACCATGGGGCGACTTCCGTTTATGTTGATTGCGGCACTCCTTCTTAGCTCGGTCGCTCAAGCACATCCATTGTTGCACGTTCCACACACGCAAGGGGGCCGGTCTCGAGCAAGTGAGTGGGTCTTTCGTCCGGCAGCAGCACTTTGTTCTCAGCATGACTGACATTCGACTCCATTCTGCCAACAGCTGAAAAGCTCGTGGTACGACAGGCAGACGAGATCGCCAATGCCGGCGGGCGTTACAAAGCAATCGGAACGCTCGAGGACAAAGTCAACATCGCCTTGGGTGTTGCTGCTGGCCTCGTCACGGTGGTGGCAAGCGGACTTGCCGGCATGCGCGTCATCGAGCACCTTGCCTGCGAGAACGTCGCCAAGCAGGAAAGAACCATGCAAAAGTCGTGGGACGAGATGCATCCCGATGGCTTCACACCAGCCGGAGACCAGATGCGACCGGCGAGTTTCGATTGCAGCGCTCAAGAGAGGAAGTTCAAGCCTCTCAAGTCCTACTTGGGTGCTCCCAACTGGTACTAGGTGCCTGGCCAGTCGGTCACGCATCTGATAGAACTTTCTTTTTGAGATGACAGGGGCCATGCAGCCGGTCTTCTGCATTACTTTGCACGCCATTTCTGCAGTAATGCATCTGCCACATGTGATACAACGAGAGGGAGACAGAGAGCGCCAACAAGTGAGGATCGCCGATAGTGCGGCAAGTGAATGAATGGCCTTGCGATCAGGCGCATGTGATGGGAGCGGAGATGCCAAGTAGCCGTCGAAAGCCGAGCGATTTGGGCGTGACGCGGGGAAAAAAGTGGACCCCGTGGCAGCTTCGATGTTGAGCAGGGTGCCGTTCACCACTACTTCGTCCCTCGCGACGGCAAATAGCGGCAAACAAGCTTCGAGCCAGCATTGTTTGCTCCTCCCTCCTCGCCCCCTCTCCTCCCTTTCGTTCAGATCGTCGGATCCACTCTCTTCCGTCAAAGGGTCCAAGCTGTTCTTGCAGAGCATTCGGGCCGGTTACCGCCGATTCAGCACCGACCCTTTCCGCTCATCCTCGCTTCCATTCGCGACAGCATCTACAGCCGGTCGCTGTCCCGCGATGGTCCAACGTCCTTTCGCGAGTTGGTCAGCGGCATTTGAAAGTGCCTAGCGTCACGGTCTCGGACTGCCACTCCACACGTCATGCATGAATCGGCTCCGTCGAGCAGCTTCATCGACGCATCCAAGCATTCCTCTTCCATACATCCACCATCGTCCTCGGCCTACGGCGCACGCAGCAATGGCGCCTACTCGCCAGTCAGAGACAGTCAGAAGATGAACGAGTCCGCGGGCGCGTCCGCCTCGCCCAACGCGCAGTCGCCTGCCTCTCGATCCGGTGGCATTCCAGATGGCGATGGCGGATCAGCTAAGAAAGACTTTCAACGCTCCTTCAAGGCTTGCGATGGCTGTCGCACCAAGAAGGTCAAATGCGAGCTAGGTGATCTGGCCGCACCGTCAGAACCTCCGTGCGCACGATGCAAGCGCGAGATGCGGCCATGTCTCTTCACCATGTCGACACGTGGACGTGGTCCCAAAGCACGCTCTTCTCGATCTCAAGCCTTCGGTGCGCATCATCTTGCAAAGAATCCGCGCACTTCATCTGCTCACGACACGCACGACCAAGACGACGAGCACGACACTGCCTCTTCTGCCATCGACGCCCTGGCTGGCGCTGCTCTCGCGTCTCTGCCCGCGACTAACCTCCGGCTCCACTCGGCTCGCCACGATGTACCTGTCTCTGCACTGGATCCTTCAGATGCACCGAGCATCGGCATGATCTACGGACTCAATCGACACGACGGAACACGCCCACAGAGCAAGCGTAGGAGAATGTCGAGCGAAATAGAGCCAAGCCGGCGTCCTGACGTCGCCGCAGAGCCCCTCGACGTCTCTATCTCGGAGGAACAAGCTGACGCGTCCAGTCCGTCGGCAAGCTCATCAGCAGCAGCAGCCATCAACAGCGAACCCCTTGGCTTGATCTCGAGGCTGGACTCGCTGCAGCAGTATGCAGAAGTCGGTCTTCAACACAGTAAAGATGCTCTCCGAGTATTGGCAGGCGTCGCCGTAGAGTCAAGAGAAACCAACAACGACGTTGACATGGACAGAGATGGCCAGATTGCTAACGAACATGGTGATGCGGCAGCACATATCGAGCAAGAAGGCTCAAATCAACGCCATGGCCCAACACCATTCGTAGAAGGTCGTTCGTCTGATCAAGCCGCTGCAAACGCAGCTTCCACCTCTCAGACTGCAGCTAGCTTGCGAGGTGGCCTGAGCTCCGCGCAGCGTTCGGCAGCAGCGCTCGTTAGCCGTCCCGTCACCCCACCGCCTCTCAAGCACAACTACGGCTGGAGCAAGTTTGAGCCGGTTCGTCTCAAGCTCATCAAGAGGAGCGAAGCCAGATACTTTCTCAACTTTTTCGTTCGACAGATGCACTCCTTCGCACCGCACTGCTCACCGCATCTTCTGGACAAGTCGCCTGAAGCGCTCTCCGAACTTGTCTGTCGCGAACCCATTCTGCTCGGCGCCATGCTCTCTGTCGCTTCGCGCTACGACGTCACCAACCACAACGCGCATGTCACTGCCGTCGACACCTTTCACCGCAAGATCTCGAAATGGACACAGGAAAAGATCAGCCGTTCCTTCTTTCTCCCCGCCTCGCACACCATCGGCACCATCGAAGCCCTGCTCATCCTCAGCGAATGGGCGACACTGGATCTACACGATCGACGGGCGTCGCCGGACGCTAGTTCCGACTCGGAGGATTCCGAAGACGACAGGGGGGACGCGGATCTGTCCGACTCGGAAGCGGATCCAGAAGCTGAGGACACATTTGCTACGAGTCCAGCAACTGCCACAGTGACGGGCGATGATCTGCGTTCAGAACACGAAGGACAGATACCTCGAGCAAGGCAAACCAAAAGAAGCGGTGCGAAGCCGTCGCAAAAGCCACGACAAGCCGACATGCGCGAGTCGGAAAAGTTTGACGATACCGCCTGGATGTTGACTGGGACGGCGCTTCGCTTGGCCGAACGACTCGATCTGCACAACGATGCTACCTACAGCGGCATCTCGAGTCGCAATGCCGCTTCCAGACGGAATGCAGAACGCCGGATGCGCGTGTGGATGTCAAGCGTCCACGCCGACTGCCATCTGTCCGTGCGGTTGGGTCGCAGGATATCGAGTCCTGGACTGGCAGCACCTTTCATGAATCTCGTGCGCGACCGCACGCATCCCTTCCTGCTCAACGCCGACATGAGCAACAGCGACGAGAATGGTTTCCCCTCAGGATCCAATCGTGCCTGGATCTCGTTTCGTGCCCACGCGGAACTGTTGCAGATCGTGTTTCGTACGTGCGAAAACTTGTATCGATCGAAAGCAGTGACGGAGCGACTGTTGGAGGACGAAGATTTTGTTCCTGCGCTCAAATCGATCCGGGACGATCTAGACAACTGGGCCAACTGGACGCAACCACGAATCGAACCGACGCGCGATATGACGTCGCTACGGATCCGCGTAGAGTATCACTACGCTCGTCTCTACGCAAACGGTATCGCTCTGGACTCGGTCAAGCGTAGTCTGCGGACGTTGCGCAACCACAGGCAGTATCGAGCATCCGAAGCAGCAGAGATTGGATCGAAAGGACGACTGGGAAAAGCGGGTGTCAGCGCCGCTGCTTCTGCCGCCGCTTCGTATACGGTTAGCTTCTCGACCCATCCTGCGTATCCGTTCGTGCGAGAGGCGTTGGCAGCCGCTCAGAGTCTGATCCGCATCTTGACAGTGGAGCTCGAGACGATGATGTGCGCACCAGCGAGGTGGTTCCTGCTGCTCGTCATGGCGGCGGTGTTTTGCGTCAAAGCAACGGCGGTTTCGGATGTGATTTTGCCGCTCAAGCGATGTGCGCAGTCGCTGCAGCAGGTAATCACGGCATTGGAGAGGGCTGCACCGGATGGAGTGCATCTGGCGAATCGGTACTCGATGTATCTGCGCCAGCTGGCAAAGCAGCTGGTTCTGACGGACGCAAAGACGCGGACGGCATCCGGAGGTGCGAGCCAGGCGCGAAACAAATCACGCACGCGAAGCACGTCACAGCTTGCGCAGTCAGAGACGGCCGAGGAAACTTCCGCATCGCCGGCAGAAAAAGGTAGAGGCAAGCACGCTGCCGCTATAGATAGCGCCGGTCGGATCCAGAATGCCGCATCAACCGACTTCGTTTCTACTCCTGCGGCGTCGCTTGCGCCTGATATTGCAGCGAGTCTGGGCGCTGCACCGCCTACTCACGGCGAAACATCATCCGATCAGTCGATGCAGTCGCACGCGTTGATGGGTGCACCCACTACGGGAGCATCTGCCGTGTTTGTGCGTCCGGCCGATGGTGTGCGTTCCGATCCGTCTGCCGCTGGATTCGATGCGTGGGGCAACGCCACGGGCGTCGGCTGGACTGCTGCTTCGGCGGCTCCCACGCAGAGTCTGACTGGAGGAGCGGGTTCGTGGTGGAGCACCGCCGACATCCTGCCCGGAGAAGTTGATCCTCAGCTGTTCCTCAAATGGCTGGACGATCAGACGTCGACGCTGGCACCTCCTACCTCGCATCATCCCATGACTTCGTGGGCGAGCGGCACGCAGCAACAGCAACCGCAGCAGACACATCGACCGCATGCCGGCTCGCTGGGCAGCCTGGTAGCTCCATCGCCTCGCGCGCCGAATCGTTCCCCCTCTTCGGTCGTAAGTCCAGCTGCTGCAACACATCCGACAAAACCACAGCACTATATGGAGGGTGATCAGCATGGGATGACGCAGACTCAGCAGTTCATGAATGCGGATGGAACGCGGACATCAGCAGGGCAGGAGGACCTGTTGACCAAGATGTGGCTCGACGATGCGCTGACCGATTTGGCGGCGGCAGGGCTCGATATGCCTTTTCTGTAACGACAGTAGCATTTCGGAGTTAGGATGGAATGGCAATCATGTGGAACGCAACCTGATCAAAGCGGAGCACGTGTGATATCTGCCGAGGGCGGGGCGGACCTCGAACACGCATGAAAAGGTGGGAACATGGTCGTTGCCCTGCATCGGCGAGTCCTTCCGATCGTATGGATAGAGCCTGAAACGTCGAGCGTGTGCGGCCGAAATGCTATGCGCGTTGGCAGCGACAGGGGCATATACGTTCGAAGCGCCTATCTGCAATGCACGTCGAAATCGAATCTGTCCCTGACGCTACCATTGGAGAAAGGACTGAAGAGGGGACCCGGAGATGAAACGAGTCCCTGTCAGCATGGCTTGTGCCTGATTCGTCGAGTAGACAATGAAGTGGCGCATACGCCTCGATGGCGGATGTGCGCTTCTTGTCTGGCTAAAAGCTTCAGCTCAGGCAAGTCCGGGCACCGATTGACAGACAGCATTGCTGCTCGCGAGCACGTATGGAAGACACTAGCCTAAAGTTGACGACTAGAGATGTCGATATTCTCGCACGGCGACCTGAGCTGGGAGATCTGCTTCCCAAACTGGTAGGTTTCTCGCTGTGCATCCAAGGCACTGTGACAGTCAGCTGTCAAACAAAGCGGAAAATCGGCAATCCAGAAAAAAGAATGGAATGGTCAGCATGTCTGACAGAAAAAAAGAGGAAGGCTTCGGCTAATCCTGCTACGCGACCGCTACCGGGACACGCTAGCCGTGGTTCCAGCCATGAACGGCGCAGCATAGCACTGCAGAGACGCGCATAGACGGGTTCGTCGACACTTGCAGATCGCTCGAACGCTTGCTGCTGAAATTGTTATCTGTGTGCTATTGTAAGAGAGCAAACAGCCTAGGTCCTCCTGCAACAGCATGCTTGTGCAGACACTGGCTCACAGATCGATAACGGCTCGAGCCTTCCCAGCATTCGGATGATTGGACGACGACGACGGAGAAAGGAAGAACAAGACAATGGGATGACGGTGACGTGGTTGTGAATTCAAGGGTTCAAGTTCCAAATGTTCGGCAAATCCGGCACTTTGCTTATGCGGACCTGTTTTTCGTCATTCAAGATGACGCCAAATTGTGAACCGCCTTGTGCTCCTTTGCCGTTGCTGCTCATTCCTTCCGCTTTTCGCACGCCTCATTTGAATGCTGGTCATCCCTGTTCCATCTTGCCTTGGCTCGGACATGCGCTTGTGCATCACTTCCAGTGTAAGCGGCACCGACCAAGCGACGGAAGGTGAGATCGTCCGCGGACTTATGTGCAATCACGCTGTGCAACACGCTCTTCTTTGTCACGTCCCATGACCATTTTTGGCTATGCCTCCTCGGCGGCTCATCGTCGTGGTAGCAATCTTACGCCTCGCTTCACTACCCTTTCTGCCCTTGCAGCAACCCCCCAAATTCGCCGGCTTACCTCGCTCGGCCCAGCCCCAGCCCGTCGGTGCATAGATGAGAAGAAGATGTGAATCGATCGTCCGCTTTCCGTTCATCTTTGCGCCAGGCTTTCCGCTCTTACGTATTGCCGATCCGTCTCAACGCCGTGGACGTTCGCAACGCACTAAAGTAGTGCGTGGCGCTGGCGACATTGCCAGAGCTGCTTATAAGCATCACTCCTCCTTCCTCCTGTACTTCTACCTTCTTCTCCTCCTACAGCTTCGCCGTCCTCATCATTCCCCGGTCGACCTCCAGCTCTCTGCTGGTTTGCGACAATCATGTCGTCCAATACGCAGAAACCGCAGATCCCACCTGCACACGAACAGGTCGCCGATCCGGATCAGTACACCCTCCGCAACACGCCCTTCCGACTCTACACGACACCCTTCTCCGACATCCTCTTGCGGCCCTACCACGGTTCGGGCACAAAGGAGGATCCATACCTGGTTGAGTGGCTTCCCGACGATGCCGAGAACCCTCAGAACTGGTCGCAAGTTTACAAATGGTCGCAGACGGTCCAGGTCGCCATCGCCACTCTTTCAGTCGCACTCGCCTCTAGTGCCTACTCGGGTGCCATCGACTCGCTGCAGGAGCGCTTCCATCCCGGAAAGCAGATCATCCTTACGCTAGGCGTCTCGCTCTTTGTGCTCGGGTTCGCCTTTGGTCCCCTCTTCTGGGCTCCCTTCTCCGAGGTGGTAGGGAGACGAAACCTCTTCATCTTCACCTACGCTGTCTTCACCTTGTGGCAAGCGGTCTCGGTCGCCTCGCCCAACATCGAATCGTTGCTCGTCTTCCGTTTCCTTTCCGGCTTCTTCGGGTCGAGTCCCCTCGTCAACACGGGTGGCACACTCGCCGACATGTTTGGTGCCAAGCAGCGTGGTCTAGCCATGGCCATCTTTGCCAGCGCTCCCTTCCTGGGTCCGGCCCTCGGGCCCATCACCGGTGGCTTCCTCGGCGAGACCAGCGGATGGCAGTGGGTGATCGCCTTCCTCGCCATCTTTGCCGCCCTCATCACCGTCATCGGTACGATCACTCTGCCCGAGACATACGCGCCTGTACTGCTCCGATGGCGCGCGCAGAAGCTCCAAGAGGTGACGGGCCACGAATACATCTGCAAGCTCGACAAAGGTCGCGATCTTCGTCTCAAGACGCAGTTCAAGGTTGCCCTGGGGCGACCGTGGTTGCTGCTCATCTACGAGCCCATCGTCAGCCTCCTCTCTCTTTACATTGCCATCGTCTACGGTGTCCTCTACTCGCTCTTTGGCGCTTTCCCCATCGTCTTTCAGCAGTACCGAGGATGGAGTCCAGGTATCGGCGGTCTCGCTTTCCTCGGCGTGTTGGTTGGCATGCTGTTCGCGCTCGCCTACATCATCTTTTTCGAGAACCCTAGGTACGGACGGATCTGCGACAAGCACGGCGGTATCGCTCCTCCCGAGGCTCGTCTGCCTCCCGCCATGATCGGTGCGGTCTCGATCGTCATCGGCCTCGCCATCTTTGCCGCCACCGACAGCCCGGATCTTCCCTGGATCGCTCCCATCGTCGGCGGTGGACCGTTCGGTATGGGAATGGTGCTCATCTTCCTCTCTTGCATGAACTACCTTACGGACGCCTACCTCATCTACGCCGCTTCGGTCCTCGCCTCCAACAGCGTCATTCGTTCGCTGTTCGGTATGGCCTTCCCCCTGTTCACTTCAAATATGTATTCGATCGGAGGCAGAAACGGCATTCATTGGGGACCTGCGATCGCCGGCTTGCTCGCGCTCATCTGCCTGCCCTTCCCGTTCGTGTTTTACAAGTACGGAGAGGGCATCCGTCATCGATGCAAATATGCCTCGGAAGCCAAGAAGATGCTGGAAGAGATGCAGGAATCGTCGCGAAAGCAACAGGCACCTTCTGACAATGCCGCGAACGACGACGATCTCGAAAAGGCACAAAGCAACACCGGGAGCAACGACGACGAAGCCACTCGCACGAACAGCCGCAACGGCGAAGGCAAGTTCACGCCCAGCAAGGCTGCTGAAACTGTGCGTAACAGTCCCGAGCTGGAACAACGGCCTAGCTCGGGCCAGACACAGTCGTCGCACTGAGTTGACCGAACCGCAGGGTGCTCGACGCCGACACCACCTCCAGCATCCCTCCTCGCATAGACAATCCAGCTCTTTCTCACGTTCATAACTGCAAATTGTCCCCCACACCCAACTTCACCCCCGCAGGCTTCATCTCCCGCAGTCTTCTTTAGCATCTTTGTTCCTCCGCTCCAGTGTCTTCTCCTGCAAAGGAAGACACCTTGTAACAATAGCATCTCACATGTAGATACGTTCTTGTCAGCACCAAAACCATGACGATTTGACGTAGAAAGGAAAACTCGCTTGCTGGAATGTGTTGTATGAACCGCCCTCGTGGCAACTTGTGACTTGCAGAGCGGGAGTATGGACGGAGGGAGAGAATAGATGGCGTGCCGGTGCTTACGTAATTTGATTTGATCATCACGTCCGGAGAAGTGGAGTTGCGAAGAGCAGGGAAGCGGGGGAGCTTTATTTTTCCGGCGTGTACCGAGTGTCCCCTTGTGCCCCGACACACTTGAAGGTTAGTGTCCCACTATCACCTTGTTCGCACACCGTCGACGGCCTCACCAACATGACGATTCGAATGGCAACTAGTGTACTTCGACGAGCGGTCTTGCGACCTGCACCGTTGCAAGCTCGAATTCGACCGAGTGTTTCGTTCTCCACTTCACTCACGGCGCATCGATCCTCACCTTCCAAACCGGACCCATCTGCCACGGATCAGGGTGCTACGGGACCCTCTCAATCGACGCAAAATGCCAGCGGACCCTCCGGCGCTGTCCCTGACTCCCAGCTCTCCGACCCCTACCCTCTCCCCTTCAGCCCAGACATCATCGACCTGAACTCGGCGAATAGCGGCCCCGAACGAGGTCCCGAGTCCAAGTGGTCCGGTCTCAACCTCGCCTCCTCCTCCCAAACGCTCGACGGCATCGATGCACCCATGCGTGTCCCTGGGCGAGAAAGTGAAGATCGAGAAACGAAAATCTCCCGCTTGATCTACCAGACCCGCAAGCGGGGTACGCTCGAAACGGATCTCTTGCTCAGCACCTTCGCGAAAAAGGAGCTGAAAAGCTTGCCGGATGAAGAGCTGGATGAGTTCGATAGACTGCTCGACGAACCGGATTGGGATATCTTCTACTGGTGTACGCAGAGGAAGGAGATCCCGGATAGGTGGAAGAAGAGCTTCGAGACGGAAGGGAAGTTGGGGAGTAGGTTGATCAGGCATACCAAGAACGAGGAGAAGGCGGTCAGGTGGATGCCCGAATTGTAAGGTGGGACCCGTACAAGACATGCGAGTCTTTCGCGGATCTTGTTCCGCTGTTCTCACTGGCATGAATACATCGATATTGCCTGGTAATGTCGCACAAGCAAGGCTCACTGGGTCAACCTGATCAATTGCAACACGAATCTGATCAATGCTTTTAAGACTTTACAACGCATGATTGGTAGAGTCAAAAGCTACCAAAGCGCGGCACTGAGCGTGACAGAGTCTGGAAAGAAATCGGAGATGTGTGCTGCTGCGATGCCGACCATGAAGGAGAACAACAGAGCCGCCGCCGGACCAATCACTGCGGGTTCTGGGCATCAAAGTGATAGCATAGACAGTGTTGATCCATTCGAACCAAGAGGATTGGACGTCGTCGACATCATGGAGTCGGGTTTGGAACGCCGTACGACGCATCGTGATCGCACGTTGGCGAAGTAGACAGAGTCTTTTTGGGTCGTCATTAGTGTAAATAACGATGGGTATATACGCTGCAAAGAGCAGGCCAGGCCTCCTCTCGAGACGAGGATTGTCAAAGACGGGCCGCGGCGAGACTGACAGAAATGCTTGCAGGTCGATCGTCAATGCCGACAGACTGCGCTCTGCACCAGCAAGCACATCTACTGCGACGACTTGGCACTCTGGTGGAGCCTCCTGAGCGCGCCGAGTGTGACCATCTTGGGACCCTTGCCTGCCGCCGCGTCCTGCCTCAACTGGCCCAGAGTCGCGTTTGCAGTTCCGACCCGTTGCTCGGTTGCCTCCACCGCCGCGGCATCAGCACCAGCTTCGACGCTCTTCAACGGAGCTTGCATGAAGGGAAAGATCTTGATCTTCTCGACATCCCACACGTTACCCTGAACGTACTCATCCTTCATGACTCTGTCCTTGACATCCTTAATGCTCTCCGCTAGCACGACCAGCACGCTGCCGGCCATGTGTGGTCCAGGACCCAACTCCTCGTCAATCTCGGAGAAGTCCTTGCGAAGGAGAGCGCCTCCCAGTTCGATGCGTCCGACACGCTTTCCGTTTTGAGCTTGCTCGAGGTGTCGCTCGCGAACCTCGAATCTTCGTGCGTTGGCTCCGGCGTCGGAATAGTCTTCGGCGATGACAATGTAGCGGTTCAAGCGAGGAGCCGAGAGTCGGTCGGCCCACGGTCCAGCGGTGGTGGATTCCTGAGGGGAAGCAGCAGCCGCGAGTCGTGCAATGGGGCTGGTGGAGAAAAGACGCTGGGTAGAGGCACGGCGCATGGCCGAGCGCGTGGCAGTTCTGAGAAGTGACATTATGATCGTATGGACCCTGCGGCGTTGAGCCTCGAGTGTTGATGGTTGTAGGTGGGATAGAAGGTGTCGGTAGAGACGAAAACGAGGAGCGTATCTATATGGGAGATGCTGCTGCCACAGCAAAACGGAAAATTTGCAGACAGCGTGAAAAAGGTTCCCGGCACCACGACTACACCGTATCACACCATCTCCATCTCTCTTTCTCCCACGCTCCCCACTCTAGAAAAAAAAAAGGCAAGCAGCTGACTGAGCGGGGTTACCGCGCCAATTCCACGGACACCAAAATGGCCACGGCATCTCGCCCGTCTCCAAACTGTCGAGTGTGGGGCAAAAGAAGAAAAAAAGAAACTAGCCGAGTCGCTGCTCTTGTCTCTGTCTCGCCGATTGGCTATGATAAGCTCACGTCAAAAAGCCTTCCCGCTTCTGATTATCGAATTCAAGCCACTCACGCACACGCTCTTGTCCGAACTTCCAGAATCACGACATTTGCTTTGCCGCTTTCCATCCACGCGAGGGCCACGCCACGCTACGCTCAGGGGAGCCATTTTTGCGTCCTGCACGGCTACGCGAGGTCGCAAGGCTGCCGCTCACACTGTCCGACGTCACTCATCGTTGATAGCACCTTTTCTCCGAAGCGCTACTTTTTCTCCGCGGCGGTACCCGCCCGCTATTATTGTACTTCCATGTTTTGATCGGCGTAGTCCGATTCGCCTCAGTGATGACAGAACGTCGGTACAGGCGCCTGCTGTCGTTGCTGCTCGCAACATACTTTCGCTGATATGCACAACCTCTCAAATGGTCACACAGACACGGCAACGAGGGCGTCGGGACAACGAACATGAAAATTGAGCATTGACATTACGTCCACTGGACTGCAAACACGGACACATCGTACTATAGCCATCAACTGCTTTACGCCGTTCTAGATCTTGGCCGAAGGCGTCGAGAGATCAAGGTCGAGCGGGTTCTTTCCATTCTTGATCTCGGATAGCTTGGGCATAGCTCGGATGCGGATCAGCTCGCTGCACTGCACCATCAATGGGTCCACGCCCATGGTAGCCACAGCCACCACTTCGTCTCCCTCTGCGTAGTATGCGGCAAACTTGAGCTCCTCCGGCTTACCGTCGACGTAGACATTGTCGAATTGGGGTCCGCCGCTACCGCAGTATCGCAGCTGCGAGCCGAGCGCGGACCAAAAGATGGCCACCTTGTCGTAGTCCGTCTCGGTTCCTGCGAGCGTCTTGGCTACTGCACGACCGTGGTTCGAGGCGACGTTCCAGTGCTCGATCCTAGAGTGGTCCGAAGCGCGTGTAGGAGCAGCGGCAATATCACCGATGGCGAAAATGTCGCTGTGACCCTCGACGCGGAGCTTTGAGTCGACGGCGATTCCTCCGTCCTTCTCGAGCTTGAAGCCGGACTCTTTGAGGAAGTTGGTGGCAGGAGCTACGCCAACACCGAGGATGACAACATCGGCAGCGATGGATTCTTGCTTCCCTTGGCTGTTCTTGATGACCACCGAAGTGGGTCCGGACGACTTGTCACCTTCGATCTTTTCGACACCTGCTTCCATGTAGAACTTGAGGCCATTCTTGACCTGCGCCTGCATAAGACCCTGACCCACTTCCTCGCCGAGCACACGCTCGAAGGGGACCTTCTCCATACCGACCACCGAGACGTTGGCGCGCTTGGTCAGAGCGATGGCCGCTTCCATGCCAATAAAGGAAGATCCGATGACGACGACGTTCTTGCTCTTCTTGCTCTCGTCGCCATCCTCGTTACCGACTGCCTCGTTGATCGCCTTGGTATCGCTGATCTGTCGCAACACAAGAACGTTCTTGAAATCCGAGCCAGGGATGGGGATGCGCTTGGGAATACCTCCGGTAGCCAGCACGAGCTTCTCGTATTCGAGCGTCGATCCGTTCTCGAGAGTCACTGACTTGGCGTCGGCATCGACCTTGGTGACGCTGGTGTTCTGCAGCTCGACGCCGAGCACGTTGTTGAGGTGCGACTTGCTTCGCCACGTCACTTTGTCGGCATCGGCGATTAGCGCCTTGCTGAGCTTGGTGCGGTCGATGATGGCCTGTTCGTTCGAGACGATGGTGATGCTACCCTGGTAGCCGCTCTTTCGCAGCTCCTCGACGCAGTTGATGGCACCGGCACCACCGCCAACGATGACGACGCCCTTGCCCTTGGCGACGCTCTGAGCTCCACCCTTGCAGCTTGGGGCGACACCCGGCTTGCCTTTGAGCTTCTCGGGGTCCGCAGTGACGAAAAGATCATCGCCGTCGACTTCGAGCTTGAGGCTAAGGATGCTGTCGAGAGCAGGAGCGTCCTCGATCTCGCCGTTCTTGGCGTGGAAGCAGGCGCCGTGCCAGGGGCAAATGATGCGTCCATCTCCGGTGAGCACGCCGTTGGCGAGGGGCGCACCGTAGTGGGTGCACTTGGACGAGGTCGCGTGGAGCTGACCCTTGACATTGGAGACGAGCACCTTGACGGCATCGTCGCCCTCACCGGCAAAGGTGAACTCCTTCATCTTGCCTTGGGCGACATCTTTGGCCGAGCCGACGCGGACGCGCTGTTCCGACATGTTGATGATCGATGAGGACAGAAACGCTTTCGGAGGCGCAAGAATTGTTCGAGCTGGAGGGAAGGACGCGCGAGCGGTTTGGATCAACAGCCGAGGATGGTGTCGAAACAGGAGCATGCGGTGGAAGACGACCGTAGGGTATCGTCGGTGCTGAAGAAGTAGAGATGCGAAGCAATGATGAGGTCGAAAGGGGAGAAGCAACAGGGTATTCAAGCATGACTGGTGGGGCAGGGTCCTCTCACTCTTACTGCTGCTGTGGGTCACTGCGAATCTCCACACTGGAGGGGGATCGTGTAATCCGTCGCGCTTACATCGATCGCGAGAAGCGCTCTGCATCTCAACGCATTGGCCCAAGCATCACACTCGCGCTCTCAAAATAACTTTGGCAACGCTTTCCCACGACAAGCTCGGCATGTCCGTTGGTCAGCTCAGTCAGCGTGCACCTTGCAATAGTACCTGGCTTCCCCGATCGAGACGTTGTCGTGAACGATAGCGGTCGAATGAGCGAGGCAGTCTCCAATTGAGGATTCCTTGCCTCCACATCAACCGACATGCTGCTCCTGCACGTTGTCTGTCGGTTCGGCTTGTTTCAGCGAAAGCACGTAGGACATGTCGTGCTTCCCGACGCTGCCGCTGTCTCGCTTCCACGTCTGCGTCATCGAGCTTGAGCTGGTCGGAGAGAGGGAGAGAGAGCTGCAGTCCAGATCATGCGGGCCCGACTTGGATTTTCTGACCAATCCAAAGTCGAGAATTTGATGACAGGAAGACCCGTTCCAAGTCTAACAAGTCTCATCGAATTGCCCCAATCTAACATAGTATGCAGAAAGCTGCGGGGCGCGGCCGTCAAAATGGCCGAAGCCAAGTTCTTGTTGCCCACACCGAGCCAATGCAGCTAAGCTTGCAGACTGGACCCTGACCACACCACCGAGGTAGGTGTGTTTTCACCCCCACACTAGGCCTCGCTGGTAGGTGTCCCATGTGCGCTTCTTCTCCGCATCGACGGCCCTCATAAACTACCCAGCTCTGATTGGATTGCATATAAGAAGGAAGCAGTCGTCTCTGGCACTGACAAGAGCAGTCACCGATCCCGTCTACCACCTTTCGTGCTTCTCGACCTCCTCCACCTCATCAACATGACGCTCGAACAGCCCGTCGAGACAACGCACCTCTCCGACTCGCTCTTGGCCGAGCTGGCCAAACACACCACCGTCGACATCGACAACAATGTAGCCTCCATCGCTGTGCAGCACAACCTTGCTCATCGTCGACTGCTCGAACTCGTCGACACCACCAACAAAGGCTCCTCCGAGATTCAAGAGCAAGTCGTCGACGAGTTCCATTCACTGTTCCAAGATATGACGTCGAACCAAATCATCGTCTCCTTGACCTACTCGGAGCTGCTTGCGAGCGAAGCACCCAAGGCAAAGAAGCTGTTGGGGTCGTGCACTGTCGCTGCGAGGCAGATCGAAGCTGGAACCTGGAAAGCAGAAAAGCTAGATAGTGTCATGATGCGCCGTCTCTCGGTGAATGGCCTGGCTGGGACCGAGTCGCTCGAGGAGAAGCATCAGCAGCTTGCATCCGACATACTTACCGTCTACTTCGGACTCGACATGCTGCCTCACTTGCTTTCCAACGGCAACGTGCACGCGCAGACAGCCACGTCACAGTCGTACAACGCACAAGCCACCGTCAGACACGCCCGACGATTCGTGGCGCTGTACCAGCTCCTCTCTGGAGGCTCTGTCGACAGTTCCCGTGTCTGCATCAAGATTCCTTCCACCATTCCTGGACTTCAAGCAATGCGATTTCTCTCCTCTGGCGGCCAGTTGAACGGATTTGATCTGGGCAATCCCTTGGAGGAAGGCAAGATCCAGGTTCTCGCGACGACCGTGTTTGCCGTAGAGCAAGGTCTGGCAGCTGCCCAATCGGCAGGTGCTATCTACGTGGCGCCCTACATCAACGCTCTCGCTGCGCACTTTTTTGGTGCTGAAAACCCAAGCGACTTGGAAAAGCAGAAGGCCCTCTCTGCGGGCGCTCGATCGATCCGCGAGGTGATCTACCCTCTGCAGCGATGCTTGAAGACGTTGCGGCGTGAGAATGAGGACATCCAGACGCAGGTCATGGCAGCGTCGTTCCTCGATTTCAAAGAAGCGGTCCAATTGTGCGGACTGGATCATGTGACTCTCGGTGCCGGAATCGTGCAAGCCTTGTCAAGCACAGAGCCGACAGAGGCTTTTGTAAAGGCGATGCAACAGGCACGCGAGGAGATGTCAGAGGCAGGGGAGGACGAGCTGGAAAGGTACGGCGGCAGGCTGGCTTCTGAAGAGGCGAGAGACCAGCAGGGATGCGGCGGATGGCTCAAGCAAGGCTCCAAGTCCTACACGCGTCTCGAAACCGTCTTGACGCAGGATGAGCGATGCAGCTACATGCTAGCTGATGCACTCGCGCGATTCACAAATGCCGAGATTGATCTGCGGAATCTGTTCGCTGTCTGAGTAAGCGGAGACGTTCACTGAAAGGGTATCATTGCAATGGAAGCATAGTTCTGCATCGTGCGAGTGTCACGACACTCTAGAATCCGTCATCGCCTTTGAGCGTGCGCATCCAGAAGCCATCCTTCTTCTTCTTCTGCGTTCGACCTTCTGCCTGCAGCACGGGGGCACCTCCCGGCCCCGCCGCAGCGGCAGTCGCCGACCCGATGCCCATAGCAACCGATGCGCCCGGTGGCGTATTGAGCTTCGCTGCGTCCTCGGTATGATCCAACCCATCCGCCGGGGCGGCTACAGACGCCGGAACCGGATCGCCCGGAGCCTGGTTGCCCACTGCGACCGTCTTGCCCGTCTCGTCTACCAGCGTGAATGGCACCGTTGTATCGGTTTCGATGACGAGCAGCCCTGCATCTGTGATGGTCGCCTTCGGACCGCCGGTGATGCGAATCGTACGATCACGATCGATGTACCAACCGGCCGAACTCAGCACACTTCCCTGCAGCAGCTTCTGCAGTGCTGACTTGGACGCCTGCGCAGCTTTATCCTTCAACTGCTGATCGACGGGTTTCGGCTTTCCGTTCGCACCCTTTGCGCCTGCCAATGCACCTCCACCGATCCCCACCACCTGACCGATCTTCGCTACCGTCTGACCCTTGGATGCATACTTGAGCAAACGTTTCGCCGTGGGAGTGTGCGTTGCAACCACGGCAGTGATCCTCGCGGCCACAGCGGAAGCAGCAGCAGCGGCTCCGCCGGCGGCAGCGGCTGCACCAGCAAAGTAGATGGCGCCGGCACCGAGAGACACAGCGCCGATGGTGATGGCTGCGATAGGAGCGTACGTCTGAAACTTGTCGTACCCGTTGTCACCGCGATCTATGCGCGCCTGGATGGTGAACCATACGCGACCGGTGTGCATGGTGGCGCGTCCGCCGTTGGGTGGCACCTTGTTGGCATAGTGGAGAGGAGACACCTGCTTCAAGCAGATATTGAGCGGTACTTGAGTGTCGTTGATGATGACGACCTTCGGCATGGCGATGTCAGGGTGGGATATGAGGATGGTGATGGTGGTGCTCAAACAAGGCAGGGTCGTCGAGGTGACAGGTCATTTGATGCGACACAAAGTGCGGCTTGGCTGAGTGTGGAGGTTCGGCGGTGCCAAAAATAACCGTAGCACAGCATCCATCGCTTTCGGCGAATTTTCCGTCAGATGGGCCACGAGGCTGCCATCCTCATTCTTCTCGAGCACGATCCTCGTATCAAGCGACTCTCAGGACGAACGCACCATCGCATGCTCATCACGCCTGATGATGTGATTTGTCTCTCTATATTGTACTTTCTGTGTATGCAAAAAGGTCAGCCAAGTACACCTGCGTCCGACTTCTTCTTCTTCTTGCCCCCCTTCTGAAAAGCCCTCCAATCAGCCACACGATGATCTCTGGTCTGCTCCCAGGCAGCATCATGCTCCGCCTTTCGCTTACGCTCTTCCACCGCCTGCTCCTTCTTCCTCTGCACCTCTCCCTCTGCCTGGTGCTGGATGCGAATCGCCTTCCTCCGACGCAGCTCGTCGTCCACCATGAGCTCCTTGGTCGCACTGCGAACGCGCTCTTCCCAGATAGGATTGAGATCGACCAGACGTGGATCGTCGTACGCCGTAGCAAATGGAAGGTTGAGCTCCTTGAGAACCATCAGCCTGGCATCCATGACGGTCTCGTCCAGCGCTTTGCGTTTGTCTTCGTCGAGCAGGTGGGTGGATGCCTTTTTGAGCAGGTCGAATGCCTCCACTGCTCGCTCGTGCTTAACCTTGTCCGGGTGGATGAGGAGTGACTTTTTGCGGTAGATCTTGTTGATCTCCTTATCATCGGCTTCGAGAGGCACTTCGAGGACGTCGTAGGGGTTCAGACGGAACGCGCTCAGGATACGGTCGATTTCGAGCTGCTGTAGTAGCGACGTGCGTTCGAGCGCAAATGCTCTCTTGTCGTCTGCTGTTGTCGCTGATGCAGGCTCGTGTTTGGAGGTCGAGCTGGTTTGATGTGAGCCACTACCGATCGAAGACGTCGATGCGGGCTGCTGACGAGCTAGACCAGCGGATCTATTAGAGTTCAAAGCGGCCGTAGCTGCGGGTGGTGACGGTGGTGGAGGCGGTGTTGGGCTTGTACGTGGAGGCGGTGGATTCGGAGGTGGACCCGGTGGCGGGCCTGGTGGTGGACCGGGTGACGGACCGGGCGGTGGCGGCCCTCGCCCGGCCATGTTGAATGTTCCGAAGGGTCGAAGCGTTTCGCTGAGACGTTGATATGGACAGCGGAGAAGGTGCACAGACAAAGTCGTCGGCATTACATTTCTGCAATTTTGGCTTAGCATTCTACCGAAGCGCCCGGTTTTGATTTTCTGGTGATACACAGCGGCTTCGATTTAGGCGAGAGGGTTCGTGTACCAAAAGCGTGAAAGATGTCGGCAATTGACACTCTCTCTGGCGTCTTTGGCTCCACTTGGCATCCTCTCCTGTTCGTTACACCATCTTCAACCATCATCGGCATCAGGGTTTCTCTTTCACTTTGGCATTCGCAAAGCACTGCAATGTGGATCGACAGTCATGCTGCCTTCTCTCGCTCTTAGCGACTCTAGCCTAGATCAGTTTCGTAAAAACATCTATCGCCCTCGTCTCTGCCTCTTACTGCTCGTCTTACTCCTGAGCCCCTACAACACGACTCAGCTCTCCTCATCGTCATCATCCGATACCTCAGAAGTCAGCGTTAGCCAGCCCGCGCAATCAGGATGGGCGATCAGTATCATCGATGGTCTTGTGGTAGCTGCCGCACCATCTGCATCGCCCTCAAAGCTGTCAAAGGCAAGTGCCAAGCCCAAACAGAAGTCCAAATCGAGCAAGAATGAAAAACCGGGCCCATCGGCAGCACTTCGTTCTGCAGAAGCTAAAAAGATGGCCAAGGATGCGGACGACTCTGCATCTCAACAATCTCAGCCCGCTCCTGGTTCGCTCTTCCGTTTCCCAAAGCTCAGTTGGGCACTTCTCATCGACGAGCATGTACTGCCCGCGCTGCTCACGTTCCACCTGCTTTGGGCGATCCGTTTGGCAGCCATGTCAGTCGAAGATGGCCTGGTCAAGAATTCTTTGCTCGGATCCAAATCACGCTTCCATACTGTCACGCTTCCGCTCGCCTACCTTGGCGTGCTAGCCATTCTTGCCATCCTCACAGGTCAGCCTGCAACGATGGCCGCGATACGTTCGCGCTGCCACGGATGGAGGAAAAATCTCGCATTCCAAGTGCTAGAACCGTCGTCGGCTGAAGGAGTAAGCAAATCTATGTTCAGAGCAGACGGCTTGCTCCCATCGTCTCTCTTCGTCATGCTCGAGACGGCTTCTGCGCTAGTGCACGTGCTCAGTATCCTGCCCAAGGTCGACGCTCCATCCATCGCCAGCTTCCTACCAATGCAGCTACAGCTGCCATCGCCTTCACATTCACCACCTCTGATCGACTTATTGCCGCTACCTTCTTTCGTCAAGATCGCTTTGACTGGTCCAGTGGTCAACACAGCCACGGCCAGGTATGCAAGAAGTCGCAGACCCATGATGCCTTCTATCAATGCAGGCCCAAGATCTACCCCAGGCGCACAGCAGCAGAACACCAATGCTGAACGAGGTACGACTGCAAATGAAACTGCGACGACATCTGCGCTTGGATCTCGACCGTCAAGCAACGACGTCGGTAACGCTGATGACTCGCATCCTCAGCAAGTGTACCGCCGTGTTGGTGCTCCCGAAGATGAGGTGTTGCGGTCCACAAGCGTCGCAAGACCCATCGCACCTCTCCGTCTGCCGGAAATCGATGCAAGCGGGTCACAAGAAGCAACATCGTCACCCTCCTCACGACGCAGAAGAGCACCTCGAATGCGCGGTCAATCTGTGCTCGTCTCCACAAAGTGGATCTCAGAGACTGCCACAACGCTTTTCGACAAGATCACGGGCATTCTGATCTACTCTATCATCACATTGCGGCTTCCCACACTGTCACCAACCTCGCTGCCTCCCGTCTTGTCCCTGCTCAGCCTGCGATCCGAGCTGGCGTCCATGACGCAGATCTGGTCCAAAGCACGTAGCTCGGTCGAATGTCTCGAGTTCGTCCGTCGCAGATGGGGCGTGCAGCTCGAACAAGGGAAGGATCCGTACACGTCTGTCTCAAGGCCGAGAGCTGCGGCAGCGGCGGGCGACTACAAGTGGAAGTCGTACGACGATGTCTATTGCGCCATTTGCTTTGAGCAGACTCGATCTGCAGAAGCTGCACCAGATGCGGATGATGCCAAGCCGCACAAGTTTGAGTTCTGTCGTCTCGACTGCGGTCACGAGCTTCACGATGTCTGCCTCGTCTCGTGGCTGACGGCTCAAGCGTTTTGTCCGACTTGTCACGTCGTGCTCAGCTTCAGTCCACGGCCAACATCGACATCGAGGCGCCGTGCTGCACAGGAATGAAGGTCAAGTCGGAGTTGTTGCCCTACAAAGCACCGACGTCTTTGTGTGAACATTGTAACCATCTTCATGTGGATTTGAGGTGTGAGAAGCTCGAGGTGACATTGTCCGCGAAGGAGCGGATGTCGGTGTTTTGAACGGCATCACAAGCTCAAATAGCCATGTGACGCTGCCGATCTTTGTTCGGACGTGATGGGCTTTTCGGAATTGCTAATCGGCACTCGACGACGCGTTACGGCACTGCAGGGTTCGCTTCCAGGAAAACCCGAAAAGGCGGCTTGCAGCTGTCAGACAGAAAAGTGTTGCTCTTTGCTTATCTTTCGAGTGTGACTAGTCACTGCAGAGTGGGGTTGGCTCTTGCATCCTTGTCATCACCATCATAGCCTTCGTGTCGAACATAGGCCAACGCCAGACTCGCCAAGGGGAGCGAATGAGCCGGTCGCGATGCTCCAAACAGCCTCGTCCAGCTTCCTTTTGCGCAGATCAACTTCGTCCGCCACCACAGCAGCACGCAATGTGCGGGCGCTGGTTTGCAGTAGCTGCTCCAATCGGCCGGCCTCTCGACCTTTCTCCTTGCTCGCCGCATCAGGTCGGCCAGCTAAAACCGTCACCACCAATACTGGAGCCAAGCTTGCGCGTCACCGTCTTCGCCCACTGCGCACCACAGCGACCTTATCATCATCCGTAGCAGCTGCACCGACCGACAAGGACCCGACGCCAACCGAACCAAGTGAAACCGAACATGCTGTCATCTCCACCTTCGATCTATTCTCAGTCGGTATCGGTCCCTCATCTTCGCACACCGTTGGTCCCATGCGTGCCGGTGTCATCTTCGTCTCCGACTTGGCCGATATGGATCTCCTCGACCGCGTCCACACGATCAAGATCAACCTTTACGGATCACTCGCTTTGACTGGGGCAGGCCACATGACACCGCAAGCGCTGCTGGGTGGTCTGGAAGGCGATGATTGCGAGACCGTCGACCCACCTTCTGTGCCGGTGAGGTTCGAAGAGATCAAGCAGGCCAAAAAGCTGCACTTGGGCAAAAACCTTTTCAAAACGCTGGGAGGAGCAAATGCTGAGGATGGCAAGGAGGTCACCAAGGGCAAATTGATCGATTTCGATTACGATCGAGACCTCAAGTGGATGTTCGGTCAAGTGCTGCCTCATCATTCGAACGGGATCAGGATGAGCGTCTTCGACGAGCAAGGCGAGATGCTTGCTACCAACGATTACTATTCGGTCGGCGGAGGCTTCGTTGTCAATGGGGCTCTTGCAACGCCTACATCGTCCGCTTCTTCCACAAAGGCTCACTCTGAGTCAGAGAAGAGCCAAGACAGCAACTTGATCTCCGCGGTCTCACTCCACGACGAGACACTGGAAGTCGCAGCTCATCCGATCGACTGGGGAGAAAACGTCTTCTACAAGCAAATTCGTCGCAGCGACGCTGATTCAGGGCGTAGAGCTGGCTCTGCACCCACCGTTGAAGGCCTCCTACCTCAAGTCGAAGCGCCTACACCCCTCGACCCTCCTTCCTCCCCACCCATCCCCTCCTCCCCTACACCCACGCATTCTCCCGAAAAGCTCACCGCGCGACCGCCTTCCGGCCCACCCTTCCCTTTCCACAACGCAGCCAGCTTGCTCCGCCAATGCAAGACGCGCAACCTCACCATCGCGCAAGTCGTCTACGAGAACGAGCTGACCTGGAACCCTCCGGAGATTGTGCACGACAAGCTGGTCAAGATCTGGACCACAATGGACGAATGCATCCGAGCAGGTGTCGAGAACGAGGAAAAGGTGCTGCCGGGGCCGTTAGCGGTGCGGAGGCGAGCGCCGCAGCTGTACGCGAGGCTGTTGCGCGGTGTGTATCGCGGCGGTGCTTCGCTCGGTGCTCCTGAGAACGGCAAGGCTGAGATCGCACCAGGCATAGACTCTGCCCCTCCTCGAGCTCCGAAATCGACATCGCTTGATCTGACCTCACCACTCGTCACCCGCCCTCGTATCATCGGATCCTTCAACCACCCCATCATGCCCTGTCCACCGCGTCGCACCAACTTCCCCGCCATCGACTACCTCACCTGCTACGCCATTGCCACCAACGAACAAAACGCCGCAGGAGGTCGAATCGTCACCGCTCCCACCAACGGTGCAGCCGGTGTCCTCCCTTCGGTCCTCAAGTACTGCTTCGAATTCATCTTTGACGACGATCCCGTTCGAGACCTTACCAACTTCCTTCTCACCGCATCCGCCATTGGAATGCTTTTCAAACGCGGTGCCACACTCTCCGCTGCCGAAGGTGGGTGTATGGCAGAAGTAGGCGTGGCGACGGCAATGGCAGCAGCTGGATTCGTCGCCGTATTGGGAGGAAGTCCCGAAAAGGTCCTACAGGCTAGTGTCATCGGTATCGAACACAATCTCGGTCTCACCTGCGATCCGCTCAACGGTCAGGTTCAAATCCCCTGCATCGAACGAAACGCTCTCGGCGCGGTAAAAGCCGTCACCGCCGCTCAACTCGCCCTCGCAGGCGACGGAAAACACTCCGTAAGCCTAGACGACGCTATCACCGCTATGAGGGAAACAGCTAGAGACATGCACACCAGCTACAAGGAGACCAGCTTGGGCGGTCTTGCCACAGCCGTAAAAGTCCCAGTCGCGATCCCTGATTGCTGATCCACATCTCCATACAAGTGATGCACAACTCACACACGGACAATGCAAACCATTTCGAGCCTCATCTAAAAGTTTCCATCGTGACCACTTGCATTCCATAATATTGAGAGATTGTCCACGAAAAGCAGGCAAGATTGCCGCAACACTCGCCTCTTCGCGATCAAATGTCCGTCCGCCAGATATCCTGCAGAATGCCAGACCACTCGGACGAACCAAGCACGTCATTCAGAATGAAGTCCAGCGAATCCAACCCCGCCTCCGAAGCCTGCACATCTCCGCCTCCGCCCATGCTGTTCGCACCATTCGAGGCGTCGACATGGCTCAACACGGATCCGTTGCTCGAGCTGTTCATCATGGCTACACCGTTGCCGACGTTCTGGTAGTAAGCAGATGCGGTCTCTGTATGCGGTGATGCGCCGGATGAGCCTGGCGCACCCAGTGTGGACGGTGCGAAGTGGTTCCTCTGTTGCGGTCGTGCTTGCAGCGGCTGCTGCGACGTGTGTGCATACCCGGTCGCTCCTGGATAACTTCCGCTGTGGGGAAGGGCAGCCGCTAGCGATTCCGTCGCATCCGGCGCAAACCGCTGAACCGCAGGACCTCCGCGAAGATGGCTGTACTGATACGTGGTTTGCGCCTCCGCTTCAAACATGGACGCCGTCGTGCTGTACGTCGAGGCGTTCGAGCCCGTCGAATGGGGTCGGAAAACATCTTGCTGCCGTGACGGAGACGCGCTGGCGTCCGAAGCAAACGCTTGCACAGCATCAAAGCTCCTTCGTGATGCGCCATCATCCGTAAGCAACGCCGAGTAACGCTCGAGCTCAGATGCGACATTGGCGCGTGGCCTGGCCGCCGGCTGATGAGATGAATGGCCGTTAGCGCACTCTTGAACGTGACGTGTAGGGGCACCGGCCGTCTCTGTTCCAGGTGTGGAGGCCGTGTTCCTCTGATGGTCCTTCTGCCTGCTGCTATCGGTCCACGCGACGATCACCTTGAGCATACCCTGCAGGATGTACGCACACGTGGCAGGGATGCTGCCACTCTGAATCGAACCGCTCGGGTCCAGCGAGAGCATCGCCGTGATCACATCCGAGAAAACCTGCTGCCAAGATTCCGACCGTTTCGGTGGTGTCTTCCACAGCTTGAACATCGTCGCGTGCATTTCCATGGCGCTGAAAGCCGCCTCGAGCGCGTACCCGCACGCATTGATCATAGGCAAAACTGTGCGGGATTGGCCATCCACCATCCAACGACGTGAGGTGGGATCCATTGTGTCTGCAGCCTCGCCCGTAGAGGGAGCGGACTTTGCTTCTCTAGCATCCCGGCAGAGCGTGCTGATGTTCACGAGGACCTTTTCAGCGGCCAGGATGAGATGCTCGCCGTAGTGCGTCAGGAATTCTCGCATCTCCAAGGACGCATTCTCTCCAATCATCATCATGGCTAGCTCGGGACCGGGAACATTCTCCTTCTTTTCGATGCCAAGACCTCGGTAGATGCCAGTGCTTAGCACGAGGAGGTGGCCAGCCGTGGTTTCGATGGTGATCCAGGTCCGCAGCAGCTTGCAACCGTCTTTGCCGTCGATCAGACGTCGCTGGAACTCATCGTCGACTTGCGTGATACGACGCTCATAGTCTTCAAGGACCATCGACATGTGGGAGAGACGCTCGTGTTCAGGTCGTTGGATCGAAGAGGTGCGGATGGCGTTAAAGGCGTCGAGCAGCTGCCTCATGGCGAGGCTTCGCATCGCAAGACCGGTGCTACCTATCCTACGCCGGGATGACCAGCGTCGTTGCGCGAAGAACTCGTTTTCCAAACTCGGCGTAGAGGCGGGCTGTTCGATCTGTGCAGCTGATGTCTCTTGTGGCGGAAGTATGAGCGAGCGGCTCCAATCGTCAGAAAAGAAGCGATCGTCGATGGTTTCGTAGAGCTCATCGTCACCAAGTGTAAAGCAATTGTACCAGGTCTTGACGCTGGCCCACGCCATGGCTGTGCGTTTGGTCTGGAAATCATCGAGCTGGTTCGTCGAAGCAAAGAAGGAGTAGGGAGCTGCAGCGGTCAAGGCGACGCGGTCGAGTCGAACTGAGCGAGCGAAACGTTCCGCGGCACTGATCTGGGCGTCTGTGCGGATACGGTTACGCGAAGGACCTGGAATGGCAGAAACATCGACGGGGAAGAGGGCGAGCAATTCGAGCGCTTCGACGGCATTGCTGGAGCGGGGCGAGGTGAGCATCACGCGAGCCAGATCACGGATGATGAAACGAGTGACAGAGAAGCGCGAGACGTCGTCGCGAGGATCGCGGATGTGCTGCATGGCAATCACGTAGAGCACCTGTTCCAGGAGCTGGGTCGAAAGAGTCTGCTTGCCTTGCTTGGCGTCTTGACGGAGTTGGTAGGCATTGGAGACGTGGGGCATCCAAAGAGTCAAATTGTGTTCGCACCAGTCGCTAAGCTGTTTTGATTTCTCGTCCGACACAATCTCGCTGACGTCGGTCTCGATGGTGGCTCGCGCCGAGACGAGGCGGAACACTTTGGAGGCGAAACCATTCTGACGCGGCACGAGCTCGGTGAGCAGCGTGAGGGGTCTACTCCGAGTGGAGAAGCGCTCCCACGTATCGATGTTGGCGCTGTCTTTTGGATTGCGATCCTGGGTCTTGACGTGAGGTTCGGGTCCGGGTCCGGCTGACGCTGTCCTTCTACCGCTGAAATCTGTCGGACGTGAGGTGGAAGGAGGTGAGGAATCTTCATCTTCGTCGGAGGAAGAGTCGGGTGTACGCGGAGCTAGCCTGGCTTCGGACGGATAGACGATCTGGTCGCCAAAGACACGCCCACCGGCGAATTTGAGGTCGTTGTCGTCGGGGAGGGGCACACCCGAAGCGGCAGCACTGCTGCTGCCGATGCTATTGATGCTGTTGGCGTCCCCGACGTTTGAGGAAAGAGACGTGCCCGTGGAAGACTTGCGTACGGGTGGGCGATTCGCGGCAGAGGGCATACGCTTTTGCGAGGTGCTTGGACGAGGGCCGTTTGATCGGGATGGGGGTTTCCTCGCCTTTCTCTTGTCGGCGTCGTCGACGATGCACGAGATCTGAAGTGTTCGACATCGGTGACACGCTTGGTGGTCAGGGAGCGGCAAGGAGCTGGAAGGAACTTCGAGGTCGGGGAGCTCACACCTTGCTTTTCGCTGCTGACACATCTGACACGAACGGCGAGCATGTGTGCGACGAGGTCGTTTCTGGATTTGGATCGATTCCTCCTCGTTGTCCGTAGCCGCAGGTGCGATCAATGTTGGCAAGCCGGAACTCGAAGCCGAGGATGACGGCCGTGACGTGCCTTGTCGAGACCCGGAGGCTGTCATACTGTGATGCTCCATCTCTGGTCTCAACTGCCCTCTGATACAGCCGGATCCGATGCGTTCGAGTTATAGATTGTTCACGGCAGCGCTTCGCTATGACGGCAGCATGGGGAGAGAGAACCGCTGTGTTGGGCACGACGGTGTACGTGTACGAGCTTGTGGCTTGTCGTAACGACGGCCGGGATCGATGAGAACTGGCGTGTGATCGATCCGAGGGCCTTTTGATATTGTCCAGGGCAAAGTGTGGTTGGAGGCGTCAATTTCGGAGGATGGAGTTACAAAGCTCAGCGAGGTTGTCGGAGACGGAGACGGGACGGAGTCAGAGAAGGTATAGGGCGATGTAGTAATATCGACGATGGCGATCCAGCGAAGGTGAGCTCGCTATGAGTTATGCAGACCCGGGATGTTGAGGGTGGTCGGAAGGAGTGCAAGGCTGGACGAGCGAAACGGCGGTCCTTAGAAGCATTCGAGTGGAGGAATGCGAGAAGGCCGCGGTTGCCAAACGACGCTCCATCATGTGAACTGGAACCTGCTGCAGAAAGCCAAGACCGTCAGTGGGGTCGTCTCGACCGATGACTCTGAACAGCGACAACCCGAATCGATGGAGGGACGAGGGCAGGATTCAGGTTGAAAGCAGAGTTGCTGCAGCTCAACCGAAAAGTACAATGGAAAGAGCCGACAAACGATCATTCGAGTCAAAACTGGATGCACGAAGCTGCAGCCGACAGGGCACGAGCTCAATTCTGTTGGCTGAGTCCGGTGTTTCTACGCATGCTGTCTGCCCTGACTTCGGAAAGATGCACTTCGCCCACGTCGAACTGCCGCCGTTCTGCATACCGTGTTCGCCTAGACTCCCAATTCCGAAAATCACGAATTTGCTGAGTTGAGGCGTGCAACCAACTGAAGGATTCGACTCGAGTTTTGACTGGTGTTCGGCTAAAGCAAAAGAGGCTACACTGCACCCGCGATGCTTCTATTTGCCTGTGACCGTGGTTTGACACCTTTTCGAATCACAGCCGCCGAATCCAACCACGGAATTCCATATAGTTAACAAAATCATTTCCGTTGAACGCCGGCCTGTCCATGGATGTGAAAAGTGATTTGAAAGAGTCGTTCGACTCAGCTCATCTGCTTTCGGCTGTGATGCTTCGGTTGTTTGGAAGCTCAGGCACGTTGCGGGATGCATTCCTGCCTTGATCGCTGCCGTTGCCGGAACTGCCACGAATCCATCTTTGATCGACACCTTGTCCAATGACGAGCACAGCTCGAGTCACACAATCGAGCATCGCCGACGATCCAGGTGTACCCCTTCGGCAGTCAGTCACAGCCTTTCTCGTCGAATCGGTTCAGCTACGGTTCCGCTGCCCATCGTCAACGTCGTGCTCGCTAAGGTCGAGCAATCCATGAAATATCGCACGATCTGAGAGTCTGACTTTGAAAAGCAACATCGGCTCCTTTGCCTCTCTCATGTCTGCTGTGGCGCCCCCTTTGCCGGTGTCGGTTCAACCAGATACTCCGCTTGTGCCTTTCACCACGTACCCATACTTTCCCACCTTGACCGGCCAGGCTTGTCGGCGATGTCGCCGACGCATCTTGCCTGCCCGCTTCCATCCCTAAGCGAAGCGCGCTAGAGATCCTATCTCGGTTGACACTTGATCATGCGCACAGCTTTGGCTCGTTCCTGATGCTCGCATATCCTTCTCGTTGCAGAGCTGCTCTTCGACCGAGTTGCAACGCTTCTGAACTTCGTTTCGAAGGCCGCAGAGCCGTCGCAGTTTATAGACGCGGGCGTTGCCGTGGATGTCCGGTGACTGCAGCGGTCCTCATCAAACACATCGGTACTGCTGCGTCAGCTTCTCTTTTCTCCTCCTCGAGAAGCGCGCACGTCATTCACACGAAAGCTGTCCGAGCAACGTCTGTTTTGCATTCCTTCACGACACTGAATCGGACAACTCCGGCCGCCTTGCTCGCTTCTAGGCTAGATGCTCCGGGAGTGGCCCCATCGGGCAAAGCTGGAAGAACCTCTCCTTGCCAAACTGCACCAGCGCTGCGCGCTTGTGCGGGAAATCGATCCACTTTTCCACATTGCCGCCCACCATCATCTCGTACTGAACCATCTTGGTGTTGGTCAACCTCGGTTCCGACACGCACTGCGTCGTCGAAGGGTCGAGCAAGAACATGAGGTGCACCACACTTCCCATCCACGATCGTACCCTGTGCGGACCACGGAACCGCTCATCACCCACCAGCGCATGGAAGCCGCGGTCGTACTGTCCAGCCGTGTAAAAGTCGACCAGGTTGGAATGCTTCGAGTAGTAGACCTCGACGTATCCCCACGCCTCTCCGTCCCACTCGCCGATCAGTCCAATGGTGTATGCGTTCTGCTCGCCCTTCTGCATGCCTTCCAGCTGCTCTTCACGGCTGAGACGCTGTCGCCAGCCCTCGTTGACGCGATCGGTGGCATGCCATGCTGTGATCAGGTCGACATCTTTGGCGTTGCTCGAAGAAGCCACGCGGAATGTGAGGTGAGAGTCGAGACCGGGGATGAAGCGCGAATAGATCGGACCTGCCGAAGGAGGCGGCTTGAACGGTGGCGCTAGAGGCGAAGCGACTGTCTCTGCATTGGACGACGTGAGAGCAGTGCGCGTAGCTGCATCAGCCAATGGCAACACCCACGGTACGAACTGACCAGTCGGCGAGCCGAATCCTTGCCAAAAGGCCGCACGAGACACGAGCAGCCGACTCGTATCCACTTGTGTCTTGACACCTGGAGTCGAAAGAGTTACGAGCTTCGAAGGATCCAAGATAGCGAGCTTCGATGCGGTCAAGAACGACACCACCTGCGCGTCCAAGCCCTCGGTCCGCAGGAGCAGATGCTCTTGTTGCGGCCACAGAGCGAAGAACACGTTGATCCAATTCCAGATTCGGCTCGCACTCACTTGCTCATCGCCGGTCGATGACTGCAGCGAGCATTCAGCAAAGCGCTTAGTCCGGAAAGCCAGACTGTTGGTGTCCGGCTCCGCTGCTGGGTTCGGATACGACGGACATGGCGATATCACTGCCAGCGTGCTGTTGGTATCGACCCAGTCGTGTGGTCTGTGCGTTGATAGCTTGATGGTATGACGCACGCGCTGCGCCTGCTCGTCGGAGGAATCGCTCTGAGTGTCTTGCGAGGCTGTCTGCACTGCCGCCTTCTCGTGAGCGACGACGATGGTAAACTTGGAGCCGTCAGGAAGACTGAACGGGTGGTTGCCGGGCTGCACAACCACTGGCGCCTTTTTGGTTTGCGGAGAAGCGACGTGGACCAACGCCGACATGATTCTGACGCTGCGACGTGATCGTTCTGATGGTGGAGGGAGGGAAGGCAGGTGCCATCTATCGCCGCTGGGACCTCTCGTTTGCTTTACTCGTTCGCCCCGAGCATGATCGACCTAAACAGCAAAAAAAAGGGTCCAAGCTTGGACTCGTTCCTTTTCATGCCTCGATCCTCCACAACTCCAGCCTATCCGAGAAATTTTTTGGGGGAAGCTAACAACAGATCTAACAGTGAATACTTTTTTCGCCAAATAGAAGCCGGAGAACCGGGTCGGGCAGCTGTGTCGGCGAGAGTCGTGCATCTGAGCCGGTAAGCCACCTTCTGCACTGTGCGCGTGGTGCGGGGTCAACTCGACTGCCTTCTTCGCAGATACACATTCTGACATCACTCGTGTACGCTCTTCCATCACCACCATCATCTTCCTTGCACACATTTCGAAAATGAGGGCTTTCTACCTGCACAAAGATATCGCCCCGTCCGAGCTGCCATCGACGCTCTCCAGCGATGTGCCCGAACCCAAGGCTGCGGCGGGATCCAACGAGGTGCTAGTCGATGTGCACTCGGCCGCCTTCAACTTCTTCGACATCCTCGCTGTCCAGGGCAAGTACCAGGTCAAGACGCCCCACCCCTACGTACCTGGCGTCGAGATGGCAGGTATCATCTCGAAGGATTCTCCTATCCCGGAAGGATGCGATTTCATCCCGGGCAAGACCCGCGTCTTTGGTGCTGCACAGGGCGCCTACGGTGAACGAACCAAGGCAGACTACTGGCAGCTCATGGAGGTGCCTGAGGGGATCTCGCTCGAGCAGGCGGCAGGACTCTTCATCACCTGGCCCACGAGCTACGCCGCTCTCAAGTTCAGAGCCGATGTTCAACCAGACGAATGGGTGCTGGTGCACGCCGGTGCCGGCGGTGTCGGCATCTGCGCCATCCAGATCGCCAAAGCCATGGGTGCAAAGGTCATCGCCACCGCTGGATCGGACGACAAGCTGCGCGTATGCAAAACCGTCGGAGGCGCCGATTACGCCGTCAACTACCGCGACAAGGACTGGCAATCCCAGGTAAAGAAGATCACAGAAGGTCACGGCGTAGACGTCGTCTACGACCCCGTAGGAATGATCGTCCCTTCGCTCAAAGTCATCGCCTGGAACGGCAGGATCATCGTCGTCGGCTTCGCCGCGGGCACCATCGAAAAGATCCCAGCCAACCTGATCCTCCTCAAAAACGTCGCCGTCACCGGCGTCCATTGGGGCGCCTACGTTCGCAACGAGCCAGACAAGATCGGCGAGACGTGGGAAGCTCTGCTCGACATGTTCAAGACCAAGAAGGTCTCGCCTACCGTGTTCGAGCACATCTACGAGGGGCTGGAGAGCGTTCCGGAGGGGTTGAAGGACTTGGCTGAGAGGAAGACGTGGGGTAAGGCGGTGGTTAGGATCAGGGCCGATCCTCAGTTCCCGCCGAAGGGGAAGCACAAGCTTTAAGTTCTGAACAAGATGACACAAAGTCAATGCTCGTTGGGTTTCATGTGCTTTCGTCCCGGAAAAGAGATCTACATTTCTCGTCATGGTCTAGCGTTGTGCAATTGCGTGTGATGTCATGGTTTACAGCCTCTGCTTGATGACCTCTCGTCACTTTTTAGCAGCGTGGACACGGTGGTACTGCGGGTTGCCAGCCGCCCTTGTGCCGGCCAGGGCGACGCTGGCGTCCTCAACCCAGTTCGGGTAGGACATCAGTCCACGAGCCAGCAGCACCGCATCGCATTCACCGCTCTTGATCGACTGCTCGGCGAGCTTTCCCACCTCACTCCTGTCGCCTCCGCTCGGCGAATCGTTGGATCCCTCCATCATTCCCACCGCTCCCACGAGCATGCGTTTCGTCTCATCCGCTTCCGACTCGACAAGAGCATCTCGTACGGCCTTTGCTCCGAACAGCTGGTATCCTGCACCCACGGTGATCTGCTGGAACGGAACGAGACCGCCGGAGCTGACGTCGATCAGGTCGACTTTGGCCTCGTGAAGCCACTTTGCGAGTTGGACGGTTTGATCGACGGTCCAGGAATCACCTTTGCCCGCTTTGTCGGCCCAGTCGGTGGAGGAGACGCGGACCCAGAGACCCTTGTTGGGGAACTCTTGGCGGATTCGGCGGGCGACATTGAGCATGAAGCGGCTGCGGTTCTCGAGGCTTCCTCCGTATTCGTCGGTGCGGTGGTTGGAGAGGGGGCTGAGGAAGTTGTGCATGAGATAGCCGTGAGCGCCGTGGAGCTCGACAAAGTCGTACCCTGCTTCGAAAGCCCACCTTGCGGATTGGAGGAACTTGTCTTCAAGCTTCTTGACTTGTTCCGTAGTGAGGGCTCGCGGAGTGATCGAATCGTCGCTGTAGGCGATCGCAGAGGGGGCAACAACGTCTTCGGGCCAACCTCCGTCCTCGCGTGTCACGTACTTCTTCTTCTTCTCTCCGCGGTAGAAGGGCGAGTGATCGGAAGCCTTCCTTCCAGCGTGGGCCAGCTGCACGCCAACAGCCAGTCCATCGGTGAACGACTTGAGCACCGACACGAGTGCCTTGTGTGCGTCCCTATGCTGCTCGCTCCAGATACCCAAGTCTTGAGGCGTGATTCTGCCTTCGGGCTCGACGCTCGATGCTTCTACCATAATGCTGCCCACACCGTGGAGCGCAAACGAGCCCAAGTGCGCAATGTGGTACGGAGTAGGGAAACCGTCGTTGGCGGAATACTGACACATGGGAGAAACAATGACGCGGTTCTTGAAGGTCATCTTGGCTGCCTGCTCGGGCTCTGCGAATGGCATGGTCATGGTCTGGAACAGCGCAGGTTTGGCGACACCCTCGGGCAGAATAGAGTCGGGCATGGAACCCGGCGGTGGGTGTCCGCTTCGGGTGGGGACAAAGTTGCTGATCTTGAGCGCATCGATCGAGTTGGTGAGCGGAGCGGTCAGGCCGGACACAAAGTTGGAAGCGTCCATGTCGGCCGAAGATGCGCTTGCGGATTGATGAGAAGGCATGTTGTGTGGCCGCGTTGGTTGCGAATAGGCCCTGTTCTTGATCAATGTGGTCGTTAGAGATGGGCTTGGGAGGCGAGAGAGAAGAGGTCTATATAGTTTCATCGAAGGGCCCGGTCAGCAGCAAGAGAGGAGGAGATAAGCGTCGAGGCAAGGCAAGAAGAAAGCGAAAGCTGCTGACTGTCATCATGTTCTCCGGACTCCTGTTTGGCGGCGTTCGAAAGGTCAGTGCATGTTCCGGCTATAGTCTTACACGGCCGCTTCGCCGTAATTGCGCAATATTGGGACAACAGAGCGCTGCTGCCGTGCGCAAAAGTGATTTTCTCGGTGATGACTTTGCGAAATTCGGCTCGGACACACGGTTATCTATTTGCGACGAGTGCATCTTCGTACCAACACCGAAGCTCAAAAGCGAAGCTCGGATCAGTAGACACTCACAATGTTTGTCGGCTGTAGCGTCCGTTGATCTCCTTGTTCCGGTCTACCGGATCCTCATCGCAGCACGTGGCTCAGTGCAAAGCCGAAGAAGTTACGCCACACCGTGAGCCGCCACAACGTTCACAAGCATGCACCGACACCGGAGCTGGTTGAGGAGATGCAGTGTCGCATCCCGGGTATCTATTGCCTTGACAAGGTCTCTCAACGAAGAAAGCGGGGTACATGCAATGTCTGCCATCATTTTTGCAACGGTTTGCCGCCACGATAGATCACCGGCTTTCCCATTGACCCCTCCGCTGCGGCTTTCCGTGGTGAGAGCGACCTGACCCAACGAACTTCCATCCCACCTTCTAACAATCCACCTGCAGGCGACCCGAAGCGGTCGTTCCATACGATCGACACGCAGCGCTCCAACAGAGCTGGCTCATTGATCGTTTCTACACCACCTGTAGGATTTTGAGGTTGAGCGAGAACATGCATAGCCGCAAGGGGGACGTTGCTCGAGCGTACCTGCAGCAAAGCCTGCTTGCTGAAACCTGATGAGGAGAGGAGGATGCCGGCCAACGGTGCATTATGTACGTCGATAGTGGCTCCATCTACGGTTCCGCTGGCCTTTGTCGATGTGGGCGAAGGCGAGGACGCTCGAAAGATGACTCCTTCCATCTCGCGAACCAGCACAGGACCCATCTTCTTCCCTCCTTCGTCTTGACACTTGCACTGTGCTACGATGCGAATCCTCCTCTGCCGGCTCGAATCAGTCTCCGCCGCTGACGGATGTATTGATGGGGGTTGCCACCATCCTCGAAGATCGATGCCGCGATCTCCTGCTCCACCGCTTCTTTCCAGCTCCATGCCAAACATTTGCTTGAGAAGAGCTCCGCAGAGAAGCTCGTATCGCGTTCCGCGGGCGACTGAGCTTTCCGCTTCTTGTGGTTTGTCAGATGATGGCGGGATGGCTATAAGTTTGCTCGCTTTCCGCTGTGTTGTCGAGGACGAAAAAAACCGAGCTGGCAGCCTGAAAGCGTGCTCAGGCCTTTGCATACGACTGAAGCTCCATGGCGACAGAGTGTTGCGTGACAAAGGCGCAGCGCTAGCGGTCAAAGCATAGCCCGACCATGACATGTTCTTATTTTGAGCACGTCCGTCGAAAGTGAGTCGGGTTGAGAGGCAAGAGTGACGAGGTAGTCAACAAGTAGGTCGAGAAGCTCGGTGTGACTGACACTCTGACGGGGTCCAAAGCTTGAACCTTCCTGCCGACCAAATAATCCGGCCGAGTCGCGTGGAAGAAATCTCGCAAGTCGGAACACAAAGCTGGATTCTTCCAATCTTGATTGCGACCCTCCACGGATACCACTTGCTCCGCTTTCCCTCTCCATCTCCCGAACAACATCATCTTACGCACTGCACCCTCCTCACCATGCTAGCATCGACCTCACGACTCAGCATCGGCGCTCTGCGTCAAGCAGCCAAGATCCTCCCTCGCCATATCGTCTCGAGAAACGTCTCTGCCGCATCAACCCGTCTCTCGATCCCGCCTACCAGCCTCCGCTCATCCCGCACACCATTCACCCGCAAGTACGCAACCTCCACCACACCCACATCCTCCTCCCTCGACCCTGCCGAAGAAGAATCCCAACGCTTCCTCGAAGAAGGCACCACCCACCTCGAAGCCGGCGACCTCACCGCCGCCAAACAGTCCTACCAACGCTCGCTCTCGATCAAACGCAACTCCTCGGCGCTCTTCAACCTCGGCGTCTGCCTCTACCACGATCGCAACCTCTCTGCTGCCATCGAAGCCTGGAACGAATCGCTCGAGCTATCGCCGGAAAGCGCAGATGCCCACACCAACCTCGCTTCGGCGTACGTGCTGAGCAAACCTTCCAGACCGGACCTGGCAGTGTCGCATCTGAAGACAGCGGCGAGAATCACACCGGAGGACCCGGAGATTCAGTACAACCTGGCGGCGGTGCTCGAGGCGTGCGAACAGCTCGAGGAGGCGCTGACGGCGTACAAGAGGGCCTTGGAGGGCGGAATCCAGAGGGCGGAACAGAACATCAGGAATTGCTCGGCAAAGTTGCTCAGCGCCAGGGTTGCGGTTCAGCAGCAACAGGAGGAGGAAGAAGCCAAGGCTAAGGCGAAAGAGGCGAGTAAGACAGAGTGATTGTGTGGGTGCGGAACACGGTGAAGACGTTTCGACATTGTTTGTATGCGATTGCAACGAAGCAAGTCTGCCCATCACCGGTTTTTTTGGTGCTGTCGTGTCTCTGTGTGTGTGCTTTCTCTGGTGAGGCTGTACAACAATGTCCCTTGGTGGCCGTAACTCTGTCGTTTTTGTGTCATACAGCTCCTCCATGACGAGAGTAAGCCGCGACATCTAGCACTAGATCTTGACTCTCCTCCATCTGACCTCCCTCTCTTCTCCAACCGAGCACAACTATGACCCTCCATCCACCTTACCCTCCACCCCCGACCGTTCCGTCACACTCCCCAACCCCGCCCTATTCCCTCTCTTATACCCCTCGATCACGGTCCGCATCCTCATCTGTTCCGCCTTGAAATTCCTCCTACAGGTCTCCCAACTCGCCAACGAGACGAAACAGAAACTCCCTACACCCCAATTTAAACCTCTTCTCAGCCCTCTCCCTGCTACGAGGGTGATTCCTGTTACTCCGGCTGCTGTGGCCATTCCCATGAGCAGACTTCCGCGGGCGCAGGGGATGGAACCTATTCGAGAGATGTCGGTGATGGGATCGATGGATGTTATCGCTGCTCGGAGACGCGTTGCTTCTGCCTATGACGTGCAGCCCGACGTGTGGGTAGAAGAAGGAATAGAGAGGACGTGGTCAGGAGAGAGCATAACGGGAACGGGAGAAGGTTTGCGAACAGGTCTTACCTTTGCACCAGAAGCACCACCCGACCTCTCACTACCATCTCCTATTGACGCCGGTTGATTCGCTTCGTGTAGTCTTGACATGTCTGCACTCCTATCCACGTGGTAGCGCCTTGTACTGGAGTATGATTCCGAGCCGCTTTGCTTTGACCGAACAAGATGCGACGTCCAAAGTGTTCAAGAAGAAGTCGTGTCCATGTTGCAAGATGCAAAAAGAAAAGTGGAGATGAACTCCCAAAGACAATCGCAACTCGGCAACAGAAATATCTCGTACAGCTCTAAATTTCCGCTCCGCTATCTTGTGTAAGCTACCATTGCAATTCGCCGACTTCCGCATCCACTTCTGAGCCACTTTTCTCACACAACCTCACTACATCCCAACCTGATCATCCCATCACTCCCCACTCCCCACCACTCAGCTCACAATTCCATCACTCACAGTTCTCGAACCACAACCCCGAACTATAAAGCAAGAAAGCTACAATTAAATGTACAAGGGCAAACAAAAAAAGACGCCTGTCGACCCTAGATCCGAAAAGGAAACAGACCGCTCTTTAGCTTGACGTTCGTTCGTCAAAAGCCAAAAATGACCGAGAAGGGGGAAGAGAAGGAGAGGAAGAGAGGTCCAATTCCGTGATAAAGTCGATACTAAAGAGAGTGTTTGTGTGTGTGTGTGTGTGTGTGATGTCGATTCTATGTGCGCTTTTGCACGTGCTCTTGCAAGCATGTTCTGCGCCGAGACTTTGCAAAGATAAAGCACAAGTGGAGTGAGGCAGAGGATGAAGGAGGGGAAACCATCCTTGTGGTGATAAAAGAGTGTGGATTGACGACGTTCAGCAACGCTCAGGAGGCGGCTTTGTCGGTCAAGTTGGGAGACAAGGATGGAAGAATCCGTTCATCGAAGGCAACATTTTAAAGGAAAGGAGGGAAGCAAACGCCGATCCTCTCTGTTCTTCCTCTAGTAAGCCCCACGCTCGCTGTAGCGCCTCGAACGACCGCCACGGTACGCAGCTGGTTCAGGTGCGAGCTGCGTCCTGCTTCCGTACGCGTCGCCGCCATAGCTTCTCCTGGGAGCACGATCGTCGTAGCTCCTGCGGCTGTCGCGCTGGCTGCTGTAGCGACCGATGCGGCTCGCGCGGTTGTCATCGTAGCGGTCGTCGAAGCGGTCACCCTCCTCAGCAGCCAGGTCGCGGCGGCTTCGTCGCGACTCTCGGCGGCCGACGTTGCCGTAGACGCGCGAGTCGTCGGGCTCGTAGTAGTCGTCGTAGCGCGACCTGCGGCTGGCGCGGCTGATGGGACGCTGAGGCTGCTGCTGGTAGTAGTAGTCCTTCTCCGGGTAGTCGTTGGCGGCGTAGACGGGGCGTGCGGGCTCGTAGTCGTCGTAGTAGTTGTCGTTGCTACGCGAGCGCTTGAGGTACCAGCCGAGCGCCAGCATCATGAAGCCGAAGAAGACGGGAGGAAGCGAAGCCACCTGCATCCAGATGGCAGGTCCGAGCTCGCTACCGGTGACTGTAATTTGAGTGGTGCTCTGGAAGGATCGAGCCTTGTTGCGTGCCAGAATGAACAGGACAAGCTCGATGACGAGAGCAGCCATGGTGAGGAATGACGCCCAGAGCGCAGCGAGCGGCCAAAGGAAGGTGTTGGTGCAAAGGTGCAGGAAGGCAGCGCCAGCAGCAGCACCGGTGAAGCCGGCCGCGATGGGTTGCAAGACGAGCGCATAGGGAAGCTTGTTGACAAAGAACAGGCTGATGGTTTGTTCGACACCGAGGAACACCTGCTGGTAGCCGAGACCGGTGGGAGAGCACTGCGTCACCCCACCTTGAGAAAGGCATTGCGACCAGATACCGTACGTCGAACGCAGGGTGGATGAGCCCGTCTGATCGGCGAAACGGATGTAGAGGAAGTAGATGCCCTTGATGTAAGGCAGACCGAGAGCGACAAGCAACTGCAGGATGAACGAAGCGCCGATGGACAGGAAGCCCACAAAAATGATGAGCACGGGTGGGATCCTCATGATTGCGATGGCAGCCTACAGCCGGATTGGATCTCGGGGCTGGGTCGATGCTGAGTGTGGTGAGGGTAATGGGGGAGGGCTCAACGTGCAGGCTTCACGGAGCGGGAGTGCGCGGTACGAAGACCAGCGAGAATGGCGGCGTACTAGGGAGGGCCCCGGAGGAAGAAGGCGCGCGGATCACCAACGATGCGAACGAGGTGATGACAGTGATGATGGTGTTGGTGGTCGTGAGGATGGCGATGCACAACGAATCGAATCAAGAAGGCGGGCAAACGGATGGAGAAGTTCAATTGCGGCTCAGAAGAGGGACTGGGGGGAAAGGGCGTCCTACGGATGCAACCTGTCAGGCTAACAGGCACAAAGACGGGAGGGCAGGAGGCGGGGCGGGGATGAGAGGCCAGTAGCGATGGGCTGCAGGAAAGGGGAAATAGAGAGCACTCTGTGAGCCGAGTATTGCCCTTCGAGCGTGATATAGCGTGGTAGGGCTGAATTCAGCGACGGGGCTTCAAAAGGCTGAAGCCTGCGTCCGTCAGCATCAGACCGTGTCACATCACAGCAGCTGCTGCTCCTAGCGCTACACGACCTCGCTCTCGACGGTAAGAAGAATTGGGGACCGCTCACTAGGTTTCTGGATTCAGACTGCATCAGAGCAGCAGCGTCGACCCGACGAGATGAAACAACAGACAGGATTGTGGTCAGCGAAGGCCGGCAGCGGATGGAGGGACGCCCAGGAGAGGACAGATTTGTCTCAAAGCGGACCAGGGCAAAGTGTCAAAGTGCCAATGTGCGTTGATAATTTGGCGCTCCGCGATTAGGGCGGAAACGAGTGATCCTCGGCCCATGTTGTGTGCCTGTGCACGGCAAATGACCTCTCCTCCAGGTCATGTCGATCCAAGTGCGTGTGTAGATGCGATGCAGCACCGTGATCTCGTTCGTTGTCGAGTTTTCTTATTGAGCACCATGTCGGTGCTCCGCGTTCAATGGCATCGGTGCGACCGAGTCCTCTTTGTAAAGGAACAGTCGATCCGGTGGGCCAATCGAGCTCCTCTGTCGTGTTGCCGCAGGAAAGCAGCATTGATGCTGTTTATTTATTTATTTTCGACTAAAAATCGCTCCAAGCGAGGCTGTAGAGTAGATGCATCACACTTCGCTAAGAGGAGGAAAGGAAGAATACGCGACCGCTGGATTGGGTTGTGTAGGCAGAAGTCCGTAGGTCGTGTGCCAGAGTGCTGTGTGCTTGACGGATGCAAATCATGATTGCGCCGCAAGCGTGTGATTTTCAAGCGCCGACATGCACCTCGCTCAAGCACGCATATGATTGCTTTTCCCCTTGCGCTTTCAGACGACGGTGCCGTCCATCCCCAGGCACCAGGTCCTTAGGCGTATTCCTCCTGTCACGCAGCGGCTCCACAACTGTGTGTTGCGCCGACACATGCCATCTCAACGAGGATGGACCGGCCAAATGGACATGTTCCCACAGAGCTGTCCATTTATGAATTGTTCATCTTACTTCATTCGACACGCTTCGCAGTCCTACTTCATTCACTGTCTTGAGAGACGATGAACGATCTTTCTTTTAGCGAGCAGAACCAACAAAAATAGCCGTGGCGGTTTGGGCGGAAAAATCTACAAAGAAGATCTCTTGCTGATCCGGAGCTCGAAGCATGCATGCAAATTCCAAATTTGTCTTGAACATCCAAGCTCGCAAAGCGTGTTTCTCTCTCTGATGCTCTTTGCCTCTGCGTTGCTATCCACAGCATGGATCCGGTTCATCGGCCCGCGTTCGCTGTACTAGATCAGAGATTGTTGCTGATGAGCAGGTGGATGGCCAACAGCCCTGACCTGAGAGCCAAGTCTTGGCATCGGACCCGAGAACTCATCTGTCCGCAGAAACCGCCTGTTACCTTCGCCGTAGGATGATTCGCTACAGCCGCCAGCCGCAGGCCACAAGCTCAAGCGTCGGTTCGAGCCACGCCCTCTTCAACATCACTTTCGCCGGGATTCTTGACAGTGTGGCGGAGATAGCAATGTTACTCGTGTGGCGGCAAGACTGCGTTTAAAGGGACAGCAGGCATCGGTCTGGGGAGATACTGTATCACCTTGTGTTCGTCGCAAGCAATATGTCTGCAAGCGAGTACGCCAATATGTAGGCCGACGATCCGGGGCAGCTCAACTTGAAATTCACGACTCGCGACTCGCTCAAATTGATCGTGCGATGCTTATTCCTTGTCCCGATATCATCAGATCGCCGATTCACCTTGAGACCTTGTCGTATATGGCCTGCATGAGACAGGAGAGCCTTCAAGCTTTGCCTCACGCCGGGACCTCACAAGACGCTCAGCTACGCTGTCGGTGAGCTTATCCGTTATGCTACATAGGTGTATCGCAAACAAGAGCCAGATCACTGTAGACTGCCGTCCTTAGAACCGGCTGCAGTGACGTCGAGTATATACAAGAAAGAAGACGAAATAAAGTACGCTACAGCCGAAACTAGGTCAAATCGGCATCTTCACGGCGAATGAGCCAGAAGGAGCACGACTCTTTAGACGCGGGCGCTTTCGGCGGGCTTGTCATGGGAAGGCACGTAAGCCGGAGGAGGCGGGCCAGGAGGTGGGGCGTAAGAATCGCCGCCCGTCGGAGGGGCACCCGCGGGTGGGCCGTACGCAGGTTGTTGCCCGTACGCATAGGACGATTGCTGTGTCCCGTATGGTTGCCCGTACCCTTGCCCGTACCCCCCTCCGCCGTATCCTTGTTGGTAATTCGACGTCTGGTTCTGCTGGTACGTCATGGGCAGCGTCGACTGCTGGTTGAACCGTCTCCTGCGCTTGCGTGCCAGCAGCGAAAAGAGAATGATCAACAAAACCACACCCACCGCGATGGCAACGCCGATGCCGATGCGTGGCCCATAGCCGAGGCCATTGTTGCAAGGGGTGTTGTATCTGTATCCGTTGCAGTAGTACGCCATCTTGCTACTTTTGAACTCTGTACGAGCTAAAATGCGGGAGAAGCTGTTTGTAAGCTGCGGACGAGAAGCGAGTGCGTGCTCTGAAGACCGATGATAGGTGTGAGAGTCTCCGGACGAAGCTACGTCAAGCCGTTCGGGATGTCCTCCTTTCGTCCGTGTGGTTGATTCGATTCCGAGTACGACGCAACGAGATGTCGAATGGAACAAAAGCTGGATGGATGGACGAGGTTGCGAATGTGGTGGGGGGATGGTAGGGAGGGATGGTGCATCAGAATCGCTTCGTATACTCGGCGCTTTGGAACAGCTTAGCTTGATCTGGGCTGAGTTAGCCACCGTCACCGGCCATGCACGATCTGGACACTGACGACAGGCCACGCCGCTTTGTCGCGGCGAAGAAGCCGGCTGTGCATTCTGGAAAGCTTCAGCTTGGCGCTGCAGGTTCGGCTTCTCAGGGCTTCGCAAGCCGCGAGTGGAGGTGACGAATGACACTGCTGCAGTGCTCCGTGAACAAATTGTCCCTTTCCTGTGAATGCCAAGCCTGGCTTTCTGCAATCAGAATCATCTGATGCCTCTTCTGCTGAGCCGCAGTCTGAAAACTATTCCGAAATTCCGCACTTGCGGACTGGGAACAAATCTAGAAAGGCGGTGCTCGGCAGCTCCGTCATTTCGGCGCACTCCTAGGCGTACAAGCTTAGGCAACTTTGTCTTTTCCCGCTTGGCAGAGTACAGCTTCACTGTCGCGACGGGTCGACGTCATGCCGGGCAACTGTATCAGCTGCCAGTCGAGTTCCCCACCCACGTCACTCCCTCACTGGACCCTTTCATTTCTCTCGTGCCTTTCTATTTCAGGTCTCGATCCATTTCCGAAGGAAGAAGCGGTTGCTCGCTGCTGAGATGTTGATGCTTTCGTTGCGAGTATCGCGTTGCCCCTACAGTGAGCTCAGGAACACGATCGCACAAGGTCACTTTCGGGCACGATGGAGAGAGATTGAGACGCTTCTGCATTATTAATAGATGAAACGAGTTCAGAACCGCTGCAGAGAGGCTCAGAGGCGACTCTTGAATACACGTGTGTCGTTGCCATCGCCGATCCGACCCAACAGATGCCTTCCTACGTAAGGGTTCACAAACACCTCATCCGGATCGTATCGCTGTCGCGTAGCCAAAAAGTCGTTCCAGTGCGGGTAGAGCTGCGACAGCTCCGTCGGCGAACACGAATGCGCCTTGGCCCAGTGTGGACGACCGGAATAGTGTCGCATGAGCGTTTCAAACTTGGCGAACAGCTGTCGGTAGCGCACGGGACGGTTGTACGGGCGGTACTGGACGATGCCGATGTAGCACGTCTTACGGCCCTGCGCGTGGCTGAGCCAGATACCGTCCGCATCGGTGAATCGAATCTCGACGGGGAAGTGGATGCGGTCGCCGTCAGCGGCAGCGGCCTCTTCGTCGAGCCAGTCGCGCATGGCTCGGATCGCTGCGGCTGCACGGTTGAAGGGGATGGCCCACTCGTCCGTGTACTGTGGGAAGAGGCAGTCCATGTTGAAGATACGATCAGAGCGGCCCACTTCCGACCAGACGGGGTTTCCGGGTGTCAGCGGACGAGGTGCGGGAGAGTCGGGTGCGAACGCATCAAACTTGCCAGCAGGAACGCTGCTCTGCAACCACGACAGCGACGGCTCACCCTCTGCATAGGCACCGACGTTTCCGCTGTGCGCAAATGACTGGCCTATGTCACGGATCAGACGCTGCTGCTCCTCGTCGCGAGTGCCCTGCTCTGCCGATGTGGAGGAGGAGGAGGAGGAGGAGGAGGAGGCTGCTGATGATGATTCGGCAGCGGGCTCAGCAGCTGGTGCCTCTGTCGTCGCTCCGATCCGATTGCCAGGGGTGGGGGCGGCTGGCTGTGCCAACTCTGCATCGGGGAAAGCAGGATGAGTGAGAGCGTGGATCCAACGCACGGCCAGAGGCGACCAGGACCTGTTGAATCGCGACGTATAGAGCAAGAACTCGGTGAGACGATGACCGACTAGCGATGCCTTCACGCGAGCCGACAGAGACGGAGGAGCCGAGACTTTCTCTGTTGAGCGATTGGCGCGTAGCATGGTGACGCGCTGAACTTGCGGGAACCACATGAGTCGAACGTGCTGGGCGGAGCCGACGACTTGTTCCAACGCCAGCTGCGCTTGCCTTGTCTCTTGATCGTCCTCGGGATCCGCTCGAGCCAGCTGGTCGACATCTCTGTTGGCGCCGGTCTGGATGGGGTGGATCTCGCTAGGATCGTCGGAGCGGTACGACGGTCGGTAGTTATCCGAGCACGCTGGCAGACGCTTAGTCTGGCTTACAAGGCCACCAAGCGATGCTCCAGGATTGACGTGGGAGGCTCTTGGAACGGCAGGGAAGCCGTTCTTGGAGCCAAAGAGCGAATCAAAGGTGAGCTCTTCCGAGTACTGCTTGAGATTGAACGCGTCTTGCACGCGCAGCGTCACCGATGTGATGAGACCGGTGGAGCCCAGACCGCAGAGGGTTGCATTAAAGAGATCCGAGTTCTGGTCGCGGCTGCATGTAAGATGCTGCGTTCCTTGCGGAAGTGGGCAGAGGATGGTGAGTTGCGAGACGTAGGATGATACGACGGGGAAGAGGATGCCGGTGCCGTGGGTTGCGGTAGAGATGAGACCGGCGATAGTCTGTTCCGAGATGGAGCCGACGTTGCACATCGCCAGGCGAGGTTGAGCCGAGTCGAGCGCTTCATGGACGTCCGAGATGTAGGTGCCTGCTAGAGCTGTGATGGTGTATGCGGCATGGTCGATGTCAACAACGCCATTCAGGCCTTCCATGCGCATCGCCCAGCCGGTGGTGAACGGCAGATCACTAGGGCTGTGCGCTCGTCCGATGGCACGCAGCTGGGCACCTTCACGCCGAGCCAGCTCGACGATCGCGGCGCATTGTACCACGGTGGTAGGAGCAAACACTCTCGCGGGACTGCTCACGAACGATTTGCCCCAGTTCTGGAACTTGGCTTTGGGAGAGCTGTTCGGCAACACGATCGGCTGCACCAGCTTCTCCAGCTCGGCCGTGGATCGCGAGAGGATACCTGCGTCCAGCAATGTCGATGTCGAGGAGTGCGACTGCATCGTGCTTGCGTCTGCTTTGCCGAGTGTCACTTTGGATGTGGAAGCCATGTATGCCAAGAGGTGGGATGCTTGAGATGATGGTATTGTCTCGGGAGGAAGGATGAGAGCACCTTGGCCGGCAGTCGTGTATTTGCCAAAGAAAGGAGGAGCTTGCAAGTGCAAGAGCAATCCAGTGAAGTCCGGTCAAAGCAGAGGAGAAAGTTGTGAGGTGGTGGAGAGGAGATACGGTGCGATACGGGAGCGGTCCTTGTATGGATGTCCGCGGCGTCGAGTTCCGATCCAGTATGCGGACGACTGTCGGTTCATGTGTCTTGCTGGACCCCTCTCTTGAAGTTCGCAACCAACTCAGCCGAATGACCGGTTTGTGCTGTCACACATTGAGTCTGCACAGCTTACGGAAGTGTTGCTCAAGATTGATGCTCGCCCGCGGAACCAGGCGAGAAGAATGAAAAAAGACAGGGTCCGGTGCTGTGGCTGAAAACATGAAGGAGAAATTCGGGTCGGCTTTCCAAACGAGGCTCGCTCATGAACGCGTGGAGCAGATGAGGCGGCTGAGCAGTGTCGCCCAACCGCAAAAGGTGGAGGTTGCGGGTCCAAATCGATCTTTGCTTCTTCTCGGCGGCTTTCCAAACAATTCCAACCCGCAGAGATCGCACCAGACCCCGAGACGCGCTCTTATCGCCTCTGCAGATCAGTTTCCTTCCGATTCACTGTACGCGACTCAAGGGCACGCCAGAAGACAGTCCACGTTCCGTCCGCCCTTACAGCTGGAGGCTACAAGACACGCGTCCCTTACTGCATTTGCGGCCGCAGCGCTTACACAAGCCGATCTTCCGCTCAACTGGACAGCGGATCAGCAAGCACAGCGACTCGAACCGGCTCACAATTGCTGCACAATCACGCCATTGTCGGATTCTTCCTGCACATGCGCTGGAAGCTGGGCACAGATCGAAGATCCACGTCTCCTCTGCCCGATCCTTCGCGCTTCAAGATGACACTGCTGATGTTTTGTGATGTGATAAGTCTTCATTTGATGGCACAGAGGTAAGGAGGCAAAGCTTCACCTTCAAGGCAGCACCGCCGTGATGATACCGTGGCGCGAGCGCGGCTGGATGATCCTCTCCAGCTTCAAGCCTGCCTTCTCTACCAGCGTCTTGAACTCGGACGGTGTACGTTCGGTAGCGTTTAGCGCAATGTTGACCTCCTGATCCACCCTCTGGATCCAAGTGCCTGCTACACCTCCCGAGCGGTACAGCGGATACGGGATCTTGCCCACCTGCTCGACCAAATCATCGTCCTTTCCTTGTTCGTCCGCTACAATGGCGGGCTGAAGCAGTGTGTCGACGATGATCAGCTTCGAGTCGGCCTGCATCTTGGCTTTGATGTTTCCGAGGATTTGAAGACACTCTTTGTCCGGCCAGTCATGAATGATCATACGCATCACGTAAACCCTCTTCGGACCAGAACTCTTGATCTCTTTGAAGAAGTCTGCCGCTTCAAACTGGACACGACCCGAGGCAACGGCGTCGGGCATGTTTCGTTCGAAGCTCGCTTTTGCCTCCGCTACCACCTCCGGTCGGTCTTGAACGACTCCGTTGAGGTTTGGATATTGCTTGAGCAGCGCTGCTGTAAATGCGCCAATGCCTCCTCCGATGTCGACGCATACGGTACCCTCCGGCAGCTGAGACCAAGGGTAGTCTTGGAGAATCCCTTCCACTGCGCCTCGATTGCAGGCCTGCATACCGACAGCGAACCTTGGAACTAGGTCCGGAACGCTCTTCTGGAAGAGGTCGAAAGCATCGCTTGCCTTGTGCTGCATATCGAATCCGTGCAAGAATGCTGCATTGTCCGGACTGAAGTCGTCCTTTGACTCCGGATTCATCCATGCATTCGAAATGCTCGGCACGATGCGAGGATGGATGAAAGAGCTGTACTGCACGTACGACTTGACATCGCACTCGTCTAGCAGATGTAAGGAAGCACGGTTGTTGACAAAGTATCCCTCGGACGTTTCTTGGAAGATATGATTGTTGGCAAGCGGTCGTAGTACCTTAAGTACGCGTGATGGCGGCAGTCCTGTTCGCGCGCCAATGTCGTTAACCGAAACTGGTTTCCCAGCGGAACCTCCTAGGTCCTTGATCACGTTGGCCATGTTCAGACTGGTGGCCATCTGGAGCGAAAAGGCCTTGTAGGTGGCCATGCCTTCCGACATGAGCGTCGTCGATGGCAGCTGGATCATGGAAGCCATCATGTCGAGCGCACCCGCCAGGTTCTGCGTCGTCACCCACAGTTCCTTCCCGGGAACATGGTTGCTCTGATCCAGCACAGGGTGTGTTCTAGCCTCGTTCAAGAACGGTTCTGGAATGTTATCTGCCTTCAAGAGCGCTTCGTACTTGTCCAGGTTGGTGTGGATCAACGCTTTGAGTGCTTGGAACTCGGACAGCTCCGTCATGGTCGTGATTTGAGGGTGATACAATGGCGGTGAAGGGTAGAAACGGGTCTTGAGGATTCGTCTATAAGGGGAAGACTGTCACAAGAGGTCTTGCACGAGCATTCATGGTACCACTCGGTCTATCGTGGCCTGTGCGAATCAAGAGGGTCCGAACTCAAGCCCCACCTAGGACCTAGGCGCATGCTTCGACCCACTCTGGCGGGTCACTCCTCGGACGAGTGGCGTTCGACCATCCTGCCATAAGCTGTCACTGCACGTCAAGTGACTCATCATGCAGCTCGAAAGGACCTTATCAGACGAGGCCGCCTTCCTACGCGAGCCATCCTCGTCAGTCTATTTGCCGAATATCGGCGGTCTCGCTATCCTGGACTCATGCGGCACTGATGTTGCCGGCAAAACTACCCGCAGTGACACTTCCATGACAGGTCACGCAGGATCTTGGCTTGAAAATCGCCGGCTCGTGACGGGCTCACGGCAAATCACAGATCCGAGGCCTTCGCATATGCGCGGCCTAAGCATTCAAAACGCATCGGCTGCGGAAGTTGCAATCATCTTCCGCATGTCAGCCTCAAGTTCTGCGTCGACGTTGCCGCACTCGTACGACCAATCTTTGCGGGAGTCGCGGCGTTTGCTCACCACTCCTACATGACCTCATCTTTAGAGTTCCTCGAAATAGCTTCCGCACTGGCCAGATCTCGGTTCTAACAGAACGATTGCGATTGCAGCTAGGTTGTGCAACGATACGATAGCTCAAGAGTCACACCCCACAGCGATCTCAATGACCCTTTCCGCCAGCATTCGGGTTAGGAGCCAACAGAAGACCTCCGTGTCCCTGCTTCAACACCTTGTCGCCCTTTGCCGGACCGTCCTGCGGATGATCAGGATCGACGCCATACACGCCGACAAAGACATCCTCGTTCACCAACTTCTGACACTTGTTGTACTCGAAGGGCCTTGCATCGACATCCTGCTGAGCGCAAGCGTGATATCCATTAGCATTGAGATCGTAGTAGACCGGGCTGAAGATCGTATCAACGGTGGGTCCGGAAGGTGCGATCGCCTTGTAGGATTTGAAGTTGGTCGTAGACAGAGACGTGCATTGCACTGAGCTGTAGAGTTGCTTTGTGGCTGAGCCGGTGCAGTCGGAAGAGTTGTACATGAGCAGAACACCACCTGCACCGTACGAAACTGGTTCGAGGCAGACAGCGCGCGAGCGATTGCGCGCGTGCTGGTGCGGTCGCGTGTGCCTCTTTTCGACAGCATTGTTGGAGGGTGTAGTGCATGCGCCACAGACCCGGATGGGAATGTTGTCTGGGTTCCACACGTATCCACCTTGGTTCATAATGTCCTGTCGTCTAGCGGTCCAAATCTTCGCCGCACGCGAGTCGAGGTTGGGGAAAGTGATACAGTCCTTCGTCTGGAAGGCATCCCAAACTTGATCAGCGGACATCCATGCGGTGTTCTGAACGACCGTGTCCGATTCTTCCTCCTTTGCGAATCCGATGCCGAGACCTTTAGTTGCAGCAAGAACACGAATCGATCCGAGAGGTTGTTGCAGAGAGTGAGCCACAGATCCATCCCAGTTCATCTGCTCGTTGCCCTTGATCATCGCCCTCGATGTCCTACGGAACAGCTCTAGAGGCTTGTTGCATTCGGTGTCCTCGAAAATGGCGACGTTGACGATGGCACAAGTAGGGTCCGTGGCAAAATCTTTGTAGCACTCGGATCCGTCATCAACGGCAGCAGAGCGCCTGTCCAAGGCAATCGACGTGTGCTGCACGCTGCCAAAGACACCCGCAGGAACGAGGGCGGCGGCGAGAAGCAGCGTGGAAAGCAGTGCGCTCCGAGTCGTGTCCAACATCTTGAAATCGGTACGAGATGAGTTGAGAAGATGGAAGAAGGCATTTCGATAGTTCAGCTCGGCGCTTATATGCCTTTCTCACACGTATCGTGAACGTGTCTGATGTGACTCTTAAGTGGGCGAAGGATGACTGCTGGCTCCGAGATTTGCAAACAGCCCTCATATTCGCCATTGGTCCCACCTGTTGCTTCCGATCCCCACCAGGTTATCTCGCGGTGGCTCCACCGCAACCGTGAACCCATTGATAATCATTTGCATTTGCTCTGATGAAGTGGGATCTAGTCTGCTTTTCGATGATTTGAGGCGGGACCCTTCGGTGGCGGTCCGAGGGGCGCTTTTGGTGGAGCTGCTGACGCCCTCGAATACATGTTCTGACCCGCCGTGCTGTACGTTCCTGATGCCGCGCCACCTCCCAGGTGCATGTGTGGATTCATGTCGCCACCGCTCATCGCCTCGTGAGATGAACGAGGGACACCACCGTACGCTGGATACGGCGAAGGCGAGTTGCGGCCCGAATTCAGATTGCTACGACTGCCATTGTTGAAGATACCGCCCACCATTTCCGCCGCCCTCTTTCCTCCAGTACCGAAGCCTCCAAATCCGCCATTGACGGAAAAGCCGCTCGTGCCGGAGACGTCGCCGGGCCGACCGTACATGTTTGCATTACGCTCGAACGCCTGCGCTGACGGCGCCAGAGGTGCATCGGCAAGTGCAGGCAGAAGCTGCAGCACGATCCGATGCAGTTTCACGGTCGGCCAAAACACGGCCAGACGCGAGGGGACAAGTCGATGAAGCGGACCTTTGGCGTAATCCGACCCACCACTGAATCCATTGGATGAGGCCGCCAGCGCGCCCGATGCCGAAATGCGAGGTTGCGGATCGGCGAGCATGGCAAGCACCGTGCAAAAGGGAAAGACGAGCATGAAGAGCATCAGGTTGAGCAACCCGCTCGGGTGGAAGAAGGAAACCGCGGTGGACGGCAGACCGAAAGCGACAAAGTACGACCACCTCTCTTCGCAGTAGCGCATCCTCCTTTCGAGCGACCATCCGCGCGAGATCCATGCTTGTTCGAAGCAGTAGTAGCCATCGACCATGCACATGAAAAGGAACGACAGCGGACGTCCTAGGTACGGTATGCGGCCGAGTAGAAGATAAAAGACCGTGTAGTTGACGATCAGGATCATGCGGTAGCTCTCCTGCAGCAAGCGTCGCGAAGTTCCAGGGGGTAGCGAAGGGTTGGACAGGGTGAGTCGTCGTACGTGACCGTGTCGAAGTTTGTACGCGGCCTGCGCGATGTCCGAGGTCCACGAAGAGGCGAGCAGGTAGCTACCGCCGATAAGCGGATACATCCAAAAGACGTTTCCGAGACCACCGACGACAGATCCAGACTCAGTCATGCCTTGCACGTTCTGTACGGGTGTTTGCTGAAAAAGCACCTTGGGGAAAAAGGCCAGTTCGAAGAAGAACACGACCGCAGAGATGGTGCCGCTGAGCAGCAAACCCTTCAGCACGCCGTTGCGGATCTCGCTGGAGCTCGCGATAAGCTTGAATGAGTCCTGCCATCGATTGCCATCCCACCAGCCGGCTCGTGCCCAGTTGAGGTGACACTGCAAGCTCTTGAGTAGTGGCAAGCGCGGGATGTGCTCTGCGGGTCCCTTGGCAGACCACGATGTCGGACGTGCACTGCTCCCTAGTGGCCACGGCAAGCCCGCATCGTACAACTCGTCGATTCTTCCACCTCCCGCACCTTCGATGTCGAGGTCCACATCCGATACGGAGAGCCCATTGGGTCGATGGTAGAAGCTGCTCGACGTGACGCGGCTGTTGGCCGGAACGCCGAGCATCGTTGCGGATCAGTGAAGAGCAACGCGTCCGCTGTTGATGTTGCTGTCGTTGCGTGCGGATCGAGATGTTCTGATCTCTGACGTTGTCGTCGAAAGAGAACCGGATTCGTTTGCACGCGAGGAGGCTTGTGCGTTCCCAACCAGGCAAAAAGCAGCTCTAATTTGGTTCTTCCTCCACCTCATCCATCGTTGATAACCACCAGTCTATATATATGCAATGACTGACAGGAATCCCCATCCTGTCCCGGCTAGCTCAGTCGGTAGAGCGTCAGACTCTTATGCAAACAAGGGTTTCCGAGGTTATCTCGGAGTTTATCTGAATGTCGTGGGTTCGAGCCCCACGTTGGGAGGAATTTTTTTCCTCTGTGTTGCAGCCATCCTTTTTGTGTCCTCATTTTCGGTCCGATTTGGTGGGTTGATATCCATCGAGCCTATCTGATCGCCGAATCTCAATCGCACAGACTTTCGCTTAAGCTCGTTGAAAAGGAATCCATTCATGTTCTATGCTGACCTGTGCGGCAAGGGCGGATGTGCAAGTACAGATTACAGGCGGAAATTGGAGACGTCCGGGCCGTGGAGAAGCGTTTGCGAAGGTCGTCTAGAATCGTGATGTCTGGTTCGCGTTTACTCGATGGGAGCGCAAGTGAACGATCCTCGCACCGAGCCACTGGCGTACTCGTTGACAATACCCTTGACAGAAGCGTAGGTTCCGCAGCCCAAGATGAGCAGGCCCAGAAGGAACACTGCTGCGTTGGTGATACTGAGAATCGTGTTCCATCGCGTGGAGTTCCACTTGCCTTCCTTGATCAGAAGGAACCACATCAGTGCTGGCCAGTAGAAAGTGAACCCGGAAATGAAAAGTGCAGACATGATGCCAAGAAGGTCCGGGAAGAATGGTATACTTTCTGCGATGACCCAGGCAATGACGGTGATGAGGGCCACGAGGCCAAGCCAGGTCAGCCAGCCTGTCTTGGTGTTGATGTATCGGATGACCGAATTTTTGAAGACACGGCCGTGAATGTACCTGGCAACTACAGTAGTGTTGATGGAGCCCGAGATGAAGATGACGGGCAGAGCGATGCCGAAAGCTACTTTCGAAAGCGTGGTACCGGCGGAGAGCAGCGCAGGGGACTTGACCTCGGTGCCAACAAAGGCGTAGATGAGGGCGCCGGTAAGGGTGTATATGACGATTTCGATGATGCCGAGAGCCCAGATGCTCTTGACGTAGTCGGTAGGGGTATGCATCTCGTCCATAAAGGAGAACTGGCAGACGGCGAACGAGTAGGCAAAGACGATATTGGTGAGAGCGACCCAAGCTTCGGCGAAAGTGGTTCCTGGCTTGGGCCAGGCAGACCATTCTGTCAAAGTCGGGGTTACTTGAGGTTGGCTCTTTCTGACACCAGTTCCGATGATGACAACACCGATGGCGATGATGATTGATGCGAAATCGATGTATCCCAGAATCGCGACCTCGGAGAAGGAGGGCGGCACGGCCACAATGAAGAGGATGATGGCCGAGATGACACCGAATACGAGCGAACAGATGGCGTTGTCGCTCAGATTGAGGAAAGCGATGGTACCAGTAAGACAGTGCGAGCCGACCAGCAGCGTCAGCTGGAGAGCGAACATGGCACCGATGAGCTCGTATCCGAAGCGACCCATCATGAGCTGGCCGGCATCGGCGTAGTGCGATACCTGCGGGAACTTAATCTTGACCTGACCCACGATGTAGCTGGTGTAGATGGCAATGATGCCCAGACCGACACAGCAAATGACGCCGGCAACCATACCGAGGGTTGCGAATGCAGATGGAATCGACAGAGCACCGAGAGCGATGGCTTCGACGATCAGGCAGACGGTGAGCTTCTTCCAGCCGAGACGATGGAACTTGTGGTCGCCTTCCGAACGCTTCTGCTGCTCGTACATGTAGTCCTCCTCGCTGCGGTACTGCTCGCGCTTCTCGCCGAATTCGGTCTGCGTTGCCGCTTGGATGTTGGAGACCTTGGCAGTGTCATCATGCGAGGCGCTGTTCTTTTCAACGTCGACGGTGTGGGTAGGCGAGGCCGAGCCGCTGGAGCGGACCTCTAGCGGAGATTGATGACCTGTGGACGCCATATTGAGCAGCGTCCTGATCAATCGGGGCTGTGGATGTGTCGCAGCGATCAATAGGGTCGAAGGGGAGCTCGTAAAGAATGCCGCAATGATCACGGCCTAGAGTGCGAAGATGGTAAAGAGAGGACGGAAAGAAGTGAAGAGGGAAAGGACAGGCCCTCGTGCAGATGAAAACGGCAACAGCGAATGACACGGCGGTCTGCGCGTTCCGCAGGAGGAGGGACTGCTAAAAAGTGACACTAAAATCGAATCTCTGCGCGGCGCTCATAAGGCGGCTATCAATCGTTCCGGCAAGCCAGCTCCACAGCCTATCAGCCATAAGCATGCTTCGGAAAACCTTGATCGCTGCAGGGCTCGTGATCTGCGCTATCTTGGGCTCCTTGCTCTGTCAACGGGCGACTCGAGCGCAGCGACATCGAGCTGGCACTCGGACTTCTCCATACCCTTCCACCTTCTGTCCAGCTGCTGTATTCAAGACAATGGGTTTGATAGGGCGCCGGGGCAACAGGAGCAGTGTCGGCTAATCCGTTCGAAATTCTGTCTCATGACGCTGCTGATGGACGAGCATGTCGGCTGGACTGTCTAGGACATTTTGTTTCGACGCAGAAGCCGCAGCGATCAGGGACTGCAAAGGAGGATTTTCGTCAAGCCGTCGGCTGTCCACTTGTAAATCGGAAAAAGCCACAGGTTCCCAAAAAAAATATTCCGATGATGCAGTCGTTGTGCTCAAAATTTCAAACCCAGCTTCCAGACGAAAAGAGAGTTACTAGCTCGAGGGGGGTCTTCCCTAAGCAGACGCTACCCCGCGGATGGATTGTGTGAGTGATGAGATGGGCCCGTGACCGCGCTTGACGCGGTTGCGAACTTCTCCTCGAGCACTCGTATCTCTTTGCTCGGAGGGATAGGCTCTTCTGCCCATGGACTTCTCGGTCAGCCAATCGATCTCGGAAGCTTCCGACTCTCCGTCCATGTTGTGGCCCAGCATGCATAGTCAAACGACGTCAACCCAATGAGAATGTGCGAAGCATTCAAGAAAATGTTCGGCGCAGCCGTTAAATGCGATCAATCACGAGCCGAGCCCATGCGATGCGTGATTGGGCGACGGGTTCGCTGCGCGTGATCCTTGGACGATTTTTTTGCAGCAATGTCTCATGACCCTGACCGATTGGTCGTGCCGCCCACCTTCATTCTTCTTTGTCTTTTGTGAACCTGCGGCACACAGCGCAATGCAGTGCTCTCTGTCGTTTCCAAAAACTTTCATTGCAGCTTCACTTACCTCTTGCGGGTTTCATATTCCCCCACCGGAACAAGATAAGGCTGCGATCGACGATTGGCTGAAAGCAAGGCAAGGCAAGACAGGAGTACCAGCAGAGCTTGAGCTTATGACATTACAGTGTGGGCGCACGACAGCCGCCTTTACAGTGATAGTGCGGTCTCGCTCGCTGCTCGGAAAAGACAACAAGTGACGTTGTTCGCATGAAATATTTTTCGAGCGCCCGTTTTCTATCTAAAAGGTTAGCGGCAAAGAGAGGATTTTCGAGATGCGGAACTGGAGTCGGCGGTTGGAAAAACGTCAACCTCCTTTCTAGAGCGGAGATTATTGACGTAGCGAATCGGCGGATTGACCGTGTGATCTCATATCTCAATTCTGACCTCAAAGCGCTGTATGCAAATGCTGTCATACAGGGGCTCTGTACACTGCATTGCGTTCGGACTCTCCGTCGGACGTTGGCGCGCTACAGCTCTCTACCTCTAAAACCTAAAGCGATACAACGGATAAGACTGCATTGAACTAGAAGCGGTAACGGATAAGACTGCAGTGTGCATGTGACTACGCATCCCGGGAAGACATCGTTGCGATGCGCATTGAGCAATGCGAGACGACAAGGGCTTTCGCAGCCAGACCAGTATCGAGGAGAAAGAGCGCCCCCTTTCGTGCAATTGGTGTTCTAGCCTGGGTGTTCGATCGCTGATTGTGCCCGATGAGAAATTGATCGGGTCACCTCCACTTGAAGATGAAAAGGTCGACTTCAAGTTCATCTTCGTTTAGCCATTGCCAAGGAGCGGGAGGTTAGGGCGTGCTTGGTCAGCTTGCGGAAGCATCCAACGCCTCCATCAATCTACGGCAAAGGTTTCTTTCTTGCATCAACTAGCTATCGACGCACTGAGTCCTCGAAGGAAGTACGGCAGCACATCATGTCGGGATTGCCTAACGCAGAGCTCGCTCGAGAGCAACAGCAGCCAGGAGGACCTCCTGCATCATCCGTCCACCCCAATGCATACGTGCCCGATGCAGCGGCGTTGGGATCAGAGCTACCAGAAGCGCCACGGGACAAGTTCTTCCGCAAGATGCGCGAGCAGCCACTAGTACCGATCGGATCGCTCCTCACCTGCGGAGCACTGATCGTAGCATCCAATCATCTTCGCTCGGGCAACCGCGATCAGTTCAACAAAGCCTTGCGATGGCGTGTCGGCTTTCAAGGTCTCACCGTACTAGCTGCGCTCGTCGGAAGCTTCTACTACGGTCAACAAGCAGCGGCTGCAGTTCCCGCTCCTCCACAATCCCACGCTGATGCGCCTTTGCAACAAGGAGCGGTGACGACTTTGCCAGGGAGAGGTGCGACCGTCTGGCAGCAGACGAGAGCGGACGAACGCGCGAGCAAGGGAAGAAGCGAATTCGAAGGAAGAGTAGGTCAAGCTCTGGATCGAGAATTGAATGACGACAAGAGGTTGGAGGAGGCGCTACTCGGAAAGGAGGAGGATGTGAGTTTGGAGCAGTTGAAGAGTAGGGTGAGCAAGCCGAGACCGGTCATTGGACAGGACACGAGGAGGCAAGTCTGAGCCGATGCTACAGTGACGGCGGAGCACGAACTCAAAGCGCACAGCTAGTACAGGAGCAGGTCATCACTCTCTCTTTCGGACAACATTAACACATCAATGTCATTGGCCACCATTCAGTCACTCGACCTGCTGTGATACGGACTGCTACTTCGCCGTACTGGAGCGGAGACGACTCATGACGTTGCGAGGAAGTCATATTGCGACGGACAGAGGACAAAGGCGATTCTGCGCAAAGTTGCGACGTTGGAGAGATCTGAGTTCGCGTGATCGGGTCATCTCTGGAGCAAAGCCAGAGATATCGTTCAAAGAAGCCTTTGTGTGCAAACGCGGCCTCCGTCCCCGTGAGCAAGCGGAGAGGTTCGTCCAGTCACGGCACGTAAGCTCTTAGGATCGTCGATCCTGACAAAGAGACGAACGACTCTCACACATGCGAACACGAACTCTCGCGGAATTACATTCCCTTGACAAACAAAGCAAGATTGCAGTGAATCGGATATTGTACAAACGTCGTACATAAAGTATAGACAAGCTTGCTTCTGACTACACCCGAGTCAGAAAATGATCCAGGTTGTCAATCACGGACTGAGCGGCTCGTGTGATCGTCGTAGTCGAGCGAGCAGCTTCTGCCGCTCCATCTTCCGCTCTTGGGCTGTTGCCGCAAGCGGAGTCGCTCTCGTCGCTCGCCTCGACCTGTTCGAACGAGAATGCCTCTCCAGCAAACTGACCGTCTGGCAACCTCGACACGCAATCGCGTACCGCTTGAAGTGCCTCTCGGATCGCCTCACCCATTGCAACGTCCCCACGAGGAAGCGGGCGGAGTACGAGATGATCCAAATCTTCCAGCAGATCGAGCGTGTCGAGTGCGATGTGTAGAGGTTGGTCGGGTCGCAGTGGTCCTTGAGCATCGGTGGATACGAGACGGTGGTCGAGGCACGAGATCCAGAGTTTGGCTCGTAGGGCTTGCCGTACCAAGTCGACCAGAATCGGATCGGCGGAAAGATGCTGAGTGGAAGATGAGTCGAGCGATGCTAGCGAATCGTGGATGCGGAGGGCTGCTTTGGGAGACATTCGACACTTGGCGGTTTGAGAGCATGTCAGGGTCCAGCAGTCGATGGTGTCGCCAAAATGATACATCAGATGATCTCGAACGCCTGCGAATCCGAGCTTGACCAGGAAGGACAGCGGTTCAGAAAGCTTCGAGGTCAGCGTTGATGTTCTTGCTCGTTTCGTTGGCAATGCCACTTCATCCGCATCCGACTTGACCCGCTTTCTCCCGCTTCCACGTCGTTCTGCTTGTCTGTCAGTGTCCATCTGACACACGTAGCCCGGTTTTTGCGCTGCCCACCACTTTTCAGCACGAGCCAATAGCAGCCACATCTTGACCTCCTCCGACACCTCTCCTTGCGCATCTTTTGCTCCCGAACGCTCCACCCGGTCTAATCCCAAAATCTTGGCCAGCGTGATAGCCTCGCAGAACCGAAAGAAACTCGCATCCTTCCACTCGGTGAAACTCGGCATGCCTCCTTCGTGCGAATCGTCGTCTAGATTGTACAGCGCCAGCGAGAGGAAGAATCCCGTAACGACAGCTTCGAGCGTTGGCGCTTGACCGAAGCTCACACCTCCGCCAGGTGATGAAAGGCGTAGGAGCAGGATCCTCTCGATCAATCGTATCGCTTGTATCCGCAAGGTCCCCGATTGATGTTTTTTGGAACGACGATCCGATGGCACGCTCGGCATGACGAAAGGTCGAACCAGCTGCGAGTCGATGCTGTTATCGCCCCCCTTGGTACTGGATAACTTTGGCAGAGTGAGCCCTAGCATTCCCAAAAGAGAAACGGACAACGTCAGTGCGGCAAAAGACGCATCTTGGTCATGCGATTTCCTCCCGAGTCTCGGGTAGATGTACGCCCGCGGGACGATGCCTGGACAGAGGCTCTCGTACAGGTTCTCGTAGAACAGCGCGGTCCGCTTTGTCAACGTCATGGTGTTCAGCGGGTCGTCTGTCAAGACAAGTGCTCCTGTTGATCGAACTTGTGCTGATGACGTCGTCCGCGTCCTTTGCGATTTCACGTCCCCGGCGTCCCGCATGTGTTTGGGCAGCCCCGAAGTGAGAGTCGAAAAGCTATTTCTCCTGCTCCCATCTGCTTCGATCAACCCCAACGTGCCCAGTATGTGACCCGCCCAAAGCTTCTGTTTCGCCTCCTGGTGGGTTTGCAGACTGTGTCCCAGCACTGCGAGCTGTGCAGGCGATCCTTTCTGCTGCGGATCCCAGTCGACCTCCTCGGCGAGAATGCCGAGAAGATCCAGCCCAGCCGTGGTGGTGGCTGTACCGACGCCCGCCATAGTCTCAGCGAGAGACATGGAAACGGAGGAGAGGGATGATTTCGAAGAGGCCGAGGTAGATGACGACGTAACGGTCGAGCTGATCAAGTCGGTCAAAGCCGAGATGGGAAGAGTTGAGGGTGGAAAGGTGGACGCGGAGACGGACAGCAGCTCCGAGGCCGCAGAGTGCGTCGATGAGATGGGCGCTTGCGAGTCGATGAGCGTCTGGAAGGACGATGCAAACGCTAGCAGTGTCGGTGGCTCGGGCGAGAAGCGGAGAGATGTGCCCTTATACCCATTCGGTAGAGAACCATACGATGACAGGTTGGAGGATGGACGAAACCAGTCGGAGTGATCTCGCACCGAGTCCGGCGTACGGCTCTCGCTACGATAGCACTTCGATGATGGTGATGTGAACTGTTTCAAACGTGATGAGCTGGAGTGCGTGAAGGAGCAGTCGTCGAGAGGGCGAACGCAACACGTCGGTGAGAATGATGATGCTGTCGATGAGCAATGTGCGTTGGCTGTCGCAGTAGAAGCCATGCCTCCAGACAGTGCGAGATTATGGTGGCAAAGGTGCGCAAGGGATCGTGGATGGTGGTGCAAGACGAAGCTACGCTACTCCATTGCGATGAAGCACGAAGACCATGAACCTCGCCGATGCTGGTGTCCGCCCAGCGTGCTTCCTGGAACTGCAGCGAAAGCAAGGTACAGAAAGGTACACTGTCGAGGGTAGGAGCGGGGTCTCAAAAGTCAGGCACGATAACCTAGGAGAAAAGGATCAGGCTAAGGTTGGAGTGGACGGTTAAAGACAAGACAATGAAGGAGGTGGGGTCTGTGGGAGCTCAAGGCTCGACTACCAGGCCGCTTCCCGCGCACTCGTGGACGGTCGAGGCTCCAATGAGAGATGTGGGCTCGGTACACCACGCGAATTGCAGGCTACAACCGGGAGTCAGGAAGCCGGAAATCTCTCTTTTGATGCCCGTATACGGCGTTGATGGCTTTACAAGAAGAAGCAGCACGGCAGAAAGTAGAGGAGACGAGCGGCAGTTGTCGAGTGGGGGCACATAGCGGGGAGAGTCGTCGAGCAACTTGGCAAGAAATCCGCCTGCTGCTCGCTTGTGTGCTCTGATATCCCCGCCTTTTCATTTTGCACCGAACCAAGACCGGAGGTCGGTCATTTGTCTGCGAAGCACACCTTCTCCGCCACATTTCGCTTCCTACGAGCATCTGCTGACTTGCGCCCACCTCCTTCTCGTTGGGTCACACCGACAGGGACGGCGGTTGCCTTCTCGACTCGTATCAAAATCAATGTTCAATGGCAGAAAGACTTGAAGTGGCTCGCAAGGATCACCGGCGACTGTTTTGACCGAAGAATTTGTGGAGTTGCCCGCACCCGCAGCGAGGTGAGCGTGGGGTTTGCTTGCAGGTTTTGACAGGTTGGGCGAGCCAGGCACTAACGGAGAAGAGCCGGCCGGCTCGGCTCATCCAAGATTTACACGAAATTCTGACCGAGGACCGGAGCAGATTCGGACATGAGGATATTGTTCGATTTCAGACTCCGCGGTTGGAGACGCGGAAAGATGCGAACTCTGCGGCACTGACTCCTGCTCTATGCCGTTGAAATCGCTCGAACGATCCAATCAAGTCGATACGTGCAAAAGAGGCAGTGGACCGAATCTCAGCTTGTGTATCACCATCCCTGATGTAAGAGACGGATTGAAGGGAAAAGCGAAGTGAAGCTTGCGTGGCGTACGCGCTACTCGATCGTGATGGTCCAGCCGTTCTTCGCTTGTATCTCGGTCGGACGCGCGACTACCTGCCCCACTTTCACACCAATCAGATCGCCATGATCAGGTTTTATCCGTACGTCGATGTAGCCAGCACAACAGGACACGTATAGACTTTGCTGTTGTAAGATCGGATCGGTTGATCCTGCCCGAAGTTGTATTCTGAAGCGACCGGCGACCGTCGCGCAAGGGACCCGAGAAGAGTTTGGCCGAAGATACTCCCTCCCCGAGTGTCTCTTTTCTCCTCGTCGCCTATTCGAGCTTCTTGCCCTCACCGGGACCAATGACGAAAGCGCATGGCGTGCGGCGCCCCAGTTGATCGAACTCACCGGCAACTCCAGCTGATTGTCGGTCACTTATGCCGTAACTTAAAGTACTGGCGAACCCCGCTTCAACCTGCATGTCAGCGTTGCCAAAGCGGAGAAACACGAGTTTTCGGACCGTTCGGGAAATCAGCGACAATGCCTGGTGACCTCACGAGTTCGACCCTCAGGTCCGGCCTGACAAGGTTGTCGGCATGTCCGAGCATCCGAGAAGCTCTCAAAAGTCGCCGTCCCGTCTCGAATTGGCCGGTAGTCGGTACATCCGCTGATAGCAAAGCAATATCGTCAACTCCGTGCGAGCAACCAATCGGTCTCTGCCAGTGCCCTTGAGACGCTCTGCACCAAGCACTATTTTGTCTCGCTGCCATCGGCACTTTCCTGCCTGTTTCGGTTCAGCGACGTCGGTCAATTCACTTTGTTCGGCTGGGCGTCTGCGACCTCTTTCACCCATGCCTCGGTCTGACTTCGGACACTAGTCTGCGCGCAGCGCTCCGTCTTCTTCGTGCCGGCACATTGTCGTCGCAAAGCGTTGCTCGAACGACTTTGCTTCTCGTGCATGCTCAGTCAGTCATCGGATCCAGTGCCATATGAAGGCCTATCCTTTGTATTCCGTCGAACCGAATGCTTTCGTCCGACTAGCGCTGACAGGTTTACCAATTGTACAAGAAGTAAATGTTCTTGTTGTCCGTCATCTGTTCGAGCCCAAACCAAGGCAAAAGGCGTGTCAGTCGAGATGCAGAGACGATGAACGACAGCTCCCAAAGCGCTATACCTACATCCAGTTCACCGTTGATCTTGTTCTTGAGCAGCCTTTCCTCTTCGGATACACCCATTTGCGCGAGAACTTTTCTTCGTCTCTTGTTCTCCGTGACCAGGTAGATGAGCCAACAGATGCAGAGGACGAAGACCAGTGCTAGCATCGATGCTACTACAATCAGACCACGGATGTAGCGTGGTGCATCCGAAGCTCGGAAAACTTGAGGGCCGATCATGTTCTGCCGTTGCATAAAGATGGAGTTTTCAACAAGTCAGCATGCATGCCTTTCACCGGATCTTGTCCCTACAGAGAGGCACGTGTTTGTACTTACCCCGACACAGTATCCCATAAAGCAGAGAGTCGCAACGACCGTCTTCTTGGTTCTTCCACCAATGATGCTCGGCATCAGCGCCCACATGAGGAAGCTCTGCAACGCATACAGAATGCTCATCAGGTAAACGCCGTACCTCGACCACTTGTACTTCGGTTCGTGAGGCAGCGTTCCCGCTGTCATCACAGCGACAAAGGCAGGGATGACGGTGAAGCACATGAAAAAGAAGCGAAGTCGAGGAAACTTGTGGATCATGAACGCTGCGAACAGAATCCAACAGAACGACAGAGCGAACGAGGGAAGCTGATACAGGATCGACTCCAGCGGCGTAAATGAGAACGACTGGTAGATGAGACTCTGGAAGGTCGTGATGCCGCCGTTGGGGATGCAGCAGGTGACGTTGATGAAGAAGATGAAGTAGGTGTTGGGGTCGGTGAGAGCGTCTTTCACCTGATCCCCCTTCCACTCTTTGGTCTCTCCGGTGCCGACACCATTGTCGATGATGCGAGCGTGGGCCAGCTTACGTTCGTTCTCGTTGAGCCACCATGCATTCTTGGGGAGGCGGAGGAAGATGCCCGTGAGGACGCCGACAAACACGGTGAGACCACCGAGGAAGAAGTTGATGACTCTCCAGCCCGAGATATGGCCATCGTCCGAGGCCTTTTTCGAAACAAAGTAGATAACAACCGAGACCCACAGCGAGAAGCCCGTGTTCATCGCAAAGTACCAGAGTTGCCTTGCGTTTTGTTCGGATCGTTTGTACCAGCTCGCTACAATCAGGGAGAAGGCTGGAGTTACGACGCCCTCCAGCGCACCGAGAATGAATCGCACCGCCATGAGCTGCGCGAAACTGTGGCACAGTCCCAGAGTCACCAGAACGATACCCCACACCACCACCATGGCCGACACGACGTAGGCCGCGTCCACCCTCTGCATGCCGTAATTCATCAACGGCTGAAAGATGAAGTACCCCAGGTAGTAGATTGTGGTGAGCCACGAGTATTCCTGCCCTTTCAGATGCGTGTCTTGCTTGAGACCGAACAGGACACCGGTGGCGAGCGAGACTTTGTCGGCATACTGCAGACCGTAGATGGCGAGCAGGCATGGTACCGTGTAACGGTCGATCTTGCGACGCAGTCTGCGGCTCTCTTGCTCAGTAAGCTGGTGTTCTGCCTCGATGACCTCTTCGATCTTGGATAGCTTAGTACCGGTTGCACCGTGCTCGAACGCGGTCACGGCGACTGATTGGGATGCTTTCTCGTCGAAAGCCTTGATGCTCTCCTCGCACGGAGAGTGCGAAGAGATCGACGCCTTGTGGCTACTCATCGTGATGTCTACAATGGGAGATGGTCTGGCCTCGAGTGACTGAGTGAAGTTGAAAGAAAGCCGACAGATGGTGATCACATGGAAGCAGAGAAAGGATCTATATACTCGAGACTCTCGGAGCCAGCGTATCGGTTCAGCCGCCCCCACGCAGATCGAGGTACAAAAGCGATGCAAGGATGGCAACGGGTCACGTTGGGCAGATAGTCGACCCGCCGCGATAGCCGAGCCGACTTGCCATGTCGTACCTTATCATGGCATCGACTCGGAACCACGACCTTGGGCGACTGTTTCGGCATACCCGAGGCGTGAGGAGTGGCAAACTTATGGTGCTTCAATTCGGCTACAACACCCTGAGGCTTTGCCGAGGTTTATCACTTCGAAAACGAACCCATCCTTGCCCCGCACAGCACTGCAGCCTGTGTGCCAGTCGCATACATGATACCGTATCAGCACAACCGATTGCGTAGCATGGCGATAAGGACCATGTGGAAGCATGCTTCTTGGCAGCCGCGCAACGAGATAGGCGACAGCTTCTCGAGCAGACGCTGACAGGTACAAGCGCAGAGAGTAGGCGCCCAGGCGTTATCCCACGCGACACCGGCTCATTTCGCGGCGAATTTGTCTTCAGGCCGCGGGTTATTCCGCTGTGTCAGTCGGTGTTGGTGAAAAGCCTGTATCGTCGATTGTGGTCGGTCCGCAGTCATTATTCCGATGCCGGTTCCGTTACAGCATACCCTTCTAAGAGCCACGTTCGGGTATCCGAATCGATGGAAGTCCTCCGGATCGATTCATTTTGGCCGGTTACCGAAGGCGATGAATCGATCTGTTGTCGATAGATCAGATCGCGGCGTCCTATGCAGGATAGCTGGGAAAGGCGATCAGTCGTCTTGAGCTGCAGCTATCGCACTCTCAGGAAAGTGTAGCAGCAACGCTATCACAAAGGCTCTTGTGTCGAAATTATGTACGATGTCTGTGTCTCAAAACGCATGCTCACGCTTCTTGTAGCAGAAGTGAAGGTCGGGGATGATAACATTTGATTGCTGTATCATTCGTTCTTGTCAATAGCCACGCCTTCGTCTTCTCTCGAGGCCCATCCCATCCAGCTCTCGTCGTAGATGCTGCTCTGCACACCGATCTCTTGCAACGCCAACCAGATGGCTGCTGCAGTCATCCCTGAGCCGCACGTGTTGGTAGCCGCTAGCTCTCCACCGCTCGAAGCTTGTCTGAGCTTGTCGAGGGCCTCCATACCTCCCACCGTATCGCTCAGCGTCCTCCATAGCTCGATCTGATCCTTGAGCACGGTATACTGCTTTCCGTCTTTGCCGGTCTCGGTCCTGAGCAGGCTGGGGAAGGGCAGCGAGAGACTGTGCGGGATGTGACCGGACGACAGGCCTGGTCTTGGTTCAGGATCCGTTCCGTCGAATCTGCCTTTGGCTCGCGCGTCAAATACCGTCTGTCCTCGAGCACCCATTTTGGCGTTAGCGACCATCTCGTCAAATGAGCGGATGATACCATCCTGCAGAACGGGCTCTGGGTAGTCGGTCCTGGACACGGATGTCGGCTCGCCAGATTCTGTTGGCAGTCCGTAGTTGATCCAAGCAGGTAATCCGCCGTTGAGCACGGAAACATTCAGATGGCCGAACGCCTTGAAGGTGAAGGCCGTGCGCGGGGCAGAGAACACTCCGTGAGTGTCATACACCACGGGGTGTGTATCCGGTTCGATGCCGTGTTCCGAGGCTGCCTCTGCAAACGTGGCTGGAGATGGCATCATGTGTGGGAGGTTGCGAACACTTTCACCGACGGTTGCGATCTTGTCAACGTTCCAAAAGAGAGCCTTTGGCAGCCGAGGACCTGCCGTATACTCCTCGAATGCGTTGCGTGGTGGATTTGTGTTGGGCATGAACCATGTTGCGTCGAGAATACGCAGCTTGCTGCTGTCAGCTTTGTTGGAGTCGATCAACGATGCAAGGGCGTTTGGCGCAATCACCAGAGGCACGGTGGGCGGTCGCGCCGTTGACGCCATATTCCTGAGGCCGCCCGTTCTGAGACTGGAAGGTAAAGCGGTTTGTGCAAGCAAGCTTCGGCGTCCAACGAATGCTAGTCTTGCTGTCATCGTTGTTGGAGCAGCGTCTGGAAGCCTCGCCTGCTGTGTCCTGGCGTTGGTGAGAAGAAGAACAACAGGCAGCGTCAAGTCCATTCGATACTTGTGTGGCCCCAGCGCCGATGTGGAGCACCTCTAAATCGCACGAGAACATTTTCTCTGCTCGAAGTGTTAAGTTCAGTTGAGAGCCGGTATCGCCAGCGATCTCCCTCGTGTCGTTGCAAAGGCATGCATCCGCTCATGCATCGTATACACGAAACTCGCCCTGAATGTGCAGTGCCTGCATACTGTATCGCAGGCACCAGCGAAAGTCTCAACACTAGGCATGACAGGTCAGGTGAGCAGATGCGGAATCGACTTCTTGGTGTGGGGTCGGGAATCTATCAGAGTCGCTAAGCGAGCTCCCTTTTCGTGGTCGACGGTCCGGCTGACTTCGAGAAGAAGGGGAAACCGCCAAGACCGCTTGTGAAGTTTGCCGGTCCCCCTCATGGAAGCGTGGCAGAATGCCAAGAGGTACGAGCCTAGACGTGGGGAAGGAACCTGGCCACCGGCAGAACTCCCGCAAGCGCCGCAGATGTCAACAGAGCTGCTTCCCCGCGGGGGCCTACGGTCGTGCGAATTTAGGCACCGACGCACGACGCTTTAGCGAGGATGCATGCCACGGACCGCCTTCCACCCGAGCCTTACGAAGTGAGCAAAGAATAACAGCGAATCTCATGTGTTCACACGCCATGCAAAGAGCTCAGGATCAAAGAGGCATGCAACATCAACTCAAAGGCCAAGCTTGTGTCGACTTTACAAGACTTACAGCGCAAGTTTCCGGATAATTTGGGTGAATTTTACCTCGAGAGCACGTTGTAGACCAATCAGGACTGTGCATGCACGTCTAACTTTATTCGGGAGTTCGCCGACAGGTTATTTGGCTCTAGGGAATCACGCATAGAATGTCGCGCCACCAGAATTGCTGCTGTAGGACAATGAATAGGTCGCACACGATTTTGTGCACTGCACCATGTGTCTCACCTCGCTTGTGATCCTGCAGTGGTCTGGCTCGACGCTTCTTTGGCCCCAAACAACCATGCACATCATTGTGGCGAGCCTGGAGACCCCGCTGAACCCCCTTGCTGGTGGGCAGTCGTGACGCTCGCGCATGCTCCTGCTCCTCCTCCTCACTAGCCACGAGCCACTAGCGAATAGCATCCGGCTCTGTCTCCGCTTCTCCGGACACGATCCTCGTCAAAGCGCCCTTCGCTCGCTCTCTTCTTCCCCCACCACGACCCGATCGCCACACTCCCTGGCCGCTAATCTGACCCACCACCCTCCTCACAGCATTAGCCGCCATAGCCTCAAGGGTTGCTCCTGAGGGCACTTTTGCCTTACCCCACAAGATTTGTCTTTCGGTGGCTTGTCACGCAACTCTGCTGTCACCCGCTTGTTTCCCACACACAAGCCGCCCTGTCATCCTTTTTAACAGTTTCGATTAACCTTCCGCTTCGACGCTCGACCTGCTTCCCGACCTCGATCTGGCAACAGGATCCCGGGTCCTCTCATCATTCGCCTGCTTTTCGGATTTGCCAGCATTGCACCACTGTCCTAGATACCAAATCGGTTGTCTGAATCTGGCGGGAAAAGTACAAGAAGGCCACTTATTGTCCCACGACGGGTCGCATTTGCCTCCCAGCACCACCTCTCTCCACCACCTCCAGCTCCTCCCCCATCCACCATGTCTCGTTCGCAAGCAGAGGTGTCGCCGACGCCCTCCAAGCAGGAAGACGCCTTCGCTCGTTCCACCACTGCTGAGCTTTCGCCCGCCGACGATGCTTCCAAACGACGCTTCGGTTTTGGCGCGCTCAGTGAAGACCTTCAGCAACACTGGCGTGTCTACCTTCTCGGTATTTGTGCTTCCTTCGGCGGACTTTTGTTCGGGTGGGACACCGGCTTAATTGGAGGAGTATTGAGCATGCCGGCCTTTCAGGAAGACTTTGGACTACAAGACAACCCATCCAAGCTTGCGGCATTGAAGGGAAACATTGTGTCCGTGCTGCAGGCGGGATGTTTTTTCGGCGCAGCTTCCAGTTTTTACCTGCCGCACCGCTTCGGCCGTAAGAAGGCGATGCTCATCTCTGCTGTCGTCTTCCTCATAGGTTCCGTTGTGCAGACCGTCTGCCGTCTGCACGGTCAGGGCCCGAACGCAGCACTAAATCAGCTTTACGTCGGTCGAGTCATTGGCGGTTTTGGCGTCGGTCTGGCTTCTTCTGTCGTTCCCACGTACCTTTCCGAATGCGCGCCTCGTTCAATTCGAGGTCGACTCGCAGGTATGTACCAGCTCCTCATCGTCACGGGTATCTGTCTTGCCTATTTCGTCAACTATGGCATGGTTCAGAACTACCCAGACCAGACGTCTAGCGCTATGTGGCAAATTCCGTTCGCGCTGCAGTGCCTTCCCGGCGCGCTTTTTGTCGCGACCATCCTTCTTCAGCCCGAGTCACCGCGATGGCTCGTCGAGCACGGTCGCAGCGACGAAGCTCAACGTTCACTTGCCAGGATCAACCGTGCATCCCTCGATGATCCCACCGTCGTGGGTATTCTGAACGAAATCGAGAACGACCTCAAGGGCAAAGTCGGCCTCAGTATTCGCCAGCAGTTCCGTATGGCCTTCTCCGACCGAATCACCACCTATCGAGTCTTCATCGGCGCCCTCCTGATGTTTTTTCAACAGTGGACCGGTACGAACTCGATCAACTACTATAGCCCGCAAATTTTCAAGTCTCTCGGCATCACTGGTCAATCCGGCGGCTTGTTGGCGACCGGAGTATATGGTGTTGTCAAAATTGTGACGACTGCACTTTTCATGGCGGTGGCAATCGAGCAACTTGGCCGCAAATGGTGCCTGATCATCGGCGGTCTTGTACAGGTCTTCTGCCTGTTCTGGGTGGGAATCTACCAAGCAGTTCGACCAAGCGGAACGCCCGTGGATGGAGTAGGCTATCTAACCATCGCGATGATCTATTTGTTCGTCGTGGGATATGGTCTCGGTTGGTCTTCTGTCACATGGGCGGTCAGTGCGGAAGTTGCACCGAACCAGCTCCGTGCACTCGCCATGTCGGCTGCAACCATGAGCCAGTGGTTCTTCAACTTTGTTATCGCGCTCATCACTCCCCGTGCGCTAGAACACATCAAGTACGGCACCTTCATCCTCTTCGGCGTCATCACTTCCTTTGCTGTTCTCTGGGCTGCTTTCTTCTTGCCCGAATCGAGCGGTGTCACCTTGGAGCTCATGCACAGGGTGTTCGAGGGAAACATCATGTCTAGATCCATCCAAGATCTGTCGCCCAAGAAGAGGAAGATCTTCCGCGCGAGGCTCATGGCCGAGGTGGGCGGTACAGCCGATGCTGGCGTTATTGCTGGTGGCAACGAGCAGCAGAGCGCTGCTTTTGCCACGCTCGACGAACAACAGTCGACTCTGAACAAGAGCGCCGAAGAGGAGATCTTCACGGCTGATGCCGTTTCGTCCAGTGATCACGGCAAGAAGTGACGACCGCTGCTGAAGAGTTTCGAATCTGATATGATACACATACACACACCCACTTGCTTTCTGTACTTTTATACCACAATCTGTCATACGTCTCTGCTTTTGCTTTCGATCTCGCCGTGGATCGCGGGCTTGTGCTGCGTCCAGTGTTGATATGTCTCTCAGTGATGTGATTCTTCTTGAGGTCAAGGTGACTGTAAGTTGGGGAAGAGGAGGAAGAGGTGTCGCGCACTATTTTGACGTCGGAACGATGAAGTGCACGGACACGAATGCATGCAGCTGATTGTTGTGCTGCAGGACAATGGGACGGACCTGCATGCGGGTGCGGTTGCTGCAATGAAAGGGCCTGAGCGACGCGGTCCTTGCCGGGATCGACGGATGTTTCGCAGATACACTGTAGTGCTGGCTCGGAGATCATGGTGGATTTTCTGCATCACCAGGTATCGCCGCTGAAATCGAAACGAGGTCTTGCGGCAACCCTGTCGGGCACCTGATCATGGTTGATGGTGTTGTGATCCTGTAAGGCCGGGTATCTGGTGCGCTGTCGGCTAATGACTCGTGTCACAGTCGACACTGTGACCTCCGGCGGCCGACGGACAAAGGGAATCTTGCATGCAAGTGAAGGCTATGCAGCACACTGGACCGTTGTGCACACTCTCGAGATGCTTTCGATGCAGATTGTGTGTCAACTTGAAGAACCTCAAGCATGACCAGGCGATACGGAAGTGCTGTCAAACAGAGAATACTGTCGAATCCATGCTTGGAAGTGATCGGCACTATGACATGTGTCGATGTTCTCATCATTGACACATTGGTGTCATGATCTCGTCAGCTGTCCCGAACGTCCGCTCGCATATCCCTTTGGGCCATCAATCACCAGGCTTTGTTTTCCTTTGCGCAGCCGCTGTGCGTGGTCTCGTCTATGATGAGGACTTGGACATCAATGCGTCGCTGGACATCTCGACCGGCCTGGTACATTGCTTGAGTCTCTTTGAGCCAGTCAATATGTTGTGGCCTCATCAGATAGGGTCGTCCAAGGCTTGCCTGCTTTTATGTTACCTCCCATCTCCAAGAAGCGTCTCTCTAGGATCGTGAACACACATATAAACTAACCCGCCGTTTCCAACCTCACAAAGCAACGATCAACAGCGACCGCAATTCCTTCCTTCCGTGCACCTTTTTACCCAGCCATGCTTGCTATGATGCAAGGTCGACGACCAGACAACGCCATCATCGTCGAATGTTCTGGTCGCAACGTCACGCCTGCCGACCTCGCCTCCTTTCCCTTTCCAGCGCAAATCTCTCCCGAGACAAACCTCTTTTCAGACCGAAGCCCTGCCGAAGTCGTTGCTTTCCGACGTGACAACACTCCCCACGCACCGACGTACAAGCTCATCATTCGACTTCGAGAAGGTCTACCACGGAGGATCAAGCATTGCGTAGACTACTATGGAGGATCAAGGTGGAACTTTGGCGACTTCGATCGGATGAGAGGCGAGGTTCAGGACATGCAGAGGTTCGAACTGCCTTTGCCTAGTGCGAACAGGAGGGACAAACCAGAATGTACGATCTGTTGAACTTGAAATGCTTCACTCTTGCGGAGCTTGCGGGAACAAGCATTCACACGGCCTATTCTCGCGAATTTACATACTGAGCTTGCCGGTCAAGATTGACAATCACAGACAAGGAATGGGAATGCATCTTTGCGGTCTCTTCGTATTGTCCGATTGCGACAACAGATTGTCTTTGCCAGAACCGACTGAATTGCGACAGCTAGACAAGCCTCCTACCATGAACTTCCTGGTTCTCGGCAGCGTCAACAAACGGATCCTCGTCAGCCGAGGCGAGCGTCGCTCCACCCGCAGACAACCTCCTCACGCTAGAATTCCACGATGGCTGCCTCGACATTTCCTCGCCCATTCCTGCATCGCCTGCAGCGGCTGATTCGATATCGCGGTCCGCTGCATAGGTAGGAACGCTTACTCGCGGGATCTTGAAGGTCGGAGTCACGGGCGAAATGCGCCTTGATAGACTCTGGAATGCGCTGTTGGTAGGGGAGGTCAGCGGGCTTGTGTTGATGGACGGTAGGTCGATCACGAGCGGATCTGATCTGGATCGAGAGTAAGAAAGAGAAGCCGCGTTGATGGGATAGGCAGGAATGTCCTCGTTCAAGTTTGTTCGCGCTTGCCTTCCGTTCCTGTCGGGTGGCTGGTACTGGCTGGCAGAGGAGGACGTGTCATAAGTCGAAGGATTCTGCTGGACGGCTTGGAGGCTGAAAGGAACTTTGACCACCTGAATTTCTTGTTCTGGCTCGGCAGACGGAAACGAGGTGATCATGTTGTGGATAGACAGCTCGTCGATGTGCGATGCCGTGTAGGGTGTATACGCCTCAGAACGTCGTCGTGAGCTTTCGCTGAGTCTGCCAAGGGCTGCGAATTCGAGAGTGTCTCTAGAAGCATACGCTCCTTGGGTCGTCTGACGCGGGATTTCAGGCGACCTAGCCCCATTCGAATAGGTAGCAATCTTCTCGCTGAGCGATAGGGGACGCAACGTCGACGCGCGTTGCGAAGCGCGGCTGAGTCTCTTGGTCCTTCGACGCGACGAACACCACCGAGCCAGGGCGAGAATGATCAGAAGAAGCAAAATCCCACCAACCACACCTCCAGCGATAGCGGCTTTGTTGGTGGTTCGTGTCGGAGGCAAAGTCGAGGTCGACGCCGATGCGGGGGAAGAAAGAGGTGCTGCTGCCGAAGACAGAGGTGCAGCAGTCGAGGTGGATGATGCCTGCGCCATCGAAGACACGCTCGATAGCATCGTCGAAGTCGGCGCTGAGCTAGTCAAAGACATAGTCCTGGTCGCCGAGCTCGAGGCAGCAGCAGCAGCAGAAGCACTCGTCGAGGTTGACGACGGCGCAACCACAGTATTGCCGAACGCGTTTCCGGGGCAGCCTCCAAAAGTGTATGTACTCGGTTCAATCGCCGTGACCTGAACCGATCCACCGCTAGACGAGGTAGCCGTGGTGAGAATGTTGCCATTCATGTCGGCGAGTCCAACACCGATGCGATACTCGCCGCTGGGTCGGGTGCTACCGAAATCGGTGACCTTGTCGTAGGTACCTGGCGAAGGGAAGTCGCCATTGCCGAGAGCCGAATAGAGCAGCGAGTAGTTCTGACCTCCTTGCTGAGAAACGAAGAAAAGCTCGACGTATGAACTGACGCTCCATTCTGTCTGTGAGAGAGTGACGCTCCAGTCGAGCTCGGTGCAGTTGACGGATTGGATAGAGAAATCGAGGGCAGTGACCGGTAGCGATACCGCTGCGATGAGCAGCGCCACTAGCGTGCTCAGCCGTAGAGATGCCATCGCAGGTCGAAAGTCGCGAACGGCAAGCCGGCTGTGTATGATGGTGGTAGGAGGTCGAGACAGATATGGATGGGCCATCCACATGGATGAGGAGACGAAGGAACGCGCTTGTATAGTGTCGGCTTGGTCCAAGGTTGACGATGAGCGTGATCGCCTCCAGCGTTACGAATGCCAGCCCATGGATGACTATGGGCTGTCAGGATCAAAGTCTGTCAGAATACAGTCGCTTGATATTGTCCAAGCTCTCGGGAAGCCCCGAAACGTCTGGCTGAGACCTCTTTCGTGCGGAGGTGGAATGGGCGGGCCAAGCCCTATCCCCGCACTCTCTCATTTTGGCTTGAGCTCGAAGGCAGAGTATGTCTAGGCGGGGACAAACGCCCATCAGCATCTGTATGCAGTAGCCCGCATCTCGCCAAGGGACCGGTTTAAGACCCATCAGTGCTTGTCGCGGATACTATTTGCCCTATGGCTTCTCTCGCCTCTCGCCCTTCGACTTTCTCCGCAGACTGCTAAAAGCTGAGTCAACCTGACTTTGCGTGTCGTCCCTGTCTCCTGCAAGAGCACAGCAACTTATGAGACCCACGACATTGGGAGCAAGTGCGAGAGAGGGAGCTCGCAGCGGCACATCCGAAAGTGAAGCGCAAAAGAATCATGCCATATTATGCACTGCGGGACACGCGGAAAGCTCGGGAAGCCTGTGTGCATCTCGTTACGTTCCTGGCTGGTCCCAAAGATATCCGCTTCTCTCGCTGTCTCTCTCCACTCTCCCACTATGGCACCTTCGAGCTGAGACTCAAAATGGCCCGTTTTCACTAAAAATCGTAGAAACCAAAAATCAGGTGGAAAAACAACGCCCAAGGCTCGCTTGTGCAGATGGGCGTCGAGACATTCAATCCCAGACATGAGACAACCATAGCCGCCGCCATCTCCTACGTGTGGTTTGGAACTAACGTTAGATTTCACTTTTGAGGCTTCAATTGTCGACCATGGATCAGTTGCCGGTCTCGCATGTCCTTATGTGATCGCGGTGTGTAGACAGCGGCTAGCTCCACCGCAAGCTGCGTGATGGCAGTACTTCCACTGAAACGACACAAGCGCCGTCGCTTGTGAGTGTTGAATATGAACCGGTGCCACTGTCGGTTCCCTGTCTGACAAGCTCGTCAGCGGGGTAACGACGCCTCAGTTCCTCTCCCAGTCATGTCAACAAGGCAATAGAAATAGGTAGAACCGACAGTAAACGGATCTACCGGCGAGGCTTTGTCACTTGCGGAGACAGGCCGATGGAATGTCCGATCCATACTCGATGCCATGGACTCACCGCAGAATGTTGCCAAAAACTGTGTCCCCAGGCGAGCTTTCTACGATTGTTAGTGCGGCGTCGCATAAAAAAGTGGGTTGAAAAAAGAGGGCTTCAAAGAAGCGAAAAAAAGAATGCATTGACGGGGACTCGAACCCCGGTCGAGTCGAAATCGGTTTTCACGTCTTTGGCAGACGATGAGTGGCAACGACTCATGATACCCCTACACTATCAATGCTTGCATGACGAGAGTGTGAAAAGTTGGAATTATATACCTGTATGCGGACGTAGCCAGTGATGTGCGAAATTCGTCCACTTTAGGGAGGTCCTATGGATGCCTGATGGGTCTGCCGGGAATGACGCTGACTCCCAGAGAAGCATTGGACACTGCGGAACGATGATACGAGTGCGAGAACAACTTTACGACAGGTGAGAACGAGAACGCTGGCTAAACTTTGAGAGGAACACGGTCAAGCACAAATGCGAAAGACTTCTCGGAAGCACAATGCAAGGATGTGGTGTATGTTGTTATCGGTGTCATCTTCTGTATTGATCTCTGAGATGCTCTTAAAAGGCGAGCTACATTGATTGTCAACATCAGGAGAGGCTGCGAGCGGAACCGGGTGTATCTTCCGTGGTTCTGCGAGCCGAATCATCGTATAGAAGTCGTGAATTTTGAGAGTCGAGACGCCCATTGCATTGTATCTTTGTATTGTTTTGTTTCTTTCCTTGTACGGCTTTAAGCCTTGTTGGCGAAGCCGACGCGGTTGTTGTCGGTGTCAAAGATGGCCACGGTGTTCTGGAGCCACGAGTCACCGGTAACCCAGGCGTTGACGCCGACGTCACCACCAGCGATCGAGAGCACACAGTCGCCGTTGTTGGTGGTACCGAACGAGGTGGTAGCAGCCGAGAGCGACTTGGAGTAGCTTCCGTACTTGAAGGTGATGGTGGGAGGGCTGTTGCAGTTGTAGTATGCGTAGGTGGAGCCGTCCTGGGTGAAGGTGGGCAAGCCGAGCTTGGCGAAGAGCTGCTTGGCCTGCGAGGTAGGAGCGACGATGATGGTGGTGCCGGTGTCGACGATCGATTCGATGCTCTGGCCGTTGACCGAAGCTGGGACCTGCCAGAAGCCCTGGCTCGAGTCGAGGCTCTGGTAGATGGGGGTAGTGGAGTACTTGGCCGAGTTGGTACCGCCGAGGAAGAGGGTGGAGCCCGAGGTGCGCAGGTCGAACTGGAACTTGCCAGATGAAACAGCACCGGCATTCTTGAGGCTGTAGAAATAGGGGAGGTACTTGGAGCCGAAAGCAGCAAGCTGAGGAAGAGCCATGCCAGAGATTCCCTGCGAGCCCTCGGAAGAGTCGATGAACTGAGTGTTGGAGACACCGATGGCGGTGTTGGCAGCGCTCAAGCCAGCGATGTGGACAGTGTCGGTGTAGATGGTACCTTGAGCGGTGGTGCCGTCACCGTATGCGGTGGAGAACTGGTCTCCGTTGGTCTTGGAGGTGGACGACTTGCTGGGAGTGTAAGCGCCAGGGTTGACAAGGGTGTCCGAGGAGCCGGTGTCAAAGTCGATGGGGAAGCTCTGCGCAGGGGTACCGTAAGCCATGGTACCGGTCCAGAGCTCACCACCCTGCTGATCAGTGAGCGAGACGGTGCCGGTCGCACGCTTGGCGAGGTGCTCGGGAAGCTCACGCTTCTGAGGGTGGACCTTGCCGGTGTTCTTCTCGTAGTTGGCGAAGTTCTTGGCGTACTTGGCTCGCAAGCTGCTCATGTGAGCGTCAACCTTGGTCCAATCGATCTCGCTGGTGCCGGCCTTGGTGAGGGTGGCACGCTTCGAGATTTCGATGTTGATGCCGCGCTCCTGCTCGACGGGAGCGGCGACGGCGAGCGCCGAGGTGGCGATGAGGCCGGCAACGAAGGAAAGCTTGAGCTGCATTTTGGTTGTAGGGGTAGGGGAGATAGGTGCAAGGAAGAGGGAGCTGCTGGTTTGTGAGATGGGGATTGTTGAAGAGGAACGGACGAGCCTGGCTCCCTTTATAGCCGTGAAGTTGATCTGGTGGAGCTGGCAAGCAGATCGTTGCTCTGTCCTTCACCGTCCTGCTGCGGTCTAGCGTCAACGTTCGTACAGGACCGTATCAAACCCTGGCGCTTAGGACGCGAGAAAGCAGGCGAGGCTAACAGCATCTCTGGGTCGAAGGTGACTCTACACCGGGGATCGGAAGCCTGTGAACCGAATCAGACAGCGTCTAAACTCCTGCCTTCATAGTGCACAGAGACTCGTAGTCAACTGTACGAAGCTTTTTTTGGCAGCAAAAGGAGACCGAGACCAAGACCGAGCACGGTAAAAGGCAACGGCAACCTGGAGTCTGCCGCTGGCGGGCAAACAGAGGGTGGCGGGCGAGGGATCTCGAGAAGAACAACAGGGAACAGGCGAGGTTGACTCGCTAGCCGAGCGCCCTTCTGTTCGAGTTGGTCAGCATCCGAGGCTGAAAAAAGCCATCTCTTACTACGGACGGCGGCGACGCCAGCGCAGGAACTGTCACACTCTAGAGACAGGGAGGCTGACACCTGACACCCATGATTGGGGCAGACCAACACAGCCGCAGCCAAGACGCGAAAGCAGCAGTATGTCTTGCTGTCGAGTTGGGTGTCCAGGGAGATGGTGTGCCACTGTCGGCATGCTGCAGTCGAATAGGGGTCCAGTTTCTCACAAGACCCGATGTGTCAATTCAAGCCAAAATCGAAGACTAATTCAGAGCAGACGGTCAGCCCCTATCCTCGCGTAAAAAGACTTACAGTTTGGTTGCCATGATTGATGATGTATCGCAAACGAACAACAGCCTTCTGCGATAAGCTGATGGAAAGATCACAGGCTAGCAACGGACTTGAATGCGCCAGAGTACTTCGGAGGAGGTCAAGCCGCAGGCTCGCGTCGGTAAACGGCGGCAGCGGCAGCGGAAGGGTGGGGGTCGGGGTCTTGTGGCCGCCACCTTTCCTGGACACGTCGGAGTGCCAAACCTGGGCTTTGTCGAGCTGCAGCACACGCGCATTAGCGCATCTCGCGTACATGCACGCTCGATTCACGTCACACTCTCGATTTGGCAGGCCGACGGCATTATTGGTGGCGATTGGAAGCTTGGCCGGGGTGCATCAATCAACCTTATTTGCCGATTTGTACGGGCTGGTTGTAGCGATGATTCCTGTCAACCCTGTTTTGGCTGTTACCTCTCGTGATCAGCGACAACGATGACGAGCGGATTGATAACCGGCACACCACCTTCCGTGTCTGCCGATGGTTCGGCTCGCATCTCCGGCCGCTTCCAAGATTGCCTCTATCACCTTGCAGGTGTCTGCAGAAGATAATGTGCATGCCTTGGTCTCTGGACACCCTTCATCCGACGCTAATGTGCCGTTCGTCTATGCCATTGACAACCACGTCGCGGAAGTGCATCGCCCGAAACCATGGGTGAGCAAAAGAATGATACCATGACGTCTTTTGCTGAGAAGAAAAGAAATGTCTATCTTAATGCTCGACGGCTTTGCGGAGTCTGACTTCGAAGGTAGGTCAACGGCTGTTCCAGTGTGATCAGCTAGCGCATGGTCGCGTTTGCCACTCGTTCGCCATGGATGGTCACGACAAGACATCGTTGGCCCGCCCGCCCGTTCGCCGGTCAAGATCTGGCGAGGTGCATGATCAGAACGTTGCGATGGGAGCCAAGAGGCCTTCTGCAGCAGGTTGCTTGCACCGCGAGGAAGATTTCGAGCTGTCAAGTTCCGTTGCGATTTTGGGGAAAGCGATTGGCTGGAGTTCACTGCGGGGATCCATCAAATTCGCAGTCGGGCTCGGCAAATTCAAAAGCCAGCCACGATCCCAGCTGGCGGCAAGATCGCTTCGTCATGGCCGCTTCCTCGTGTCTGAGCCATCCAAGCTGACATGTCTTTTCCCCGCACCAAGCGAACTACCAACGTCGCTGCCTGTTCACAACGAGAGCTAGTCGCAGCTGAGCAAGGCTTTGACTGCAGGAGATCCCCGGAACAGTTTGGCGAAGGCACAACGGCGAACTCGAACATCGCCGAGATCGCTGACCTTACTGCACTCTTCTGGAGCGGCTCATCGGTATCTTGCCGAAGGTTGATGCGATGAGGGCGGCGGCAACTTGGTGCGGCCTGACTGCGGTCGGATGTCTTTCCGCCGGACAGTCTGGCGAGAGCTTGGATCTGTCGACCTGAGCCGAGTTGTGGTTTCAAAGCGCAGATTTGAACCCGACTCGATAAAGGTCTCTGAGTGTACGCGCACAGCTAACAAGTCCTGCCTGCCACGTTTGTCGAAGGGTAATTTCGCTCGCTCTTTTAGGAAGGTTCGCTAAACGACATAGTGAAACTGCGCGAGGCAAGGTTGCCGGGAAGCAAACAGCAAAAGCGCGCTAAGTTATGCATTGCGAGAGCTAAGCGAGGACAAAGTGTTTCGAGCGCCGGTCGCAGCAAGGAAATCGTACTTATCGTTGATTGTGGTCCGCAGCGGCGACCTGGCACACCTGAGCCCATGGCCTTTAATTCATCCTCGTAACGAGATGATTTGAGCCACCGCCTTGCTCAGTGCGCAGCTTGCGATGCTCGATGGAAGTACTTCGAGACGGATGAGTACGTCACCTGCGTCTATTGCGAGAGACATTGATTCGCGTGGCTCCGGTAGGGCTTCCACAGACTTCGATCAGTTCGGCTCCATCACAGAGACGTTCGAAATGAGACCTGTTGCATGCGATGCCGTGCGTCGACGATAAGAAATGGGCTGTGCTTTGCAATAGAAGCAGGAGCAGGAGCATGGCAACAGACGCCGAGAACGAAGCTAGTGGCGGAGCAGACCTTTTCCGTAATCCGAGTCTCGTGCTCGCCTATGCAACGAGATTACCGACAATGTATGCTGCCTTCTACTGCTTCTTGCTGGGACACAACCTCTCGCTTGCTCAATTAGCCGTGTGATCCGGCAATGTGTGCTCCCGACGGTTTCGCTCTACGGCCCAGAAAGCTCTGACGAAACACAACTATTCCTCTTCAGGCCTTAATCGCGCCCTCGTGGCTTTGTCAGGTGGTCACCGATGACGAACTCTGACCCAAGTATCGGCTTACAGTGGTCCGTCTCGCTAAGCTGTTTTAGTCGCTCGCAATCTTCCTCGATATGCACCTCGATGATCATCGCATGACCGATTCATTATTCTGCAGACACAGGCCTTTCGCATCGGCGACAGCTCCTCGTTTGGCTGCTCTGGGCTGCTCTACGCCCGATTCAGGTTGAGATCAAAATTGGATTGCGGCTAAGTGTTGTCTTCAATCTGCGGCTGTACAAATAATCATAGGTTGGACTTCACGGCAGCGATGCACTCGATCTCGACGCCAACGTCCTTAGGAAGACGAGCGACTTCGACGGCGGATCGGGCGGGCTTGAAGGGAGCGAAGCGCTTTTCGTAGATGGCGTTGATCTTCTCAAAGTTGTTCATGTCCTTCATGAAGATGGTGCATTTGAGCACGTGCTGTTTATACCTCACGAGAAGCGAGCGGAAAGAGTCAGCAAGCAGAAAGGGACGATCGAGAAAGATTTTTGATCTCGTTGGGGGCACTCACAGATGGCTCGGAGCCGGCGGCCTTGACCACGGCGAACAGGTTGTTGAGCGCCTGCTCGGTCTGCTCCTCAATTCCACCTTCGACAAGCTTCATCTGTGGGGTGAAAGGAATGCAGCCCGAGACGTAGGCTACGCCGTTGTGGACCACAGCCTGCGAGTAAGGCGCGACCGCACCGGGTGCCTCGGTGGTGTGAATGACCTTGTAAGGAGTCGACATTGTTGCTAACGATGCTGAAGTAGATAGATGGCGAGCAATAGCCACAGGGCATGCGACGACTCTCGGAGTCAGTTTTGGAGCATTCTGAGAAGACAAGGCGAACCGGGCCGGCCGCGCTGCTCGACCAGCGTGTCTGAGCAGAGTTGCTGGTGCCGAAAGCATGATCGAGCTCACGTCTGTGTAAGGCTGTCTGTCAAGATTTTTGACTCACAATGGGGCGGTGATGCTGAATATCGTTGACGTGATAGTGTAGACAAGGGCGGACAGCTGTTGCTGCGACCAACCTGACTCGAAGATGAAAAGTGTTGTTTGGAAGAATTGACGCACGGATCAGGCTCGAAGAAAATTTAAAGGAGAGATTCTTTCCGCAAACATGGCTTTTCATGCAGGAGAGGCTTCCTTCCGTGTTTCGAGATAAACTTCCGACTCCGCTCGCCTTTGTCCTGCCAGCTCGCAACAGTCTGACAGAGCAGTCTGCGATGTCGACATCGACCCCCGCTATTTATGGAAACCCGCGACTCGGCGTGAATGGACGCACGGTGTCACCGTGACACACAATCATCATGTCGCTCGGCGAAGAAGGTCTTGTGATACCAACCCTTTTGTTTGGATGAGCCTTTTCCCACAGTTCCGATTCGGAAGGCACTGGTGCGGACGATTGTGGCGGGAAGCGAGCGGTTGTTCATGCGGAGCTAGGTATTAACGGCCTGATCGGCTTTGAAGGCGAAGACGAGCGCATACGATGATCAGCTGTCCATGACAGTTCGAGGACCGGCGGAGGCTGGGCAGATTGGAGTCAGACCGACGGTTTCTGAGAGCTGTGGCGGCCTGTAGCAGACAGGTAAGCGTAAAAGTGGGGAACCAACGGGCGGTTTTCTTCCTTTTGGAGAAGCGCAGTTGTGCATAAAGTTAAGCGCAAAAGTCGGAGTGTGTCCCACGATGGTGACGAGCGACGATGCCACACGGAAGTTGATCTTCCGCGCTGCATATTTTGCGCTAAAGCAGCCGACGCAGCCATTTGTTTCTCTACGTTCCTGGGTCCCTGGAAGCGTTCCCCTTCACTATGCCACCTTGACACACGATATCAGAGATAGGGTAACAGCATCATGAGCCAATGTCCCAGCGTTGCCATCTGGCTAAGGATCGAGTAAGTTACGACGTGAGTACACGCTCGGAAGCGGCCCTTCCGTGTTTAACCTTATCGCAATTGCGCTCGTCATCAGCGGGGAACTCGGAGATGAGGCTTCTGGAGATGGGGCTATTGAATGTAAGATATGCTTGCCGAACATGCTTCTCGCGGTCGCAGCGTATCGACAAAGTCACAAAGCGACCTCTCCGTTTCCTCCACCTCCTCGGTCTGAGACCAATTCGGTATTCGGAATCGCCGAAGCTCGCAACTTGACTTCGAGTCACTTCGCCTCTACTTGGAAGGTCCGTCTCTAGAAAGTTCTCTAGCCAAGTTGTCGATGACATCAATGAACAGATCGATCGGGCATCCCGAACCGGATCGATCCTTTCAAGGGTTCAACTGGGCTTGGTGTGAGCAAATTCAGGGTCCATCAGAAGCTCGCGTTTCTCGAGTTCGTGCCTCTGCCTTGTGGACCCTGACAGGACGCGTTCCTGCACCACGCTAACCTTGGCTGACTGTCCTTTGGGGCCTCCTACGTTCATCGGACGACATCGTTTGCAATGGCGGAATCGAGCACATCCTCCGCCTCACCGCGAGCCGCCAAGCGTCGACGGACACAGCGCTCCAGCTCCGGACTGCAAAGCCGAAGTTCCATTGCATCCTCCACCTCGTCCACAAGCAGCAAAGAGGGCGCCGAAACATGCTCCACGTCTTGCTCTTCTGTTCCAACACCTCGATCTCAACCACCGCGTCTGAAACGCTTTCTGACATGGTGTCGATCACAAGGACTTCACATTGGATCCAATTTGGACTTGCGCTATTCGGGTGATTCGATATCATGGAGCATCGCAGTCCATGCGGACAACCTGATCGACAACGATGTGGTCGTCGCTACCATCCCGAAATCCGCTGTTCTCTCACGCAAGACGTCGGCACTCTCGTCAGTGCTTAAAGGAAAATGGCTCAGCGAATCACACGAGACGGTCGGGCTGGAACTCGCTCTCTGTCTGCTGTACGAACGATGTCTCGGCTCAGTATCGAAATTTGAGCCATTCATCTCTATTCTACCACGCCTCCCTGTCTCCCTTCCCTTTCTACGGGATACATCCGACGATTCCTCACCATGGCGTTGGATATCAGGCACAGAAGCAGATCGGATCGACAACCGTGCTTCCCTCTCCTACCATCTCTCGACCTCAACGACATGGCCTTACTCGCACGATTACGGCATGAGCAAAGCCAAAGCCCTCGAGTATTTTTGTTCCACGGGCATCCCAATACTCGCACGGAGCAAACTGTTTGATGCTACGCAGAGGCAACATCTCGACGGACTGGAGGGTACATTCTTGACAGCGTACACGCACGTCTCTTCGCGAGACTTCATCGTGGATACTTACCACGGCGTAGGGCTGGTTCCTGTGGCGGATCTATTCAACCATGCGGAGGTGCATACGGTCCAGTTTGAATCGGATCAGGACGTGTGCGAGCTGTGTGGGGTGGCATTTTTGACGGGACACGAGCAAGAGATGTGTCGATTCGGGACGGAAGCAAACAAAGAAGACGTGAAAGCAGATGAGGATGAAGAAGGAGAAAATCGTGCTGCGCATGAGCCAGAGGCGCAAAGCCATGTCGACAACGGGGAAGAAGAAGAAGGTACTGAGACAGCTTCTACCATCGCGAAGGACGACGACAGCGGTGAGGAGACCCCGGAGGACCACGTCGACACCCTCGATATGCGCACCTTGACCTCGCACGCTCGCGGCGCCGAGATGTTCAACACGTACGGCCCACTCACCAACGCTCTCCTCCTCACACGGTACGGCTTCTGCCTCGACACCGAGACGGATATGGAGCGTTTCACAGTGGATTTGCGGTTTCCTCTGGAGAGGAAAGCGTTCCTCCAAGCCTTCCTTTCCGAGCCCGCTTCGCCCTTCAAGTCGATCCACGAGGTCTTAGCGGCCTTCGACGAGTTGCTGTCCCGTATTGCTGACAGATATCCTCGTTCAGGCGAAGAGGATGAAGACGAGGACGAGGATGAGAAGACAGAGGACATGGAACCTGCACTCCGCACCGAAAGTGTCGCCATCGATGCACTGCATCAACTCAATCAACTCTTACCGAGCTCTCAGGAGGGTTGGCTATCATCCTTCTGTCCACTCTACGCAACCATTCCAGACCGACCCGAGGCGATCGACGAAGACTTGGTGGAGAGGGATCAAATTCACCCACTGTTCATCTCTTCCACCGGTCGAACGAGTCTTCCTCTGTTCCTGCTCACTTTCCTACTGCATTGCCGCAAATCGTCTTCGCCGCTTCCCACGAGTCTCTCGGACCTAAAGCTGGACAGCGACCATGTGCAGAGGACGCTACGCACTTTGCACAGATTTTGGTCAGACCGACTGGCCCAGCTGTACATCAACGACCAGGTCGAGGTAGCTCTGCAGCGACTGGAAGATCACCAGGTGGAATACGTGGAAAAAGCATGCATCCAACACGCCTATCAGGAATACGCCGCAACACAATCCGCCGTCGCCAGTCTGCAAGACCTAATCAGCCCTGCCAGAACTTGACCCTCGCTGGCACCCACACATCCCAGTCTCATCACACTTTTTGCACCCAGACACGCTCTGACTCTTGACATGCATGGCAATCATCACCATTTCTTTGACCACAAAGTTATTCTCCTTCTAGCTCTACCTCTAAAATGTCTGCCAACCACCCTGATCCATCGCAGCCTCGATCTTCCTCGCCACGATGTTCGCCACACCATGGCCCCAGATCTGCTTTCTCAATTCATCGTACCTCTGCTGATGCAACTTCTGCGGTCGACCCTTCCTGAGCCCAACATCGATCTCGCCGTGACTGTCGAGATACGGCGACAAAAAGTGGAAGGTGCCGTTCCCTTGGTACAGCAGCAGCACGAGGTTGCTCTTGATCTTGAAGTACACACCGACACTACCGCCGCACGTATCCATGTGCTGGTTGCATTCTCCCCGTTCGCCATCGTCTTCGCTCTGACAGCAGAAGGATTGCAGACAGACCACATCGCCGCACAGCAAGCACAGCGCGGGCTCGGGTGGGACGTTGCCGCACTTCTTGCAAGGTCGTCGACGTGTATCCTGCAGCAAGGTGGCGAGATCAGCGGGCAGTTTGGCCAGCTCGTAGATGTGCGGGTGCTCCAGAAGCAAGGTTGGATGCGATTCGGCTGCTTGGAGGTAGGACGAAGTGAGCGAGTGCAATCCGGCAGATGAACGGCCGAGCGTTCCACTGGCCAGCGATGCGCTTCCGGATGCGCTTCCAACGCCTGCCATAGCAGCAGCAGCACTCGAGGGTCGATCGTGAACACTCGAGTTGAATCCTTGGATCGCGAGGTGCGAACTGCCGAGCGGTCCGGGCTGGATTGGCAACGGGCGGAAGAGCGAAGCCAGTGGCACGTACGCGTGCTTGATCCAGCCTTCCACCAGGCTCGCCATGGGTGTCTGCTTCTCTGCACGCACGGGCAAAGCCTCAGAAGGCATCGGGATGTGCAGCTGCGTGAGGAGCCTGCGGTACTCGCCTGGCGATCCTTCGCCCCCTTGCCTTGCAGCTCCATCGTCAGCCGTCGGCACACCCAGCACGCGTCGCAGGATCGCAGCACGACGCAAGAAGGGCAGCGTGTAGCTGCAAATCATCTTGGCCAACGTGTCGTCGTCCAAGTTGTCAAATCCGAGCGTGATGTTGCCCCTGGCGTAGCCGACAAAGCCGATGATGTTGGCGACGGTCCAGCGCACGTCGGGGAAGATGAGCCTGGCTTCTTCGACGTCCTCCTTGCTGATGTGGCCCGGCTTGAGACCAGCGCCCGGTCGAGGCGCCGAAGATGATCCAAAGAGGTTGCCCATGTGGCCGTACACCTGCGGCCAGATCGACGGCTGTGCCAGACCAAAGACGGTCTGCACCAGACACACGTAGTACATGAGTGCCGTGCACTGCGTCAATGCGTCCGGCGCCACTACGGCAGCTTCAATGAGAATCGAGATGGGGTCACGAAGGAGCAGGGGCGAGCGAACCGCATCGTCTCCACCCCAGTGCGGCAGCAATCGCTTCAGAAGGCCTCGACGAATGATGTCGGGACCCTTGGACCCTTCGTGGAAAGTCAATGTCGATACACGTAGGCAGTGTATCAACGACCTCAAAAGGTCCACGGTCGAATCGTTGAGCGCGTCGGCGACCGACCTCTGCTCCACGGGTACGTCGCAGTCTGTCGAAGGCGAAGGCGTCATGCCTCGCTGCGAGACCTCGAGCATCGCGATCGTGTATGCGACGAGCTCTTCGGGAATGTACATTTTTCTTCCCTGTGGAGCCAGGATGGTGTGCTGCTGCAGCTTCTCCCTGACCGCTTTTGTGGCGTGCGACATGGGCTTGAGCACATTCATCAATCGATCGATCATCTGTCCTGTAGAGCGATTGATGTTGGCCATCTCGAGACGCATCTGCAGAGAAGTCTGTGAATGGTCGACGAAAAACGGCAGGAAGGCGCCGCTGCCGTGATCCGTCTCCTGGTAGTCGGCGACGTTGGTCTTGGATGAATGCTTCAGAATGTCGATGTTTATCTTGCGAATCCAGTCCTGCAGTGGCGTTTCGTCCGACGCAACTGAGCCGAAAGGCGGGAACACTCCTTCCGCGGTCGTCGCAGGAGCAACGTCGGCCACAGGCAAGATCACGTTGCCGAGGCTCTTACACAGCGGGCAGATGAATTCGGAGCGGTGCAGATCCTCAGGGTGGTTGCGGGCGATCTGCTGCGTGTGACGCTGTTCGACGCTTCGGCAGTAGGTCTCGAAGCATTGCAGATGCATCAGATGACCACAGGCCGATGCATAGAAGCCGAATCGATGATCGTCCTGCGGGAAGCTGCCGTAGGCGGGTCCTTGCCTTGACTTTGCAGACGACGGAAGACCGGCTCGACCCATCGGGGTGGTGCCTTGAACTCGTTTGCCTGTGCTGCTGCTGTTGCGATCCATAGTGAGCGGTGCTTCCAAAGCTTGTTGCAAGCTTGGTGCGTCCTGCTTGGGAGTCATCCGCATCATCCTGCTTTGTTGGATGTGAGCAAGGCTGCCGAACGCCTTGTTTGATCCCAGGCTCTCTTGGCACAGGATGCAGCTTCCCCACGTTCTCTTGGGCGCTTTCGAATCGATTCCAATCGATGACGTCGCCGCATCCACCTCGCCCTCATCGCCATCGTCGTCGTCGTCTTCATCGTCGGCACCGAGCTGATCGAGCAGACTCTTTTGCTGTGCCGAAAACTTTTGCATGATGGCAGCCTGGCGAGCTTTTGCGGCGGCTCGTCGAGCTTCCTCGGCGGTCCTCTTCTTCGGCGCAATGCCCGAAACCGAGTTTCGCGCGTCAGTCGAGACCGGACCGCGTCCTGTGGCTGCGAAATGTGCCTCGACGACGTTGCGCGCCTTGGCAGAGTGGGTTGCCACCTTTTCCAGACACCAAGTGATCTTGGCCTTAAACGGCTTGAACTTGTCGAGCAGCTCGGCGCGGCAAAGCATTTCGACCAGAGTCGACTCGGACCTGGCAGGCTCGCCACCGAGGCTGCCTTGCTGCGAGTCAGCTTCTTGGAGCTGAGAAGAGAGCAGTGTGGCTGCTTTGTCCGCAAAGCTGCCGGCCGCATCGACCAGTCCGATCATGATGATCTGCAGCGCGGCATCGACGAGCATGTCCGGCGCATACGCATGTAGAGAGAGCGTCTGATCGAACGCCTTGAACAGCAACGAGACGAGGATGTCATTCGACAGGACGTCGAGCAGGCGTCCGAACAGGGTGCCGCGCAGCTGGTAAAGAGCCGGTTCCGGCACTAGCGGTGGAAGCTCTTCGTCCTTGATGGCCGAGACTGCACGTCCGCTGCTTCGGGCCAGACCTTTCTTTTGCCTTTCACGGAGGACCTCTTCCACCTTTTCGCGCTGGTTGCGGGTGTAATGGTAGAAGAAGGGCCGGATCTCGGCGTAACACTCGTCTTTGAGCTCAAAGATGCCGAAATCGTGCGTGCCGTCCGGGGCGCGGAAGGTCGACACCTGCGACAGGATCCGCTCGAAAGCAGCGTGGTCGGTGAACTTTTCGGGAATGTTCTTCGTCACATCGGTGAATGTGCCTTGTCCAAGCGCGAGGAAGTGGATCACTTCGCGTCGGATCTGTGCCTCGATGGGCCATGCGCATACCGAGGACATCTCGGACAGACACGTGGTGATGAGGAACAGGAGCTCCTCTGCCAGGAAGACGCCCTGCACTGCGTCGTAGGGTCTGTCGCCAGGAGTGTCTGTCTGATTGAACCATGTCAGGAGATTGAATCGATCGAGCAGCGTGAGCAGGAAGCGGTCTGTGTCGAGGATGGCAAAGCCTGCTTGGATGAGCAGCAGATCCTGGTCGTACATGATGCCACGCATGGAGTTGTCGCGATAGTGGTGCGCTTGCGAGCGGATCACGAAGCCGTTGCGCACCCACATGTTGCAACGGATCTGCGCAAGTTTGACGCAAACGCGCAGGGGATAGTCGATGGCGATCAACAGATTGTTCTCATCCAGCTTGGCGCCGAGCAAGGCGTCGAGGCGTTCGGAGCCAGACCACCTCTGTAGCTTCTCGTGGCCAACGACGGGGATCTGCCTGATGAGCTCGGCGAAAAGCCAGTGCAAGGGATGATGAAAGCTAACGGATTGCGATTCGACCGGGAACGAGATGACGGGCATCGTCTTGGTACCAACTTGGGTTCCGATGGTGTAGCTGGCATCGTGGAAGGCGACCTCGGGGTACGTATCTGGATCTTCGCGGGACAACTTGGAGGAGCTCCAGCAGATGGCGTGGATCGTACCAACGATGGCTTCGAAGAGCTGTTCTGGGGCAGCGTGGGCAAACGCTTCACCAAACATCTTGGCCGCCTTGCCGAGATGCGAGCTGATGTGGAAGACGGGGATCCACATCTCGCTCTCGAATTCGACGTGGGCAGAGACGGCGCGCTTCGACGGATGGATCGCCTGAAAGAGCGAAAGGCAGATGAGAAAATAGTCGAGGTGGCCGTGCCCACCCTGGGCGATGAGCTTCTGAACGCCTTCGGACGCCAAAAGGTATCGAATGTCGTAAAAGATGTGGTAGCTGCGGGACTGGCGCAGGAAGATGAGGTGGACATTGGCCTGGCTCTGCGCACGCGTCGGCGGTGGTAGGACGAGATCCGTCTTTTCGTTGACCAGCGAGCCCGCAAAGATGGACTGTAGGAGGAGGAACAGCTTGGACAGGAAGCTCGCCTTGTCGACCAGCATGGTCGCGATCGAAGGCACACTGAAGAGCTGGACTGTCAAGAAGCAGATGGAATACTCCTGTTCGCGGTCCTTGAATGTGAATGTCTCGACGAGCTTGGGATAGACCTTGGCAAAGCGCAACGCCACCTCCTTCTTGATCTCTCGGTGCGCGATGAGCGACATGAGGAGCGCCTTGATGTCGATCCGCGCCGACTTCCACAATTTGCAGTCCAACAGAAGAAGACCCTCGTAGTGAGTGAGGTGGCGAGGATCGAAGAATTCTGGGCTCATCGAGCCCGCCTGGATGGGCTTGAGGGGATGGAAGGGAGTCAAAAGGCTTCGCGCAACAATATGCTTGAACGCTGCGCCATCCGGCTTGAGTGGCTGTCCGAGCCAGGAACCGAGCGAGAACGATGAGGCAAGCGGTGCTGTGGCATCTTGCGACGAGGGCAGATACAGGTTGCAGTTGGAAAGGTCCATGAGAAAGTTGAGCACGACCTGAATCACTTCTTCGGCAAAGACATCGAAAGCGGGCTGAATGGTGACGGCGAGATCAATAGAATGCAGCACGCGTGCAATCTGGTGCAGTCGACGCAGATCCGGTCCCACCTCAATGATTTCTCGGCCGTGCTTGTCGACACGCTCTGCAACTCCTTTCGCATCGTGTTCGGAGCGACCTGTGGCGTCGGTCACAATGTCGATCACTTGACTGAAGCTGTGCTTTTCGTCGTTCCACAAGATCACGGCATACTGGCGACTGGTGCTGGCTGCATTACCAGCGGACTGGGACTTGGCGCCGTCCAAGCCAGATTTCTTCCGCGACGCCGAGAACGAGAGCATCTCGCTAGCTGCCACAACGTTGTCGGAAGTGCTGCTGCTCCGGGTCTCGAGGGAGTGCGGCGCCGATCGCCAACTGCTACCTTCGCCAATGTATTTGCTATCGGGATCCGAGCGACTGCCTCTGCGAGCACGGGAACCCCAAGCACGGTCGCTGTGGTTGCTCTCATCCTGGTCGTCCTCGTCGATGCTGTCGCCAACCAAGTTTTCGACTTCGACTGCGCTCATCTCCTCGTCGCTGTCGCGCGGTCCCGAAGTGCTGCTCTTGCGCTTGGTCGGTGTGCGGCTGGTCTGCTGCGCCACGAGGCCTTCTTCGAGACTCGGGAGCTGCGATACGGCATCCGCTGTGTGGAGAGAAACGGATCCCTCGAATTCGGGTGCGTGGTCGAAGACAGTCACGATGAGCGTGACGAGCTCGGCGACTACGTCAAGCAAAGGATCGCGCACTTGTCCAGGCAGCGCTGCGAGGGCGGCGTCGATCTGATCGAGACCGTCAGCTTCTTCCGCACCGCTCGACGATCCGCCGGCAGTCGTGGAGGAGTTGAGTACGCGTTCCGCACGCTCCTGTGATTCGCTCTCGAGCTCCATGTCGGCTAGGGAGGTATTTGTGTTGGAGGAGGAATCCGAGTGATAGCGACAGCACACGTCCTGCTTCCACGCCTCGGGATCTCCGCAGTCGCAGCAGCCTCCGCTGGAAGAGGAAACGCTGAATACGACGTCGTGGTCGTCCCTGGCATGGATCGAGGCTTGAAAACAGGGGGCACACTGGACGCACGTATCGTCGAGCCCGCAGTCGCGGCAGCGGTAGATGGCCTCACCTTTTTGAAAGAGATGACCGCACGGCATGCCTCTACGGGACTCCGAGTACTCTGGACCCAAGAGATCGGGGTCTTCGACGTCATCGTAGGCGCTCGAGGTGGACCAAGGCGACTGCGCACGCTGTGCCTGCTTGCCCTTTTTGCGAGCGAGCGCGATTTCGCGCGTCTCTTCGATCTGTGCGCGGGAGAGGTTCCAGCCATGGGTGGCGAGCAGGTTGAGCGCCTCGGCGACACTGGTGCCGGGATCGCAGGGTAGAAGCACGGCGGGACTGGGGACGCTCTCGAGCAGGTGACGGAATAGGTTCTTGTGGAGCGTCGTCCTGATTTCTGGCGTGACCATGTACGTGGAGGGTGCGGACTGAACAGGCAGCGGCACCAGGCGGGAGAGCAGATCGCAGACGGCAATCTTGGCCGAGCGAGCGCTTCTAGGCGCAGGTTCGCGCCTCATAGTGTCGATCGAGCAGCGTCTATGGCGAAGCTGCTAAGACGGCTCGCCAAATTGATCTGTTGCGACTCTTGGCTGCTCAGCAGGTCGTCGTGCTCGATGTGGCAAACGGAATGGCAGCCAGGTACACTGCAGCTGGTGTTTCCAGGTCACGCTGAGCGCTAGTGAGTCGAAAGACGAATGCGAGTTGCTGGGCCGCCAGTCTGGTGGGCTGCGGTTGTTGGTGGTGAGACAAGCAGCAGTCGATCAGGACAGCGAGAGGTCGGACTGTAGAGGAGCGGGCCGTATGTTTGATTCGATCGCCGGCGTCAAAGATACCGTACAGGTGACCGCGGAGTAAGTGCTGAGCAGCGATGAGGGCAGCGGAGGTGACGGTGAGACGAATTGTAGAGGAGACGAAGGTGGAGAGGCTAAGCAACAGCTGCGGCGCTGTTTCAGCGATAGGCGCTTTCTGACCTTCAATAGCCGCTCGAGCCTCTTTCGCTTTGCCCACTTTTTTTCGGATCGCCTCCGACAACCACCGTTTTTTCGAGGGAAAATCACGCACCGTGCATGCAGTCTGCGTCGGACGGGCTGTCAGTCAATCTGCCAGTCAGTCGGCAGCGGCGTCTTCTACGGCACAGCCGAGGAAATCATTTGGCGATCCTGGAACCAACACACAAAGCCGCTTCTGACGAGCTGGACGCGAGACGAGATGAGCTGCCTTACAGACACAAATGACCTCAGCAGCTGGCTCATGCTTTCGTTTTCAGACAATCATTAGCAGTTGCTGCTCTGACACAATGGGATGGAATGCAATGCCTGTAATGCTTTCAAAGCCGGGTATAAAGGGGAAAATGCGATGGAGGCGAGGTGTGGAAACAGCAAACACGAATGACCGAGACTGGAGCGCTACCTAAGGCAGAATGATGCGCAGACCGCCATAATCGCAGAGTGGATGTTGCGAGGAGATGAGCGCACCACGACCGCTGGGACACGAGATGAAGGATCGCGAAAGGGGAATGCCGAGGCGATCAGCGATGGCACGAACCACCTGCGGTGTGAAAGGTGCTTCGACGAATACCAGGTCCACCGTGACGGTGGGAAAGATCTCATCGACCAGCTGAAACGTCTCGTCAAGTTGTTCTGGAATGTTTTCGATCGACTTGTAGCAATGCACCAATTTGCACTTGGACGTCGGTTCGTTGCGTTTGATGTAGTAGAGTGCGTTGGCAAGCACCGAGATGTCGTCCGACTTGGTGAAGTAGATGACCGGGTGATTGCGTTCACTGCGGATCCAGCCAATAAGTCTCTTTTCGAGCCTCGACAAAAGCCGCCCGAGGCACGAAGAGCGCTGATGCTCTACTAGCCACACTGTAATGCGAGCGAGGTCGACCCTTTGAGCCAACGCCATGAGCACCGCGGCCATGGCGACAAAATAGACGAGCGTCTGAACAATGATGACAGGAGACAGCGCAAAATTGCCAGCCATGGCGGTGATTCCGGTCCCGATACCCAGCAGCACGACTGACAGATGAGCGATAGGAGATCTCGGCAGTGAAGGTCGCGCATACTTGAGCAGCACGAGCGAGATTCCGAACAGCGTCATGACGCAGAGGAAGGACACGCTGAACACCGAAGACAGGGTGGTCAGGTTGAAGCCGCACGTGGCGCTCATCACTAGCGTCAGGGCGAGAAAGAGGGCAACAGAAGGGTAGGTGGCGCCGGTCTTGGGCAGCCGACGCTGCAAGGCTCGAGGGACGACCCTGTCGTCGCAGAGCGTGTCCACAAGGCCGCAAAAGGCGACGATCCCCGTGATGATGCCACCACAGAGAACCAGGCAGGCGTCGATGACTACAAAGATCTTGAGCCAAGCGCCTCTTCCAGCCACCTGTCCTAACAGCGAAAGCACGTTGGCACCACTCAGAATGGCCTGCATCGGGACGAGAGCAATTACGAGCAGCATGAGGGGCGCCTCGGTGAGCAAGACGATGATGTGCAGGTTTCGAAGCGCCTTGGGAAACTCGCCGGGCTTGACCTGGTTGATGTAGGACGGGCTGCATTCGAAGCCGGTTAGACCAACAAAGGCGACGCAGACGCCGTCAAAAATGGCGCGCGCAATGCCTTTCCCCGTCGAAGGATCACGTATGGCAGCCATGCCGATGGCCCAATTCTCGTGCAGCAGCGAATTGCCGGTACGGATCCAGGCAACGAGTCCGGCAACGATGAGCATGAACATGGTGACGACGTGGAGTACAAACATGCCCAGCGCCACGCTACTCGAGTCGCGCATTCCAAGCAAGCAGAGCGCTGCAAGTCCGACGAGTAGGAGGATCGAAATGACACGACCATCGATGTGGGTGTGGCTGGTGAGCATCTCGCCTTCAATGTAAGCGCTTGCGGTGCCGGCGCTGACAGCACCGGTGGCGACCGCATCAAGAAGCGTGATGGCAGCAGCCAGCACAGCTACGAGCTTGGAGGAGATGTTGGTCAGATACGAATAGTTGCCTGCGTTGCTTGCAGATAAGGCAGAGGCGAGCTCGCAGATGATGGGGCGGAAGGGGTAGAGCAGCAGGCACGCAACGAAGATCGAGATGGGCGACATGACGGATGAGACTGCCACGACAGCTGGGAGGGCGTAAAAGACAGAACCGGTGACGGCATTGCCTGCGATGGCCGAAGCTTTCCACTGCCCAAGCTGAAGGCGTGGTGGTTCAGCGGCGCTTGATATTGGCAAGTTTGAGGCTGGTGAAGGAAGCTCGAGAAGCGAAATGGAGCCCCAACCGGCAAATTCCCATGCTCGATGGATGGCCATAAGTGGGTCTTGGCGATCCGATGCGAGGGTGGTGGTAGGTGCATCGGGCTGTAGACCTGGAGCCGCTTTGAGCTCGCCGTGGCGAAGAGCGTGACCCCAGCCGGATTCGGACGCGGTGAGATCGTCGCTCCTGGAGGCATCAGTTGTGGATTGATGCTTCGACGTTGTTGCGTCGAGGATCGTGGAAGCTTCGAGGTCGAGGACAGAAGCGATGCCATTTGCGTCAAGATTGGTAGTTGGCGACACGACCCTCCTCTTCCTCTGACGACGAATGATGGTTGCAAATTGAGACTCGGCGAAGGAAGGGGGCCGTAGCCGGTTGATGTCCTCGTCCTCATCTGTGCGAGCGGCGATCGGCTGGATGGACTTGCTCTTGCCAGCGCGTTGACGAATTGGTGACGGTTTTGTAAATTCAGACATCTTTACGAGGCGGTGTGGGTTCATCGCATCAGTCGATACTTGAGCAGATCGATGTACGAGACCGGTATCGGTGGAAGCAGGGGTGAACAGGTCCGCATGCTCGAGCGTCGGAATGCGTTGCCTGTTCGAAGAGAGGCGAGATGGTGTGTTGCGCGAGCTCGTTGAGACTTGCCGGCTACGATGCTGTTTGGGCGTTGTATGCGAGTTGGCGTTCGGGCCCTCGTCGCCGGACGCGGCGTGGCGACCAGCTGCATGAGCAGACAATGGATCGTCCGGTGAACTCGCGGACGATGAGGCGGACATCCTGGTCTGCCCGGGTCCTCGACGTCTGAACACCAAATGTCGCGTGAGAACGATACGATGGAGGGACGGACGCCAATGTCGGAGTCGATGTCGAAGTCGAAGTCGATGTCGGTGTCAAACTTCATTCGTCCATGCAAGGAACACGACGTCACAAATCCCGTTCCTAAAATCTGGCTCAAAAATTAGGTTCACACATCCGCGCACCTGCGGAATTTATTAATCAATAAGAGATGTTAGGTGTTGGGCCAGAGTCGTAATTGCGCACCTCGGAAGAGGTTTGCTTCATTACCAGGCAGAGACTCCTGCTCTCCCGTGTAACTCCTAGGAGAACTTCGGAATGATGGGGCATCTTTGCGGGGCGATGCACGAAGAGGCTGCGAAATTAGCCGATCCGAAGGGGTCCTGGTACTGCCGCCGCTGCCGCCATGAAGCAGGGCAGTTGTGTCGGATTGAGCGTCTATGAGTGCCGCGTTGCATGCGTGCATCTCTGCCACCAAACGCCAGTCAACGCGACGATCCGCCACCCGACGCTCACTGTATCGAGCAGAATCTGCTCTGCCGTTTACGAAGCTGTCTTCATAGCTTGCGAAGGAGAGCTGTTCGGAAAGCGTCCGAGGTATCTGTACTTGTACGAGTTGAGTTGCAGGCCACGAGCACGAGAAAGAACAAATCGAGATTCTGCGATTCGACGACCGTGACTGACAGACTCCGCCACCGCGCGTTGTCGGCTTTTCCGTTTGATTTTTCCACCCAATCGAGGCGGCTGGATTGCAGCCAACTCGGACACGATTCCTCTGCTCCGCTGGTGCTGTGCTCTCCGCCACTCTCTGCCTCACCAACTTCAACTTCATTGCTGTCCGACGTGGGGTATCTTCATCACCTCAGCTCAGTCGTCATTGCCACGCGGACACACAAACCCAGCCATATCATCGACCCGCACTACTATCGCCATCGCCGCACGCTCCGGCATTGCACCATCGCCTTTGCAGCCAAGCTCTTGTGAGCACCACAGCGTCTACCCGACCTATTGAACCCTGCGGCCTTTCGTTATCCCCGCATACATTTGTTCGCGATCCTCCCATCGCCCGCAAGCCAGACTCGGCTTGACAGCATTCGGCCCTGATTGCGGCAGCTTCCCCATCCTTCTGCTCTCCACTTCGTTGTCACTATGCCTACCGACATCGACGACGTCACTACAGCTACGCACGACGATGGCCCATCGGCCAAACGCAAACGCCTCCGCATCCCAAAATCGTGTCTTCCGTGCTTGAAAGGCAAACGTGCCTGTGATCGAGGTCGACCAGCATGCGGACGATGTGCTCGATCAGGCCAGGCCAACGACTGCAGCTACGATCCGCGTCTCCCTCACCAGCCCGCTTCTGGCTCCTCTCGCCAATCCGGTGTACTCGACGACTCGGACGACGAAGACGACAAATCGTTCCACGACAGTCGCCGGCTCAGCGCGCTCCAGAACGAGCTGGAAGAGGCACGAAATGAGACTCGCCGTCTGCAGCAGCTGCTTCGAGCACAGCAGCCTGCCTCAGCATCCTCTCCGCATCATCAGAATTTTGCATACAATCGCCCATCCAGCAGTAGTACGACGTGGCCGCATGCAACGGCGGACCGATACCACTCGCATTCCAGCTCCCACGATATGCACGCTGCTCGTGGTCTTCAGATGCTTGCTGAGATCGCAGGGCCACAGCATCAGGATGCCGACTCGAATGCTTTCAAATCTCGCATACTGCATTGGTCAGGTCCTGCGTCACACCCTTCCTCCTCATCTCAATCTCAGGCATCCCCGAACGAGAGAACCGCCTCGTCTTCGATCGAATCTTCGCGGCCGAGCGACGGCAATGGTGCTAGCAGCTCTTCCTCCCCCGTCGATCGACTCGTACATGCAGCTAGCTCGTCGGCCATTTACAAGGATCAGTTCCAACGTCGCACATCCAATCTCAACAGCAACGACCTCGATTCGCCCAAAAACATAAATGGTACTCCTATGTACTATGGTGACACCTCGTCCGGCGACAAAGTCCTTCGCAAAGTTGCTGCCACCACTGCTGGCTCTTCACGCGCCACCACAGACAACCCCAGCTCCAACATGCAGGAGACCATGGCACGCAGGGACATGCAGTCTGCCTTCAACAGCGTTCTCGACCCCTCCCGCGATACCTTCCCTTTTGCAACCATCTGGAGCTCAGGCACAGCCTTCATCGACGAGGTCTTGCCTTTCTTCCCCAAGCCAGACGATTTCGATAGCATCTGTGCCTCGTTCGTTCGCCACTTTTCCGCCATGTGTCCTGCCCTGACCATACCCACCGCCATCGATCACGCAAAGGCTTTCTCCAGAATGTCGCGCAAGCAGCAATCGCAGGTGTCGCTGCCCTGGTTCGCCGTGTTCCTCATGATCTGCGCCCTTGGCAAGAATTGCGACCTCGAGAGCACCACCGTCAGCGTCGACCGCAAAGTAAGGATGCTCGACGCTTTCCTCACTGGCGAAGCGTCTCAGCAGCCTAGTCGTAACGTCAGCAGAGCCTCCTCACCTGTGGCCGCGCTGCATCATGAAGCAGCATCGAGTCAGCCTAGCACCGCAGACTTGCAGCACCCGCCATCGAATGTAAATGCGAGGTCGCCGGCTATGGTCTCGGACCTCTTCCTCTCGGCTGCATACCAGTCGCTCCGCCTCTGTTCGTTCCTTTCCGCACCTACGCTGCAGACCATCCATTCGCAGCTCCTCATTGGAGCGTACCTGCTCAACACCGAACGCGCTGCCTCCTTCTGGCCGCTCCTCGGCTCGGTCGCTCGTCAGGCGCAGTCGATTGGACTCCACGTCGACCCGTACAAGATGAAACCCGAATGGGACCCGGTCGAGGCCGATACGCGACGACGCCTCTGGTGGGCCGTCGTTCACCAGGACGTCATCCTCTCGAGCATCTTTGGCCGTCCTCTGGGCATCACTCGCTTCAGCTGCCGTTTTCCTGGCACCAGAGGCGTCGGCGACACATCTGGCGCCATCACCTACGCCATTCTGCAATGCGAATTTAGCCAGCTGGCGCGCACCTATCTCGACGAGAACCAAGATCGTAGCTGGAGTCAGACACGAATCATCGAATTCACCGAGCAAGTTCTGCAGTGGTACATGCACATCCCCGATCGGTACCGACCTGATCTCGGCCGCATCGACTTGCTTGGTTCCGAGACGGAGGAGGAGGCCATCCACAATTACCATGCCGCGGGCGTCGATATCAAGACGAAAGGCCTTATGGAGGTGCACCAATCGGGCAACCTTGCTGTCGAGGTGTTCTACATGATTTTGGCGCTGCATCGAGCCAACCTGTTTCCCAACGCGGATGCGGATGCCGACGCCTCGAGCAAACCGACGGGCGGCAACGCGTCGGTCAATCCGGCCAGAGCAGGTGCAGGCGAACTCAACCAAGTCTCGCTCCACATCTGCGCCCAAGCGCTCCGCCGCATCACGCGAGCACAAACGACCATGATCGACCTGCTGGGCCGTGCGCGCGCGACCATGTTCTGGAAGATCGCGTACTACACCTACCAAGCCGCCATCGCCGGTGCGTACATCGTCTTTGTCAATCCTCAGAGCAAGCATGCCGAGTCGGCGTTGGAGGATCTGGCGATCCTGACGGATTTCTTCGATAGGATGCCGGAGAAGTGGACGGGACTCAAGATGGCAAAACCGGGATTGAGGGTGTTGAGGAAGCTCGCGGTGGCTGCGAGGGAGACGCCGGAGGCTGCGAGCATGGCTGTGAGGAGCTCGGTGCAGCAGCAGCAGCAGCAGCAGCAAGGTGCGGCAGGGGGGATGGATCCGGTCAGTTCGCCGATCACGAACGGATTTGGGTACGGCGGTGGACAGCAGCAGGACGGAGCTGGTGCGAGTTCGGAAGGCCATACGGCCGTATCTTCTGGACTTGCCGGCGAGTTGCACGCTACCGCAACGCCATCCTCGCATCTCCCGCTCACACCCGGTGGCGGTGGAGGAAGCGATACGTCGCAAATGGCATTCAACTCGCAATCCGCCTTTCTACCGCCTATCTTTGGTTCGTCGTTCCTGTCGCCGACAGCTGGTGCGCAGTCTGTGATGACCGCTTCGCCTTTTGGTGGATCCAGCTCGAACAACACTTTCGGGGGTGCGGTTTCGGAGCCCACGAGTTTGTTCGCTGGAGCGTTGGCTGCGTCGTCCGGATCGCCGCTCGCTCGGTCGCTCGCGAGCGTTCCTCTAGTGACTCTGTTCAACAACACGTACGATCAGCAGGAGAACACGACGGGAGGTGCACCGAAACAGTCCTTCTGCTACGATCCGTTCATACCCGATCCGACGACGACGTTTGGAAATACTGCGGCGAGCAGTGGGAATGAGAAGAGTTCGGCTTCGCCGTCGGATCGACAGGGGAGCAGTTTGAGTTCTCCGGCGACGGCGTTGAGCGGGAACAGTGGGGTGCAGAACGGAGCGGTGGGGGTTGGTGAGGAGTCGTCGGGAGCGGAGGGGAAGGCGAGGGCGGTCGAGGGAAATGGTGGAGCGGTGCAGCAGGATGTGGCAGCGATGAATCAGAAGGAGCTGGCGAATTACTGGTCCGAGTACTTCAGCCTGCAGTTGGATTGGGATCGTTTGACTGGCCTTGCTTAAGACTCGACCACGCAGACATACACCGCTTGGATTCATGCGAACTAGCATCAATGGTATTACAATACAAAGAGTCTTACAAAAAAAACCAAAAGAATGTTGACCAAAAGGGTATCAAGGATTTTATCATGTGCGGGCTCATGTTCTTGCCGCAGCAGCGCCTAGTTCGCCGACCCCACCTACGACGTCGTCCTCTTTGGAGATGGTGATCTCCAGTCCCCAGAGAATGAGCGTGAGACCTACGGTGAGGAACCTCCAGTAGATCTGGTTCGCCTGATCGAGCAGAAGCAGATGGCTGTAGACGGCGATGAGGATGAGACGCGAGTAGGAGACGAGGATCGAGATGATCGAGGTGAACGTTTCCGGCGGCGAGGGTGAGGAGGGAGAGTGTGGTGGGGAAGGGGGTGAGGAGGGGGTGGTGGAGGAGGGTGGGCGTGGACGTTTGTGTCGACGTGATTCGGAGGGGGGCCGAGAGAGGTTGGGTCGTTTGCGGGTGGGCTTCTCTGCCTCGGTCGCGGCGGTGGTGTCGCTGATGACGGCGTCGCCGTTACGCTTGGCTTCGTCGGCAGCCGTCGCAGTCAACTCTTCCAGCGGCGACGGCTTCCTCTCTCCTCTTCTTCTGTGTGCACGCTTTCCTCTCCCGCTTGTGCCCTTCCTCGGGGGCGGGCTCTTCAACGTGTCAGCCAGACTCATCGGCTCCTTCAACGCATCGGCCAATCCTGCACCATACGCAATCCCGCTGTCATCCTCCTCATACTCCGCGTCTCCCTCGTCGTCACTGCTGCTTTCCAACAGTTCATCATCCATCCTTCTCCTTCTTCTCCTCTTCAGCCTTCTCCTCTGCAAAACCCATTTGCCCTGCTCGTCGTCCCAAACCTCTTCCTCCAACTCTTCCACTTCGGTCCCGACAAAACTCGAGGCTGAAGATTCGCTACTCGTGCTCGCATCGCTGTCCTCGCCATACGTCCGTGCACGACCCCAACTCCCCTCTCGATGCAACCCATCTCCTTCCCTATTCCGGACCACGCTCCCCTTCAACATGGGCAGAATCCTACTGGCAGCATACAGCACCATCAATCGATAGATCAAGCTTACGATCACCGATTTTGGTAACGCCGCCCCAGCTGCATGTATGAAATCCACCGATTGACCCAACCAATGCGCGATTACCTCGACCAATCCGCTCGCCGCTCGAAGGATCTTGCTTGTCAGCGGGGCTTGCAAAGAGCGGGGAAGCTTGTCGACAAAAACCTGCCCGTGGGTGTTGACCTTGAAGCTTCGGATGAGCGAGATCGGATCGGGAGTGAAGGAGAGACTTGGGCCGAGTTGGTAAATGTTAAAGACGACGTACGCAAACATGAGCGATGTTTCGATGACGTTTCCCTTACGAATGGCGAAGGCGATGGCTGTGAGCCACAAGGTGGATGTGACCGAGGTGGCTATGGCGGCTGCTGTACCGGGACGATCCTTTGTTGCACCGTCGAAAGAGACGTAGAGCGCGAAGGCGGCGGTGACGTAGATGGTAGCGGAAACGAGGAGGAAGAAGATCTGCCAGACTTCGCTCGCTCCAAATCCTAGAGATGCGAGCGACCGCATGATGAAGGTGTTCGACATCCAAGCTGCGCCTCTCTGGGAAGGTGTTGATGGCGATGGTGCTCGCTGATAGCGCGGAGAAGGATTGGCGAGCGAAGATGCGATGATCCATCTCGAAGTGGATGCCAGGGACTGAATGACCAGCAGAGAGGCTACACCTTCGAGCAGGCTGAAGAAAGGGCTCGAGATGCGAAGCAGCGTATGCCACCATCCTGGCACACGGCGAGCCAGCCAAAAGAAGAAAGCGACCGAAGCGGAGACAACTCGGTCGAGCGAGTCGAATCCAGTGAGCGATTGCAGGTTCTCTGAATCGAGCCCTTCCAGGGAGACTATGCCCGATCCGCGGCTGAAGAGGCTGCTGATAGCCTCGCTCGCAGTCTTGTCCTGACTATCCGCATGGCGCGGAGGGAAGATGGTCGCGGAAGGCGGAGAGTACACGTTGAAGCAAACCAAAAGGCAAGCTGGAATGACGATGAACTGGAAGACAGCGAGGGTCTGACCGATCCATGCGAGACGCGTTCCTCTGGTCAGCAGACGCACCGTAGACAGGAAGAGGTAGTACGAGGCCAAAGAGGCCGAAAGTGCAAGGAAAGCATCCTGTCCAGCAATGTCGAGAGCGAGCGGAAGGTAGAAGAGGACCTGAATGAAGGTCGCAACCCTTCCAAAGTTGATAGCTAGCGAACGGGCGAACGACATTTCAGCTGCGTTCGCGCGTGCCGCGAAGTGGCTGCCCTTGAACGGTTGATGACGAAGGCGCTAGCGCACAATTGATGGTGAGCAGTGAATCTTAGAAGCGAGCGAGCGACATGGTGACACGAGCGGTAGAGTCGATCGAAGGAGACGTGGAAGGGAAACCGAAATATCGAGGTGAAAGGACCTCTTCTGTGTGCCGCTTTGAGTGCTGACTTTGATGGCTGAGACGTCCGGCTGGGATGGTGGAAGAGAGGAAGGAAAACGATGGCGAGAAAAGAGTGATAAGAAGCAGCGATTCAGCATCCGAAGTCGGATCCACACGAGGCGTCCTCACTCGCGGTTTTTCCGCATTTGAGTTGTGCGTGCGCCTGCGCCTGCGCTTGCCCGTTTGTGCTTCCATCCAACACGTCGCTGCCCAAATTGCGTGGGTGCAGTCCCAGTCGGTGTCACTTTAACATCCTAAACTTTTTTGTTTGTGGATTTTTTTTTTGAGCGTTCAAATAGCCGAGAGCAAGAAGATGCAGCAGCAGACAGGGTCGTGCGATACTGTACCTTTTTTTGTTGAAAGTGACCGGCAAGAAGTTTCTTCTGAACCTGCTCCCCACCACGACACACTTCCTTCAACATGTCGTCAATACCGGCAGCTACACGCGGCTCAGATGGCTCGGTGGCATCGGCACAGGCTGCTGTCTTTGTCCAGTCGCAGCGGCTGCCTGCCGACACACCGCAGGTAGTAGGACCCGACTTCGAGCATCAGAACCCGAACGATCTGCTAGCTTTGCTCGAAAGCATGTCCAAAGTAGGCTTCCAGGCGAGCGGCGTTTCGAAAGCAATCGAGATTGTCGAAGAGATGCGTCAATGGCGTCTCGCAAACGATGCAGCCTACCTCGCCTCCGATGATCCGGACAAGCCGAGCCTCGCCGATGCACAAAACACGCAATGCCGCATCTTCCTAGGCTTCACGTCCAACCTGGTCTCATCAGGCTTGCGGGAGGTGATCAAGTTCCTCGTCAAGAACAAGATGGTATCGGCACTGGTCACAACAGCGGGTGGTATCGAAGAAGATCTCATCAAATGTCTCGGTCCCACGTACCTCGGAGACTTTGCTCTTGACGGTGCAACGCTGCGCAAACAGGGTCTCAACCGCATCGGAAACTTGTTGGTGCCCAACGACAACTACTGCAAGTTTGAGGATTGGGTGATGCCCATCCTCGATGCTATGCGGGCAGAGCAAGGAGATGATGTCTCCAACGCGTGGTCGCCGAGCCGTGTCATCGAGCGTCTTGGCAGAGAGATCAACGACGAAAGCAGTATCCTGTACTGGGCTGCTCAGAACGACATCCCTGTCTTCTGCCCGGCACTCACGGACGGTAGCCTTGGCGACATGATCTACTTCCACTCGTACAAGAACCCAGGACTCACCATCGACCTGGTCAAAGATATTCGCAGGCTCAACGATCTCTCGGTCAAAGCGCCCAAGGCAGGCATGATCATCTTGGGAGGCGGCGTGTGCAAGCACCAGATCGCCAACGCCATGCTCTTCAGGAACGGCGCCGACTTCAGCGTCTACATCAACACAGGACAGGAGTTTGATGGATCAGATTCGGGTGCCAGACCGGACGAGGCGGTGAGCTGGGGTAAGATCAAGTCGGCGGCCAACGGTGGCAAGAACGTCAAGGTGTACTGCGATGCCACCATCATCTTCCCAATGATTGTCGCAGCGACGTTTGGTAGAGCTTTCTGGGCTGACCGCAAAGCCGGCTTTTAGAATTCGACTCAATACGTCCTAAGCATTGCATATCGTTTCCTCCGCACAGCATCTTTGTACTTGTATAGGCATCCTAGACACCAATTAATCTCTCTATGGACTTACGGCACGATGGTGAATGGAATCCGAGTCTGGTAGAGGTCGGAATCTCCTCATCGCTTCTCGAGGATCAAGTAGATCGGCGATGACTTTCGCAGACTAAGCGCGGCACGTCGGCACGGCACGACCTGTTCTCGCAAAAAACTTGAATGGAAATTTCTGAAATTAAAGATTCCGCGGCTGCAGGTGTTGGAAGGTGACATTTCAAGGCAAGTCGCCCCTCTGCACGCGCGCAGCAGTGTTGGTCTCGCTGGCCGAGGTGTTTCTTCTGCGTAAAATGCAGGAAAAAGAAGGCTTTTGAGGATCGGCATGTTGATCCGGAGCGAGGCGCAGCGGCTTACAGACTCTGTCAAAGGTCAACACGACCAGAAGGCCAAGAACGCAAGCACCGAAGGCGTTCCGACTTGGCATGCTCCGATCCACCTCGTGTCGACGGACCAAGCACCACAGCAGAACAAGGCGAACCGAGACTAGGGACGAGACAACGGAGCGGATCGCTGCGCTGTTCCACAGCAGGCTGACCCCGACGTGCAGGTGAAGTGTTGTTTTTCAAAATGCGAGCGAGTGCGCAGAGGCGATCCTGCGCACAGCTTTGTGCATCCAGCGGAGCGGCATTTCTCCCGTCGAGGATTGTCGCTGTCCCCGGCCCGCCTTCCAGCCGCCTCGCTTGAGCGGTTTGGTGCTGTGCGAATGTCAGCATCAGGGGAGACCCGAGACCAGGGTTCGGAAGCTTTGCACCGCTGACAGTGTTGTGAATGAGTGAGTGTGTATGCGTGCGTCCTTTGCTCTGCCCGTTGCGTGCCCTCTAGCCTGCCAGCATTTCTCGGAAGTCCATCGTCCAAACCACCACCACCACCACCACCAGCACCACAGTCTCCACCACGCACGCTCCCCTCCAACATCAAGATGGTCAAGGTCGCTTCTTTCAACGCCGCAGTGGCGCTTGCCCTTGCGGGCTCGGCCGCCGCCGGCCGCTCGTCGAGATTGCACAACCGACAGAGCTCTGGATCCATCATGCAGTCCGACTACCAGAACGGTGCCGCCGCACCTGGCGCTCGTCAGGGCGATGCTGCCGGCCAGACCGTTGTCATCAACAACAACGGCGGCCACGACGACAACTCGCAGCGCGCCGGATGCCCCACCATCTTCATCGGCTCTGCCGCCGTCGGAGGATCCTTCTCTTCGGGGTGGACCGACATGCCTCAGGTGCTCGGTTTCGACACGATGCGCGACCTGACCGTCGGTAGCAACGTGGTGCAACCGTACATTATCGAACGTGGCAAGGACGCCGCTCAGATCAAGCGCGTCGTTATCACCCAGCCCGGTCTGCCGCGAGACTACTGGAAGTACGCCAACCTGGTGCGCAACTCGCTGCTCTGCGCCTCGGCCAACTCGAGCATGGGCATCAACAGGGACGAGATCCTTATTGCCGCTCCTACCTGGTTCGACACGGACGATGCGTCCGCGGGTTCAGCGCAATCCAACGATCTCGTCTTCAACGGAGGAGCGTGGGCTACCGGCGTCAACTCTGCCGGTCCCAACGGAGAGGCCATCTCGTCGTTCGAAGCGCTCGACGATCTGGTCAACAAGTTCTTTGACAAGTCCACCTACCCCAACGTCCAGCAGGTCGTCATTGCAGGCCACTCGCTCGGAGGATCCTTTACGCAGCACTACGCCATGCTGCGCAAATCCAACTCGGCGCAGGACGGCATGATGAGCTTCTTTGTCGGCAACCCCGGTTCCTACGTCTGGCCCATCTCAGACCGACCGATTCAGAACCCCGGCGGGAACTGCGGCAGCTCATTCGATCAGTGGAGCTACGGTCTGCAGAGCCTCCCCTCATACGGAAACGGCCAGGGAGGCGCCAGCAGCATCGCTTCGCGCTACTACGGCCGCACCGTCATGTACGCTCTCGGCCTGAGCGACAACGAGGGTGGTGACAGCCACTGCGAAGCGCAGTACCAAGGGACATCGCATCTCACGCGTGGTCAGAACTTCCAGCGCGCGTTGCAGTCGGCCAACGGTGGAAACGTCCCCTCGAGCCAGCAGTTCAACTATGTGGCCAATGTGGCTCACGAGGACTACTTGATTTTCAGTGATCCCAACAGCCAACACTTCTTGTTCGCTCAGGGCACCAACTTTGCCGCTACCGCCTCGTCGTCGTCAGCAGCAGCAAGCTCTACAGCGGCACGAAGCAGCAGCAAGGGTTCCTCGGCAGCCGCTGGTTCGGCGACTGGCTCGGGATCGTCCGCTGCACCAACCAGTTCCCAGACAAGTTCGTCGGGAAGCAGCAGCGGCGGCGCATCCAGCCTTGTCACACCTGCAGCAGCCGTTTCGGCCTTGTTGGCGTCGTCTGCTGCACTGCTTGCCTTTGTGTTCTGAGCTGCCCCTGCACTTCACATCACCTGTTGTAATTACGATGGATGGACCTTCCTGTCTTCCTTCCTTCCCTCTTCCGCCTTGTCAACGGCAAGAATACGTTCATTTGGGCTTTCATTGACTGTGACAGCCTGTCGATGGCGATTGTGAGCTTGTACTGGTGTACAGTGTACACTGGGGGATATGAAGTTTTGATTCGACGTCGCAACCGCCTGCCTGTCATAGGAAGGGTTCAGATGAAAGTTACACACGTCGAACACCAAGTTGCCTTCCCGTGCTCGTGTGGCACGCGCCGCGGATTTTGAAAGGTTCCAACCGAGCCCAAATTCGAGTGTGAGAGCAATCAGCAGGCGAGTGCGACCACAAAAAGAACAACACTTTGTCGCATCGCTCTCTGCTTGTCGTTCTTCCTTCTCTTACCACTCTTGACCATCCACTCGCCACTCCCCCTCCAGCGTCCGTCGTCTCCTCGATGGATCCGCGGCTTCTCCGACCATGAGTGATCCCGGCTCCTCCGCACCGCCCATCGGCAACGATCCGACGTACGACGACAGGCTCTGGTCCTTCTCCGCCTTCTTCCCGCCGCCGTATCGCGTGCTCTTGCTCGCGTCCATCGGTCTGCTCCTCTTCGCCATCAACGTACAGGTGCTCCACAGCAAGGGCATAGACCTCTTTGCGCTGTTCAAAGCCGATTCCGCAGAGAAGAGACGATCAATACCGACTACGACGAACGGATACCATCGAAATACGGCAGGTGCGAGTACTCAGTATGGATCCTACCACAACGTCGGGTCTTCGTCCACCTCGACGAGCGATGAGAGCGGTAACGCGGGGATACTTCCGACAACCAATAGAGCCTCAGATGCGAATGCAGCGGTGTTAACCGCAAAACCACTGTTCGGCTTCGGAACGATCCAACTCTTCTGGGCACTCGTCGGGTGGGCATCCTACCGGTTCTACGTCGACTCTCTCACCGGCGATCCGAAAGGCAGACATGCACAGGCATTGCAAGGCATCGCAGTCTCCGGGGCGTTCCTCGCACTGTTCTGGCCGGGGAATGTGCTCTTCAAGCCGATGCGAAAAGCCTTCGGTCGATCCATCTACATCATCCTCACCCCATCGCTGTCGCAAACCATCACGTTCTGCGATGTCATCCTCGCCGATATCCTCACATCCTTCGCCAAAGTGTTCGGAGATGTTTGGCTCACAGCGTGCTTCCTCGTCCCACGCAAGGAGCACCACACGTGGTGGAACGGGAAAGGATCGATCGCCGTACCCATGCTCATCTCGCTCCCCTACGCGATTCGATTTCGACAGTGTCTATCCGAGTACCTCACCTCTCCCACGCTTGAGGGGAAGAAGAGCAAGAAACCGCTGTGGAACGCGCTCAAGTATGCATCTGCCTTCCCCGTGATCTGGTTGAGCGCGTGGTACGAAGCGGACAAGCTCACGCATCGCGGCGAATGGGTGACGCGGTACACGCTCTGGTTGGCCGCCGTTTGCGTCAACTCGATCTTCAGCTTCTGGTGGGATGTCACCAACGATTGGGGGTTATCGTTGCTCCAGCTGCGCAATATGGGTAGTGTGGCGCAGGTGGCCCAGAATGCGGTGCATCTGCATAGACGCGGGATGAGCTACATGCCGCTACCGGCTAGCGAGGAAGCAGAGTCTCTGCCGATGGACAGCTTTCGTCCGGACGAAAAACACCTTTCCATCCCTTCTACCTCAGCAGCGGTGGGATCGAGTTCATCATCAGCAGCAGCGCATAGACGAACACTCTCGACGATGGAACGCTTTCTCCGACCTAGTCCATCGCTGCTGTTCCCCGCGTGGATGTATCAGTTGGCGATCCTGCTGGATCTGCTGTTGCGTTTCTTCTGGTCGTTGAAGCTGTCGAGTCATCTGCACCATCTGGTCGAGTGGCAGGGGGGTATGTTCAGTATGGAGCTGTTGGAGATCTTGAGGAGGTGGGTCTGGGTGTTTTTCAGAGTCGAGTGGGAGGTGGTCAGACGCAGGGAGAGGGCGAGATCTCACGTTGCTATGGATTGAAGTCGTAGACTTCCCAACCTGTACGATATCCACGGGCAGCGGTTCACGGGTGACAAAAGATGGATTGCGAAGTCATTCCTGCTTGTCCAACCATCCGACGCCTTGCGCTCTGAGCTTGCGTTCCAACTGTTCCAACCACTTTTGCAACAAGGGCACTGTCTGAGGAGCCGAATCGGGTGCCCAGGAGCTGAGGTATGAGAAGGCGTTTTTCGCGATTTTGGGTGCTAGAGTCAGGGCTGCCCCTTCCGCTCCCCCCGCACCTGCTGCGGCTGCACCTCCCTGTGTCAGCGCCAAGCTCATCCCCGCCGCCGGCGTTGGTGCCTTGAGCTTCTGCAGCTGCTCGTCGACCACGTTGTCAGGCTCGATGCTGATGCCGAGTGTTGCCGTCGCATCTGGTGCTGGTAGGGAACTAGGTTTGGTGACTTTGAATATCGCGCTCGGTTTGGTGTTCCGCACAGCACCCAGGAGCTTCCAGTCGGAAGGCGCGGAGGATGGCCAGAGCAGGTGGACGGTTGCGGAGTATCCGGCGGGGAAAGGCTGGACGCCGGTCATGAAGACGACAACGTGCGAGATGGAGGAGGCGTCTTCAAGAGGGAAGACGATGTGCGTTTCGTCGACTTGTTGCGGATTGGTGAGCGGGAGACGGCCTGGTAGGACGACCGAGAACATGGTTGATGGCGTACTGCGAGAATTGAAATGGGTGGCCAGTCGTGAGAGGATCGGAACTTGTGTCGGATGGAAAGGTTGAGAGGAGATGCGGAAGGGGGATGTTGCTTGAGAGCAAAGCATGGAACGTCGAGAGTAGTGGATCAGGGAAAGCTTCGAGAAAGCAGCTCTAAAGCTCCACATGTATTTCAAGAAGAATCGGGTCATCGCAGCATCGGGTTGGGTCCGAAATCCGAAACCTCGAAACCTCCAAAAAATTGCCAAAACGCCTTCAACCCTGAAATTTTTGCCCCTCCGCTGCTTCTCTCCACGCCCTCGACCGCTTCTTCCAACCCTCACACGAAGACCTTGTCCTTTTCATTCCTCAAAGAGTACGCAATACCCCGTTCTCCCCTGGGATCCTGCTCTAGATACATCCGCGACAATGGCCAACCCACGACAGAGACGGAAAGCCCGCTCCGGGTCCTCCATGAAGCCCTCGCTGAACGCCAAAAAGCAGATGAAGAAAAAACTCTCGCGCGCTCCCACCATCCACGGCGCCGACGTGCTCAAGGACAACTACGATCCCAAACTCACCTTGCGACAGAACTACGCTCGACTCGGTCTCATCCCTTCGCTCGACGTGAGACCCGACACTGGTGGTGTCGAACGCATCCCGTCTTCCTCCTCTACCTCGGCGGAAAACGGTGCGGTGGTCAGAAAGGGTATGGCCAGAGTTGTCCGAGATGAAGCCGGAAACATCGTCGACATCCTCGAACCGGAAGACGATCAGGACGAAGAGACGGCGTGGGGAAAACCCATGTCTTCCAGCATCGCAGACCGCGACGACGTCGAAACCTACATGCCCCCTACCACCATTCCCCGAAAAGGTGGCAACAAGACGGTGGAGGCGCTGGAAGAGATGGCGAGCAAAGCAGCTCCCGTAAAGCGACACTCGAGTCAGCTGGAATCCCAATGGCTGGTAGATCTCGTACGCAAGTATGGAGAGGATACAGAGGGTATGGCGAGGGATAGGAAGTTGAACCCGTGGCAAAAGACGGAGGGGGAGATCAAGCGGGCGATCAAGAAAGCAGGTGGGGTTGAGGCGTTGAGAGGCTCGGAGTAGAGGGTTGTTGGTAGGATTGTTCTCTGTACTTTTAGGTTTCTCAGTTTTGCAAACACGCAGTATTTCTCACAGACCAGCCGTTGCATCAAGGAGAGGGAGTTGTTTCATTCCACTGCTGTCATGGACGTTGTCTCTCAAACCCTCCGCTCCCAATCCCCGCTCTTCCCCCCACTTTTCCTCACCACCATCACCTCCCCAATCCTCATCTCCCTCCCCGCAACCGCCTTAACCATATCCCACACCGTCAGACATGCGCCCATACACCCCGTCAACGCCTCCATCTCCACCCCCGTCTGCCCTGCCGTCCTCGCCGTACACTCCACCTCGATCCAACTCTCCTCCTCCGCATCAATGATATCGAGCTTGACCTCGACGTGCGTCAGTGGCAGCGGGTGGCAGAGTGGGATGAGGTCGGCTGTTCGCTTGGCTGCCATGATGCCGGCTAGCTGCGCGGTGTGAAGCACGGGTCCCTTGTTGGAGATGCCGCGGGACGATTCGGTTTCCCGCAGGAGGCGGACGGCGGAGTGAGGGAGGTAGATTCGCCCAACAGCGGTGGCGGAGCGAGAGGTGGTGTGCTTGGAGGATACGTCGACCATGGAAGCCGAGTTGGTGGTGGGGTCGATGTGCGAGAGACGATGGGAGTCGTTCGCATCCACCTCGGCTCCTTGCGGGTTGTTGAACAACTGCGAGACGGCGGCTGCTCCAGCACGTGCGAATTCTGCTTCCTCTGCATCCTGGTTCGATTGCAGCTCGATCTGTTGACGGAGTAGGTCGTCGTTAGCCGCAAAGGCTTCCTTCGAGTTCATGCGTTGCTGTTGCGGTCGTCCGCCTTGTTTCGATTGCCGCGCGTACTGCTGTGCGTTCAGCTGCATGACCTCCTGCTGACCCTGCAAGTGCAAAGGCACGGCAAACTGCGCAGATGAGTCCGGATTGTCGACAAATGCATCCAGAGACGACCAGGGCGAATCATCATCTTCGCTGCTGTCCTGCATGTAATCCGACCACCGCGCGGCCGATGCCGCCGCTCCTCCGAGGTCAAGCATATTCGTTCCAAAAGATGTTGGCGAAGAGGCAGAAGGAGGAGAGTCCGAGAACCTCACACCCGACAGCGCACCCATTCGAACATTGCGTGTTGGCTTCGGTGTGCTCTTGACGGCGGCAGCTCCAGCTTGAGCAAAGATGGCTTCTTCCATCTCGGAGATCGGATCCTTGGTCGACGAGGTCTTCGTTCGAGGCTGATCTGGGAGAGGCGGAAAGGCGTCTGTGTGAGGACGCTTTTGGTAGACCTGCGTATACAACGATCTATCCTCTAGATTCTCGAACGCTTTGTCTAGATTGCCCCAAGGATTGTCATCATCCTGGTCGTCCTGTCGGTCCTCTCGATGCCTGCGTGCTGAAGAGTGAAACTGCCTCCTGGGCATCATTGACCTACTTGTGAAGCTCGCCCTCGCTGATGGGCTGCTGCGCTTCATCAAGCTTCCAGGTCGTGTGCTGTGCTGCTTGCCTAGCTCTACATCAAGTCGAAGTGGTGAAAGAAGAAAGGCGTGGAGGTGAGCAAAGCCTGCCCTCGAAGCTGTCATTTGACGGGTCCTCTGCTTACGCGGACAGACGTTCAACCACCAATCGTGATCATGGGCCTGTTGAGCGATTTCGCCAGCTCGGTCGGATCGCGCATGCCTGCATGCTTGGCATGCTTGCGACCCACGGCAGCGCCGATCAGCTCGAGCAGCTGTTCGTCTGTCGCTGGCTCGCCATCCGAGCCAGTGCTGAGGGAAGCGATCGGACCAAACCCGCTTCGCATCGCATCGCGAAGGCTGACTTCGGCATTACCGAAGAGGCAGACCTGTGGCATTGCAGCACAAGAAAGTCAAGCAAAAGTCAGCAACGGCCGGAGGGGTAACGGGTATCATGAATTGAGAGAAAAAGGGGGACCTACCTTGAGATTGCCGTCCGCAGTAATGCGGAGTCTGTTGCACGTACCACAAAAATTTTCTGTCATGCTGTTTGAATGGGAGAACATGGAGGTCAGCGAGCCGTCTGGGATGGAAAGATGAGCGGAGAGGGTGAGATGAGACATACCTGGTGATGAAACCGACGGTGCCCTGATGACCAGGCACACGCCAGTGTTTGGATGTGTCGTTGGGATCGTCGCGATCAGCCACACGTTCGAAATCCGGGAACTCTGCTTGGATGGTCTTGACGAGGTCACGATAAGGAACTAGCTTTCGCACCTGCCACTTGTTGCCATCAAAGGGCATATACTGCGCGGATTTGGAGGATTGAGTACCAAATATCAGTACAGATACAGCCACAGCCAGTAGTTTTCTGGTGTCGAGGGCTTACTTACCTCGATGAATCGGATAGTAATAAGCTTGTCTTTGGTGAAACGGACAAAGTCGACGACATCCTTCGTGTCGTTCAGGCCCTTGATGACGACCACGTTGATCTTGACACTTGGCACACCGAGCGCCAGAGCCCTTTCGATGCAGTCCATGACAGCTTCATGGCCTCTTCTTCTTGTCATGAACTCAAACTTGAAGGGATCGAGCGTGTCAAGCGATACATTGAGGTGTGTGAGCCCATTGTTGACAAGCGTGTCGAGCTTGCGCCTGCCAAGTGCGATACCGTTGGTGGTAATGCCGATTTGTTCAAGGCCATGCTGTTTGAGAGAGTTGAATGAGGCGACAATCTGCGGCAGGTCGGAGCGGACGGTGGGTTCTCCACCTGTCAAGCGGATCTTGTTGACGCCTTGCGAGACAAAGAGCGACGCGAGACGTTCGACCTCTGATGTTGACAGCAAGTTGGCTGAGGGTGTCAGCGGGACTCCATCTTCCGGCATGCAATATAGGCAGCGTAGATTGCACTTCTCCGTCAACGAGATGCGGAGGTAGGTATGCTGCCGTGAATGGCGATCTCGGAGGTAGCGAGAGGGAGACGTCGGTGGTTCGAGCTGAGCATCGATGTTTGAGATCCTTTGACGGGCTCGATCTTGCGATGACAGCTGTGAGGTGACGGCGACGTTTCCTGCGATCGGTGGATGGTATGTGCTCGTCGGCCCTGACGTTGCGAGTGTCAATGGTTTGGCTATTGAAGCGGAGTGGGACAAGTACCGGGATGATCCTGTCGATACGATCCTTGATGGTGCCGCTGAACGAGCAACAAGAGCCGCTGTTGCTGCCAGACGGCTCGGACCTGCTACCGCCATCATCTTTGAGCCCTACGCGTTTGTATAAGCGGCAGGGATATCAGGCGAAGCGGGTTGCAGATGGAGTTGAGGAAGACAAGCTCGAAGATTAGATTCCGCCACGCCCTGATTTGGTGTCGGACCAACGAACGCTTTGTTGCATTTTTCCAAGATGCGGGAGTCGGAGACAATAGTCTAACATCCGAGCATATTTCGATACTTCTCGGCCAAATCCGAGCGCGAGTGCAGTGAAGCGGAGAATGCGATTTGATGCAAGAAATAATCTTATCTACAGTACACGCGCCCATCCGGTTCGTTCGCTGATTGATACACAAGCTGCGTTTCTGATTGGCTTTCGAGGCTCGCCGTATCCGCAATCTCGGGCGAGGCTGCTAACACGCGCTCGATCGATTGGCTGTTTCTTCATCACGGGACCTTCTTGCAGTCAAACCCGGACGCCACCCCGCGTACTTCGCTTTCAAAGCTTGCCGTCAAGCGATGCGAGGCGCATTCAGAGTCAATGGCAATGGCCTTGTTCGAGGCAGAGTCGTGAGAATCAAGGAACGGAAGAGCCACCTGCATGCTGCACGTTATCAACAGCGGGCCGTTGTCACACAAGCGAGGCCGAGCACGCTGTGTACCTTGCCACTGTACGCATTCAGAGTGACAGTCGCACCCACACGGAGCACATGCTTCTCGAGCCGTAATCTGGATTCAAAGTAGGCTGCTGATAACCGGTTAAGGCGGCAGTGGTGGCATCCGTCGGTAGGAGCTTGAATTTGCGGCTTGCTATCTCGTCGTCTGACAGCTGACGTCCACGCTGAGTTTTTTCCCGGTTGCCCTTGCCGCTCCAGCCGAGTCAGACGGTTGCAACTACCTTATCCTTCGGTTCCTGTTCATCGGATACGGAGGAAGGCCACGCTTCAAGCTCTGCATTTCGTCTTGCCTTCCGTGCGACCCTGCTCCTATATATTGAGCATCCTACGACATCCGTGGTTACATTTTGTCCCCACTTCATCAACGGGAAGGAGCATCTGCCCTCCGAAGCACCCCACATCTGCGCGTCACTTCCTTCGGAGTTCTTGTCCGACACGTCTCCTTGTGCCAACGTAGTTCTTCTGCTCCTTCTGCTCCCTCCCTCCCTCAGCCTTACTCTTCTTGTGCACGACGCCGCTGTTCCGATGGCAGACGACGACAAACTTCACGGTACCATGTCTTCCAAGCTCGCCACCGTCACCACGCAGCCCTTCGCTCACCCCGAACCACAAACAATCAGCTCTTCGCATGAGCTCAGCGACGACGCCGCTGGAGGCCACGACCGCACCACGTCATGGACTCGTAGTCCCGGCACGCACGCTCGCAATGCGGCACGCAAGCTCACAACTCGACACGGCTGGTTCGGCGATTACAAGTTCGGCCCACTCTGCCTTCCGCGCCTGTTCCCCTGGAAGCCCGAATCGAAGCTCAACGGCGGCGATTCTGAGACTCCTTTCTACGGCGTTCACGACGAGCTTCCTGTAGCAGTCGCTATGCTATGTGGATTGCAGCACGCGCTCGCGATGTTGGGTGGTCTTATCACGCCGCCCATGATCATCGCATCGTCGCTCAACCTGTCCGGAGAAACATCGGCGTACCTCATTTCTGCCAGTCTCATCACGTCAGGAATTATTTCGGCCATCCAACAAGCTGCCATCCCCCTGCCCTTCATGGGCGGCCGACAGCTAGGAACCGGTCTGCTCAGCGTCGTCGGTACGAGTTTTACCACCTTGTCCGTCACGACCAGCATCTTCACCAACTTGTACGCCGATGGCACCTGCCCACTCAATGCGGACGGAACCCGGGCCGCATGCCCCGATGCCTATGGCTACTTGCTTGGCACGGCAGCCGTGTGTGCTTTGCTCGAGATTGCCTTGTCGTTCCTACCTCCTCGAGTTCTTAAACGCTTGTTTCCACCTTTGATCAGCGGTACAGTTGTCTGCTTGATCGGGATCAAGTTGATCGGAGAATCTGCCATCCCTTCGTTCGGCGGCGGCGCTTCCTGTCAGGGTACGACTCAGCTTTGCATGGGTACTGATCACCGGGCCTACGTCTGGGGTGATGCTCACTATCTCGGCCTCGGCTTCCTCGCATTCATGACCGTCGTGGTAACCGAGATCTTTGGCAGCCCTGCCATGCGCAACGCATCCATCGCCATCGGCCTCTTGTTCCCCCTCGTCATCGCAGGACCGCTCGGATACATGACATCAGCACCCATCGACGCCGCACGACCCATCACGTTCCTCTGGGTAGAAACGTTCAAACTCCGGGTGTACGGCCCGGCCGTGTTGCCTCTGTTGGCGGTCTACGTTTCTCTCATGATGGAGTGTATCGGCGATGTCACGGCGACGTCCGAGGTCAGTCGTGTCGAAGTGGACGGGCTGGCGTACGATCGACGCATCAGCGGTGGTGTTTTGGTCGATGGTCTCGCTGGCGTATTTAGCGCTCTCTTTACGGTACCGCCTCTATCGGTGTTTGCGCAGAACAACGGTGTGATCGCCATCACCAAGTGCGCAAACATCCAAGCCGGTCGATGGTGCAGCTTCTGGCTCATCCTGTTCGGCATCATCGGTAAGCTGGCCGGTTGCGTACGGGCTATCCCGCAACCAGTGCTTGGCGGTGTTCTGCTGGTGCTCTTCGGCTCCATCGCTGTTTCCGGTGTCAAAGTGTTGCAGACCGTCACGTTCACCCGACGAAACAGGTTCATCTTGGCACTCAGCTTTGGATTCGGCTTTGGAACCCTGCTGGCAGATGACCTGTTCAGCAACCTCTTCACGTACAGCGGAAGCAACAAGGCGTTATTGGGCTTCTTGGACAGCATCGTGATCGTTATTTCGACGCCGTTCTTAATCAGCGCCATCGTGGGCATGATCGCGAACGGGATCCTGCCGATGGACGAGGAAGACAGACAGCTGCAGAGGTTGCGGGATGCGCCGAGACCGGTGGACCACTCTGCATCGGATGAAAAGCTGTCTGCCTAGGAAAGTGACGCTGCTTTCTCCTAACTTTGTACTTTATTCGCTTGGAATCACTTTAGCAGGAGCTGCATGTATCGCAAGCCGTATGATCACTGTTCTCGGGCTGAATCATGTTGAGGGTTCCTCGCTGCTAATATAGGCATGATTTGAGCATGAGAGAGCTACAGAGTATATGTGGATTCAGAGAGGGACAAGGAGATCGGGAACTGGATGCGCGTCCCGATTGCCTCCCCCGCACTTTTTTAGCTCGAGATTTCACGTAGAACTCTCTCACGGGCCAACTCTCACGACACCAAAGAGCTTGATAGTAACCTTGGTCTCTGCATCATCCACACCCCTCCACGCTGACCGAACGACCATCCTTCACTTACAGGCTTCCACGATGGCCGCTCCACTATCCGCGTCCCAAACAACACCGTCTCGCAGCCCCGTCCCATCGACGATGAAGGAGGTGCGCGCCTTCCTCTCACTTCCACCTCTTCCGCCCAACGCGCGCGTTCCCGCAAGAGCATTTGCACTCGGCTACGCTTCCAATGTCGTCCTCGACGGTGTGCTACCCCTTGCTCTCCGTAAAAAGTCCGCACGCGAAGCGTTGTCCGCACTGATCTCGATCAAGTCGCTTCGATCTGGATCTGTGCTCGCGCTGTTCTCGGCGCTCTACCGCGTGCTGCTTTCACGACTCACTTCGCTCCGACTGGCTTTGCTGGCGAGAGCACCGGATGCAGACAAGCTGGACTACGCAGTGACGAGAGATCGTGTTCGAGCTCGGCTGCTGAAGATTCTCAACTCGGCCGCACTCGTACCCTTCACCGCTGCTCTGGCCGCTTCTTCGGTGCTGTCGCTCTTTCCGATCCCTTCGCTGCGTCGTTCGCTCGCGCTCTGGTTGTCCACCAAAGCGGTGGAAAACCTCTACGTCCATCTACGCAGTGTTGGATCTCGATCTGTCAGCTGGGTACCGGACTTTATCGGCGGTGGGTTCTTCTACGCGCTCTCTAACGGCTCGTTGCTATGGACGTTCTTGTTCGAACCTTCTTGCTTCCCCTCCTCGTACGGTCGAGTCATCCTCGCTCGATCTACATCTTACATCCCACCTCGACCGGCCGGTCTACCGACGTCGATCCCTTGGCCTGCACCTAGAGACGTGGCCGACACAATCGCACAACTCTCCACCCCCTCCTCCACTGCTGCTGCATACCCGGCGTTCCAAGCACCCGTTTTGTCGGCTCTGACACCGTCCAAGTATCCCACGACGCGCTACCCGTTGATCAATCCGATCCTGGACTACGCACCTGCGCATCCCGCCCACTCCCGATTGCTCTGCGCCGTGCTCCACCCAACCCAACCCAGCTGTTCGCGCAACTTCCTCGGGTTCTTCGCTAGCGAATGGCAGGCAAGCGCCAAATTCGTAGCCGTATTCACCGCCATCACCCAACTCATCTCGTACAAAAAAGTCCTCAAAGACCCCGAAACAGCTCTGTTCAAATTCGCTTTGGCTGTGGTCCAAGGTGCAACGGTGATCTCCGGTAGCATCGGTACAGCATGGGGTCTCACGTGCTTCTTCCAACACTACCTCCCGCGAACCATGCTCCCGCGCGCACGGTATTTCCTCAACGGCTTTCTCTCCAGCATCTTCATCCTCGCCGTCCCCCAAGCCAGGCGCGCCCAGCTCGGCAGCTATACGACACGACAAGCTTTGGACGCCGTATGGGGTGTAGGCAAGAAACGCGGTTGGTGGAAAGGTGTCAAGAAAGGCGATGGTGTGTTGCTGGGCGTGGGGCTCGCGGTGTTGATGTGCATGTACGAGACCAGACCGGAGAGTGTCGAGAAGAGTATCGCGAAAGGGTTGGGGGTGCTGGTGGGCAGGCCGGCAAAGGTAGATGCTGAGAAACAGAGAAGCCTCCAGTGGTCGCCGAAGGGCGAGGACGCCGAGGGGAAGAAGTCCCAATAACGGCGGATAGTGAACATCAGCTTGTCAGCGTTGCTCCCACACTGACATGTTAGACTCAACAAACTTGCTCATTCACTTGCTTAACCACGACTACAAGCGACATCCTCAGACCTCAAACACGCACTACCACAACCGATCGTCCTTCATACGTCCTACATACCAATCTAATCTATCTGTAATTTCTGCCCCTCCTCATCTACAAATCCCTCTCCAACTCACCCAACATGCTGTACAACTCGCCATCCCTGATACTAGCATAGATGACCGAAACATACCCACCCGTCGTATTCCACTGTTCAAACTCGCCCCTAAACTCGTTCAGATTCTCCTTGCCGTGCATCGGCACTCCCAATGTCTTCCTGACAAACTCGTACGCTCGCTTCGTCTTGCCCAACAGATGACTCGCATGACACGCATGAGGGTTATCCAAGAACTCCACCGTCACGTTCCTGTAGATCGCCTCCGTGTCGAGCACGCCCGCCGCCCTCCACTTGACAATGTTCCTGAGCGGATCGGCACCACCGCCGCTGGGCAGCTCGGAGAAGTACTTGACCAGCACCGACGAGGCATCCTGGTACGTCTCCACCAGTCGATCGCGCAGATCCTTCGAAGAGGTCTCATCGAGACGCTTGCTCATGCTTTTGAGGACCAGCACTGCGATCTCCTGCTGCTTGGCCTCGTCCATCCATTCGCCAAAGTGGACGCGAAGCGATCCAAGGATGAGGGCGGGAAGCTGCTCAGCTACCTTGTGCTGCAGAGCGCGAATGTCGTACGCCTGGCACAAGATGTACAGCGACCAAGCCTGGATCATCGAGAGACACTCGACAGCCTGAAGCGTCTGCCTACCACTGATGAGCGCCAGCGAGTTGATCGCTTGGTTGGCCATCTCGGCGCTTTGCACGTGCGTCGACACCGGGTTGCCAAGGAACATGAGCTCCGAGGTGACACTGGCGAGCGCGATGTCGATACCTTTGGCGTGGAAGTTGAGCGAGAGATCGGGAGTGGAAGCCAAGTTGGCGGGCAGGCCGCGGTTCATGGCCGGGTTGACGAGCTCGGTCATCTGCTGGAAGGTCATCTTGCCCATGGCGCACAGAGCGAGGCGGATCTTTTCAACGGCGTTGGTCATGGCCATGGCCTGGAAGTTGCCGCCGTGGTGAATGCGCCCATCGCCATCGTAGGGGTCGATCATCGGGTTGTCGGTGGTGCTGTTGATCTCGATGTCGACGGAGCGCTTGGCGTTCTCAATGTCTTCGAGACCGGGGCCGACCCACTGCGAAGCGGTTCGGAGCGTGTAGCGGTCCTGACGCAGCGTGCCATTGTCCTCCGAAAAGAGCACATGTTTTTCGTCCTCGAGATGCAGTGCAAGTTTTGACCCGGACAAAAGCGCACGGATGAACTTGGCACTCTTGATCTGACCGGGGTGGGGACGGGCGATCTCGTGAATGAAGGGAGCAAAGCTGGCGTCGGTACCCTTGAGGGCCTCGACGGCCATGGCAGTGGTGAGCTGCGTCAGTGCGGCTAGCTTCTCGGCCTCGTAGGTAGCGAGGCCTGCGACGGACGCCGAAAAAGCGGTACCGTTGAGCAAACCAAGCGCCTCCTTGGGCTCGTACTGTACAGGTGTGATATTGTGCATGCGGCAAGCCTCGTCCGCAGTGACCCTGACGCGCTGGCCACGCTGATCCGTAACAAAGCAGTAGATGCCGCGCTGACCAGCGAGAGCACCGGCGACGTAGCTGAGCGGACTGAGATCGCCGCTCGCCGAGATGCTGGATCTGACGGGGACGACAGGCGTCACGTTGTTCTCGAGGAAGAGCTTCTGCATCTTTTCGAGCACTTCCCAGCGCACACCCGAGTGACCGCGCATCAATGAGCTGAGCCTGACCACGATGGCGCCCCTGACCCACGCCTCGGGCATGATCAACGACGACTCGGTGTCTGTCAAAGGCAATGCAAATGGAGCCGAGCTGGGCTCGCCAGTGGGGAATGTTGAAGGGACGGGCAAGACACCGCATTGCTGCATCTGGAGCAGGGCGAGCTGGAGGGCTCGCGTGTTGGCGGTCCTCGAATCAGCCGATCCACCAAAGCCCGTGTTGATGCCGTAGATCGATTCGCCACGGTCAAGCTTGGCGATGAGCGACTGGACCGAGTCGTCAATGCGCTTGCGCGTAGCGGCGGACGAGTCGAGGACGGGAACGTGGCCGTAGCGTGCCGAGGCGACGAGACCCTGGATCTTGAGATTGTATCCATCGATGACGACCTGTTCCGTGCGGAAGGACGAGGCTTTGCGGAGCTTGGTATCCGATGGCTGCACCAGCAAGCCGGGCCGAGCGGACGCTTCGGCGGCGGGGAGCACGTCGGCTGTAGGTGCCATCTTGCTTGTCGGTGTGAGGGGAGGAAGAACTTGACCTGATGAGACGGGCTCTGGATGACTCGCAATCGCGGTCACGGTCAATGACGGAAAGGGAGGCAAAGATGGGTGGTGAGGGAACAGGGTATCCTCATGCTGAGCTGTCTATCTTATATGAATGCTGCCTCTGGCACCCGTTGCTCATTCGCATCGTGTCTCTGGCTTCAGCTTCGACTGTCACGGCGCGATCCCGACGCGGCACCAGCAGATCCGACCACAAAGGCATGCCGGCCAGGGAGCTGCGCTGCTTTAATTCAGTGCACTACACTGCGCGGCGACACGCTCACATCCCAGATTTCTCTGCGCACCGACAAGCATCGAAGCATCAATCAGCAGCGCACCACCAAGCCGAAAACCCACCTTTCGGCCTGCAATTGTGATGCGGAATAGCCGACGATAGCCAGAGTAGTGGCAGAAAGAATGCGCGGGCTTGGGCTGGACTGCTCTGCGCTGCGATGTGGAGCCTGTTGCTGCGATTTCATAGTTCGACAGGCCCGGCAGCGGCCTGCATGCAAACCCTGCGCACAGTGTGGAGATATTAGGCAGCTGACAGCAGCACTTGCGCTGTCGACCCCAAAATCAAGGGATCTGCGTTCTTTGACCCTTGTTTTTCGGATGTCCCGCTTTTATCGGTTCTTGGGCTACGATACGCGTCACAAGGGCAACTTGTCTCGCTGGCTGCATCACGGAATCTCTCTCTCCGGATAGGGAAAGCACGAAGCGTTATCGTGTGAGCGGCAAGGTCTTGCCCGTCATCTTCTCCGATCCACAATGTGCCATCATCGGATCTCGATACTGTAGTCTCGATGCCCCCGATGTGAGAGCTCTTCACCCACCTCTGACAATGTCAGCCCATCGCACTGCGAAAGTTCATATGAACATCACAGACGTCGCTCCTATTCGGACTCGACGCATCTTACGACCAACGTTAGCTCACCGACGGTCGGCTGTGCTTTCGAACCATCGTCTGCTTTCACTCACTAATTCACCCACTAACAATTGCACAGATACTGAACAGTGCATCGGAGCGTTCCTTCGCTCGATCGCAGATATGGTAGTCATGCAACCTGACATTACTACGAGCCTCGCCGTGCATCTTTCACCCTATCCCGTCTTGTTTGCTGCCAAAAACTCCTGAAACTCCCTCACATTGGCCTCAAACCCACCTCGATCCACCTTGAATCCGATCCCCAACGCAAACTCGTTATCAAACTTGGCCGGGAAAGTCCTCACCAACCTCTCGCACACCTCGTCTTTTTCAAACTTGATCAACTCGACCGCCTCGTCGCCTGCCACCTTCCGCAGTGCTTCCACCTGGTCCTTGACGCTCACTGTGAAACCGGGCAGATTGACCGCCCGCGAGTACCTGGGGAATTTGTCGGCGGGGATGTCTTTGGCGATGACGAAGTTTTCCAGCACCGTGCTGGGTGAAGAGATCCACAGAAGGGTGGATTCGAGGAGGGGATCGTCGGCGCTCTTGCCGATCGGACATGTGGCGGGCAGACCTTGAAGAGGTTCCCGGATGATACCAGAGACAAAGGCTGTGGTGGCTGCGGCGGGAGCACCTGGTCGAACCGTGATGGTGGGCAGCCTCACCGCTCGTCCGTCGATGAACCCTTTGCGAGAGTACTCCGTCACGAGGTACTCGCACATCACCTTGGCCGTTCCGTAGTTGGACTCCGGTCGAGGATACGTGTCGGGCGTGACAACGTCCGGTAGCTTGCCACCGAACACACCGACAGACGAAGCAAAGATGAATTTGATCCCTGGGACTAGCTCCTTGGCCTTGTCGAGCAGCGATTTGGTCGATTCGAAGTTGACTTTGAAGCCGAGATCCCAGTCGTCTTCGGAGCCTTTGGACATGATACCGTGCAGGGAGTAGATGACAGAGGGCAGACCCAGGTCTGTGCGAAAGATCGAGTCGACACCAGAGGCGGTGGTGAGATCGGCGCCGAGACACACGCTCTTGATGCCCGCAGTCTTGGGCGCAGGTGGCGTGCGGACATCGACGAGGATGAATTGGAACGTATTTTGCGGCTGAAGCCGTACCAGGTTGTCGGCGAGCAGCGAGCCGAGAAAGCCTCCAGCGCCCGTGATCAGCACCGTCATCGACATCTTTGGTGTAGATTTTGAAAGCAGGTGCGAGTGGTGGTATGGAAAAGACAGATCTTGTCGGGTAACAAGCAAGACCAGAGCAGGGCTACCGGCTGGTCCGTGTGTTACTCAAGCTCTTTCGAGCTCGCCAGTTTGTGTGGAGTTTTTCTTCGACGTGGGGGAATAACGCGGGATAGAAACCCGTGCGAACCCTACACCTCACACCCGCCGCTGCGTTCCTATCACCTTCATTCGCTTCCACATGTTGACGAAACAAGGAAGAGCCCCCAGTGAACGGTTGATCTTCCGTAGCGAATTCTTCGCGCATGCCCTAGATAGGTGGGCGAGTCGGACCACTTTGGTAAGTGCCTGGTGTGAGAATTGAGCCCACCCAAAACAAAAACGCACTCCAGCAGCGAGAAAGCGCGTCCGAGCCGCCTCCACGTTGTCAGCGTACGGTTCCAGGTGGCAGATCATTCTCTCCCTGAAGACGTCGAAAACACGGTCGATCATCCTCAAAGAGAGTCTCAATTGCCTCGCTCTCACCATCTTCTGCAGCACTTGACATTCCGCTCACCGTTATGCACGGGTTGTTGCCAGTGGACGGCACGTCTGCAATTGATAGCATCATGAACATACTTGAGCATACTGGGTGCGACACCTCAGGCACCCAACTGCAGCGAACTCCACTCGGCCATACTACCCTTCGTCCTGGTCGTATGATGCGCACCCTCCTTGACCACACTGTGCGTGCTGCGAGGATCGCTATCGTCCTCACCCTTCGCAATCACACCGCTGGACGCGTTTGCATCGTTGAGCAGAGGAGCCATCCTGCCCGAAGCGTTGCGCTGGTTGATCGGCGCTCTGGTTTTCGGGTCCTCTTGCTCTCCTTCTTCCTCTTTTTCGTTCTGCTTTTGCTTCTTGCTGTGCTGCGGTTTGCTTTCGTCTTTGCTACCCCAACCACCGCCACCAGGCGTCTGGATCACGATGCGATCACCCCTTCCCATCGGCGTGGTGTTCTTCCCGCTCAGATTGATGATCCTCGGCGGAGCTTTCTCTTCCTCTTCGCCTTCCCTCAGATCTCCTTCCGCCTCCCGCCTCTGCTTGACCCACAGGTTCATCCCTTTCTTGGCACTTTCACCGCCTTCCAGTCCAAACGGCGAGAACACCCTCCTCTCGCTCAAAATCGACACCTGTATACCCGGGCTGAGAAACTCGATGTCCCTCACCACCCCATCGCCTCCTCGGAACTCCCCTTCCCCACCAGACCCATCTCGCAACGAAAACTCGCGCAGTACGACGGGATACCTCCTCTCCATGATCTCCGGGTCCGTGATGCGCGTGTTCGTCATATGCGTGTGGACGCCCGACGTGCCGTGCCAGTAAGGACCAGCTCCCGAACCACCTGCAATGGTCTCGTAGTATCCGAATCCTTCGATATGATTGCCATCCTTGTCTTTGCCTCCCAGACCGAACGTGAGGTTGTTCGTATCGCCCTGACTCGCAGCTGCCGCATTGAACGCTCTGAGCACCACGTCGGTGATTCGTTGACTTGTGAGAACATTGCCGCCGACCACAGCGGCGGTATCGCTGGGATCTAGTAGCGAGCCTTTGGGGATACGAATATCAATGGGCGTCAAGCAGCCCTGGTTCAGCGGGATCTCGGAGGACACCATCGATCGAAGGCAGTAGATGATGGCGCTCGAAACCACCGATCGAGGACAGTTGAAGTTGGCAGCCACCTCCGGACCCGTACCCTCGAAATCGAACGTCGCCGAGCCCTTTTCCGTATCGATATCGACACTCAGCTCGATGGGTGTTCCGTCGTCCATGTAGTCCACCGCGTGTAGCTTCGTCCCCTGTCGCTTTGCCACATCTCGCAGCAACGATCGCACCGCCTGCTCCGCATTGTTACGGATGTACTCCATATACTGCTGCACTTTGTTCAGCCCCCACTCTGCCACCAACATGTGAATGAGATTGATGCCCTTTTGATTGGCTGCGATCTGCGCCTGCAAATCGCTCTCCACATCTCTGAAACACCTCGTTCCCGAACATCCCGGGTATTGTGCTGGTTCTTCCAGCATGTACCTTTCCAAACCTTTGCGATCGAATTTGCCCTCGCTGACGATCTTGAACGATTTGATCCTTGCACCTTCCTCGAAGAGCGTCTTGGATGTCGGCGGCATCGAGCCTGCTGTGATACCACCGATGTCAGCGTGATGACCTCTGCTGGCGCAGAAAAAGATGATCTCGTCCGAGTCTTCCGCATGGCATGGTGTGATGCAGGTGATGTCCGGCAAGTGGGATCCTCCAGCCATAGGCATGTTGGCCATGATCACATCGCCTCGTTTCATCTTTTCGCCGATCGAGGCGAGATAGTCGACCTGAAACTTGACTGCAAACGACATGGAGCCAAGATGTACCGGAAGATGTGGTGCATTGGCGACGAGCGAGCCGGCTGGGCTGAAGAGCGCACATGAGAAGTCGAGCCGTTCCTTGATGTTGGTAGAGATCGACGTCTGTTGGAGCGATTTGCCCATGGATTCGGCTACGGACATGAAGCGGTTGGCGAAGAGCGAGAGCAAGATCGGATCTGGTCCGGCATCTTGCTTGTCGTCGTTGGTCATCTTTGCGGTTCTTTACCTTTCTCTCGAGTCTGAAGGAGTGAAGATGTGGATACCAGCGTCCAGTCAAGGTGACGGAGGTAGTGACGCAAAGCGAGGTTACAGACCGTGCGCGCGAGGCACATTCGACTCCACCTTTTCGGGCTCTGCCACGGTCTTCCTTCGGCTAATTTCTTGACTTACTCATCTGGAATCTTGGTGGATCTGCGTAAATCTGACGTGCCATCGGGCTGTGACTACTTCTGTTACGACAGCTCATTTCGACTTCCTGCAACCTCCTGGTTGGCATATGGTTATCCCGGATTGCACTCACTCAGACGCAACTGGCTGACCGATTCGAAAGAATGACAACAGATTGCAATAGCTATGTACAATGTGGATTGAAGGACTGGCCCATAAAGGCGTGCTACCTGCTGCGTGTGGATGTGCTGGTAGCAGCGTCGACGGGCCAAATGCAAAATGGAACGGACCCGAATGAGTGAATGAGTGTGTGCTGCTGTCACTGAAACCGCCAAGTGTGTGTCAAATGAACGTGTGGCGGAACGAACGAAGCAACTTGTTGTTGAGAGGCAACTGGGAGACTGAAGTGTTCAAGTGGGTTGGAAGCTGCTGGAATGCCGACGCGCAAGAGACAAGCTCAAAGAAGAATGCTGAGACCTGCGACAACAGCGGCAGCAGCGGTGAAGACAGCAGTACCAGCGTTCGAGCTGGAAAGAGCGCCGTTGGTTCGTGGTGAGCCTGTGGACGAGGCACTGCTACCAGAGCTGGCGCCGGTCGTGCTGACCGAGCCGCTGGATCGCGATGCGGAGGTAGAAGCCGCGCTTCCCGACGCTGTTGTCGTCGTTCCCGCACCGGCAGCAGCGGTAGACGATGGAGCAACGGTAGAGCTGCCTGAGCCGACAGTGGATCCGCTGACGATGGAAAGCTGAGCGCTGTTGGAGGTCGTGCCGTTGTGGGTGATGTAGATCTTGTCAGTGTACGACACCAGATTCTGGTCCTGGACCGACATGGCGCGCAATGCCGAGTAGTTGCCAGCATTCCACGAGCTGGGCACAGTAAAGACAAAGCCACCGCACTGTTTGCCGTTGGATCCGGGCTGGCCGTAGCCGTTACCAGCGTCGCAGGTGTTGGAGATTGCAGGAGCAACACCAACAGTGTAAGCGAGTTCCGAAGTGTCGTTGTTGGCCATGAGGTCGATCTGGACGTCGCCTGAGGAGGGAGGGTTGTACCAGTTGACCGCGACTTGCTGTCCAGGTGCCCAGTAGATGGTGCATTGGTAAAAGTTGCACGAGGGCTCGTCGATGACGAGCGTCGAGTCGGGGTTTTGGTACTGACGCAATTGGAGCTTTGGTGCAACAGCAGCCAACGCCGGAGCAGCAAGGACAGCCGCACCGGCCAAGAATTTTGCGAGAGGAGCCATCTTTGAAACGAGTGTTGCTTGACGGATCGGAGAGGGTGCTAGCGGGTCAGAATGGAGGTGAAGGGAAGACAAGGGAGGAGGGGATGAAGGTGGTAGGAGAAGGTCAGAATGCAACGGCGATGGTGGGTGATGAGCTGAGCTGAGGAGTGAATCAAGATCGAAGTCGAGTCGGAGCTCAGAAGACTCTGCGGAAGGGAAGGACAAGCTGTGCTTTTGATGAGGACGAATTTGGAATTAGCAAAGCTGAAGATGTGGGATGTGTGACTTCTTTCCAAGATCGCGAGGAAGGTACAACCTGTGACCAGCCTTGTGGAGCAGCACGCTAAGCGAGCCGGCATCTCTGGTGACGGAACGGCAGGGTCGGCGGCCAGAGCTTCGCGGCCTTGCGATATGTACCGCGGCCTGCATCGTCGCTCTTTGCTGTGGGACAGAGAGACAGGAGGAAGCTGCGATTTGAATTTGTTTGGCAATTTCGAGCCGCGAGTCCGCAGATCGGCGACATTATGCAGCATTACCGAACGAGCTATTCATGCTCGACTAGTCCACTGCATTCGAGCCGGCCGCCCAATGCACCTTCGGAGACCCTGTCGATCCTTTGTTGTATTTCGAAACACTTCTTGCCAAAACAGGCAAAGTGGTTCGGGGCGAGCAAGATCCGCTTCTTGGTTCCCAAGAGCCAAGCGTCACTTCTTTTGAGCATTGCATTCACAAGCTCTGCAAAAGACGACTGCAGGAGCTACCTCGAGTCTTTTCAGAACAAGCGATAGGTGCGCAAACCAAGTTGCGTTTTCGCCCTGCCGACTCGCATAGGAGTTTCTGCGTGCATGTGCATGTGCGGGCACGCGTGCTGATCGTCAAAGGGGATGCATGAAAGGCTCGGCGTGAGCGCTCCCCCCGGAAGAGAACAGCGCTGTTGTGCCTTGCTTCCGTGCTTCTACGAAAGCTCGGTTGACCAGAAGACGAGCAACACGAAGTCAAGGTTCTTGCCATCACAATGCAAAGCACTGCTTGCCAACTCTCTTCTCTGCAGGTGATGCCTTGGATTTGCACTAGTCATGCAAGCGCGCCCCGGAATTGCGCTGTGCGCTTCGGGCACCATCGTTTTCGAGGTGCATCGGATCCCTTTTGTGTGCAGCACGTCTCTTCGGCGAAGCATGCACCATGGTGCCGACTGCTTCGGAACGAGCATGACCCGGATTTGTCGATCTAACAGCCCCCTCTTCTCGAATCGGGTCGATGAAGCGTGGCGACTGGGCAGATCTGTGTCAGTGGACATTTTTAAATTTTCGCGGAAATTGCGAGAAGCTTCTTGTGTGAAGCCATGCAAGTCATGGAAATTTCGACCTTGCCCCGCGTTCAAAGGCTGAGAAGTTCCACGGGTCTCTGGAAGCGCCATACAGGGTCCAGAGCGGTGCAGAGAGCTCGTTTCGAGCGCTTTCTGTGTGCATCTCTGAGCATCCACACCGATCCATAGGCGTCGCTGGATTGCCGAACGTCCCGTCAGGGTCCAATGCGTGGCTGCCGCAGTGACACGACCGGAGTTTAAGCTTTTTGGCCTGTCAAGCAGCTCCACGCAAGCCATCGAACTCAGCTGGCCTGTCCGCAGTAGTAGCTGGCGTCGTCATGCTGCGCAGCCTCTGGTCTTCGGTGCAAGACGTTGCTACATTTGTCCTGGGAGTTGTACGACTATAAAGCGTAGCCTTCTGTCCGACACCACTCCTTCCCATCTCATCATCAGATCCACACTCGGCCTCACTCCTCTGAATCAGGAACAACTCCCAAGCTACCCAAAGCGTCATCTCTACCATACTCATTCTGCACCCCGCTTCAACATCAGCCATGGAGTTCTTCTTCCCCGCCGACGTCTTCGCCGCCTACCCTCGTCAGGGTCCTTCGACCCGCACCACCTCGTTCGGTGCTGGACCCTCCAACAACCCGTTCAGCGGGTGTGGTTTCGACAGCCACCCCCTCTTCGCCGACGCATTCGTCGATGCAATACAACACGAACGCGCTGCTCACGCCCGTGCCGAGGCTCAACGCGCTGCCCGCGCCGAAGCCGCACGTCGCGAAGCTGAGGAACGTCAGGCCCAGGCTTACCTTCAGCACATCCTCGAAGTGCAGCAGCGCGAGGCTCGACGCAGGTACCAGCTCGAACAGCTCCACCGCCAGCGACAGGAAGCTCAGCGCCGTCAGCAGTACGCCGAGTACCAGCGTCGCAAGGCCGAAGCTATCGAGAAGGAACGCCAGCGTATAGCTGCAGCTAGAGCCGCAGAGGACCAGTCCAAGCAGCTCTTCCTCGCTCTTGAAGATTTGATCTTTGGCGGTCTCAACTCTTTCTACCGTGCCTGCCAGCAGGAGGACGACGATGAGCAGGAGGACGACGACATCGAGCTTGCTCACAAGAACGATACCCAGCAGCAGGCTCCTGTAGCCTCAAATGCTACTCGAACCCCCACTGTCGACGTTAAAGGAAAAGGCAAGGCACAGGATCATGACGAGAAGCCGGACATGGAGGTGGACACCACCGAAAACAACGACACCGTCGCAGCAGCAGCTGCAGCAGCTCTGATGGACACTGACGAGGACCCTGAAGAAGTCGGACCGGTCCCTACGTCTCCTACCATCGAGGCTACCCCTCCTCCGGCTCCAGTGGCCCCCCTCGCCAAAACAGAACAGGTCGTCTTTACGCATGCTTTCCCCGATAACGCCAGCTTCGACAAGTCGTCCATCCGCGCCGATCAGATCCATGTGTCGGTCGACGAATCACAGCGCAAAGTCACCGTCTCTGGCCTCTGGAAGAACGAACCCGCCGCTTCTTCGGTGAACGCCTCTCCTGCTCGCTCTGCCAGCCCGACTCCGTCCGACAGTTCGTCTCGCCGTGGCCGATCGCGCTCTCCCAAGCGAGCTCGAGTTTCGGACGTGGACGAGAACGGCGAAGAGATCGTATCCCCTGACGCGGATGCAAACGAAGACGACTTTGTCGAGGTCAGCTTCACCCGCGCTGCTTCAGCTCCAGAGCGAATCGAGAGGACTTTCGACCTCCCTTCTGGTGCCAACATCGAAGACCTGCGCGCAGAGCTTACCGATGAGGGCTTGAAGCTGTTCACCACTGTCTCCGCTTAGATCCAAATAGTACCCTTGCTCCCTCGCTCTGCAGCCTCCGACGGTGTGCCTGTCTCTATCAGCTAGAAGTTCATTTGTGAAATATGAGCATCCCAGTCTGCAGACTACACGACCGAAGCGAGTCTGATCATTGTCTGTGATAAGCAAGCTGCATGCCAGTCTTGAAAGCGACCGTCGGATCTCGAATTGAGGCTTGCGTTGGTCCGCGCTTTCCGCCGGGTGCCTCCTTGCAGAGCCGAGTGTAATCGCCGAGCGAGCCGCAAAAGTGGTCTGAGAATCAATGTTGGAGTCCGATATAGTGTAGAAGACGCCACAACGCTCAACCGTGTGTCGTCACTTAGCGCCAGTTTCAGGCGATTCGGCTCTTTCCGTATCTCGTAGCTGAACTGCTACGATGTACGCTCGGGTAGACTGTATTCAGCGATGGGAACGCGCATGTTTTTGATCATCAGGGTCGAGCGCTTTTACGACAAGCTCGAGGAAGAGACAAACGTTACTCAGCGCGCTAAGAAGGTGTGTCAGGTTGGGCGGGGCATCCTCTTATCTCTTAAGCGAGGTGCGAGTTTGGTGCTAGTGTTGTGGCAGGATCTTGAGAATTCGACCAAGGCTATGACACGCGCCAGTTCTCTTGGGATTTTCTTGGCATCTTTTTCTGCGGCATTTGGTTGTCCTTATCAGCGTGCATCGCCGTGCTCGCGCGTGCATGCCCGATTTTATGAGCATACACCAACGGCAATCCAATTCGCTCTCAGCTCGCTGGTTCTCGAATGCAAAGTGCGGCCCATGCTCACAGCAACTTCTTCGAGCAAGGTCTTGAGACGAGAGACATCCACGAGATAAGAAGACCTGAACATCCGCTACACACTGTACGTACGCAGCACGTACAGTGACGCCAAATTAGCCTAGTCAGAGTGGAAATGCGTACGCCGCTTAGCGACATAATTTCTTATCAGTCGGCTGAAAAGTGGATCCAAGTATCTCCTCGCATGTCCGTCTGTTGCTGTACAGAGCCCCCGCATTTTTTCGCCTAGCTCGGGGATCTAGCGCGCACACCCGAGAGATAAGGATGTGCGAGAGGCTTTTGTTTGCCCAGATCTGTATGCGGGAGGGACGAAGGGCAAAGCACTACATCTCTGCTCTCATGCGGCTCTGTCGGGTCGTATAAACAGGGACGCTCGAGACATTCCCTGACGTTCAAACCATCATCCCTGTACGACCGACCAACCTCACAAAAGAGTCCTGCAAATAACATCCTGCAGAACCAAAACTCTACCAACATGTCGCAAATGATCACATTGGAACAGGCGACGTGGGCCTGGATCGAGGCAGGCCCGCGCAAGCACCACATGGACGTCGGCAAGCGCTTCGTCAAGGGTATCTTGGCTGGTTTCTGTAAGTGATTGACGTTGAACGGACCTGGACCATTTTTCTTGGTATGTCGACTGACACCCTGAACAACGACTTTGATGCATCGCTCCCGACAGTGCTCTCGACCGGTGGTATGCTCGTTCAGATCATGTCTGCCAACCCTTGGTTCGCCACCAACGCTCCTGGCCTTCTCAAGATCATGCAAGGTGCCATCTTCCCCGTCGGTCTGTGCATGATCGTCCTGCTGCAAGCCGATCTCGTCACGGGCGAGATGGCCGTCTTCCTCATGTCCACCGTCAAGCGCAAGGTGCCCTACTGGGCGTTCCTCTACGGCTGGACCATCACCTTCGTCGGCAACCTCGTCGGTGCTCTGTTCTATGCCGCCTTCCTGGTCCACTTTTCTTCGCTCTACACCCCCGCCATGAACACAGGTGCGGCCAATGGCGCCGATGCCAAGGTCTCGGCCATCAACTTCCGCGAACTCTGGCTCCGAGCCATCGGATGCAACTTCCTCGTCTGCGTCGCCGTCTTCCAGGCTTCGCTCGCCAAGGACGTCGTTTCCAAGGTCGTGGCCAGTTGGTTCCCCATCTTTGTCTTCGTTGCTGCCGGGTTCGAACACGTGGTCGCCAACATGTTCTTGATCAACGCTGCGCTCATGACGCGAAAGACCAACTTCAGTGTCGGCGAGTACATCTGGAAGAGCATCATTGCGAGTTTCTTGGGTAACATCATCGGTGCTGCTTTGTTGGCGTTCCCGTTGGTGTACCTGCATGGAGGTGATGAATTTGACCCCAGCTCGGGCCCTAGGGCGGGGGCAATCAGCTCCGGTGGCTCGATCAACGACGTGACGCTGCCTGCCAGCGGTCACGGAAGCGTCAACGGGCAGCAAAAGTGGGCCAAGGACATCGAGTCTCAAATCGGCCAGGCCGGCTAAGCTGCATCCAGCGCATATTTAGTTTTGTACTTAGCTCCGTATAATCGCTCGGTTCTTCTGTTTTACAGTTTATGAGAACGATGAATGTCGATTCGCGTGTATCAAGACTTTGCCTGCGCGTGTTGTGTCAGAGTTGTGTTCTGCGTGACTACCTACGTTAGACGACAGCCCTTTCCTCTGTTTCAAGAGTATGCTGCACTGACCCTTGAGCAATCCGGTCAACCTCCCTGACTGGCTGGGAGCGCAAAGCTAAGGCTCCTGAATGGTGCCATCCGTGAGTGAAAATGACACGTACCGCCAAACAAAATGCGTTCCAAAAATTGAGGTAGAAGAATTGCCGCTAAAATGGTGATATTTCGGCTTTGCATTTTCTCGCTATCTTCCGAAACCCGCTGCAAGGGTTCGCCACTTTCTTCCATTCACCAGCTTCCTTGCCAATCTATTCTTCCCTTCTCATCCTCCTGCAAGTAGTCCATTGCACTGCTTTCAGAGAGAAGGCAGGTATATAGAATGGACAGCAACAGCTCTCCTGCGCGGCCAGTGTGGCCCGCAAAGAAGAGTTGGGCCTCCACGCCAGTCACCGCATCCTCCTCTCGCGAACCAACGCCCTCTTCATCTTCCGCAGCCTTCCCACCGCTCTCGTCACCCCAGTCACGGCGCGGCTCAGCACGACCCAGTCCTTCTCCCCTCAGCTCCGACTCTTCGCTCATCTCGAGCTCCGCCTTCAACCCGTACCCGACACGCAGGCAGGAACTCGCCCTCCGCGCAGCCAGCCACGGCACGCGCAAACGCTCCCACATCACACGCAGCGATCCGTCCACTTCTCGCATCCACTCTTTGCTCGACTACGACCACGATGGTCACGATACGATTATGCGCGATGTCGACGACGATGACGACGACGATGACGAGGGGGGACAGGTGTCTTCACGAGGCGCAACAATGTCCTCGATCGTGTTTCGAGACCTGTCGACGTCGGCTTCGGCCAGCAGAGCCAGCTCACCTTGGCATCAAGGAGGACTGAGTCCGGGGCTGGCTATGTTCGCAACGACGAAGTTTGGCGGGAAGCCAATGAAGGTGCTTGCGAATGTGGACGAGGAGCTGGGTGCCGCGCATATGGGTCCAAGGATCTACAAGCGGCATAACCAGAAACACGTTCGGAATAAAGTCAAGGCCAAGATCGATGCCAGTCATGCGATCGGTGCGACGAGAGAAGCGCGCGCTAATTTATCGGCAACTGCAAGAGCATCGCAAGGCCGAACACTCGATGACAGCACACCAAACACGGGCTCAGACTTGACCGCCGAGGAGCAGGGACGGTTGCGGCGAGTCGATCTGCAGAAGCTGGTCGACGAGTGCAGGCGATCTCACAACCTGTTGGCCGTTGAAAGGAGAGCTGCTGCAGATCAGCTGTCTTCCTCCGATCAGATGCTGCCGGCGTTGAAGACGTTGACTGCAGCGATACGGTATCGACTTGCGGACCCAGGAACTTGGACCTCGTCGAGGTCGCTGCCGCTGCATTCAGACGACCTCCTTCCTGTCGGGCTGCAAGGCGAGCATCCGATCGACTTTGCCGTTCTGTCCTCAACAATGCTTGTTCAGGTGCGGAGATCTGTGCTGCAAGGCTTGTGCGACTTGCTAGATGCGCTTGCCAATTCGACAACCGAGGTATCCATTTACACGCTCTCCAGCCTCCTGACAATTCGGTCGCTGCGTCCCACCATCACCAGCAATGTCGATCTCAAACCCATGCTGCATCGAACCTTTCTGCACCTTCTCGACACATTCCAACGTCTTTCAGAAGGATCGACCATCTCGTCTGTCGAACTCCTCTCCAGCGTCCTGGAGAAGGTGGACGAAAGCGACCCAGATGCAGATGCATTCGTCGAATTGGTAGGCGAGCTAGTCGGCCTCTGCGGACAGCAAATGTCTTCCAACCCTTCCATCCTCACCGAAACACAAGACCGCATACTCGTCTCCGCCGCATCATTCCTCTCGCTCTGCTTTCAACTTAACTCGACGCGACCCGCTGCGACACGGCTCCCCGCGCACGCCTTCTACTGCACGGTGCTCGACCTGGCGCCCTTTCTGGAACATTTCATCCACCACGCAGCCTCCCTCGTGCGCTCCGGCGCCGCAAATTCTGGGATGGCAAAGTTCAACGTCTGTCGGTGGGCGTTTCTGCTTTCTCTCGGAGCGAAAGTGAGAATTTTGCAGCTGGAGAACGAGGTTCGGCTGAGCAGGGTTCACGCGCGCGGATCCGCGGAGGTTCAAACGTTCACGCTCGGCCAGGCGAAGGATGGTGGTGTTGCGCAGTTGAGCGTGATGCCGAACAGTCTCAGTTTGCGGATCGAGAGGGAAGCGGCGTGGGAGCAGAGCAAGTCGTTGCTGTTGCAGCTGCTCGAATCGGGTGCGCCGGTGCGCGGGGTGCGAGTGGAATTTGCAGGTGAACAGGCGGCGGATGGTGGTGGACCGGCGAGGGAGTGGTTCGCTACGGTAGCGTCTAGCTGGTCTGATGTGCAGAAGGTGCTGGGTCCACACGGATGGTTCATCGCCACCTCCGCGGTCGACGAGGAGGAAAGCGAGGATGCAGCGGCGTTCCTTGGTATGCTCCTCGCGCTCGCAGCGCTGCATACCACCAAACTCTCGCTTCCGTTCTCATTGCCAGCTGTCGCATTCAAGATCGCTACGGCGTCGAGTTTGGACGGAATGGAGCTCGTACCGGTCGATCTGGAGTTTGCCGATGCTGCGCTGGCAAAGTCGTTGCAATCTGTATTGGATTGGACGCCACTGAGCGGGGTTCTGGACGTGGACAAGCTGTTCGACAATACATTCTCGCTTACCTGGAGTACGAACATACGAACCGCAGAGGGGGCGATCAAAACAATGGATCTGGTTCCTGGTGGTCGACATCGGAGTGTCAAAGTGGCAGAGAGGAAGGAGTACGTTTCCAAGTTGATCTGGCGCGTGCTCATCGGTTCGGTTAGCAAACAGGTGGGGGCGTTCAGAGACGCTTGGCAGAGCATCATGCCTTCGCACTGGGTGAACGGAGGGGTGGCGAACGGTGCAGAGTCTGCTTCGGACGTGCTCGGTAGAGGTGGGTTGGCGCTATCGCTGTTCAGCCCGGAAGAGATTGGTCAGGCGATCGTTTCGATCCCGACTTCGGCCGGCTCTGCACCAGCGACCCCGCTCGACATTGCGGATCTCAAACAGTCTACCGAAGTCATCTTCCCCAGTTCAATTGGCGATGTCGCAGGCGGAAAAGCGGTGGAATGGTTCTGGAACACATGGTCCACTTTGATGCCGCTCGAGCAGCGTCGTCTGCTGGCGTTCATCACGGGTGCGCAGGATCTTCCGGCAAGCGGAGCGAGGGGTATCGGACTGCGTATCCATCTGGTGCATCCGAATGGGGAAGGGATGGATGCACGTTCGTGGCCGCTGCCGTGGTCTTCGACGTGCACGTCGACACTGTTCTTGCCGGTCTATCCGAGCTGCCAGGTGCTGGAGGACAAGGTACGGATCGCAATCGAGCACTATCAGGGGTTCGGATTGAGGTAACACCTGCTGATGCACGCAGGAAAAGTTCAATTTCTCGCATTGCAGGTGACTCCGGATGTTGCTGGGGGTGGTCTATGTCTATCTTCGCGCTTGCTCCACCAACCAATCTCCGATCTCTGTCAAGACTACCCTCGTCTTCTCCTGGTCCTCCTCCGACATGCCCTGCACGGCCTTCATCATGACGTGCTCGTAACCTGGCCAAATCTTGATCTGCTTGTGCTGCTCTGGCGTGCCGACCTTTTCGAAGAACGCCTTGCTGCCATTTGGATCGGTGACTCTATCATTCGCACCGTGGTGGATGGTCAACGGGCAGGTGATGAGGTGCGCTTTTGCGGCAAGATCATCTATGCCGTCGAGGATGGCGAGACCGGTGGAGATCCTGACTTTGCCCTTGTAGGTGAGTGGGTCGTTGTTGAACTCGTCCTCGACGCGTGGGTCGTCGGAGACGTTTCCCTTGATGGCCGAGGCGAGAGGTAGACGACCGAGGAAGAAGCGGAGGATGTGGGCGATGGTCTCGATGGCCATGTTGGGACGGGATTGAGGGGATATGGTGATCATGGGTGCTGCTACGGCTACGCCGGATAGGCTTGGTCTGTAGGGAGCAGGTTTGCCGCGGACGATAGAGGAGGAAGCGGAACCGGTGGTGTGTTCCGGCTGGTGGTGGGCGAGGGGGGTGTTTTTGTGTGCATTGAGTGCCTCTTCGATGAGTTGCTCGTCGGTCGAGATTTTGGCTTGTTGGCTTGGGACTTGCTTCAAAGTCAAGTCTGGGCCACCGTCTTTGCCGGGTGTCAAAGGTGGATATAGAGCGGCGTAGTACAACACGGTAAACGCACCCATCGAGTGTCCCTCTGCGAACAACTTTCTCTCCCTGCCCGCTTTTCCCAGCAATCCACTCTCCTCGTCCCACGTCCTGACATCCATCACCACGGCATGCATCGCCCTCGCGTTGATCTTCATACTCGGCAGATACCCATGCAGACCCGTGCTGCGTCCAAAAGACGGCAGATCGATGGCGATGACCCTGAACCCCCGTTTCATAAAGTGCAGTGCGTGCGGGGCGAGTTTCCCGGCGTAGTCGTTGATGCCGTGCGCCATGACAATGTCAGAGTGGAGCTGTTCGGATTCGAGCGCAGCAGGGCACGTCCAGATGTAGTAGGTGACCCACGACCATTTTTCCTTATCCCACGATCCGGATTCGAGGAGCGAGTGGGCGGGGATGAGGACGCGACGTCGGATGGCGGATACCTCTGGGTTCGAGTAGATGAGTCGATGCTCGGCGGAGGAGTAGGGGATCTCGGAGCGGCCGTAGGTGGGATCACCACCTCCGGGGGTGAGGAGGTTGAGGTGGCAGAGGAGAGGTTCGGTGATGACCCGGTGGGCTATTTTGAGATACTCCATCGTGACGGCGGGGGACGAGGGCGGCCCGACAGGTGGGTTGAGGTGATGGTACGCAAACGAAGAGGGTGAGGAGAGACGTGATAGATAGCATTCATCGTGGAGAGCGGGTCGAACAGCAAGGAGGAATTCCAACACCGCCCATCGCCGCGCTTGACTCTCCACAGCGGCAAAGCATTCCGGCGTCATGCACTGTGTACCATATCGTTGCCTCCACCTTTGGACATGTCGAAGAGTGTAAGAGCGCCGTTGTTGCTGTCAATTTATTCATATATTGCGAACCGGTCCTCGTGATGACAGATTTTTGCATGAGCAGCCGAGAAGACGCTTTGACCTTGTCCTCCAATCTTCTTATTGCCTTGTTCATCATTAGACACCACCCACAGTCTAAGAGCAGTCGATAGACAAGATGGCTACAACGTCGGCAACTCTCGCTGCAAACATGCTCCGCAGCATACGCCCTTCGGCGGGCCGAACGTGCACCGCCGTCGCTTCGACATCTACCATACAGGGTGCCAGGATGATGTCTTCCGCCGTGCTTTCGTCCAACATGTCAAGCCAGCGACCGACAAGCTCGTCACACAGAACATCTTTGGCTTTGCAATGTCGTTTCAAGTCGAAACGCTCCTCCGCACAGTACATTGATCCCGACGCAGCCGATGCCGATGATGTTCCCGTCATGAAAACCAAAGGCAAAGGTTCCAAGAACAACCGCGGCTCTCAATCCACCCCTCGAGGCGCCAGATCCAAACGTGGCGATGCCGAACAACCTGACTCTTCCGAATACAAGACATCGACCCGCAACCAAGATCTACCGGACGAAGCATTTGACTTCGATGCCATCTCCTCGCACATGTCTCGTGCCGTCGAAAGGTGTCGATCTACGACCTCCACCCTCGTCGGATCCTTCGGTCGTGCAGACCCCGCCCTATTGGATTCGATCAAAGTCGAATACTCTTCCTCGTCCTCGGATTCCAAGTCGCTGCACCCTCTGCGAGAGTTCGCCACCGTCGGTGTTCGAGACGGCGCTCTCATCGTCACCGCTTTCGACGCCGACATGATCAAACACATCGAACGCGCCATCTACACCTCCAACCTCAACCTCACCCCACAATCCCAAACAGGCGAGGAGAACGTCCTCCGCGTAGCCGTACCCCAACCCACAACCGAGTCGAGACAGGCCATGGTGAAAGATCTCACCAGGATCTGCGAGAATGCGAGGGTCAGCATCAGGGATGCCAGACACAAGGCACAGAAGCAGATCAAGTCGGATATCGACAGGAAAGTGGTGGGCAAGAACGAGGGGGACAAGGAGTCAAAGAAGATCGAGGCGGAGACGAAAAAGTGGTCGGCACAGGTGGATCAGTTGTTTGAAAAGATGAAGCAGACACTGTTGGCTGCGTGATTCAGTCGACGTTGGCAAAAGCCCATTACACCTTGACAATGCACAATTCAGGCCGAGCACGGTCTAATGAAATATCCCCAAGAAAAGTCTGTTGAGATTGCTTGTGTACACTCCTACTTCTCTTTCTCTCTCATCACGACAGCATGCATGCTACAACGAACACGCTCGTTCAGCTCGCATCTACTGAGCCTTACCACCCTTCTTAGCACCCGCCTCCCTCCAAAACTCCTCGTCATCCTTTCCCTTGACTCCCACCTCCACCTTCTGCTCGCCCCTGATCACCTTGCTCACCTTGGCATCCTCCGGTTTCACCGAGAACCTCTTCTGAATCGCCCGGATCATCGCCCTGAACCAGAAGAAGTTCAGACTGTTGAGAATCACATTGCCCACCATGTAGAACGCCTTGATGTGCCCTGGAATTGTTGGGTGGTGAGGCTTGGGTGGGGCGACGACGAACTTGAAGAAGCTGAAGCTGTTGTACACGCCAAACGTCAGCCTGGCTCCCACGTACGCCGAGAGCAGGAAGACCGCGTTGATGAGCTGCCATTTGGAGCCCGTCTTACCGAGCTTGTCGAGGAACCAGTGAATATTGAGGAAGGGCGTGGAGAGCTCCCACAGCAAGAATCCCAAGCCGTCGTACATGAAGACCGGGTGGTAGACGAGGGTGAAAGCGATCAGGGCGACGAGACCGTGTGCGATGAATCCAGGCCCTTCGTGTAGGATCGAGATGACAGAATCCCAAACGAAGTAGCCGAGGGCGATGGCGTAGACGGAAGCGGCTTCGTGATCGTATCCGTACAAACGGTCGACGGCGAGTGAGTGGGTTTGGAAGCCGAGGGCGTTTGTCTGACGTGCTTTCCACCAGATGCGAGCTGCGAGCGGTGTGATGAGCGCTGCATGGACAAACGAGACCACGTGGATGTCCCAGCTGATTCGCGTCTTGCGGTTGAACTTGGAGAACGTCTTGGGGAAAAATCGCGGCGACACTTGCGAGGAGAGAGTCTGGATGGCGAACCAAAGCAGCGCGGATCGAACGATCGTTGGGACGTGCGCGGGCAGGTGGTGCACACCGTACTCGTCAGCGTACGGCTGCAGCCACGCAAGTGTACCTGCGACCGCCATTTTGATGTTACGAGCGGCAGTCGATGCGGAACGAGACCAGTGATGGTGAATGTCGGAAAAGAAGGATGGTGGATCGAGAGCCGGATTTGGTCGCTGGCGTGTGCGTGAGTGTTTGCTGAGCTGCAATGGCATCTGCAGCTCGTGGCTGCTCGAGCTTCAAAATGAATTTGCGCTGCGACCGGCGCGAAATCGGACCCAACAAACCCGCGTAGCGCTGCTGTGTGAAAAGTGAGCGCGTCGCTGTGTCTGAAATCCAACGGAAGTCAAGACACTACGATCTTACATCCGTGCGCAATGGAAATCTTGCAAAATGTGGAGAAAAAGAGGTGCCAAAAGTCTGGTGTCGAGCGGTGGCTGCTGCTGTCATCCCGCAGCGCGTGCAGCAAGTTCAAGAAGAAACCGTCACGGAGTCGGGACCGGACGGACATCTTACAAAATCAACCGAACCTCGCATTCATTTGTCCTCCCTTTGTTCGCCGCTCTGCCGATCCTTCTACCTCTACACCATCATGGACTGAATTACAACACAGCAACGAGCGCCAAAGACATTCCGATCCTGACACTAGGACATTCCACGGAAGAGCATCGCAATCATGGCGTGGGGTGACGAAATCCAGTCGGCTCTCAGCGAGCTCTTCTGTCCACCCCTCGACACCACGCTTGTGGCAGCGATAGCTCACGAACCCGGCCAAACACTGCAAAGCGCCAAAGAGGTCTGCGAGACACTCGCCGCTGCTGCCGTATCCGATGCTGACTCTCGCCCCAGCGAGCCTCGACCTACACATACCACTGCTACGGATGCCAAACCAGCCGGGGCAGCCGCAAGACGCAAAGCGTTCGGAGGGAAACTCACCACCACATCCAACGCCGATCCTCCATCCTCAACTGCAACCTCCAAACCCTCCCCGACCCCTCCTTCCACAACTTCCACCTCCACCCCAACCACCACCTCTTCCTCACCGTCAACCGCAGCCGTCGATCAGGACAGCGCAACCCTCCAACGCTTGCTCGACGAATGGTCCCTCGTCTCCTCCTCCTCCTATCACGACCCCTCCAACCTCCACCTCACCGACGACGAGCCCTCCGACACCGAACACGACCCCCACTCCGCCATCCCCTCCACCGTCGCGGCCCACCTCCTCCACACCGAGCAGTCCGAAGCCCAAAGAATCGGCGAGCTGTCCGGCGACCACAAGATCGACCCCACCGCCCTAGCCTCCGGAGAGCAAGACCTCAACTCCAGCAAATGGTCGAACAAGGATACCTTCGACCCCGTCGTGTTCCTCCAACACGCCTTCCCTTCACGCACAGCACAGTTCCTCAGGGACACGCTGAACGATTCGTACGGAGATGTACAAATGACCATCGATACAATCATGACGATCGACCTGATCGAAGCTGAAGACGCACGAAGCGCTACGACCGACCAACTGGATGCTTCGACTTCAGCTGCCGACGCGCCCAAAAAGGGCGGCGGCCTGGACTACGAAGCGCTCGCGCACAGCAGTGAAGACCCCGCCCTCAAGGGCAAGAAACGCAGAGCAGCCCGTAGAAAGCTCCAGCAAGAACAGCGATCAGCTACCGCCGGTCTGCCATCCAACACTCCCGTCTCCAGGTCCAAAGTCACCGTCAACCTGACCGACCTGCGTCACGGCGGGGCCTCCTCCAACCTCCTCCTCAAAAAAGTACAACAGCAACCACCACCCAAACCCCGCACCGCCTCTCCCCTCCCACATCTTACAGACGAGCAGCTGGCAGCAAAGCTCGCAGCCGAAGAACAGCAAGCCGCCCGCGACCCAGACGCAGACATGCCCGTATCCGACAATCAGTGGCTGCTCACATCCTCCGTCCTCTCGCAGCTCTCCACCTTGCTCGACATCGATCCCAGCCAAGTGACGTCCGCGTACAACGCATCCTCGTTCAAGCTCGCAGTATGCTTCGCCAGGTTGCTCGAGCAGGAGTCCGACAAATACCCTACGCTGACCAGCCTCGACGAAGCCGGAGATGCGCCGGCCGGTACCGCTGAACAGATCGCACAAGGTATCGCGGCGATCGGAGCCACGTCGCTCCCCGAAGCAAGCAGAGCTCTCCGCGCGACAAAGGGGAGGCAGGACGCCGCGTTAGATCTGATGCAACTGCATCTGCTGGTGCAGCGCGAGGTCGGCGAAGCCGACGCACTCGATCCCATGGGCAGGTTGAGGCAGCTCGGTGCTGCCGAAGTTCCCAAAACCGCCGAAGCCGCCGGCGTACGAGGCTACGCCATCGACGCAGCTGCAGGCCAAGGCAAGTTCGCAGCCACATTTCCAACCCCCTCGCAAGCTGCCGCTTCCCGATCCGCCTCTACCAACGGCTCCACCGGCGTCTACTCCAACATCGTCGGTCGCAAGACCTCAGGCCCAATCTCTGGCGCAGCAGCTGCGCTACGCTCCGGTTCCGCCGCATCCGTCTTCCCTGCCAGCTCCGCCTTCGTCGGCGCCTCCACCGCTGACGACTTGCTCGACGACCCCGTCGCCGTTGAACGCGGGCTCGCATCCCACACCACGCACTACGACCCAGTCCGCCGAATGGCCGAGTACCGCCTCGTTGCCGAAGAATACCGCCTGAGACGCGACGAAGCACTGCGAAAGGCCGCTTCGGCATGGAAGTCGCAGCGCGGCGGCGTTCGCTCCGGCGGCAAGGGCGGAGACGGAGGACGTGGAGGTATCGCATGGCACTACGCAGATGAAGCACGTCGTCTCGATGCAAAGTCACGCGCCTGGTCGCTTCGCGCCTCCCAAGCGCTGGTCGAAGACCGTCGACGAGCAGCAATCGGCGTCATCCGCCCCGGAACCCAACCTACAGCATCGCACAACGTGGCAAGCAACACGATCGACCTGCACGGCGTAACGGTGCACGAAGCGCTGTCCATCGTCAGAGAGCAGGTGACCAGATGGTACGCACGACCTGGACCGGGTATGAATCCACCACCGTTCAAGATCGTCACGGGTGTCGGCCGACATTCGCCGCACCAGATCGCAGTACTTCGACCAGCGATCGCCAAGATGCTCGATAGAGAGGGCTGGAGATATGACATAGACCACCAGCGAGGATACATCGTTGTTCGAGGTACCAAATAGACAGACAGCCTTTCCAAGCTGGTAATAGACATTCTTCCGACTCTTGACGTCTGCTCGTTGCCAGTATTCTCTACGTGAGAAGCCCATCATACCATTCGACGACAGCCTTGTCCAGAGCCTCCATCGCCTGGCCGGAGCGGTAAAAATGATCCGCGCCTTCGATCAGCACGTGATGAAATGTAGAACCTCTCTCCTGCTTTGACGCTGACGCCGCTACCGAGCTGCATCCCTCCACCCAAGTATCGTACGTTCCGAGCCCCGTAAACTGATCCTGATCGCCATAGACAGCAAGCACATGGCTGGCCACCGGCAGCGAAGCACCGTCTACACTAGGCGTGGACTCTACCGACCTAGCTGCAGCTTTCGCCTCGCCCTCGTCCTCTGTCGTTCCGGCCGTGGTGCCTGGTATCGTATCGCTGGCGAGCAGCTTCTTCAGAGCGTCGGTGTACGTCTTGCTGGTGAAGAAGCTGAGTGCCCACGTGACGCCCGCCGGGAAGCTGATCAGGATGTACCTCGGTTGTTTCGCACCTCGAAACTGTTTCAGATCGTAGATCGCTGTCGGCACCTTGACTGTGCTCGCATACAGAGCGCCTGCCGAATACCCTGCGATCACCACTTGGGCGGCGGAGCTTTCCGGAAAGTCGAGGCAGAAGTTGTCGATGCACCTCGACAGAAGTTCCTGAAAGTCACTCGATTCGGACTTGCCCGTCCAGCTCGGCGAGCCGCCGGACTTGCCGACACCGCGGGAATTGAACCTCACCACGCGTAGATGCGCATGCGTCAGCAGCAAAGAAGCGAGATGCGTTACGACGGGATCATCAAGCGAGCCTCCGAGTCGTCCAAAGGGATGTGCGACGATAGCGAGACCTCGACAAGACGTTGCTGAGGAGGCGAGGGATGGTGGATCTTGAACGACGGTCTGAAGGTAGATCTTGCCATTGTCGATTGCGACGGGTAGCGTGGTCGGTACCGTATATCGCGGCATTTTGTGAGTTTTGTCGAAACGGTCGGTTACTGATGATGGTGGCTATAGAGACGGAGGCGATGCTCTGAGAGTGAATGAGACATCGTGGGAACGGCAGATCTGCGGCAGGTGAGAGGGGAGGGCAAGGTGGAGGAATGAGGATGCGAATGAATGCTCGCTTCGGCATCGAACCGTCGGGCGGAAATTAAGCGTCGCGCTCAGTTCAAGTCGATGAAATTCCGCACCAACCTGTGGCCATAACCCCGCTCTTCGCAATCCCATGTCTGCTGCATCTTGCTCGACGATGATGGACTGGCTATTCTCTGCAACTAAACATCATCATCTCGACTGTCTCTGAGCACTACCAGTCAAAGCTACCAGGGATCGTGGTTGTCTTGTCTATCGGCACTGCATCCCCACCCTTGGATTGAGCGGCAGACGACACCTTCTCCTGCGCACCCGAACCCCATCTCTCGCGCCAACATTCGAGCTCCTCCTTCCACAGCATCTTGACACACGGATCGCAACTGCTGCCGCAACATTCGTCTGGTTTGGGCGGTGGCGGAGGGTCGTCGTAGTTGCGCAGAGCTGCTTTGACGAGCTGCTTCTTGCGGATGTTGGTGATCTTGCGCTGTGCTAGGATCGTCGGGAGGCTCTCGACATCGGTATACACTGGCTCCGGGGCGGTATTGACTGCCCACAGCATGGTGTCCGGATCATGTGGAAGGTGTAGGTTGAAGGGGAGAGGAAGCAAGAAGGTCAAGGCCGCGGGATGAGTGGGGCGAGTTGGGAGGACAGGAGCTCCAGGGTCCCGAGTCGGAAGCAAGTTCAGCCGGAACTCGCCGAGCGAGAAAAGGGAAGGCGCGGTCTTACATCCTTAAGGGAAAGAAATGCCACGCGAAGTTGAAAGCGCGGAGACTTCTTTTTCGGACACCGACCGAGCTGATTTTTTGTGCGACATCGCGAGACCAACACTCGGTGCTTGGCTCTCACGTCCTCTCGTGAAACAAAAGCACTGCCCCGCATCGACCATGCATATCCAACGCAAGGTCGTGACCGCCTCAGCCTCTTACCCACCACACTTCATCTCGTGATTCAAAAGTGATCGAGATCGAAGAAAGGAGTAGCATGGTCACAAATCACACGGCTCGCACCCCCTCGACAGAGCCACAGCATCGATATCCCCCAGCCACACCTCAATCGCAGATTAGGCGCTTCGACAATGAACATACCGCGAACGATGCAGGTCTCATCAGCTACATTGTGCATACCGAATCGAACGGTGTCAGCGATCTCCGACTACAGGTCAGTCACGAGGCTTCTTCCAGCAAGCAACCCTTGCGTCCGCTGTACGTTCGAGAGCGGGCTCTGACGGAGCACGACGAGATTGTCGACCAGATTATCGATGCGAACACGGGCGCACCATGCTGGACGATTCACAGACCAACAAGAGGGTGGTACATGTACCTGCGCTCTCCGGCTTTGCCGCAGGGGACTGCCATCTCGTTTCGCTCCGGGACACAGGACCAAGACGATCCCGCGGCAACTCCACTCACGTTCTCGCTCAACACAAGAGTGAGGACGCAAGTGCTTGACAAGGTCCGTTCTCGGATAGCGTCAAGTCAGATTGCTGATCGCAGCTCGTCGGCAGACGCGAGAGAAGACGCCGACAGGACGAGTCATGGGCTCGCGATACACCTTGAAGAAGAGGATGATGGCGCAGAACAGGATGCAGCACAAAGCGTGGCAGTAGCAGCGACGGGACGTCAAGATCGCAAGACTGCCTCGGGTGGTCATGCGAGGCGGCGAAGTGGTGTCGGCGGATCAGGTACACATTCGCTTGATGCGCGGCAGCATGGCAAGCGTCCGAGCTCCAACGTTGCTCGAAGCCCGAGGATTCCAGAGACTCCCGACGAGACTTCCTCTTCCCTCTCTCAGCCGCCCGCACGTGAATCACTCTCTCGCCTCGCCATTCCAACCAAAAGCACATCTTCCGCCTCTTCACCGCAATCGTCCGGCGCAGATCGACCCTACTCGCCCACGCTTCCCTCCACACCAGGCGCACCAGCCTCGCCCCTTGCACCACACACATCCACATTTCTGCTGACAAACGGTCAAGGTCCTCACCAGAGCCCAGCAACCCAAAGCTGGGCACGCTGGACCTATTCAAAACTCCCCGCACCTATCCGACCGTCCCTATCGCTAGACGCGGATAAGAGCTTCAGCCTGTTCTGGCTCAACCCTCCCGCATCCAACCGCAGCACCACAGAAGGCGTGGAGATGGCTCGCTTCGAGGATCAAAGCGGTCGATGGATGTGGAACTCTCACACACGAGGTAGACTGACTTTACAGACTAGCGCGTTGCAAGCGGTGGGATTGCAGAAGGAGTTTTGGATCAGCGCTGCGCTGGCCTACATCCAGTTTCTCGAGGACAAAGATGCCTATGAAGCTGCAAGAGACGCTTAGGAACCGCAAGCTGATGTATCGCATACTTTTCTCATAGAACGAAAAAAAAAAACACATTGCATTGCTCATCATATCATCCTTGTGTGCGTTAGTGAAACTTGCCCGGAACGACGGGCAAACTAGCCTGCAACCCACCATCGACCGGCAACGCCACTCCGTTGACATACGTCGCCTCGTCGGACGCCAAGAACGTCACCGCATTAGCGATCTCCGCCGCGACACCGTACCTCGCCGTGGGGTTCAACTGACCGATCTTGCCCGCGGTGCCTCTCTCCCTCGCCATTTCGAACGTGGGCATAGTCATACCCGTCTCGATCAGCCCGGGACACACCGCGTTGACCCGCACATTCGTCCTCTGCAGCTGCCAGGCGGTTGTCTGTGCAAGACTGATCACGGCTGCCTTGGAGGCGGAGTAGTCGACGCTACCTGCTCCGCTGCGAAGACCGGCTACAGAGGCAGTCATGATAATCGAACCGGACGACTCAGGTTTGTGCTGCGGGTGGGTTTTGAGCATCGCCTCGCTCGCGTACTTGCACGCGAGGAAGCACGAGGTGACGTTGATGTGGTGCGTGGTTTCGAGGTCTTCGACGTCGGTGGCGGAGATGGGGGCGCCGGTGGCGCGAGCGGCGTTGGCGAAGAAGATGTCGAGATGACCATTCTCGGAAACAGCTTGGTCGATGATCGAGGTGACGGAGGATTCAGATGCTGCATCGGAGACGATGGGTGTGCATTTGACATCGGGATAGCGCGTGGTGATGGTGGTGCGTAGGGAGGGGAGGTTCTCCTCGTCAATGTCGCACACGTAGAGGTGCTTGACGCCTTCGTGCGCGAATTGAAGCGCTGTAGCTCGACTGTCGGCAGAACACATGGTAAGGAAAGAGAGAGGGATTGTGTCAGCATTCGTGATCAAATATAAGAAACATTCGCTTACTGCGGAAAGACTCACCCGATACCAGAGACACTACCACAACCGGTGATGATGGCTACCTTGCCGGCAAGACGACCCGAACGAGGACGCTTGTCAAGGTGGTTGCGGATGCGATCGAGACGCTGCAGCGTGGCTGCGTAGGCCTGCTTCTGCTGTTCTTCCTTGGTCTGCGCCATGGTGTTTGAGGGAAAGTCTTGCTGCAGAGTGGATGTGTGCAGGAAGAAACGAGTGATGAGGAATGTGCGAGCGAGACAAAGTGCGGGGAGGCAGAAAGATGTGTGTGAGTCTCCAACCGAGCCACGCACAACGGGTCACCGGACGGTTTCGTCGGGTTAACGAAAAGCCGGACCCTTTCGCAGGGGATTTTCTAAGCAATGTTATGGTTAGGGACGAAACATGTATCGAAAAATGTGACGATGGCCCGCGCGCACAGGTCCAGGGTCCTATCTGCGGCTCTGCAGCTACACTCGGCACACGCGAGATCTCCCGCACGGCGGCGTGGGTGACAACTTCGAGATCAGCAAACAGGCGACGGGACGATCATCGGCTTGCAGCGATAGAGATACGTGACGAGCAGCAAGGCGGATCGTTCTGCGGTCAAAGATGGAGCCTCGGCCAGGTGCGATCGCAAAGATAAAGAAAGCTGGCCGAGACAAGGGTCCAAGTGGGTAAAGTGGTGCAAGCGCGTTCCGAGGATCCGAAGCTGCTTCAAGTCTGCCTGTGTCTACATCAACACTTGGATCGTCCCTATCTTGCTCCCCTTGCCCGCATCTCCCTGCCTCGTCTTGCTTCCTTCCTCCTTCCTCATTACCGTCGTCATCACCATCATCTTTGCCTTCCGCGCAACCTTGTCGACCACCGTCACCTTTCTTCGTTGCAGACGAGTCTCGACTTTTGCTCAGTTGTACATCTTCCTGCCTAGGTGTTAAGCATCCGCTAGATCAGCCATCATGTCGCACTCGAACGTCCACGTCGTAACGCATCCTTTGATCTCGCACCATCTGGCCAACTTGCGTCTTGCGGATACCTCACCCAAGGGTAAGCCTGCTTGCCTTGCCCCACGTCGCCGATCAGGCTCTGCTGACCACTCTTTCACTTCTTTCTATCACAGAATTCCGCTCGCTGGTGAGCAACATCTCGACAGTGCTGTGCATCGAGGCGACACGATCGCTCGCCGTCAAGCAGGTGCAGGGCCAAGGTCCGCTAGCCACGTTCCAAGGCGAACAGCTGTCGGAACGCATCGGTCTCGTTCCCATTCTTCGTGCGGGTCTCGGCATGACCGAAGCGTGTCTGGAGCTTCTACCCGAAAATACGTCCGTGCTTCACATCGGTCTGTTCAGAGAAAAGGTGTCGCTGCAACCCGTCGAGTACTACAACAAGCTACCTGTGTCTCCCACCGTGGATCAGGTCATCATTCTCGACCCACTCATTGCTACCGGTGGTACTGCTGTGGTAAGTTTTCCCTGTCTCTTGCGCTCAAGATCACGATCTGGAAGGAGATTTGCTGACAGGAACGCTGTTCTTGCGGTTGTATGGGGATTTTACAGGCGTGTATTCAGATGATCCTCGACTGGGGCATCCCGGTGGAAAAGATCAAATTCTTGTGCGTGCTGGCGTCGCAAAAGGGCTTGGAGAATGTGGTCGAGTCGGTGCCCGGCTTGGAGCTTTGGGTGGGGCATATAGATCCTCAGTTGAGCGAGAAGGGTCTTATTTTGCCCGGGTTGGGCGATACGGGTGACCGGATGTTTGACACCCAGACCTAGGGCGACCGAGGAACTGTATTGCAGGGACAGGGTGCCTCTCAATGCAATTTCATTACATGGATTCTGTTGGCGAGACGGCGTCTGGTGAGATGCGTGGCTCGAGTGATTGTTGAGAGCAGGTGTCGTTGGACTAGTCCGTCGTGTATGGCAGAGTGTTCTTTGAAGCGACTGCTTGATGGGAATTTTGAGGTCGGGCGAAGATGAGAGAGATGTCACACTACTTGTTGCGGACGCTACCTCGGCGGAGAAGCCGGACTGACACTGTCGCATGGCTCTCCGCGGCTTGGCAGCCTGGAGAATATTCTCCGAGACTCCGACTGGCAGATCATCCACATCCTTCCTTTGCCGTGCCGGCAACAAGCGACTTTTGTTCATCAGCAACACGAGCCTTTCCGACTCGCGAACCGTCGCTCGCTTGGCAGAGGGTTTAGTCTGACTTCGCAACCATGAAAGTCGAAGAGAGTTTGAGGGGCTCCTCGCTTAACCTTGTCGTGGAATTTGAAAAAGGGAAGGCCGGAACGAGGCGAGTCTCGTGAGCTGGGTTGTCCAAGTGAGAAGACCCTACGCCAAGAAGATTTTCTCGGCTGCAGTTCTCACCTTTTCCCCACTTCGCCATCCAACGAGGATCACCAACTTCCTCCTGTCCACCAACATACATCTGCAACCACGTCGATCATGCGCTTACTGTTCTCGCGCAGCCGCGCATCCACCTCGATACCCGTCGACCCATCTCGACCGTCCCAGGAGACAGACGATGCCACACTCACCGAGTTCAGCCGCATGGCTCACGAGATGGGCGTCGGCGGCGCATACGAGCGCAAAGTAGCCCTGCTCAACAACACCATCAAGGAAGAAATCGGGTTCGGGCCTTTCCAAATCTGGCTCACGTGGCTCGCTGGGTTTGGCTGGTTCGTCGACAACATCTGGTTCCAGGCTCTGTCCATGTCCTTGCCGCAGATCAAACTCGAGTTTGGTCCGAAGCACGTTCAGTTTGCTACTCTGGCGCTCTACCTCGGCTTGTTGATAGGCGCGACCTTCTGGGGCTTCATGGCAGACGTGATTGGGAGACGACCGAGCTGGAACATCACGCTCTTCATCTCGGCCGTGTTCGGTATCGCCGTGGGAGGCGCACCGAACTTTGTTGCGGTGGGTGCACTGCTGTCGTGCTTGGGGTTGGGGTTGGGCGGAAACCTGCCGGTGGACGGTGCGATGCTGATCGAGTTTATCCCTTCGACGCACCAGTGGATCTTGACGTTCTTGTCCATCTTTTGGTGCTTCGGTCAGCTGTTTGCTGCGTTTATCGGGTGGGCGTTCATCACAAATTACAGGTGCGAGACCGCGGATGCTTGCCCCAGGAGCTCGAATATGGGTTGGAGGTATACATGGTTCTTGCTGGGAGCGATCACGTTTGTCATGTGGGTGGCGAGGTTCTGGGTGTACCCGATCCCGGAGTCGCCCAAGTTCCTGATTGGCAAGGGGAGGGATGAGGAGGCGTTGGAGGTCATCAAGTTCATCGCGGCTCAGAATGGAAAGACTACGACTTTGACGTTGGAGCAACTCAAAGCGGCGGGAGAAGGCATCACCGTGCCTGTCAGTACGCTGGATGTCAACGAGAAAAAGTTGGCGCGTCAGGATGATCCGGAAGCAAAGGTCGGCTCGGCGACGGACGAGAAATCGAACGAGGCTGCAGAAGCCAAAGCAGACCCCGTCTCTGGAACGACAGTCACCACCACCGCCCAAGACGTCCTTGCTCCTGCCCCAGAAGCGGTATCCTCGACCCTCAAAGGCCGGTTCCTCTCCTCCTCCGACCTGACCCAACTGCGACGATCTCTGCGTGAATTCGACTCACACCACCTCGTCGCCCTCTTCTCCACCCCACGCATGGCCTGCAACACACTCCTCATCTGCTTTCTCTGGGGACTCATCGGACTAGCCTACCCGCTCTACAACGCCTTTATCGCGCTCTACCTCGCCAACGCCGGCGCCAACCAAGGCGAGACCACCCAGGCCGAGCAGTACCGCGATCTTGTCATCATCGCCGCCTGCGGCATTCCCGGCTCCTTCGCCGCTGCGGCGCTCGTCGAACTCCCCTACGCCGGTCGACGTGGCACCATGGCCCTCTTCACGCTACTCACGGGATTGTTCTTGTTCCTGTTCACAACAGCGAGAACTCCAGCTGCCGTGTTGGGCTGGAATTGCGCAACCAATTTGACCCAGAATGCGATGTACGCCGTGCTGTACGCCATCAGCTATGAAGTCTTCCCGGCTCCGAATAGAGGTACGGGCGATGGACTGGCTATGGCGACGCAGAGGGTGTTCGGTGTCATTGCGCCCATCGTGGGTGCATATGCGGGGAGCACACCGACGACGCCGATTTATGTCAGTGCGAGTTTCTTCATCGCTGCGGCGGTGTTGATGTTCTTCTTGCCGTATGAGACGAGGGGTAGGGCGGCACTGTAAAGAGCTTGTTCAAAAAAATACATGCACAGACGCACACATTCGTAACATCACATGCTATGTTCGATAATAGTGGAAGCGATTCCATAGGTTGACTTTCATTTTGGATTCATAGAGCAATCAAGCCCTGAGAGCGGCGAGGATCTCCTTTCCGACGCCAGCAGCGCTAGCCGGGTTCTGACCCGAGATGAGCAGACCACCGTTCCTATCTACAACCACCTTCTCGCCCCAAGGCTGGGTCTTCTCGAACTTGGCACCACGCTCCACCAACCTGCTCTCGACCAACCAAGGGATGGCTTTGGTCAGACCGGCCTGTTCCTCCTCCTCGTTGGTGAAGCACGTTACCGTCTTGCCGTTGACGAGGTAGCTTCCGTCGCTAAGCTTGACATCCGTGAAGACGGCAGGAGCGTGGCATACGGCGGAAGTGGGTTTGCCAGCTTCGTAGAACGCCTTGATGAGTTCCTGGGAGGTCTTGTCGACGGGGAGGTCGAAGCAGGGGCCGTGACCGCCGGGGTAGAAGATGGCGTCAAAGTCCGAGACGGACGAGGCGGAGAATTCGGAGAGCGGTTTGGTGTTGGACACCCAGTCCTGCGCGGTGGAGTCGTTGAGGAACTTGACCGAGTCAGGGTCGGACTTGAAGGCTTCGACGGAGGACTGGTCGAGCGGAGCTTTGCCTCCTTTGGGCGAGGCGGCGACGAGCGTGTAGCCAGCGTCCTTGAGGATGTAGTACGGGTGGGCGATCTCCGGCAGGTAGTAGCCGGTGGGATGGTCCGACCCGATGAGCTGGGTGTGCGAGGTGAATACGACGAGGATCTGCTTGGACATGTTGGCAATGATGTTTTGGTTGATGCTGGATGGGTTGGACAAGAACAAGCGTGGCGTTGGCAGAAGGTTATATAGCCGAGTCGAAGCGCTGACAGAGCTTGATGGAAGCTTCGTCGTGCACAGACTTTTTTTTTTTGGAATGCTCTGTCACGCGCCCAAGCCTCCACATCTGCTGCACGAACACGCTTCGGGATGACTGACTTTCTAAACCACATTCGGGTTTAACGCGGTGTGTCACCGGCTGCTACTCTGAGATGATGCCATTGCAATCAGTCATCACTCTCCTACTGGACGTCGTTCGAACGATTCTTCTATTGCAAAACGGGATCGTGACTACAACACAGCTATCACTTCGGCTGGTACTTTTCAGCAGCGCCATTGAACGGTTCCCTGAACGCGTCGTCCCACTTCTTGACCAACGCGATACCCATTCCAGCACTGATTACGTCCTGGTCCGCCTTCAGCCCTTTGACCAGATCATCCATGAACTCTTCCACTGTCAACGAGTTGGTGGCGCCGAGATGTTTCTTGTTGTCGTCCGGGTTCTCCCTCTCCCTGTGCAGATCGGTTCCTACGCTGGGCGGTACAATCTCGACCACCCTGACGCTCGTGTTCTTGAGCTGCACCCTCTGCGTCTCGGTCCAGAAATGAACGAACGCTTTGGTGGAATTATAAATGGGGTTGATGATGCTGTAAGGGACAAAGCCGAGCACAGAGCTGACGTTGATGATCACACCGAGCTTCTTGCTCTTAAGGTGGTCCAAAAAGGCAGTTGCGAGGTGTACCGGTCCACGGATGTTGATGTTGATCTCGTTATCCGCCTTGTCGAGCGCCAAATTTTGCACTTCCAACGGACGCTGCACACCGGCGTTGTTGATCAGGCAGTCCACTTCGGGATGCTCGGACAGCACCTTTTTGGCAAACGAAGGGATGTCGTCGACGTTGCCGGTATCGAGGACGTAGTATGGAGCGTTGGAGAGCTTCTTGGACGCTACGGCGAGCTTGGATTCGGTTCGACCGACCAGGATGACCTTCTTGTTCTGCGAGATGAAGTACTCGGCCATTGCATAGCCGAGCCCTCCCGCACCGCCGGTGATGACGGCGCATTCAAAGTCGAGGATCTTTCCAGGCATGGTTATGTGGAGAAAGTATGTTTGAGAGATGAAGTTCGTGTAGATGGGTGGCGTACTGGAGGAAGTGGCGAAGGTTTGTCGAAGGTAGTAGTAGTGTAAGCTGACATCGATTGCCAGGACTGAAGCTCGGCGTTTCAACGCTGCAGTCGATCGTCATACAAGCCTCCACCGTCAGATGCATCGGGAGATCTGTAAGTCAATAAAAACTTTGTTCTTGTTAGGGGGCTAACATTTATGATTTCCACCAGATCGGCAGAATGAGAACCTCTTCGGTCACAGCGAGCGGGCGGCAGACTTCCGACAGAACATCAGTTCGAAACAGCATGTCTGGCTCCTCCCTACCGCCGAGCCAGCGCAGAGCTCTGAACTACACAGTCATCGCTACCCATCGGCATTGGTATCATGTACCTCGCTGTAACACAGGAACCATAATGCATGGCCGCAGCGCACCCGAAACGTCGGGTGTCAGGAACGAAACTCGCCGGGTGTGAGATTGACCAGTCAGATGATTCGCATTGACTAGCACCATCCTCGTGGACGGCAGCTGAAATGCAGAGAGAAGCAGACTAACGTAGGAAGAATTCGAAACAGAAGCAAGCTCGTTGGATTCTGCCCACGTTTCCTCGTTCTGCCTTGTAACCGGAGAGGTCCTCGCGTCGGAAAATTAAAAACTTTTTTTCTCTGTTTCCCGAGCTGTCCTTAGCTTCGCCGCAATTGGAAGAAAACCACGCCCACATTCCGAAAGGCTCGAGCGATTCATCAGAGATTGACTCAACGTGGACGCTTGGACCGAGAGGCGCTGTGATACGAAGAAGCGTCGTGCAGAGATGCGCTCAACAAGGGAGCCCAAACAGAGATTGAATGGGTCCAGTTCGGATTGCTTGTGAGAAAGAGGCAGGAGCAGTCCGTCACCAATGACGCTCGTCTTGCACAACATACAAAGAGGCAGACGAAGCACATCTCTCGCTGTTTCGGGGAATAGGTCGGACCACAACTCACTCGCGATAGTCCAGGGGGATAGACGAGATTTTGGAATGAAGTGCCAATCGTTAACAGAGCAGAAGAATACTGATGTCTCGCCATCTGCAGGTCGAAAGAACCGACAACTGCAAGGGTCGTCGAAACCACCAAAAAAAAACCTGCCGGCCATCATCCACATTGCTTTCCGCCTATGCTTGGCTGTACAGGCTCCATGTTGGCTCTTCACCTGTTTGCCGCTCCCCCATGCCGCGCCAAGCGTAGCACGATCCTTCCATTTGTGATCCCCTTCTTGTCCTCTCCGGCCTGCTGCACTTCGCTTTGCCCCTCTTGCATCCAAAGCGCTTGCCGATTCGACGGCCGCGGCCTGCATACGTACTGCCATCGGTTCCTCTCGCATAGCCTATCACCGTCGGTACAAGACCGCCAGCATCGACCCAACGGCCAGCTCGGAAAATTTTAAGCTGTTTCGCCAATCCTGTCGTCCCTCCTTTCGAACCACTACCTCACCAGTCTGCCGTTCTGCCGACCGCGACCCTTCGCTACACCGTCCATCTCCTCTTATTGGAAGCTCTTCCTCTCCTGACCAGACAAAGCCATCCCAGCTCGTCAACACCTTGTGACTCGCTAACGATCTCGTGCAGCGTTCCTGAACTGTTTCGGGCAGTCTAGCGCACAAATCCTTCTTCAACGCTGCGAAACCGAACCCAAGGATCAGCATCCTTCCATCCCAGATATATAAACCTCCGTTTGTCCGACCATCACGACTATCGCACCGGATCGCTCCATTCATCTCAGCTTGTTCCGCCCACGACTATACCATCTTTCAACATGGCTGACGAAGTTCAGTGCACTGGACCGGTCGACAACGGCAACGGATCGCTCGGTCTGCGTGTCGGCGCCATCTTCATCATTTGGGCATCTTCCACCGCTTTGACCCTCTTCCCCGTCCTCACACGTCGAGTTCCACGACTGTCCATCAACCGCGAAGCCTTCGACTTTGCCAAGTACTTTGGCTCGGGCGTCATCATCGCCACTGCCTTCATCCACCTATTAGCACCTGCCTCGAGCACTGAGGAGCTCGGCTCGCCATGTCTGAACAGCAACTTCCAGAATTACCCCTTCGCTTTCGCCTTTGCCATGATCGCCATGTTTGCTGTCTTCGTCGTCGAGGTCATCGCATTCCGCGTCGGCAGCCAATTCGCCAACAAGCTGGCCTACGACGCACATGCAGGAGGTCACCACCACGCTATGGAGCACGGCGGCAACCCGAACCACACCCATGACTCGCACCACCACAACACGGTCAAGTCGGTCTCGTCGGACGATGTCGAGAACGCTGCTACACTGCCAGGAGCTGGATCGGCGGCCGAGGCCAAGGTGGTTGCTGACTCTGATTCGTCCGCCCCCGCTGCGTTGACTCTTTCTACACAAGCATCCGAGATCCTCGGCGTCATGATCCTCGAATTTGGTGTCGTATTCCACTCGATCATCATCGGCATCACCCTCGGAACCACCTCCGACTTTATCGTCCTGTTCATCGTCATCATCTTCCACCAGATGTTCGAAGGCCTTGGTCTCGGCACCCGTCTCGCTTTCCTTCCGCTCGGTATGAAGTCGTGGATCCCGGCCGCAGGTGCCCTTCTCTACGGTCTCGTCACTCCCATCGGCATTGCTATCGGTCTTGGCGTGCGTCACACGTTCAACGGAGACTCGACCACCGCTGCCTATGTCATCGGTACCTTTGACTCGATCTCGGCTGGTATCCTGCTCTACACCGGTACCGTCGAGCTGCTCGCACACGAGTTCATCTTCAACGACAAGATGCGCAACGCTCCTCTCAAGAAGGTCATCATCAGCATTCTCGAGATGCTCACCGGTGCCGGTCTGATGGCGTTGCTCGGTCGATGGGCGTGATTCGCTCCCCGCATGTGTTTCTGCTTCCCTTGTTTTCACTTGGATACCTCTTTTCATTTGTTTTTATATAGAAACCATTCCCGGACGTCACCAGTATTTTTGCGTCTCACAAAACAGCGGGTTGCAACATCGCCTCGCATCCTTTGGTGCCCATATTGCAATTGCATATTCTTGACCGTCTATCGTCTCCTAAGCAACGTCCGCAAACTGCAGCTGAGCAAATGTTGAGAAAGCCTCATTGTGTGGGAAAAGCCAGCTTCAACGACGTGTGGCGAACCTTAATCTTGTTCTCGCTCGAAGGCTTGCGGAGAGTGCGGCTTACAGACTGAGCGTTCAAGCGGACAGCAAGTGCTGCTCAACATTGTCGTTCGAGGCCAAGGGCCGATCGCGCAGTACCTTCCCTTCTTTCCTCACTACATCTACATCCATACGTCTCCTCGCAACATCGTTATCTTGCTCTTCACGTTGACCCACGATCGTACACCTTGCCTACGAAGCACTTATATCGATATCCGAGCTATTCTTCCACACCGAGCATTCTGAACATGTCGATCCCTCCTCCCGCTGAAGCGATGACTAACGCATCGGACACTTCGCCCGCGGATGCTCCTGCAGTGGCAGCAGCAGCTTCTGCTCCTCCCGTGACTCCTAAGAGGGGCAGGCCCAAGAAGACCGCTTCGCCAAAGAAGGTCGCTTCACCTACGAAGGCAAAGATGGAGGCTTCTCCTACTGGAGACGATGCCTCCAGTGCTGCTTCTCCTTCCGCTACGGCCCATGTCAAGTTCAACGATGCTCTCAAGAAAGCAGCTATTGCCATGAAGATGCGCGGCATGACCACCAAAGCCATCTCTGTATCCCTCAATGTCAACTACAAGACGCTCTGGAACTACATCGACAGGGTGATCAAAGCAAAGGTCAAGCTCGGAACACAGGACGGAGTCGTAGCTGAGGACATGTCCGAATCGGAGAAAAGGGAGTGCGCTCTCGCTCTCAAGCTCGTCGGCTGGTCGACCAAGGACATCGCAGAGACGCTCGACATCAACTACAAGACAATCTGGAACTATCTGGACAGGCAGCAGAAGGCCGGTGGTCTGCCTCCTGTTATTCACGATCCGGACATGTAAACAATTGTACATGTACTGCGAGGCACAGATGTAGCACGTTTCTTTCCTTGTCGGCTCGAGGTAGAAAAGTGCGGAACGGCGGTGGGGTTGCGGAAACCTTTCCTGCGTTGCTCAGTCGACACGGGTAAGGCTGCGGGAGACTTTTCCGTCATGCTGAGTCGACACGCGTAGCTGTACCCGAATTTGGATCGACCCCTATCGCTGTAGCAGACGGTCTCGAGAGTCGAAAAGCTATAAAGCTTTGGCACCTTCCAATTCTCCTTTCTCATCCTCGTTTCTCCGCTCTCCACACGACCGTCCTTCCGCACAAGCACTGCAAGCTCCATCAACCTCACTGCTCTCCTCGGTGACGATCACGATCACACACAAGGCATCTCCATCCTAGAGACTATCCTCTCTCTCATCATCACGTTTCGTCAACTTCATCGCTCCCAACAACAAGAAGGACTCTCTCACCATGAAGCTCGACGACGATCTCGCCGCGGCTCTGGGCAGCTTGACGTCCAACGCCTCCGCCAACGATGTGAAGCCCGCGTTCTACTCCGTACCCAAGTTGGCCGACATGCCGAGCCCTTCCACCAGCTCCGGCCGTTCCGCTACCCTCACCCCCAGTGGTACTAAGGTCCCCATCCGCAGGACAACGAAGGCTGAACAGGAAATCATCATGACCATGGCCCTGTCCGGCAAAAAGCCCTTGCAGATTGCTGAAGCGCTTGGTCTCAAGGCCAACACCGTCTCCAAGTTCCTCGAGCGGAAGAAGAAGAAGACCTTGAAGAACACCGATCACGAGGCGCTCCAGCTTCTCATGCAGTCTTCGCCTCCTCGTCAGAGGGGTTCCCGTTGACCGCAGTCCGTAATGTAGATCTCGCTTCTCAGGTAGAAGTCGAGATCCCGCTCACGATCCTCTTTCCGCAATACCCTCAAGTCGTTCTTCTCTCCATCCTCCTTCTCCACATTGTAGTCAAAGTTTTTCGAAGTCATTGTCACACACTGAAATGCAAAGTGATGTGAATATTTTCATCTTCTGCCGTTCGTTTTGAGTCCGTCACCCTTCGCTGGACGGAGAGTGTGTTTGAAGATTGGGGACAACTGTGGTACCAAACTTTGTTCTCAATCGCCCCAGTCGTGTGATCGTGAGACTCTGCTGTCCGCTCTTGACAACGTTTTGAATTCGAGTGCGGAAAGCATGTTTGATGGGCCGGGCATGACTCCGGCGCTTTTTCCGCAGTCTCGTTCTTCCGCACTTCTACTCGTTAACCCGCTCCAGAGGGCACTGTGGGGCGAAGAGCACAAGGCATTCAAAGATACTTAAACTTGCGCGTCGCTTCTCGTTCACTCCCCCCTGTTCCTCGTTCTCACATCGAGGCTCGACTCCACACTCAAGTCCATATCCCGCATACTCAACCATCCTCCCGCATCATTACCTTGCGACACTCTTCTCAACCCTCGGCAGCATACATAGCTCCAGACCATCAACACGCACAGACTCTCTGTAACCAAGACGACGCATCGCCTCATCGACACCATGACATCCGTCTCTTCTGCCGCCGCCTCCTTTGTGCCTTCCAAAGAAGGCAGTCTTTTCAGCACCGCTGTTTCATCCCATCCTTCTGACCGTGACTTCCTTGACGATGAGAGCTTGGACTCTTACGACACCTCTGACGAAGATGTCATTGATCTGCTCTCCGACGACGACACCGACGAAACCATCATCGACGACTCTGACGATGACGACACCTTCGCCATCCTCGACGTCAAGCCTGGCCCCGTCAACCATGTCAAACCGGACATCGATGATTTCAAGCCCAACCTCGCAGACATCAAGCCTCACACCACCGATCCCGTTACCCCTCCCACTCGTGCACCTCGTCGCCAGACCCCGCGCGGACCGCTCCTGACCGAAGCCGAAAAGTCCCAAATCGTTGCACTCCGGGACGCCAACTGGACCGCATCGCGCATCGCCGAGCGTCTCGGTCGAACCACCTCTACCATCTCTGGATTCCTCTACCGACGCAGGCACAAGATGAACGCGTTCCTCTCGACTCTCCCCGGTTCGCGAAATGCTCAGCCCAGCCCGGTGAAGAGACGTCGTGTCGCGGAAGAGGGAGGTGCCACGGTCGCGGGTATTCCGGATCACGCGGTGCGTCGCCGTAGGGTCCCGCAGTTCAGGTTCGCGAATGAGGACGAGTGCGATATCAAGCCGGGATTCGTGAAGAAGGAGGAGCGTGCTTAGACCGGAGGTAATGATGGCGAGATCTGGCGTTGGTGTTCGTGCCGCACAGTCGGATGCTTCGAGATCGTACCTTTCCGCATCCCACTCATCCCGCGCATGCATCTGGCTCCACACAAGCATCAGTGATCGTATGGTTACTCTCCAGCCCTCAATCGTACAACAATACAAGCAGGCCCATCGTCGGCGGCTCTCACGTCGCCCATGCACTCCTCGCCCTATCCTTCCTCCACAGCACATGCGCCCCCCTCCTCGGCCCCAACAAATACCCCCTATCCAACTCCACCTTGACCCGCGTTCCTCCCTCAACCTGTCCTCCCCCGATCTCGAGCTCCCTCTTCAACCTCCTCACCGCGCTCGGCCACGCATGCACCGTGATCTCTCTCAACCCCTTGCCCAACCTATCATCCCCACCCGGCCATGTCCTTAACAATCGCAACGCTTCCACAAACTCCTGCATATCGCTTTCCAGCTGAAACACGTCCCCGCCTTCACTGCCTCGCTGTATATCCGCTTCGGCCATCCTCTCCTCCACCTCACTCTCGTCTTCCATCGTCGGCAGCTGCTCTGGAGTCCACGTATCTCGTCCATTCTGAAACGCACTACCTCTTCGCCGCGTAACCAACCTCAGCTCTAGTTTCTCCAGCAACGGTAGCGTTTCTCTCAACTCTCGCGCCGTTGCGGCGTCCATTCCGAACACCAACAGTTCCAGCTCCCTCAAGTCCTCGAACGTCGGTAGACTGAGGTACGGGATCGTCGTCAATTCCGTGCACAACCTGGTCGGTTGAGGACCCTTTTCCAACCTCGACACTGTGCCCGTGTGCAGTGCACCCATGCTGAACAGGTCCAGACTCAGCTCCTGCAGGTGCGGGCTGGCGAGGAGCATCTGTTCGATGCCCACGGACAGCGGTCCGTGATCGGCGAGCGCAGAGGGACAGTACCCCGAAGCGTCGAACTCCGAACTACCGATGGAAAGCCTCCGGACGAACTTCCCAAGCGATGGATTGTGGAGCGCCAGTGTCACTCTGAACGATCGGAACGACGCGGGCGTGTGGAGCGATACGCTGTGGTAGAGTCTCGGAATGATGAGGTTGTAGTATCGATGGGAGAGGAGGAGGATGTTGGTTGGGCAAGAGCGTGGTTCGAGCGGGGAGAGACTAGGACATGCGGCGAGGATGAGGATGTGCGAGATGAGCTCCTCGGGAAGTTGATGGAGGATGCTGCTGGGTGTCATTGCGATAGACTGCTGTGATGGTATGACCATGCGTGTCGTGGGAGGATGCTGAGGTGGCGAAGAAGAGAGGGTGAACGCAGTGAAGAAAGGCGTGTTGTAGCTTGCTTTCGGGCTGTACTGGACAGGGTGTTCGACTTCGTTTGTCCCGTCAATGACACGAGTGATCCAACGAGCAGCTTGTCTGAGCCTGAGACCGATCTGTGTTTCCAGAGCCTCGTAGGTGAGGACGTTGACCAAGCTCGAGATTTCTGGATACACGGGCACTTCGATCCTTCTGTGCGAATCCGTCACGGCGATCCAATCTCTCCTCTGCGCAGACGTCGACGAATCTGCGTCTGCGTCTCTACGTTCACGCACGAACGAAGCTGTCCTCTCGAAGCGCGGACGGAGACTTGCGGGGATATCACGGATCCTGTTAACGCCGCTACTGCCCAATCCACTATCTGGCAGAGTCGTCCCACCAATACCACCTCCGTTCCACTGTGTGCTCGGTACAATCGGCGAGCCAGACGGCCACGTCGTCGATCCCAACAGCAGCAAATGAGCTTCCGAGGCAGCCGACCTTGACGCCAACCTTGCCTGGAGTCGCGCACTGAAGCAGGCGTACAGTTGTCGGAGGAAGTTCTTTGTGCCCAGGTAGATGAGTCGCGAGAGGGTGAGGGCAGCTACCGCGTCGAGCAGCAGGTAGGAGACCGATATTGTGAGGACAGGGAACCACATGCGTGCGCTTGGAGGAGGAAACCTTGTTAGCAAGAACCGCTTCAAAGTCGGAAGCAATGAGAATGTCGTGATGAATGGGCCAAAGTCGACGGTGGCCATGCTAGGGTGCGTCCGATTACGCTGAGCTGAGTTTTGACGCAACAGCGATGGAATGCTGCTTCACATAGTATGCAGGCAAATGAAGGTGGGTGTGGGTTGAGCTCTTGTAGAAAAAGGGGAGGCAAGGCGAGAAGGTGCGCGGACGATAAGGTGAGCGGACACAAAGTTGTGTCTCGACCCTGCATGACGAAGGGTCGGACAGCGTTGCCTCCCCGCGGTTTCGAGACAGCTGCTGATTAGCGCGCCGCCACGCCGTTGGGGAACCGCTCTGCGCTATGCAATGCAGTCGAGACAGCTTTGTTCCGAGTTATTCCCGTTCACGCCGAGACCCTTTCGTGCGTGACATGATTGGTGTGAGATCGACTCAAACCTTACAGCACACTTGGAAACAAAAATCGAGCGCCTATCTTTGGCTTCGGCAAGTCCGATCCGTGAATATTTGAACCCTTATTTTGAGGCCGGCTCTCTCGTCTTCGGCGTTTTGTGCTTCTTAGGCACGCGGCATCTCGTTCACTCTGCCTGCCTGCAGCTCTGCAGCTGAGTCGTACTACAGTATTGGCCTCTTGATCTCGCCTTTACGCTTGCTTGATCTGTTATCCCTTCCTTCATCTACATTGAACAGCGACGGAATCGTCATAGATGCCGTGCTGCTCAAGAACGGCGTCAATAATGGCGGCTTCGTCCAATATGCTCGTCGTGAGCGGAGCCGTCCTAGCAATCCTGCCGTCGGTCATGGCCCACGGTCATCACTCGCATGGCCCAGCGGACAACTCAGTTCCTATCGACAGCATCCTCTGGATCCACATCGGCATACAGACCTTTGCTTGGTTCTTGCTCTTCCCGCTAGCCATGGTGCTCGGCATGGTACGCCATCGGCTTCACGTGCCTGTAGCCACCACCTCGCTCGCGCTTACCGTGGGCGGATACTTTCTCGGTCACGGACACGGCGGTCGCTCCTTCCCACACACAGCTCACGGCACCATGGCCTCTCTACTCGTCTTCTACCTCGCCGCACAAACCTTCCTCGGAGTCTACCTCAAGCTCCACCTGCAGTGGCGACCTGAAAAGTGGATCCGACCTACACTCGTCACCATCCACGGCGTCCTCGGCAAGAGCTTCCCCATCGTCGGTTGGGTGCAGATGGTATTTGGCGTCTCGACACTTCAGTCTTGGTGCTTCGGCGGACACCTGGGTCAGTGTCTGGCGCACTACATCATGGGGTCGGCGTTTCAAGCGTACGCGGCCATTCTCGTGATCATGATGAAGGCCGGCGGCGACTGGTTGCAGCGACGCGGGCAGAGTCAGGAGTGGTTCGATTCGTGGGTCATCATGCTCTGGGGCATCGTCAACACTTTTACCGAGCATCATGGTGGGCCGTGGACGCACAAGGATCTGCAACATACGCTCATGGGCGTCCTTTGGTGGGCCGGTGGTGCAGTGGGCATCTGGCTCAGCCGTGGTGGTAGGAGGAACGTGTTTCCCTCCATCATCATCATTCTCACGGGATGGGCGATGAGCGCACACTCGCAGGAACTCATGATCTCGACCATGGTGCATTTGCTCTTTGGATACGCGCTCATGGGTGCAGGCATTGCGAGGATGATCGAAGTGTGCTTCGTCATGCAGGATCGACCGACGGGTACCACTCCAGAATCGCCGAATGTACCCGTGGCTAGTACAGAGGCGGTCAATGGGAGCTGGTATCCGATCAGAGCATTCCAATACCTGCCGCCTTATCTGCTGGTGGCATCGGGAGTGCTGTTCATGTCGGCAACGGATGAAGAGCTGAGATGGGCGGACTCGCAGGGGGTGGATCACGCAACGTGGGGGTTGATCGATTTCAGCGCTTCCATGCTGATGTTCCTGTGGATCAATGTGCTGATCGATCTGTACGTGGGCTATGGCGGCAGGTACGGCGCTGCGAGGGAGAATGCTGCTCAAGCAAGAGGGACCGATCGGGAGGCACAGGCGAGCAGATCGTTGTATTCGCGTCTCAGCATGGGGAACGGCGCGGCAGCCGTGGATGCACCGACACGGACAGTAGAGGTGGAGCATCACGAGCTGAACGGGCTGAATGGAAAGCGGATGCTCCACTCGGATGACGAAACAGAGCCAAATCATGTTCTATTCGACGAGGAGGACGAGGATCCTTTCGAGGAGAAGGAGCGCGACGACTACGAAAGCAGCGGCAGCGGAAGTGGCAGCGGTGATGCTGCACGCAGTCGCATTCATCTGTAGGCAGAGAAGACCTGGAAAAAACTTGCATCCATCGCGCGACTTGTTCTAGAAGCGTGTGAGCTCGACCATGGTGAAGAAGGAAGACCAGATCGTATCTGTGAACCAGCTTGGAAGATCACTGATGATCGGGAGATGGTACCTCTGACGCGAATTGGAGAACGTGCGTGCCGCTAAAAAGGCGCCCTCAACGTCACTATTTTTTCTAGAATGGACAGATGAGCGCAGAAGCAAAGGGAAAACGCACCGGCCAAGCAAAGCGAGTCCAATTGCAACTCACAGCGTACTTTTTACGATGAATTTGGGACGTGCTCTCGGAAATTTGAGCCAATGAACGATGCTCACTCAGTCCAACGCACACGGAGAACACACACTTGCCGCTGGCTTAGGGTCCTTTTTGCCGCTCCTGTTTCCTATCTTTCAGTCTGATCATCGATCGCTGTTCAATCGCACACGATCTTCGCTTCTTCCACCATCGTCAAGGATAGACTCGAGGTGGACAAGCGTATCAAGGCTTCACTCGTCAAGCTCAGCCTCTGGGTAACGCGCATCGATCGCACAGACCAAGACCAGTTCATTCAACGGCACTCTGGAATCCATTCACAGGCATCACTCCCGACGATCTCACTCCACCGAGCACGGTTCTCGACGCTATCTTCCACTGCCCTCCTCATCTAGATCGACCACAGACCCGCCATCCACCTCTGTGCACCTGCTATCTCGCTCGCTGGATTCGCAAGGGAAAGCTTCCGCAGTACGCTAGCTACCCTATCCGGCTTCCTTTTTCACAGCCATGGCTGCACCAACATCTCGACCGGCCAACTCTGGCAGCGGCAGCAGCGTCGCCAGCTCAGCAGCCGCAGGTCCCACAGCTCACGCCTCAGCGACTGGGGGGCACCACCATCATCACCACCACCACCATCACCATCACGCCCACCACATCACTGACCCTGCACGACGCAAAAAGAAGCATCTCCCCGCTCAGTTGGCCCAGCTTCAGCTCGAAAACGAAGACGAAGATGCTAACAACTTCATCTCTTCGTCGCGCGATGCTTCTGAAGAGGACAACGATGATCAGGAGGAGACCTTTGACGACGATGCCTCGATTGCCTCGCTCCGTCACCACCAGCAGGGTCCCAGCTCGACGTCTGTGCCCATCTCGTCGTCGCTGTCATCCATCCCGCCCAACGACAGAGATCAGGCGTTGATCGACTCTGCAGCGCTGCATCAGTCTTCGAAGCTGCAGCACCAGTACAAGCCTTCCAACTTGCAGGATGACAGAACTCCCGCCAGCTCCAGTCCACCTCGAGAGGCAACAGCATCAGCTGCTGCGGCTCTGACTGCAGGCGGTGCACCTGCGCGGTCGGGCCAGCCTACGATTCAGCACGGCTTTGTGTCACCTCCCTCGGCGCACCAGCAGCTGTCGGCGTCGCACGACCGCCGAAAAGAGGTCTCGTCGGACGACGATGAGAGATACGTTCGCCCTTCGGTTGGCACCACGCTTGCCACTGCCAGCGCAGCCCTCTCCAGCAGCTCTTCCGCCGAGCTTCTGCCCAAGGCTGTTGCCGCGCAAAGGCAAATCGGCGGAGCAGACGGCGTCTCTGCAAAGTCGATCAATCACGGTGCTGGCCTCAATCTCGGTTCTCTACCGGCTCCCGCTGTTGGAGCGCCTGGTACGACTTCGCAGCCTCTGAACACTGTCAAGCCCCAGACGAATGCCACTGATCCATTCGCAGCCTCTGTGCTGTCCGGTAACGCCACCGCTGCGACACCGAGAGCGCAGCAGGCGAGCGATGGCTCCCCTGCGCCGGCGTTGGAGTCTTCAGCGCTCGGCCAAACAGCTACTTCTGGCGGCGTGGCTGCTGCATCAAAGCGCAAGACGTCTGCCTCGCACCACGCTTCACACGCTGCCGCGCGTCGAGCCGAGCTCAAGGACGGAGCCGACGATGAAGCAAGCAACAACACGGACGGAGGTACGCCGTACGATGGCGATGTCGAGTATGCCGCTCGCACGCCTGTCTCGAGTCAGTTGGCAGCCGGTGCAGCTGCTCACCCAACAGGAAAATCTGCAGCTGCTTCGAACGTTTTTGCCACCAAAAGCACCGCACCAGGCCCAGTTCGATCGCGCAGCTACATCCAGACGATGAAGAGCCGTCACGCCGACTGTCATCCGCAGGGCGACGAGTTCGAGGAGGGCGGATTCCAGCCTTCTTCGATCCCTTCCGCCGAAGAGATCCAAGCGTGGGTGAGCCAAGCGATCTTCAACCCAGACCCTCAACGCGACTACTCGATCAATCCACCACCCAAGCGCTACGACAGCGAAGGTCGAGAACGTCCCATCCGCATCTACGCCGATGGCGTCTACGACCTTTTCCACTACGCACACGCGCTGCAGCTTCGCCAGGCCAAGCTGTCGTTCCCTGCGGTGCATCTCATCGTCGGGGTGGTGAGCAGCTTCTCGTGCGGCAAGCATAAGAACAAACCGGTGCTGACGAGTCAGGAACGCTACGAGTGCGTGCGCAATTGCCGTTGGGTGGACGAGGTGTTGGAGGATGCACCGTGGGTGGTGGATCAGACGCTGATCGATACGTTGGAGATCGACTACATTGCGCACGACGATCTGCCGTACTCGGGGATCGGGATGGAGGATATCTATGCATTCGTGAAGCGGCAGGGGAGGTTTTTGCCGACGAGGAGGACGGATGGTGTTTCGACGAGCGAGTTGTTGGGTAGGATCGTGGATGTTTACAGAGAGGGTAGTTTGGATGGTAAGCTGGTCAAGATTGGGTTGGAGGATTTGACGAGCACGCATGCTATGCATACGGGTCATGGGGAAGAGTGAGAGGGGCGAGTGGTTCAGTGTGAAATGAAAAAGCTACGTTTTACAAGTGGATCTTCGAGAGGAAGAGATGTCGTGTGGTGAGGTGTGGGAAGTGGATGTGAGAATTTGCGTGTCGTGAAGGCCGATTTTTTGACCGACGACGGGTTTGTGTGGAGGCAGGGTTCTGGAAAAACCTCACTTCTGTTTCTTTCTCCCCATCACCCAAATTTGCGTCCTTTCGCCAACGATCTTCTTTCTGGGACGATGTACCAACCTACTCGCGGGGGCGCCCGTGGTGGAGCAGCCGAGTTCAGCTGGGACAAGGTCAAGGAGTCCAAAGATCGAGAGTTCTACCTCGGCAATTCGGTCGCCGCCCCCACCGGCAGATGGCAGGACGGCCGCGACATCAACTGGTACATCAAGGCCGAGAGCTCTTCCGCTGCAGATGGGAGGAGGGAGGAATTGAGGCGGATCAAGGAGGCGGAGATGGCGGAGATGTATAGGAAGTTAGGACGGGATCCACCAAAGACGAGTGCGGAGGGAGGGTTGGTGGGTGAGAGGTTGGCTAGTGGGTCGAGCGGGGTGGGAAGGAGGGAGGCGACGGGGGCGAATAGTGAAGTGCTGGAGGGAGGGAGGAAGAAGTGGGGTCAGGGGGAGATGGAGGGGGAGGGGGAAGGGGAGGTCTCAGAAGCCGACAAGAAGCTAGGGAGGAAGTTTGCACGGGATGAAGTGAGGAGACGCAGAAGGGAGGCTGGAGAGGAGGAGGAGGGACGCAGTCGTCATTCGAGCAGGCGCGAGAGGGACGAGACAGACACAGATCGACACCGACATCGCAGGCACCATCACAGATCGTCTCGATACGAAAGTGAGAATCGCGAACCAAGAAATTCCAGACGGCATCGTCAACACAAAGACGATGATCGCGAGGGAGGACATCGAAGAGGTGTTGATCGTGAAGACAGAAATCGTCGTCACAATGACAGGAGCAGAAGCAGGAGCAGGAGTAGGTCGCCAGCATCATCGAGCCGACACAGGCGCAGACATGACGAGAAGGAGCGTCTTGCATCGAATGGGTCTCCTTCCAGAGCAGAAAGACAAGATCGAGGAAACCAGTCCAGACATCATCATTCATCGCATCATCTGCGTGGTCGGGATCCTGTCCATACCTCTTATTCGCCCTAGCAAGTGCAACATGTAGGCACGGTAATCTCATTTGATATGTCCATCTTCTCTCTCTGTCTCACTGTCCGGCTGTTGAGTGTCCAGTTGACGTTGTATCGACTAAGCGAACACGCATTTGGCATGCTTTCGTGTAGAGTGATTTCACAAGCACGAGACGCGTTCATTTGCGAGGACGCGCTCTGCAACCCGAGTTTTTTCCGCTTCTTCAAACTGAGCCTCCACACGATCAGGCAAAGACCCTGACCGAAACCTCCATCTCTTCACCTCGGAGTGTGAATGTCTCCCCTACGCCCTCGCCAGGACCCGCTCTACATCTCAAGTCTCACGACAATGGACACAATGAAAGCACCTCTTGCGTAGCCGCTGACGCCTCTCCATGCCGTCGTAGCCTTGCTCAACCACACAGGATCCGCATTGCTCCATTTTCTAGTCGTGCTGGTCCACCATGACATCTCCAAAAAAGGCCACCCGTAGATACGATGCTCTCGCACCGAGCGGCTCAGGAGTATTTGGCTTCCCCTCAGCTTCAGCTTCGGCATCCGGGCCATCGTCAAACCCCACAGCTGGACCTAGCTCCAGTACCGGCAATGAGCATCTTTTGCCCGACCTTCCGATCGACGACGCTCGCAGCAGCCTCATAGACAGAGCGCCCTCTCTCAAGTCGCCAGAACCGACACACCAGCCCGTTCCCACACATACAAATCTCGAAACAGCAGTGCACAGCTCAGGTCCGCCACCGTGGCCCACAATCACGTACAAACACCTGCTCTCTGCAGGCACCCTCAACCCGACCAACCCGCTCCGTGTCGTAGCCCACTGCGATGTGGATGCGGCGTATGCTCAGTTCGAGGCATCTCGTCTCGGTCTCGATGCCACTGTTGTACCCATAGCCGTGCAGCAGTGGCAAGGTCTCATCGCGGTCAACTATCCAGCTCGCGATGCCGGCGTTTCGCGTTTCGAGAGTATCCCCGAGGCTCTCAAGAAGTGTCCGGATCTACATCTCGTCCACGTCGCCACCTACGCACACGGCAGCAACAAGGCAGACTACCATCCCGATCCCAAACCCGAAACGCACAAAGTCAGTCTCGACCCGTACCGCAGAGAGAGCACCAAGATCCTTGCCATCTTCAAAAAGACTTGTCCGCATGGAGCGGTGGAAAAGGCGAGCATCGACGAGTCGTACTTCGACCTCACGATCGAGGTGCGCAAGCTCATGATCGAGAGGTTTCCGCATCTGGCACATCCGCCTGCCGACGATCCTGCGACAGGGATCAAGGGAATGGATCAACCTCTGCCGACACCGCCACGTCTGGGGTTGAAGCAGTGGAAGCAGCTTGGATATGTGGTGCCCAAGACGGGAGATGTGGGAAAGGCTACAGGGATAGGAAGGCCGGAGAAGGCGGTGGCGAAAGGAGCGCTGTTGGTGGATGCTCCGATCGGGGCCGGTATTGTATCAGCCCCGCTACCCGACCTGCCGAACGAGGCTACTAAGCAAGCAGTGGACGACGGCACTCCAAATCCCGGACAGCCGAAAGACAAGCAGTCACCACCATCTTGGGGTACGGATCAAGATCGCCTCACAGATCCGTCTTCGAGTCAACCCGACGACCTCGACTCGGAAGCGGCGCTGTGGGATCGCATCGAGTACGGCGAGACCACCTGGACAGACGTCGCGCTCGCTCTCGGCGCTGAACTCATGAATCGCGTGCGGCAGAATGTGCTCGACGAACTCGGCTACACCACGTCAGCAGGCATCGGTTCCAACAAGACGCTCTCCAAGCTCTGCTCGTCTTGGCGCAAGCCCAACGGTCAGACCATCATGCGTCCCTGCTCCGTTGCCAACTTCTTCTCGTCCCTACCGTTCCAGAAGATCCGATTTTTGGGAGGGAAGCTAGGCACTGCGATGGGCGCCGAATGGAACTCGGCCACTGTGTCGGATCTGTGGGAGGTCGGGTTGGACGAGATGCAAGCCAAGTTCGGAGAAGAGGCTCGGTGGGTTCACAACGTGCTTCGCGGAATCGACTACAGCGAGGTTCGAGAGCGAGTCAACAACCAGACGATGCTGGCGAGCAAGTCTGTACGACCAGCCATCACGAAGCCGGAAGAGGCGATGCATTGGTTGGGCATTCTATCGACCGAGCTGTCTATCAGGTTGAGGGAGGCAAGAGAAGATCGGATCAATCTATGGCCTAAGACGTTGGTGCTCCGGTACATCCGAGCTGGATCTGTACCGCGGAGTCGGCAGACGCCGTTCCCGTTCACCAATCCGAACAATCAGGATGAGCTGGCGAAGGTCATCTTGAAGAAGGGTCACAAGCTGTGGGAGGAGAGCCTGGGCGATGCGCTCGGGTTAGGCTTGGGATCGTCTGGATTTGGAGAGGCAAAAGTGTTGACCATCGCATTGGGCTTTGGAGGCTTGGCCGAGGGCGAAGTCGGACAGCGAGGGATTACAGGGTTCCTTGGAACCGCCGGCAACAACCCAGCCACAACACCGTTCAGCGCATCCGCTGGATCAGCGGGAACGACAAGGCAAGCATCGGAGAGCGATCTGGGAGAACACTCGTCACCGAAAAAGAAGAAGAAAGGCAATCGGTTGGATGACATGTTCCAGACGCGGACCGAACAGCAACAGTTGCAGGCGCCCAGCACCAAGCACGAGGAGGACTCGAACGAAGTTGGTGACGACGACACTGCAGAAGCAGCAGCTGTCAGCACGCATCCAGGGACAGATGTTGCGACGGGCACCGAAACGACATCGGGAGAGCGGCAGGATCGGGAAGACGATCCTCAATGGCGATGTCCCGAGTGCTCGCAGCTCATCTCAGCGCCATCGGGATCGGCGTGGTTCGAGCGGCCGTATCTGGTGGAAAAGCTCAAGGACGAACATCTTGATTGGCACTTCGCAGTCTCGCTCTCTCAAGCACCATCGCGGGCTGTCGTCGAATCTGCCGCACCGGCGACGCAGCGGCCCGCAGCGTCCGCTACATCTGCAGGCACGAGCAGCAAGAAGAAGCGCGCGCTGGACAAGTTCTTCGCCCGTCGATAGATCAGAGTCGTGACACAGAGCGTGTTCACCAATACGTTAGCAATTCCACGTTTGGGGGTTGCACCCTGCTTTTTTTCATTCTTCTTCCTTTGCAGTGATTTGGCCGTGGCGAGGGTCGCGATTATTTTTCCAACTCCGCCGCATGTATTGGATGGTCGCTGTGCACCCTGTATGCACTTGCGAGCTGCCCTTTGAGTAGATTGCCCCTAACACTTTCACACCCACCTGTACCTCTGATCGTCGTCGTAAAGTGGCAATACTATGCATGCGCCTCCGTAGGCGAGGTGTTGACGATCAAAATCTCGCTTCGACAAACAGCAAAGTTGGTGCAAGGGAGAAAGTAGATCGTCGATCGACAGGGTTCTCCCAACTGATGTGTGAATGGCAGACGAGTCGAAGCTCTTCACCCCCTTCTTGTTTGATTGGGTGGCGTGATGTGTGACGGCTGTTGGCTGCGATCCCTCGGCAGCACCGCATGGCCTTCGCGTGCCATGGCGATTGCTTTACGCGATCGTTATGGCTACCGTTCACCTTTGAGAAACGTGCCGGGAAAACAACGGATCAGCTCAAAATCAGAGAAGAGTATACCCGCCCGTTTCGATCGGCCAAGGGAGAGCTAGCAATTCCCGTCGGGCTGCTCCGAAAAGAGCAAGTCGCGCGGTAGCAACCCCTCGAGCTGGATAAAACCAAAAGCAGTAACCTTCCCGCCATTGCATGAGACAATTGCTAGACACGAGCATGAAAATGTGATCGGTGATATAGCCTTGGCGGCGGCGTGATCGTGACAGGGAGGGAATGGCGTTGGGTTGCATTTATCCTTGAGAGTGTGGCTGATCCCGTGGCAGGTTTTGCCAGAGACGAGAGACTGCGTTCCTGAGCTGCACAGCTGCTTGAACGAAAACGAAAGAGGAAAAAAAAATCATAATAGCCCGAGGCAACGGGAAGCAATTTCGAAACCCTTTGGCGATGTTTTTCTTCCAGCGCTGGCTGGCAGACCCCGTCAATGTCAGATTCGACACGCGACAGCTGCCATGCGGCTCAAATGGGAGAGGCAGAGTGAACCCTTGAATCTCGAGCATTCCCCTAGCAATTGCGAAGGGTAGATTTGCGCTTCCCGTTCCTCTGGCCAGCCCTTTTTTCATGCAAGTCGAACCACGTTGTGTCGCACTCTGTCACTGTTCGGAAAACACTCCAGGTCCCGTCTTCTGTCTTTGTCTTACGACTCAGGAACATTCTTGCTTGGCCTTCTCGAAGATGTCTTTCAACTCGGGCGGAGTCACCTTACGCGGCGCCGAAGTGTGCCCGGGACTGAGTAACCCATTGCGCAGTCACGTCTGCATCCGGTATCAAGGCTCGGTGTGCGCCGAAGGTGCCACTGCGCCTTCCAGTGTGATTCAATTTCGACATTCCCGCTCCATGCTGCATATCTACCTTATTGAGCCATTTGGCAGTCTTAGTCAATCTCATGTCAAAGTGCCTGCGCCGACCACGCATGATTCTACTAACTCCAAAGCGCCCTCCTGTCGCTGCAGACGGCGCTTCACAGGGGCCTTACTCGGATGCCGATGCTGCCGCCAGCGGATGTCCCGTCCACATGCTTTCCCTCTCGGCATGTCCCGCGGTGGTCCTCTGTGCCGGCAACAGCCCCATCGATCTCGCTTCTGTCCGCTCTTTCCTTCTTTCTTTCTTCGTATAGCATGCACGAGTTGGTAAATTTTCGCACTCCGCAAGGCTTCCAACAGCTCCGATCCGTTTGCGCAACCCTCGTTTTTTTCCTCCTTCCCTTCTTCCAAGCCCGTGAGTGGACGGATACCTGCCAGCTTCCATTGAGCATGCGCCGTTGTTCGAGCCTCCCGATGGGACACCCTTTATCCTGCCAGAAAACCCGGCTCTTCAGCAAGGCACCTCGTGGCGCACCTCGTGGTCGTGCTGCTGCAGATGAGGGTTCATGCCGGCTGCCACCCTCGTTTGTTCATCCGCACAGCGCGGGCCTCCCGTCGTTTTGGTTTTTCCAATCTATGCGCAGAAGCCTACGAATTTGATGGATCACATTGGCAAGCTGGTGTATTTGGGAGTCAGCGCTTCTGCGCCCATGCAACCAAAGTTCAGCGACCAAAGTAAGTTCAGCGGTCCGTTCAAACCTCGTCCCGAAACAAGTTTTGACAGCGTCAAAGCATGCGCTTGAGGTCCCCCCATTTTTCCGATAGTGTTTCCTCGCTGCAGAAGCTGCGTACCTGAGCCTCGGCTTGAGGCATCACATGAAACGTTGTGCAGTGAAAGGAACGGAACCTGCAGGAGATGTATAAGTAGACCGCCTTCCTGGACAGACCTCGGATCTCCGTTCACACCAAGACATCCTACTCTCCGTCACCTAAAGCCTCCAAACTCCTCGCATATACCATCGCCCCTTCTCTGCTGGCTCAGAGTCGACGATTATCAGATCTCAATCATGAAGTTCCTCGCGCTCCTCCTTTCCGCGTTGGTCTCCCTGATCGCGCTTCTCCCTGCCTCGGCAAACGCAGCTCAGCGTGGTCTCGCATGGGGTACCAACGACAACTGGGGCAACCAAGTCGCCAAGGGTCTCATCAGCTGGTACTGGCACTGGCAGGATGGACCCAACTCCAAGTTCGACGGCAAGCTCGAATTCGTCCCTTGCTACTGGGGTCCCAAGTACAACTCGCAATGGGCCCAGCGTAAGCAGGAGATGAACGCTAACCTTCCCAAAGCTCTGCTCGGCTTCAACGAGCCTGACATCAGCGGTCAGTCCAACTTGGATCCTCAGACAGCGGCGAGCCTCTGGATGAAGGAGATTCAGCCTTGGAAGAGCCGAGGTGTCCGACTCGGATCCCCTCAGATCGTCTACAACCAGGACTGGTTGGGTCAGTTCATGAGCGCTTGCAAAAGCAAGGGCTGCACTGTTGGTAAGTTTCTTGCGATATGGAAAGGACGACGAATCGATCTTCGGCTTCTGTAGATTTCGGTGGGGTCAAGCTTCTCAGCTTGATTTTCCGAACGCCAGAACAGATGCCGAAACCGTCGTGTCCGTCGATTCTTACGCCTACCCACTCAGAGTGTCGTGACCCAGGTACTGACGTTTCAAACCCTATTCGTCTGCTTCCGACTTTTCAGACTTTATCGCAATCCACTGGTACGGTGCATGGTACGACCTCGACGGCCTGAAGAAGTACGTCACCTCAGTGCGAAACCGTTTCAACCTCCCCATCTGGATCACCGAGTACGGCGTCACCTCCTCCTCCGGCGGCTCGCAGCAGCAGGTCAAGCAGTTCCACATGGACGCTACCAACTGGCTCAACTCGCAGTCGTACATCGAGCGCACTTCGAACTTTGGCAGCTTCCCCGTCTCCTCGCCTCCCGATGCGTACGGATCGCGTCTCAACGCACTCTTCAACGGCGATGGAAGCTTGAGGGATCTCGCCTACTGGTACCTCTGGACCTCGGGTAACTCGAAGAGGACCGTCAGGCAGGAGTTGACCGCAGAGGAGGACTTTGAGCCGACCAAGAAGGACATTCCCGTCGAGGAGAAGCCGGCTAGCTTCAGCCACTCAGAGGAGGGAGACGAAGAGTAGACGCAGAAGGTCTAGGTCACCGCATCCATCGGCTTGATGTCGAAGGTGCTCTGGGGCCAGATTCTGGGCTGCTGTCACACTGCTTTGGTTTTGATATCCGTCCCCGTCCAAGATATTGGGTGGACGTGGATCTGTATTGCTACACTGTTTTCTTGGTCACGATAGCGTTCTTGTCATGGGTTTTTGTTGCTGCATTCATAGATTTGTTCCTCCTTCCGCCCCCTTTGTTCTCTGACTGATGCGCCGGCAGCTGTAAGGTCTTTTGCTTTCCTGTTTTGACTATTCGAGCAGACCAAGAGGCGAGCACGAGCCTTTCGAAGTCGATGAGGATGATGAGGTGACAGCTGTCAGATTCACAAGGTGCGCCGCGGCAGAGCCCCGTTATGCATGCCGGTCTAACATTTCAACCTTCGCTCAAAAATCTTGCCGGCACCATGCCTTGACTTCCGGACTGGCGGCCGCGGTGATTTGACCGGCGCTGCTTCGCTATGGTCACCGGACACGATCCGGCAATGAATTCTGGCCTGTCAAAATTGTTTAACCCCGCACTTGGAGTCCGGCAAGACCACCCTTCTCTTGCCGTACAATATCCAAGCAGATACATTCGACCATCATGATCTAGGCATCATCGTAGACCGTCTACAACAGCATCGCCTTGTTCGTAATCCACACACACATCTGCGACTATGACACGGCAAACAGACACTATTCAACCGCAGCAGTTGGCTGCGACCACGACGTCCGAATCGAAGCAGACGCATCACGATTCCACCACCCCTCCGCACGGCACACAAGTGGATCTCTCGACCACCGACAACGTCAAGCTCTCCGACTCGCAATTCACCATCCGAGAAGGTGGCTATGGCTGGGTCAACGTCGTGTGCAGCATCTTCCTCAACGCCGTCACCTGGGGCGTCAACACCACCTTTGGCGTCTACTTCAGCTACTACCTCCAGAACGACTACTTCACAGGTGCCACGCCCATGCGGTATGCCTACGTCGGTGGACTCTCGGTAGCATCGTGCATGCTGGTCGCGCCCTTTGTGAATCTGCTCTGGAGGTCAACGGGATGGTTCAAGACTCCGTTGATACTGGGTGCGGTGTTGGTTAGTATGGGTCAGATCGGCGCTGGGTTGTGCAAGACGTACGTGCAGCTGTTATTCACGCAAGGGTTTGTGTTCGGAGTGGGGTTGGGTTTGACGATGATCCCGACGCAGCCGTTGTTGAGTCAGTGGTTTAGGAGGAAGTTGAGCTACGCGCAGGGGCTGTCCGCCGCGGGGAGCGGATTGGGAGGATTGGTGCTGGCGAATACTACGAGGTATCTGATCCAGGAGAAGTCGCTCGAGTATGCGCTGATCTGCAACGGCATCGTCTCACTGGTCGTGCTGATACCGTGCATCACGTTGATGAAGTCGACCGAGCCGCAGTCGATGCGTTTCCTACCAGCGCGATTCCGCAGCGCCAAAGCATTCGAACTGTCACCAACGGCAGCAAAGATTCGAAAGAATCCATTGGAACTCAAATGGCTCATCCATCCAGGATACGCCTTCATCCTCCTCTTCGGCATCTTCAGCATGATCGGCTACTTTGTCGCCATCTACACCCTCGCCGCCTACGCAACCTCCGGTCTCGGATTAACGCAGAAACAGGCGTCGACTCTGCAATCCATCCTTGCAGCGGGCCAGATGATCGGTCGTCCACTCTGCGGTCTCCTGCTCGATCTGATCGGACGTCACCCATGCACGATCATGATCCAGACGCTCGCTGGGTTGACGTGTTTTGCGTTCTGGCTACCTGCTAGGTCGTTCGGTCTGCTCGTGGTATTCGCCATCACCCAAGGTTTGTTGGGAGGCACGGTGTGGTCGAGCGTAGCACCGCTGTCCGCGGAAGTCGTGGGTATCAGAGATTTGCCTTCTGCGTTGGCGGTGTTCTGGTTGGTAGCAGGTGTCATTCCGGGTCAGTTCGGTCAGCCTATGGCGGTGGCACTGATCAATTATAGTCGAGATCATCTGGGAAGAACGGGGCCAAATGCGTATCTCATCTCGATCGGTTTTTGTGGCGCTTGCTTCGTCATGAGCGGCGTATCGCTCTGCCTGAGCTGGCGATTCGTCCGGTCGAGGAACAAAGCTCAGCAGCTGGAGAGTGCAGAGCAAACTGTCGATACCACTTCACCTTCACCAGCGGCTTTGCAAACCCAGGAAAAATTGTAGACTTTCAAACGTCACTCTGCATCATCACTTACAACGTGCATATTGTCTATCGCATCAGCAGATACAACAGAATGATACAGATTGGTTAAGAGTGTACCGTTGAGTGCAGACTAGATAGAGACGGCAAAAAAAGAAAGAAAAAAAAAGATAAGAGTGTGACGTTGAGTGCAGACTCGATAGAGACGGCAAAAAGAGAAAAAGAAAAAGAGAACTGCAGCACCTAGGATTCCCGCGTGGTCCCCCACCGCAGTACTGACTAGGCGATACCATGCTTAACTTCGCAGATCGGACGGGATGCGGTGCTTTCATGGTTCTGTGGCCGCAGATGATTGTCTGTGATCAATGGACAAAATATAGATCCCTGAAAATCAGGGCAGAAATACAAATATAGATCCCTGAAAATCAGGTCAGCTCTATTTCTGCCCATGCGCATCACAATCCTTCGACTTGCACCACCCTTGGGAGCTTTCAAAGAAGATTGGCTCCCCACTACCGCTCGCCCTATTCGCATCGCACTCCGCATGACACCTCGAATACAACGCACAAGTCAACTGTCCCTGCACGAACGAATTCTTCTTGTCCTCTCTCTTGCCCGCGAATTTTCTTTTCAACCGTTCACTCTCCTTTCTTTCCCAGTCGTCCCCCACCTCGGGTAATTCTTTGAAAGCGACAGCGTCCGGAGCGCGATTGATAAGTTTGATCGAAGGGTTGTCGAGATTGAACGTCTGTTGGTAGATGTTGACGAACACGCAGCCTGAGGTGGCGTCGCATGCGCTGAGACACTGTGAGATCGAGGAGACAAGACCCCAATGTAGGAAGGCGGTGGGGTCGGAGACAACCGAGCCGAAGAGTTTGTTCGAGTATGAAGCGACGGGACGCCTTGCATCGGTGAAGATCGACTGGTAGCCCATTTGGCAGTACGGAGGTTGAGAACGTTTTCGTAGCGAGTCAGCTCTTCCACCATGCTTGGCGGTTTGCGAAGACTTGGTGCTTGATCCGATCGAGTAGATTTTCTGCAGCAAATGCGTATCGCCGCTACATCGCTCAGCCTTGGATTCGAAAGTTCTGTCCGTCTTGACGAGTTGGCCGAAACCATCGCATTTGAGCAGACAGTGAGCTGTCATTGTTCGGACTAGGTTGGACGACGTATGGTGATAGCGGTCTTCTTGAGAGGTGTGCTGACTGTCGGGAAGACAGAACTCGAGTGCGGATTGAATGAAACCCATACACAACCGTGCCGTACCTCCACAGCGATCTGAAGGATTCGATCTGGATGCCCACGATGCGTGAGTGTCGAGGTGACGTTTGAAAGCGCCAGAGCTTGATACAGCCTTAGCGTGTGTACCAACACTTGCCCCACTCGTTCGTCCGCCATTTATCTCCTTCAACTTATCTTCTTCCAGCATCGTTGCATTCCTTTGAGCCTCCTCCTTCAACTTCTCCACCTGCACCCCCTCATTGAATTGAATGAACGCCACCCCTACCTGTCCTGCAGCCTTGATTGCTGCCAGAATTGCCGGCATTAGCGTTGTGATCATCGTCATGATCCCGCCTCCGCCACCACCCATCATTCCTTCCATCGCCATCATTGGTCCGAGTGGTGAGCGTTGCAATACCACCTGTGAAGCATCTCGCTTCGCCTTGCCATGCTCCGCTCCTGAAGCGCTTGCGGCGTTGATGTCGCTAGCGGTCCGAAAAGCTGCGGAGACCAGATTGTAGAGCTGCGCTTCGCTCACTTCGGGCTCCGAAATGCCGCGTCGGGAAGCTGCGGGGTGGTTCATGTCCGCAGGTGACTTGCCTTGCGCGATAAGGAAGGTTCCTGGGAGTGGTTTCGTGTTCTGAGCAGTAGGTACCGAGCCAGACCATGGAGCTGTCGGCGAATTATCACCGCCGATGAGTTGGTGGACCTTGGTGTCTTGATTCTTGCGACTCGACCCCGTGAAAGAGTCGACGCTGCCCGACTTAGTCGGGACGCTGCTCTTGTCCGGCGCTTGAGAGTCGTGAGAGGTGGAATCATTGCCCTGTAGGCCCGCGAAGAACTTCTCAATCTGATCAGCTGATGGGACGAGTCTTTTCCTTAGAGACAGCGATTGTCTTCCAGCTCCAGCTTCAGACTGGATCCTGGCCATGTTCACGTCCTTGCCAGCCGAGACCGCATTGTTGACAATGTCTTCGATCCAGCCGAACAGCAGTCGCTTCGTCAGACTGCTGCCGTCTTGGTTGGCTAGGCTGGAAGTTTCAAGTTGCGAGTGAGCGTGCCTCTTCGTGATGACGGCGTCTGCACTCTTGTCGGCTTGCTGCGAGTCAGAAATGCTTCGTCTGGACATCGGCAATGCTCCACTCGCACCTACTCCACCAAGTAGCCCTTTCATTGGGATTCCAGCTGGCAAACCTTGAGATCCAGTCATTGCACCCACATCGCCGCCTGCACCCTCACTAAGGAGTCCAGCAGAAGCACTCTGAGATACCACAGCTCCGTCCGCAGCGCCGCCTACACCAGGCATGACACCCGGCAGTCCCTGAGCCACAACAGCCGATCCAGCGCCGCCGTCTGCACCAGCGTCAGCCAACCCAGGTCGGGGAGGAGGTCCATCCGGAATCCCAGCCTGCACTTTTGCCAAATGAACCTCTTTGCCAGCCGCAATAGCGTTCTGAACAATGTCATCGATCTGACCGAAGGTTGGAATGATGCGCTTCGCCAGCTTTGGCGCATCGCTGCAGGAGGCACCGTCCGGCGGTTCAACTGGCGGGTTGCCCTCGGCGCAAAAGTCAGAGATTGAACGAGGAAGAGCTGCGCGCGGTACGAGATGCTTCGACTTGTCGGCACTCGATTCTACGTTGGACGAGGGGTCAGCGTTGCGGCAAGCAGCTCTGTCTCCACCGTCCCAGTGCGGGATGTCGTAGACACGACCAAACGTCCAACCGGGAATGGCTTCTTCTTCGAACGGCTCCAGAGCTCGACCGTCGACGGAGGCAGATCGTCGGGCTGGTCCCTGAGCGGGTGTCCAGACACGCATGGCTTTGCCGAACGATCGCTTCGACGCGTGGTGATGGTGGTGAACATGATGGCCATGGTCATGATGGTCGTTATCTGACGAAAGATGACGGGCACGTTGTGCAGAAGCGAAGTCGAGGAAAACCTGAGATGTGGCCAGCCACAGGTGGAGACAAGGGGCAAAGAGACGATGCATGTCCGAGCAGGAGATCACGGTTTGATGGTGATGCAGGAACGAAATCGTGAGGTCGAGGGGAATATGTGTCACTCCATTTATGCCTAAACAGAGCAAGGTTACCTCTCCGGAATACACCTTTTGTGTGAGGATTGCTCATTCCGCGTCAACGAACACCAATCGGCTCAAATCAGGGTGATACGAAAGCATGTCAAATGCCAAGACGGCGCAGGGTCTGAACACCTTCACCTCACTTCGGCGGGATCGAGGAGGTTTGTGAGCGCTATCATCTCGGCTCTCCTTCAAAAAATTTCATTCGCGGCTACCGCAGTTTGAAAGCGCTTGAGAGGCGAACCATCGCCGCTGAAAGCAATCGGCAATTCGCTAGAGCGGTCTTCATCAGCGTCGGGCGTGCACGTTCTAGGCCAGCAGAGAATGGGTCCGAGCATTTTCATTGCGGCTGTGCAGCCCGAAGTTGCCAGAACTGTCGTCAGACGTCAGCGCCGATGACGACAACCCTTCGGCCGGCAGCTCTGCACAACCAGCATTGCTCAGATCCGACGCAAAAGCTCCCGTCCCGTTCGTGACGGCCTTTCGACCCTTATCATACGGTCTGACTGCAGAACAATTGATTCAAGTTCATATTACATTTCTGTTTGGGCAGTGCTTTGACACATTCCAATTCGTCATCAATCACGAACATATCTCCACCCAGATCGGGCCTCTCTCACTTATCCTCCTCGCCCTCCTCATCCTCCTCGTCCTCGCCCGAATGCCATCCGTACACTACCACCGTAGCCAGCCCGAGCAGACCCGTCACAATACATCCGGTAAACGCAGCGATCGCCCTCCCCGTCCACCCAGACTCCAGGTAGGTAGGACCCTTTGCGAGACCCTGGAAGTCGGTCGTGGAGTTCAAGCCCACCGCATTGCCCGTCGCCGCAATCCCCTGCGCGCGACACTGATCCTTGATAAAGCTCGGCACGTTCAGATAGTTGTCGCTCAGCACATCCGGTGCTTCGACAAAGATCGACGCCAAACCAGAGACGAGGTGTGGATCAATGTGACAGTGGAAGAACCACGCGCCTGGGTTGTCAGCTCTGAAGCGCAAAAATGCCGAGCCGCCTGGTGGTACCATAACGGTATCACGTCGCATCGGGTTGACTTGCGAGGCATTGAACGGCGGGTTGATGAGAGGATCGTCCGAGGTGACGTCTTGCGACTTGTGAACCACCTGGAAGTGATGTCCGTGAAGATGGAACGGATGTTTACCAGCGTCCCAGTTGAACAGCTGGACCTCGATCATGTCGTTGTGCTTCATGACAAAGGCGTTCGAGTTAGGACCGTAGATGGCAGGATTGGACGCGAGAGCACCCATAGATTCGGCCGAAAAGAGCGCGGGCGTTTGAGGAGCAATGTACGAGATGTTGTTGAAGGCGGCGTAGTTTTCACCATTCGACATGGTGTCGAACGAGACATCCAGACGGTGCACCGCATCGGGATTCACCATAGGCTCGGCGTTGATGGGGCTGAACTGGAGATCGTCAAAGTAGGTGTATTCCTCAATGATCTTTTCCGGCCCGTACGCGTCCTTCGGAGCGTTCGGGTACGAGATGGTAGCCGAGACATTGAGCTGAAGGTCACTAGGAACAACATCAAACATGTCCTCGTCCATGTTGGCGTGCAACTTCCAGTTCTGAGGCTCGGAATCGTTCCTCGCAGTGACCAAAACACTGAAACGCTGAGCAACCGAAATGGTTAAGAAATCAACAGCCCTAGGCTCCACATCAACCCCCTCGATCTCGATAACCTGCATATCGTGACCACTGAGGTAGAAGTAAAACGCAGCCAGCGCCGACATGTTGATGACGCGCAACCTGTACGTCTTACCCGCTTCGAACGGAAGCGTAGCGTTCTCGCTGAAACCGGGCAAGTACGTCGCCGCAGAAGTCTTGTTCGAAGTGTGAGCAAAGTAGATGAGACCAGACTTGGGGACAGGCTCCGCGCCGGTCGGGTTCTTGCGGTTCATAAATTCGTTCTTGACCAAATCGGTGTAGTTCGAGTGGTACCAATCGCCAAGGATGACGGTGTAATCATCGTCGTAGCTGTAATGCATGTCGACGGGCTCGTCGGGGTGGATGATGACAGGAGATCGAAGACCGTCGGTGTACTGATCGTTGTTGTGAGCGTGGATCCAAAAGGTACCCATCTGCTTGCGACGGTCCGCCGGCGATGCGGGAGAGTTGAGCGTCTCGTAGGTGAACGACTGGCCAGGAGGGATAGGGCATTGGGTGAGAGCCACAGCGCCGTCATAGTAGCCTGTGCGGTTAAAGAACATGCCGTGGGAGTGGAGAGAGGTACCGACGCCAGTCTCGAGGTTGTTGGTGGCGGTGATGCGGACGGTATCGGATGCATTGACATTGATGATCGGAGGAGGCCAGGTGCCATTGACGCCAATGACGGAGCGAGGGAAGAGACCGTCTGGGTTTTGATCGGGAACCCAGTTGATGTTCCAGTGCTGTTCTACGACGGCAGCGCTAGCGATCGCGAGGAGAGAGCATAGCAATGTGCCTAGCAGAGCCAAGGCAGGCTTCTGAGGTCGATGAGGGGCGACCATGTCGGCCAGAGACAATTGCGAGGATCGCGATGAACAAGGACGAGAGGCAAAGCTGGAATGCTCTCAACGAGTCAAGGATGAGGGGCGGGTGTGGCTCCTTTCTGCGGCGTCTAGGACAGATCAGACTGAGGGAGCTTACGGCGCCAACTTATCAGGAAGGGGGGCGTTTTAGAGAATCCGAGTGACAGAATTGGCGAGGGAATCTGCTGTCGTCAATCAGATAGTCGGGAAGAAGGGAGAGCGAAAATTCTGATCAGACGAGACTGAGAAGATGGCGGACCGAGTCGCTGTTCGAGTTCGGATGATCTGATAAGCCTGCTAGGAACGGTGATGCAGGAAGGCAAGCCTGCGTCTAGACTGTGGCTGCGAGGAACGGACAGGAAAGAAGCAACGCTATGAATGAATGCAGTGAACGTGGGAAAGAGGTCGCTATTGGTTGATGACGCCTTGCTTCGGAAGAGTACGGGAGAACATGTGACGAGGACGAGATGCAACGGGCCGGATGATTGTTTGATGCGAAGAGATGAAGAAAGGATGGTTGAAGAGGGAAGCTTGGAGCGACTGAACAGGCGTGCAAGTCTGTGCGAAGGATGCCCTTTTGTCAAGGCAAGTTGCGCACAAGGACAACGGAACTCATGTCCATGCAAGGAACAGCCAATCAGCCAGAGAAGGAAAGCAGCTGATTCGGGAGAGCAAAACTCTCCCCACTGCAACGCACTATTTTCAAGACGCACGCTGCGAAGAAGAAGGCGGAATCGCAGCGTAAGCTCAAAAAATTTGCAGTGTATCAGATCGGATCAGATAAGTGCGCTCGACCGACTCGTAGAAAGGTGCTGAAGCCGAGTGCCGAGGATGCAAGCCTCAAATTTGGCAATGCATAAATGAGCTGAGTGTCGACCATGAGCTTCGGACCAATCATTCGTCACCTTGTCGAGCGGGGCCACAGGGGCGGGATGGCCAAAAGGGATTGTCAAAGAAGTTTCGAGCTTTGCTTTCAGACCGACTAAGGGGAGCGACGAGCAGCGAGGCGAGCAAGTGGGCGAAACCCGACAGCTCGCCTAAATTTGTACAAGCACCGCTCTTAGTGCAGTTTCACAGGGCGAGCGTGGACCCGCTAGGTGCCCTGGCCTCTCTACTCGTGAACTCGGACACACACAAACCCTCATTAGCGCGATTCCACCGACTGAAGCCAGAGCGTTCAGACTCCCCGCTAGCACTCTGCCCCGCCCACCATCATTCCGGATGCACCCGACAGTGTCGACTGAATAGAATCGGCCAGTAGCGTGAGACCACAGCCGTTTTGCGCCGCCAAACCTACGGTCTAGAGCAAGACAGTGAATGCTCGGCACAGAACAGACCGTCGGAGAAGGCCTTTCATGCATGCTTTTGCATATCGAACCGTGCGAGGCGAGCTAGCTCGCAAAGGTGGCTTGTTCAGAGTCTGAGTCAATGAGAGGCCGACGATGCAAAAGGGTGGTTTGAGGGTTCAGAGCGGAGTTGGAGAGGGATGCAGGAATGGCTTAGAGCAGATCCAATCAGATGGAGCCGTTGTGTTTGGGGAAGTTCGCGTGCGCAACGCTAGCGCGGGTTGCGGGCCGTTGGTTGGTGTGCCTCAGGCTCGCTTGCAGTGAGTTAGTTGTGTTCGCGTGCCGCCCGTTGAGGATCCACCGCCCTTCTTCTATCTGATAACCCTGGCGAAGGCAGAATCGCAGAGCAAATTTTTTTCTCCCCTTCGGCGTGACCTCCCGACGAATGCAGGGGCGTGATCCTGTCGTTGCGGTTTGCTCGTATCGGCCTGAGCGTCGGTCGAGCTCTTTTACGACTGCTGGAAAGCCGAGGTCGTAGTCTCGGTTTCTATACTTTTGCAATTGCAGCTCGATATCCAGTCACGCTCAACCTCTTCCCGAGTCGGCTTGGCCATTGACCATTGCGAATCTGATAACACTTTTCCAATTTCTTCACACACTCTGCGCACCTCGACCGCCTCAACCGCTTGCATTCACATCAAGGTGACCTCCCCTTCTTGTTGCCTGCCTACCTTCTCTGGCTTCTCCTCCATTCGGCAGAACCTCGCGACGTGACTGGGCAAAGTGCAGTCTCATTGGACCAGCCGACCACATCCGATCTCTTCCGTACCGTCCGCCCGCCCACATCGACTCCGACCTAGCCTTCCTTTCGAGCGTCCTCTTCGCCTCTCCTTGCACCACCCTGCTGGGACCACCGCTCCAAGCCTCGGTTTCGCTTTTCTTCACGCTCACCGTGCCACCCGACCTTATCAGATCAAGAATCTTCTCTCGGCAATCACACACTCCTCGTCGCCTCCTTCGCCCTTTATCTGAACCTCTCTTCCTCACCTTCATCTTGTCCTCCCATCGCACCACCTCTTGATCGTCCGTCGTCTGTTCGCAGTCGTCGCCCCAAGCATCAACACCATGTCGGCGACGGGCAACAAAGTCTTTGCTCCCGCCATCTTCTTCATCGCTGCGCGAGAGGCTCTCGAAGCGTCTCTCGTCATCGGCATCCTCTCTGGTATGCTGGAGAACCTCGTCATGCACACCAAGTCTGCTCAAGACCTTGCCCTTCACGATTCGCTGAGCGAGTCTGAGAGGCAAGAGGCGGAACGAAAGAAACGGGCTCTCGTGAGGAAGCTGCGAAAGATCGTAAGTGTCTCTCTTTTCCCGCCTCCGTCTCTCTGTTCTTATATGTTGACATCTTGACATCTTGCAACAGGTACTGCTGGGAGCATTGACCGGACTCTTGATCGCATTCGCCATCGGTGCCGCCTTCCTCGCCGTCTTCTACACCCAAGTCAACGACCTTTACGGTAAAGCAGAGGAACTCTGGGAAGGCATCTTCAACCTCGTCGCCGTTCTGCTCATCACTCCCATGTCACTTGCGATCCTTCGCGCGGGTAACAGCAAGCGCAAATGGAAGCGCAAGCTCGAGGACGCCTTCAGCCATCGAAACATCCAACCCAGCAGGAGTCGGGACGAAGAGGGAGAATCTACTGCTGTCAATGCCGTGCCTTTGGAGGATGATATATCGTCGTCATCGCGGGACCAGCAGCAGCAACAGGAGGAGGAGAGCGGGACCAAGACGACAAGGACGGAAAAGTTGAACCCGTTGGAGGCTGTTGATGTCGTGCCTTCGATGGATGGTCAACAGCGTCAACGTCGTGGTCTTCGCGGATTGTTTTCCAAACCTTCCGGTGCGGTGTCCGATTTGAAGCTGCGAATGAACCGCGGAACGCTCGCGCTGTTCACCATCCCCCTCATCACCACTCTTCGAGAAGGTCTCGAAGGAGTCGTCTTCATCGGAGGTGTATCGCTCGGTCTCCCTGCAACGTCCATTCCGCTTCCCGCCATCGTCGGCCTCGCCGTAGGTCTAGGCATCGGTTTCCTCATCTTCCGATCTGGCAACTTGATTTCGGTGCGCATCTTCCTCGTCTTCTCCACGTGTTTCCTGCTCCTCATCGCTTCCGGCATGGCTTCGCGCGCAGTGTACTATCTTCAGTTCTACGCGTATGTTCGACTGGTCGGTGATAGCGCGGCTGAATCGGGCGACGGTCCTGGTTCGTACAACTCGCAGGGTTACATATGGCACTTCAACTGCTGCAATCCAGAGGCGAACAAGGGCGGTACCGGTTGGGGCATCTTGAACTCGTTGGTCGGGTGGAACAATACCGCAACGTATGGTTCGGTGTTTATGTATGTCGGGTACTGGGTGGTGGTGGCTGGATATCTGTGGTATCAGATTTGGAAGGAGGGCAGGCTGGCGCTCAGGTGGAGTGGCAAGACGTATTGGGAGTCGAAGAGGTCGGTGGATGTGAGACAGAGGAAGCAGGAGAGAGAGCACCGACGTACTCTCAGGGAGCAGGAGAGCGAACAGAGCCAAGAGGACAAGCGGGTGCAGTCGGCTCAGGCTGGTCCAAGCACTCTTCAAGCCTGAGCGTCCCCTTTCCTCCATCAAGTCTGACCTCCAACAAGCGTCTAGGAAAGAACAGTTCTCGACTCTTCTGTACAAACTCTTCATTGTCACCATGTAACGCAGTCAGCGCAAAAAGCTTTCACGAACTGAACATCATTCCTATGACACCGTCGTGACCAGGCTGAGAGGCTAGAAACTGGATTGCGGTGCGTGATGGATGAAAGAGTCGGTCGAACAAGGAACAGGTGTTGATATCTACTGCGTCTTCTTGTCGCCAGAGATGGGATCTTTGCGTACACCCATCTGATCGGGAGTCTGCACCTGAGCCAGCTGCGAGACGGCGAAGTAGACGATCGGGAGCATCAAGCCGCCCATGAGAAGCAGCGTCAGGATGAGGGGCGTAGAGAAGAGCTGGTATCGTGCAAAGATGCCGCCCTCGGGCTCCACCCAGTTGCCATTGGATGCTGAGGGCGCAGCAACAACGTACTGTGGTGGGGAGAATGAGATGGCAGCTTGTCAGAACTGATCGGAAGAGCATATAGAGAACCGCCTTGACCGCTGGGGGATACGTACCTGACGCTTTCCGTGTTGGCGAAATTGAGCGGCAGGCGCGATGATGACGAGGTTTCTTGGGCTGTCTTCGTCAAGCGACTCTAGGGTGCGCAAGAGCTGGTTTTCTGCAGATGCAATGCAATACGATGGACAAGAATGGTCAGTCTCAGCTCCCGTACAGATCATGCAGCACCGCCATTCTGATATCTGGGCATCCATTCAGGATTTGGAGGTCGGTAGTGTGCTTACCATTTTGACGAAGGTCGCCTGCGCGGATGAGAACATAGTGCGGGTCCTTGGTGGAAGGCAAGGCCTCGAAAGTCCCGTTAAGGGTCCATGTCGTAAACATAGCGCGTCCGTAAGCGCAGGCCTTCGCAAATCGGCTCGCGAGATCATTGAAGGCATCCGGAACCGGTGCAACGTCGAAAGTGATTTGAGAGGGAGCGTCCAACGACCTTGCCCTCAGCGAGTCGGTTGAGGAGTGTCGGAGACTGGCAAAAGTGTCCCTATCCAAGTTTTCAGCCTCCACTAGAGCAATTGCATCCAGCTTACAGGCTGGTGAAGCTTTCTTGTCGGCGAACAGCGAGTCGATGAAGCCCGTCAGGCTCGAATCCGTAGGCAGCTCGAGTTGAAGCGATGAAGCTCCTGCCGAGGTGAAGGCCAGCACTGGTCGGGAGTTGCTGGTAGCTGAAACGCAAGCCACAGTCGCGAGTAGCGATGCGATGGCGATTGATGCCCTCATGACGATGATGATGACGTGGGTAATATCCCAGTGTTGATGGCGAGATCTGAAGGAGCTGATGGAGGATGCATAGGCGACTGCGACTCTGTGGAAATGGTGGTTCGTGCTTCCCACGCGGTGGGAAAGGGGCAGCAGCTCAGCCTGTCACTTACTTCTCGGCTCCGTGCGTTTACCTCAGATTTATCGCAAACTGTAGCTTTAAGCGATGTAACATCTGGGGGATGTCGTCTCCACTGCTCACCATCCACCTGAACAGCTCTACCGTTTTCGGAATCAAGTAATCGGTCCCTCATACGATCAATCAACCTGTTTCTTCGCCATTTTGCTTCCTGGTATAGGATTGACATTACTAATTTGGTGTACTTTCGGGATTTACACAGATGTGTAGCCGCCATCAACGATAAGGTCAGCGCCAGTAGTGAAAGCGGAGGCGTCGCTGGAGAGGTAGACGACGGCTCCCTTGAGGTCCTCCGGGTCGCCCAGACGCCCCATGGGAGTCATGTTCTCCCAGCTGGTGCGGAGCTCCTTGCCGTTCGGACTATTCTCTAGCACAGCCCGGCTGAGCGATGTGAGCATGTAGCCAGGCGAGAGCGAGTTGACGCGGATGCCAGACTTGGCCCACTCGACCGCCATGGACTTGGCAAGGTGCTTGACCGCTGCCTTGGACGCGTTGTACGGCGCTTGAGCTTGCGGTACATTGACCACGGATCCCGACATGGAGGCGATCATGACGATCGAGCCCTGCACCTTGTCCTCCATCATGCGCTTGGCCACTTCGCGAGCCACAAAGTACGAGCCGTTGATGTTGATGTCGAACAGCTTCCTGAGTTTGGGCGTAGGGTATTCGGTAGCCGGGAAGTTTTCGACGATGCCAGCCGAGTTGACGGCGACGTTGATCTTGCCGAAGCGCTTGTGGATGCGTCCGATCACGTCCTGCACCTGAGCCTCGTCCGAGATGTCGCAGCCATAACCTTGGATGTCGAGCTCGCCCGGCTTGACACCGCCGTGCTGGGTGAACCACTCCTCGACCTCTTTGGCAGCGTGCCGGCACTCCTCTTCGTTGAGATCCACGATGGCGATGTGGTTGGCGCCGGATTCGACAAAGGTGCGGGCAATCAGGTTGCCGATACCGCGAGCAGCACCGGTGACCACACAGACCTTGTCCTCCATCGAGAAGCTTGCAAGCGTTCGTTGCGTGTGTCGACCAACGCGACCACCGGTAGTGTTGTGACCGACATCGTCGCGAGGATGACGCGAGCTGTCCTCTGGGTACGGCACGACGACATCGTCGTCGGTCGAAGCAAATGGAGCGGTGTCGAGCTTCTTTGCCTTGCCAAAGTTGTCCCCCTTGCTCAGACTACGGGACGAGCTGGCGAAGGTACGAGCCAGAGTGGAGGGCCGAGCGGGGCCGCGCATGGCCGGGCGTGCCGCCTGGGCGACGGTCGACAGCGATCGCGCAACTCTTGCAGCGTTGGCGGTGGCGTTCAACATGGCTACAATGTGTTCGACGGTCCTTTCTTTGGTGGTTGTAAGGGAGGATGTGGAAGTGGGAGACGTCTATATACACAGTTAGAGTTGCTTCTCGACGGCAACGGCACGATTCCGTTGGAAGCTCGAGAAATTCCAACTGCTCGACGTGTATAGCCGAGCCATTTCTTCTTGCGCCACACACACACCCACATGTCGAAAAGTTTTCACCGGCGCATTGGCCTGTTGCACTCTCGGTGACGCATCGCACAACTAAAGCGCCTTCTTCGACGATCGCGGAAGGGATCTGAGTCAGAAGGTCAGGCCTGGTCAGAGATAGGAGGCGCAGGTCGGCGACAGACGTGTCTGTCAGGAAGACAACGCCGGCTCTCCCACAGTGGGAGAGACGCTTCCGGCTCCCGGCTCTCTTTTGCTGGTTGCGTCAGGGCAAAAGCACACTTGCTAGGATCCTTGCTCTCGTGTGAACAATTATCCACCAGATCAGACTGGTGAGCTGTCCAAGTTCACAAGGTGTCCAAAGGTTCCAGACAATCACCAGATCGGCACGGATCGGCAAACGAGAGTTTGTTCCATCGGCGAGCTCGGCGCTTTCAATCAGCCTTTTCGGGCGGTGCGAGCCTGTTAGATCAGTTCGAGACCCTGAGAGGACTACCTAGAGTCGGTTCTGAACATTGATGCCTGGTTTTGCTGCCTGTGAGCGGTTGACCGTAGGTGGTGTTGAGGACAGAATCCTCGGTGGGAGAACAAAAGGCACGGGGCGACGGGCTTCGGCGGCAGAATTTGCCCGACGCGTCCTTCTCCCACCACATGAGCTCTCACCCCGGCATGCCACCCATGGCCGGCCAAATACAGCGGCTGGTTGTTTTCTCTCCTGCCAATCATGCTGTTGGCCAATTTCGCGTCGGCCTGAAATCTTGTGGATCGACGTGGATGTCGTTGCCGACCGGTGGCACGCACTTCATTGTCGGGAGCTGCCACTTCAAGTTCGGTCAAAGAAACAGGCTATGTCTCTTTTTCCACCAGAACGGCCCACAGGCGATTGCGTCCTCACTGTCAACCTCCCCTACGCCTGTCTGTCCACGACATTGATGTTCTAGACCCAGGCTTAGACTTACGTCCAAAGGCTGGTCAGGAAAAGAAGAAGGAAAAGACACCGAGGATTACGGCGTCCAAAGCCCACTCGGCCCACTCAAAAGGACAAAAAAAGGATCGGCGAGTTTTCGTGGATCTGACTGGCTGAGATTGCGGTGAGAGCCAAGAAGGACGGGCCAGGAGCCTCAAAGTTTGCCTGCGTGCGCCAGGCAGAGTGGAGGCAATCGCCCGTTCACAGACTCGGCAAATTTCCAGCGAGAAATTTTGGCTCGACCAGCTTTGCGCACGTCCCTTCCGTCAGGCATGCATCCCACTTTGAAAAGTGATGCGGGGCAGGCGACGCAGACCTCGGCGATCAAGTGGCCCGCCACCCACAGATAGCGCTCGCCTTGCTTCGCATCTGCCGAGCGACTGTCGGTCTCACTTCCGATTTGGGCTGTCGTTTACGACCTCTGGGGGAGAATGACGAGTTGGCCCAGGCTCGCTCTACCAGAATGAGTTGCCGAAGATGGAACCAGATAGAGTTGCTTGAGCAGTGGGGAACAAAAAGTCTGCCTGCTAACGAAACCTACGCCAGCCTCCTCGCCAGTCTTGTGACTTCGTGCCTTGCCCCGTGCTAACCCCGCGTACAGGCTCTTTCAGAAGCAGTCAGTGATTGGCTCTCCCGCCAAAGCCCCACCGTCCTCAATCTTGCCACCTCTCTCTCACTAGTACCTTATAGATATTGGGGCTCCCACAACATTCGCGTCCGTTCGTCCACCCCCACCACCACTCAGGACGCCTCGTTGAATTCCCATCAAAGTGTTAGATACCCCGTTCAATCAGTGTCACGGACTATCCTATTGCCCTTCCTCGCCCGCCCTACTTCTTCGTTCATCCAGGACGACCTTTCTCCCCCTTCCTCGCATCCGTACTTCATCCAGGTGCCACAGCATTGCGAAGTTCTTGCATAACTAGCATTTCATCAAGATGGCGACCAAGCATCTCTTCGACAGCTCCCAGGGCCTCGTCGACCGCAACCTGCGCGGCACCGTGGCGCAGAACCCCGCTCTGCGATACTATGCGCAACACAAGGTCGTCTTTGATCCCTCGCACGACAACAAGAAGGTAGCCGTCATTTCGGGAGGCGGTGCCGGCCACGAGCCCGCTCAAGCCGGCTTCGTCGGAAAGGGAATGCTCGCTGCTTGCATCTCTGGTGACATCTTCGCCTCGCCTTCGGCTGCCCAGATTTGCTCAGGTATCGACCTGATCAACCATGATGCCGGTGTGGTCATGGTCGTGAACAACTATACAGGCGACTGCCTCCACTTTGGTCTCGCTGCTGAAAAGGCTCGTGCCGCCATGGCTTACTCTGGCAAGCAGGGCGGTGGCGTCGAGGCTGTCATTGTTGCCGACGATGTCGCCGTTGGCCGAAAGCGTGGCGGTCTCGTCGGCCGACGAGGTCTCGCTGGCAACATCTTCACCTGCAAGATCCTTGGTGCTGCTTCCGACAAGGGCATGGACGTCAAGCGTATCGGCGAGCTCGGCCGCAACTTGATGGACAACATGGTCTCGATCGGCACCTCGCTTGATCACTGCCACGTCCCCGGTCGTCCCAAGGGAGACGAGGAGCGCGGTGCTCTCGCCGAAGAGGCTTGCGAGCTCGGAATGGGCATCCACAACGAGCCCGGTTTCAAGCATATGGACAAGAAGCCTGAGCCCGAGGCGCTCCTTGGCGAGATGCTCGACCTTCTGCTCGACCCCAACGACGCGGACCGTGCCTACACTCCTTTCGACAAGGACGACGCACCCGTTCTGTTCGTCAACAACCTCGGTGGTATGAGCCAGCTCGAGATGAACGCCATTGTCGACCTCACCATCGAACTGCTTGAGAGCAAGTGGAACCTGCACCCTTGCCGTGTTCTCTGCGGTCCTTACATGACCTCGCTCAACGCTCCCGGCTTTGGTGTCTCGCTGATCAACCAGAAGCGATTCCAAAAGAACACCGGTCAGGACTTGCTCGAGCTGCTGGATTACCCTACCACTGCCTACTCGTGGCTCGGTGTCCAGAGCGGCTGGGGTGCCACCAGCGGCCACCCACGCGATCGCAAGGCCGAGGAGAAGGAGGCTTCCGATCATCTTCAGTCTGTCCGCAAAGCTGGTGGGTCTGTCAGTGGTCTTGCCGACCCTGGTGCTTCGTCCAACGGCCCTGTCAACCCTAACCCCGAGCTTGTCAAGAAGGCCATCATCGCTGCATGCGATGCCACCGTCGAGATTGAGCCGACGCTGACCCGCTACGACACCATCGTCGGTGACGGTGACTGCGGTGAGACCCTCGCTCAGGCTGGTGGCGAGGTCAAGAAGGCCCTTGAGAAGGGCGAAATCCCCGTCGACAACGCCGCCGGCACGCTCATCGCCATCGGTGAGGTTCTCGAGTACGCCATGGGTGGTACCTCGGGCGCCATCTACGCACTCTTCTTCGCTGGTCTCGTCCAGTCGTTGCTCTCTCAACCCAAGGGTGCTCAGGCCGACTCCAAGGCATGGGGTAAGGCCGCGGTCGACGCTCTCGAGAACCTGGGCCGATACACTCCCGCTCGTCCTGGTGACCGAACGCTCGTGGACGCTCTCGACCCCTTCTGCCGCGCTCTGGGTGCAGGCAAGTCGCTCGCCGAGGCCGTGGACGCATGCAAGGATGGCGCCGAAAAGACTCAGGCCTTGACGCCTCGTCTGGGACGTGCCACGTACGTTGGCAGCAAGGACGATGGCGAGATGCCCCCCGATCCCGGTGCGTGGGGTGTCTGGGCGCTCACTGACGGTCTGCGCAAGGGCCTCGGTCAGTAAGTAGACTCTCTCTCGTGCCTCTCTTGCGCGATTTCGGTCGGTTCCAATGACCAGGTGATTCTGTCTCTGCAACATAGCCCGTAACTCAAAGTCAATGCAATCTCTTTCAAATGTCCACTTCTAGAAGCACTTCGTGAAGTGTGTGCAGCAACAACAAAATGAGCCGCAGCGAAAAAGTTGATGTAGGGAATCACGGCCTGCAGAAGACCTGCATGTGTTGTGGCGCAGGTACAGATGATGCACTTCGAAAGAAAAGAAAAATCTTCAGGGGCGGCCCGGCTGTCCATCCGTTGCGAATTGAGTCGTCGGACGTGCCGATCTGCGTTCTGCAGCAGTGCTCTGCAGGAAGACTGCATCAAAACACGAAAATGTGCTGATCTTTTCTTCTTTCGTTGCAATCATCGTCAACGCAAATCTATGTTGGAGCAGGCGTCTGCGAGCTTTCGGCAGCTGTTGCACGAAGTGAGAACGCGAGAGGATGCCGTTCGGAGCGACGTGGAGGTCATGCCGAAAAGTAAATGATCATCTCCATTAAACGTTGCTGATGGCAAGCCCGTTCCAGGCGAAGTGACCGTCTTGTGCCGAGTAAGCAAATACATGTTCCTCGCTAAAACCGTGCAAACGCCGACGTGTGCAAAGTGGAGTGAGAAACATGCATGCCGTCGAGATTTCAATAATTGAGACTGACAAGCACCCGCGACTTTTTCGTCTGTTGATTGATCTTTCGAATTACAGTATTGCAACACGTATGCTGTGGCACCGGCTTTCCCACTCCTTCTAGCTTCACTTCGTACTTCATCCATCCACTCCTTCTTTCAGCATTGTCAAGGCGCAAGCCTTCTTGATCTCGAACCTTTATACCCACCGTCTTTTCGCGAATACCCCACCTGGACTCGGAAGCCCCCGATCGTTCGGTCTTTGCTGGCATCGAGCAAGCGTTTTCCACATCCCACGACTCTCATATCACGGCAGTCAAACACCCCTTAATCCATCGACGACGGGGTTTGATCGCCTCGGGTAGCCTCCAAACAGACTGCGCTCTATTTGCCCACCTCGTCCTCCTTTGCTGCTGGAATCGCCGAGGCTGACGTTGACGTATCTGCGAAGCTAGATTGTATAAAGATCAGCCGAAGAGTCCGTCGACCGGGCCATTCTGATCATCCGTTCTCGGGAAAGCCGAAATCGCTGATCCTTTTGATTCGCACCCGTCGTCAACATGCCGCGATTGAAAGTGCAGGTGGGCTCCGACCGCTTCCACATGGAGGACTGCCGTCTCAACGACACTAGTCGACCACACGAAATCGACACCGAGCACTTTGTGGGTCGCATTCTTGTCCGCATCCTCGACGCTCCAGGAGCCAAAGAAGGCGAACCTGGTCGCGAATACTTTGAAGGCCGTTCGCGCAAGTTCTGCTTTCAGATCGAGGGCCGCTTCAAACAACGATGGAGCGGCAACGACATTCTCTTCGGTACCGACTTTGACAAGTTTGTCGACTTTCCTCGTGCACCGTTCAACGCAGGCATGCGAGTGGCCAAATACATCGACCCTTGCACGTTCTACGAGCTCCACCCGGATTCAGGACGACCGTATATCATGTCGCCTTACATTGCCTGCATGAACACATTTTGCGCCTGGCCAGCGCCATCGCGTGCACACGATGCTGTTGTGGTGCTCAGGCATACTCATCGCGGAAGCACGCCGGACAGCTCTCGTCCACCAACCCCGATTGTTGATCCGGAAAAGTCGACCCACAATCCTCAGAACGCGCTCGTAGCAAGCCCACACGGCAGTGGCGACGAAGACGAGGGAGATATCGTGCCACGTGAGTCGCTCGACCGCAGTCGTAGCATCAGCAACAAGGGTGATGCCGCGGCGAAGAAAAAGAAGGGCTGGTTCGGCGGCTTTGGAGGTAGCAGCGGACATGCGAAAGAGGAACGCATCTTGAAGAAGTACTGGCGTTTTGTGGGCTTCAAGGATGAACCACGTGTCCGAGCTCTCCTCGAAGCCCATCATGCCAAATTGCAGGATCGTAGCAGTCAAGCTGACTCGAGCTCGGACGCCAGGCGCTTGAGCGAGACTCACACGGTCGCACGTCAAGGCAGTCTCGCGAGTGTTGGTTCCAACGATGTCCAGCACGGACCGGCAAGCAAGACGCTCTCCTTCTTGGGCATCGGAAAGAGAGCGGAGATGGACCGTACACCGGATAGGGCGCTCACTCCAAACCATGGAGACTCGAGCGAAGACATTCCTGCTTCCCCAAGGGTGGGAAGTGGAAGCTTCAGCGATATCGGTGCCAACGAGATTGCCGCTGCTCCACCTGCAGATGTGGATGAAGCAGCTGGTGGCAACAGCGGACCAGCTCTGGTTGCCCCTAAACCCAAGCATGGCGTGGCTGCACCGCTCGACGATGCCGACACATCGACGGATGCTGCCGCAATTGCCGCTTCTGCACCTGCACCGGCTCCTTCCTCGACAGTCCCCAAGTCATACAGCGGCGGAACCACTTCGAAGCCAGAAATGCCCCACTTGGAACGCATCTCCACCTCAATTCGAAACGAGATGGAAGAATCCGCCAAATCCGATGGTCTCAAAGATGGAGACTTCAAGCTAGCCGATATGCTCTCGCACACCTCCATCAGCCGCACCTCTAGCGCCCAAGGTACTTCCAGCCCCGCCCACCCTCCATCCTCCTCGAAACTAGACGAAGCTCTTGGGCCATGGCGATTCTCCGACCCGGCAACCGACATGATCGAAGACAACGCGTTCATCTTCACCACTCAATCGTTCCCTGTGCCTCGACGTCGCAAACACTTTGCTTCTGAGAAGAACAGGTTGGACTTCCACTACGATCCAGACGTCGTCTACGGCGCTTCGTTCTTCACCGACGCAATGGACTTCAACACGTTCAATCTGGGTATCGGACCAGTCAAGTTGAACGTGGCGAGGTGGTTCAAGGATATGCCGGTGAGGTATACGTTGAGGAGTACACGCGATGAGAACTTGGTCTTTGCGAGTGTCAGTTTTCAGCTTGTAGACGAATAGATTGTTTCTCGACATAGACTGGCTTTCAATAGATCACTTTTCGGCATTCGGGCATCTCTATCATTCGTGTGTTTGAGAGCCGGAAACAGCATCACGTTCTTTGCGCAACTGAGCTATACAGACCATCAACCTTGCCCACTCGATCGGATCTCTTTACTTGCCCTGAGCAGCACCCTTTGCCAGATCCTTGTCGAGCTGGCTCTGCTTGGCCTGTCTTGCCAGCTTCATCTGCTTCTTCTTGGCGATGGTGTTGAAGTAGGTGGCCATGATAAACCTGATGAAAGTGAAGAAAGGTTCCCAGACCACTGCGGGCAGATAGTTCTGTGCCACGGCGATGGTAATGGGGCTTGTGGTCCAAGTGACCTTCATCACTGGCCAGAAGGCAGCCTTGACGGCCTTTTGGATGTTCTCGACGCCTCTAGCGCCGTTGATGTAGGCCATGCACGAGAGGTACACGGTGTTGGCGAATACGGAGACGGTGAGGTTGGAGGTGATGATCTGGAGGATCTTGTCGCGGGTGGTAGTTCGACCGGCAAACGCTTTCTGAAGGAGTCCGGTGAGAACGTGTCCCATGGGCGCCGACACGAAGAAGCCGTAGATGAACATCTTGAAGGCTCGTTCGTTGATGCCGAGTTTGGCAGCGTACGTCTGGACGAGACCGACGGGGTTCTGTTGGGCAGCACGCTTCTTCTCGTCGAGCGTGGAAGGAGTCTTGGCGGCGGTGGGGGCTACTCCAGCAAAGTGACCGGCGAGAACCTCTGCCAGAGCGGAGAGGACACCAGATGTGATCATCCTGGATGGAAGAGAGAAGCGACAGAGTAGAAAAGTTTGAGCGATCGCAATCATCTTAACGCATATGGCTTGGTGGAAGGACTCACTTGGTACGAAGAGGGTTAGCAGCCAATGCTGACAAGTAGCCCACGAGCAGTGGGTTCGTCGTCAACGGCGATGGCTTTGAGACAACGGTCGACATTCTGAGCAGTCGGTAACGGCGGAGGCGGATGGAAGTGAGAAGACAAGGTCAGCAAGAGCGTTCGCAAGCAGCGTTGTCGCGAAGAAGGCTCCGAGTAGACTGGATCGGAGCGGCCGGCTCGTCGGAATGTGGCGCTCGGACATAGCCGATGACAATGAACGAGAAGCGCGACAGACGCTGCGTGGTCACGGAACCAGATCTTCCTTTCCAGGACCATGATTCGGAGGTGAATCTGGGTCGCTTGATTGGTACAACACTTGTACTCACTTTGGAGATGTGTCGAAGGGGACGGAGGTGTAGGGATGAGCTGATCGGGCGAGTTTGCGATGCTACGCAACTTGCAGTACGGATCCGACGGATTGGGTTGCCAGATGGATGTCGCCAAGGAGGATGGTGTTGGTGGTGGTCGACGAAGTTCTGTCAGGAGAAAAGATGAAGCAGAAGTCGTCCGGGGCTCGATGCGAAGCAAGGCTTTCCACTGTCGTGGACGACAAAGAGTCTGGCGCGCTCCACAGTCTGTGCGCGGTTAAGCTAGAGGTTCCTCACCTCTCTGCCCGAGGCGCGTTGCAGCGTGGCTTTTTTTTCTTGGTTGGTAAATAGGTTCGCTTAGCCGGAATACCCGGTTGAGTTGGCAAGCTTCCCCACAAAACAACTCATTCGGACTTGTCAGAAGCTGTGTGCCATTGGGAGCGACGACGGTCGTTTGCACCGAAGCAAGAAGCCGACAACGTGACCCTTCGTTTGGGTCTCCGTCGCCGATCTCTGCTGATGGAGAGAGACTTCGACACCACGATAAACGGGTACGGGACGAGAACTTCAAACACAAGCTCCGATCTCTTGAGCATCTGAGGTACGTCTCTCCCTGAACGCCTCTCGAGACTGATCCGCATCGTTGTTCTGCTATCAGCGACGCACAAGAGGCGGTCCTGGAGTTCGAGGACAACAGACGGTGTAAGGGAGACCAACACACGACCGCCCTTTTTTTGCGGGGAAAAGGAGCGCGTCAGTAGTGTTGTCCAGGACGGTAGGATAGCGCCAGTCAGGCGAATTCGCACGAGTACGTCCCAGTCAGGCCGTCCTGCGGCCGGCAAAAGCGGTTTCGAACGACAACGTGGTCTTCGGCATCCTCGCTCACCGAGCCTTTGTAGCAACGCTTGTTTCTCGCAAGGAAAGGGCCAACGTTCGAGCCGAAGCATTCGTACGAAGTGATCCTGATAGATTGGAGCGATGCCGATGGTTTTCCGTGACCATGTTAGAGCATTGAAATGCTACGGCTTCTCGTGCGATACAAATTGACACCACAGCTGCAAAATTGCCGACGCGAAGGTCGTCCACTCTTTTTGGAAGGTCTTCCTTCCATCTTCGCATCGTTGCATCCGTCTCCCCTCAACACACTCGACACAGGCCCGATCTGCCTGACGGCACAAATTACAGACGACATGTTCTGCGCCATCTCCGGAGAACCACCAAAGGTGCCGCTGGTATCCAAAAAGAGCGGTCTCGTGTACGAACAGCGACTCATCCACAAGTACATCAACGACAATGGAAAGGACCCCGTCACTGGTGATACGCTCGAATTGGACGACCTGATCGAGATCAAGTCAAGTAAGTCCAAAATTCCATTCACAGCTAGCACTCCATACCGTGCGACCCGGAGAGACGTGCAGGCGGGCAACAGGTTTGAAGGATGAAATCGCTTTCTCAAAAACTACATATCAACTAGAAGCTGTTGATGAGCCATCTGGCGACGACTACACCACGAGTTCTGACACCCGCAACGCATTCAAAGCAAAGACCATCTTCTCGTCTCGCACCTATCGCACGGCACTGGCAGCTGTGGACCCCTGCAACCTTCGGCGAAGACTTTCAAACTGACCATTGTTCCTGTTCTTCTGCTTTGACGCCGAATCAGGTCCCAAAACTGCGGTCCCACGCCCACCACAGCACAGCTCGATCCCATCTCTGCTCACATCTCTGCAAAACGAGTATGATGCCATCATTCTCGAGACTTTCACGCTCAAAAAGCACTACGACAACTTGCGGCAGGAGTTGGCACACGCTCTGTACGCCAACGATGCCAGCGCACGAGTGATCGCACGCTTGCTCAACGAGAGAGATCAGGCGAGGGAAGCGTTGGCAAGCATTCAGGGCACCATCGGTGCAGGACCTTCGTCGTCGCGAGCCGCACAAGACGTTGAGATGTCAGACTCGGCGCACGGCGAGAATGGGTCCAATGCTGCTTTGACGAGCGCAAATGGCTTGCCAGCCGACATTGTTGACAAGATCGACTCGACTGCACAAAGGCTGTCGTCCCAGCGAAGGGCGAAGGCGAAGCGCAAGGCGCCGGATGCATATGCGACGCAGGCCACCGTACCAAACTTTGCAGAAGTGCAGAAGTTGCCATCCATGCACCACGCCAAACCTGCGGGCGTGTCCTGTCTCGCTCTGTCCGCAGACGGTAGCGTCGTTGTGACGGGAGGTAACGATAAGAACGTTCAGGTGTATGACCGCAAGGAGGATCAAGTGCTCGCGACACTCAAAGGGCACTCCAAGCGTATCACCCAAGTGGCCATTACCGGCATCTCTGACGCGCCTATCGGATCTGAAGCCGCGACCGATGCGGCGGTGCTGCCGAGCTACATTGTTTCTGCCAGCGAGGATGGGAAAGTCAAAGTATGGGAGCCGAGCGGCGCGACTGGTGCCAAGGCGCAAGCGTATGCGCTCTCGAGCACCTCAGAAGCACACAAGAGCGAAGTGACGGGTGTCGACATCCACCCCTCGGAAGCGTTCTACGGCTCTGCGGGTCGTGACGGCACCATCTCGTTCCGTTCCCTCGCCGATGGCTCCGACCTTCTCCTCATCAACGCCGACCTCGGCGATTCGTACGAATCCTTCGCATTCCATCCAGACGGCCAGCTCGCCGCCACCGGCACATCCGCCGGCGCCATCCGCATCTGGGAAGTCAAATCCGGCGCCAACGCCTCGACCATCCAAACCGAGCTTCCCGGTCGAGTTTCTTCGCTCCACTTTAGCGAGAATGGCTACTATCTCGCTGCAGCCAGCGAAGAGGGCAAGCAAGTCGAAGTGTGGGATCTGCGAAAGCTCACCGCTGTCGGAAAGCTCGCCATCGAGGAGGAAGGAAAGACGGGCGTGTCTGCGGTCAGATTCGACCCTTCGCTTCAGTTTTTGGCTGTGACGACCGACAGCATCAATGTGTACGCGAACAAGTCGTGGAACCATCTGGTCAAGCTGGAAGGGTTGGAGAGGTTGACAGGGTTGGCATGGGATGCCAAGGACGGAAGTGTGGTCGTTTCTAGTCTCGACCGTACTGTCCGAAGCTTCAGCACCGCTGCTTGATCAGGCTGGATGCTGCTTTGAAGTCTTGGCTTCCGTTTTGCCTAAGCAACAATCCACTTTACCCGTATTCGCAATTGCCAAACCAGAACCATCAATTTGCCAATCCTCTAAACCAGGAGTGTGTCTTCAGGTCCAGAAAATTGCGACCGCAATTTCGCGTGACGATTTGCTTCCTTCGATTTGTACAAATGAAGAAGCTGAAATTGGTCGCCAGGGACGGCCCTTTTCCATTGCTCGTCTGAGCTGTGCGCTGCTTTTGACACGGCAGGGTTTGCAAAACCGCGCTTCAGCGTCCGCATAACCGCCTTGAGCCACATTGGCCTGCCGAGGCATCTTGTCGGAAACGTCGGTTGTGAGACAGTCTCCTTTGCGGCGCCAAGCGATGAGCCGCTTCATTCGGCGGTCCGCAGTCCTTTTCGTTCTCCCCAGCGAGATGGTTTCAAACTCATGCACGGATGCTTGTCAGGCACAAATGCAAAGGCGTTCCTTGGCCAAGGCCAACGAATGGTGCGCACCGAGGTCGATCATACATGAGCCAACCAAGCACTCAGCTTTCCGTCCAGGTTCCCGGAAAGGGGTAGCGGAGTCTGTGGTGGCAGACGTGGCTGGAAGTTCGTTGCATCGGAAGGTGCGCCAATGATCGCAGCACCTGTCAGCTTCTTTCACACGTCGACGCTCTAAACCCCGGATCTCGTTCCACGTATGGTCGTGACCACAGCATCGTGGCTTGTTTCCACTTTCCCAAGCTCGAGTGATAGACACTTCCGCGGCTGCGTACGGACGCCGCCGGAGGATCCGACATGAGCGATGGGGAACTTGATGTCTATCACGATGCGGTTGCGCTGCGCGCGGATCGATGGCACGATTACCACGGATACCAAGTGCCGCGGAGTTGCGGATCGGAAAAGCCGACATAGACAGCCGTCAGGCAACTTTGGGGCACCTGAAGATCCAAAAATAAACTAAAAAAAATTCGCGACTAAATTCTCCGAAACCCGGTGAGAAGCAAGCGCGAGATCGAAGCGAAATTCTTCGCTGTACTTCGGTCATCACGTCTTACACGGTGGTCAAGACCTGTCAGCCGCTTGTACATGCGTCCGAAGGCTGCGTTGCCCAGCATCATGCGATACCCATTCCGATCGACGTAAGCCTCTCTCTGTTCCCGAATTGTGCCGAATAGACTCTGCTAGAAGCAAGCCGACGTTCCCACCTGGAGGTTCTGCCACAATGCGAGGCATGCCGCTCAAAACCCACCTCGGCATCTGCAGATGATCACGAAAGGGAGAATACGGGGCCCAGGGCGACAGATCAGAGCCCAAAGCGGCTCCTCCCACGCGACCATGCACAGCAACGGTGGGATAGCTTCGCATGTTCGTGCCCTCAACGGCTTGCGATGTGTGTCCGGAGCTAAAAGCGCATCGAGAGCAATCTAGGCGAGGTTTAGTTAAAGCTCGTGTTCAGGCCAGGCGAAGAATCGCAGGCGGGGGAGCCGCCACAGTGTAAATTCTCGCCAAAATTCATCTTCGCACCTCTTAACTCCGCGGAGTGGACATCCGGAAGCAGCGAAGAAAGGCCCCGAAAATCAGACACAAGCAAGCCACTTTCGCAGACAAACGCAACAAAGGAAGAAAAAAAGCGCGGTAAAAGTATCTGAAAAGTCTTCGCTACCTTGGCCAGGATCCGTCGAGTGGAGGATTTCTTGCTCGAGCCTCGGACGCAACTCCGACAATGAGCAAGGCAAAATCAGCGTTACTAGCGAGTATACGCCGAGATTGGCGTGTCAGCGTGAGTTACACCAAAAAGCGTCTTCCGACAATGGGCATCAACCCTCTCTACGTCTGCCGACAGACACGAGCCTGCAAGAACGGTACTTCGTGCGTCGTGTGAGACAAAAGAGCCTGCCTACTCCATCATGCCGAACACGGTGGCGCTCCGTGAGCCGCCAGTCTGAGAATGAAGCAAGCTTCTAGAAAAAGCCCTGCCTTGCCATTCTCACACGCCTGCATTGACTTTCCGAATCCTTCCCTCCTCACACCACCATCGCCTCGCGCTCCTTCTCGCGCTCGCTCCTAATAGCTATCTCTTCGACCAGACAGTTCCCGGGCGTACGGCTGAATTGCTCCTCACCTGTGCATCTCTCTCGCTCTTCCGCAGCTGTCAGATCCGTACAAACTTATTGGCTAGGCAACCGCGCCGTCTACGCCCACCTCGAAACTCATTCGGCGTCGTCGCCCACAGTCCCGCAAAGTTGCAGGCTGAGCTATCACATTGCCACGCCTTAGCATTCATCTCACCGTCCCACAAAGGGCTCGATCGCCTCACCTTCTGTCGTTATCCTTCCATCAAGTCCACGAAGGCAGTCGTACGTAAGGCTCTCCATCACTTGCTGAGTCTAATCTTTCACTTCCATTCGACCCGTTCCGCTCAAGACCTGGCTGCATCACGGTCCGCCTTTTCTCTGCAAACGACGCTAGCTAGCTTGGTTCAAATAAGCTAGCCCCACCAACCTGCTTCGCCCTTGCTGAGGTTACGCCGGCATCGAGGGCGCTTGCCCTGCAGCAATACAAACCGCATCATCAGGGTGCGTCAGCTGCTTCCAACATCATGTTCAACCCCAACATGTACCCTCACAACACATCACCTCCGCACGACGCCATGTTCCATCCCAACATGATTCCTCCATCGTCCGGCTATCCTCCCGAAATGCCGATACAGATGCCTGTTCAACAGCACATGATGGCTCCCAATTTTCCAAACCCAGACATGTCCACGCATCCGGCTGACATGTCGGCAGACACCACGAATCAGGAGGATGACGCCGAGGGTGCTGGCAAGAGGAGAAGGGTACAACGGGCTTGCGATACGTGTCGAAAGAAGAAAGTTCGATGCGACGGCCTCCAGCCAGACAAGGGGGCTTGTACCAATTGCGCCAATTACGGCTATGAATGTACGTTCGTCGATGCCGCGCGCAAACGTGCACCGCCACGCAGCTATGTCGAGGCCATCGAGGCCCGTATCGTCAAGATGGAACAGCTCATCGCCTCTCTGGCGCCGGGCGTCGACTTTACCGACCGCATCGGCAAGCCAATCAGGAGACCAGACGACAAGGGTGACGACAACTCAAACGACGCAAGATCTTCGCAGGAACAGTCGCCAACGAAACCCAATGCTCCAGTTGCACCCATCTCGCTCGACCGCGCCAACAGCTTGTGCGGGCAAGGCGCCTCTTTCAGCCAGATGCTCTCGCCTTCGCATCTCAAGTCGCGCGACAACTCCGAGTCTGATGTGACTCAAACGAGCGATGACGATTCGGAAGACGACATTGCCTTCATCGAGAGCAGGCTCAGCGACTTCAACTTGAAACAGCGGCCTGTCGTCGCCGCCGCCGACTCCGCCACCTTTGACAGCAGCTCGTCCGAGCGCATCATCCTTGGTGATCAGGGTAGGGTCGAGTCCGCCTCGAACACGCCGCCCACGCACAAATTCATCGGAAAAGCGAGCGCCATGCATTCGCTGCCACTGCTCGAAAAGATAAGCAGCAAAACATTGAGCAATCTTGGCGTCCATCCAAAAGGGGCTCGTCCCGAGTACTGGTCAGTCCCTACCGGCTTCATCGATCCGCCTACCGATTCCAATTTGACCACATCTGCCTGGCCTGAGCCCGATTTGGCCGAGAAGCTCGTCGATGCCTACTTCGGCCGTATGAATCGCGAGTACCCCGTTCTCAACGAATCCCAGTTCCGCCACGAGCTGGCGAATCGACCCGAGCTCCGTGGCGACGCTGAATGGCTCGCGCTGGCATTTTGTGTCTTCATGATGGGCAGCCAATACGTAGACGACGACAGGGTCAAGAGCTTCCCTGATGACAAACACTCGCGTGGCATGCATTGGTGGCAAGCGGCCAGAAGTCTCATGTATCGCAATGTCAGGATCGACAAGCCGCTTCTGCGCGTCCAGTGCTTCTTACTCTCGACGCTCTTCCAATTCGGCATCCCCATTTCCGCTTCCGGCTCCTGGCTTCTACTTGGTGCTGCCATCCGAGGTCTACTCGACGTCGGAGCGCATCGAAAGCATACGGCCAGGAAGCTGAATCTGTCAAGATTGGAGGAAGAGACGTACAAGCGCGTTTTTTGGGTAGCCTACAGCCTTGATCGCGAATGCGCCGCCTCGCTCGGAAGACCCATCATGCTTCAAGATGAAGACATTGACGTAGAGATACCGATAGAGATCGATGACGAGTACCTCTTTCGAACGCCAGATGCAGAGCCTCTTCCAAAACAACCTGTCGACAAGCCTGCACTCATCAGCGGTTTTCTCTGCTCGCTGCGACTAGACGAGATCGTCGGACGCACGCTCAAGACAGTGTATGCGCTGCACAAGACCAAGATTCGATTCGGTATCAACTCGAAGGAGTGGGATGAAAGGTTGGTCTCCGAGATCGATTCAGCTCTCAACAATTGGCTTGACACGGTACCGCAGCATTTGCGCTTCGATCCGCACGAGCGCAATGACGAGTGGCTCATGCAGTCTTCACTCCTGTACTCCAAGTACTACAACTGTCAGCTCCTGGTGCACCGACCTTTCATTCCAGCCAAGAAGGGAGCGGGAGACAGCTCGATCCTTAACTTCCCCTCGCTCGCCATCTGCACCAACGCGGCGCGAAGCATTAGCCACCTGTTCTCCAATTTGCGCGATCGCGATCTCCACAACCTTATTGGCATTCCCGTTGCATTCCGGTCGGTCTCTGCCAGCACCATCCTTCTGATGGTCATCTGGGGTGCCAAGCGCAATGGCGGTCGGGTGTCGAGCTCTGCTTCGTCGGATCTGCGTCGATCGATCGACGTTCTGCGCGCGATGGAAGAGCGTTGGCAGTTCTGCGGGAAGGCTGTCGATGTTCTTGAGTCGATCATGACTTCGACTCACGTCGTCGTGCCTCGTGTAGGTGGAGCGTCTGAGCAGGGTATCAAAAGATCGCGTGACGGCGCCGAGGTGGAGGATGTTAAGGTGGAAGACGAGTCGCCCTCATTCTCCTCGGCGCAAGGCGGAGCAGAGACTGAGCCAGCCGACGGAAACAACGGCAAGGCCGCGCATCAGTCACGCAACACAGGCCAAGCTGCTTATGCGGACAGTGAGGGCGATGGTCAACCGCCAGAAACCGAGGCCAGGCGGCTGCCGCTGTCGACCTTCCAGCTGGCTTCCATGACACCGCAGTCGAGCTCAGAACAGTCGCCTGTCTCGGTCAACCCTGACGCATCTCACACACAGTCCACAACCAACGTGAGCGCGAACAACCAATCGTTCTTCAGTGCCGATCCATTCGGACCCAGGACACCGCAGCCGGCACAGCGCGCACGCATGCCTTCTCTCAGCGGTGCTTCGGGCATCCCTGCGTCCCTGTCGTTTGGTCTATTGACTCCTTCGACCGCTTCTCAGTGGGGCATCGGTGGCGGTGAGGACTACCTACACGGTGCTCACTCCCAAGCATCGGCGTATCAGCCATTACCGGCGGTCACACCGTCGATCTTTGACAACCTCGGTCTGACCAGCAGCTCGGACGATATGCTGCCGACGAGTATGGGTGACATGTCGCAGTTCGGCTACGCCAACGATTCGACGGGTGGCAACATGATGAACGGTGACGACATGTTCGGTGGGTCGCTGGACAGGTATTATACGGGAGGCCCTAATGGTAGCAAAGGTGATGGTGGGGATACGCCGCAGTCGGACGGCAGCGGCGGATTGGCGAGTTACGCATTTGAGCTGTTGCAAAAACAGAGCGTGTGGAACTTGGACGACGACTCACTCACTCTGCTGCAGCAGCGAGCTCAACGACAGTGAGAATGACTGCATTTAGTTCTGCTTTAATCTTGTATCATAAGGTCTTAGGAAGCATCACTTCTCTTCAATTTCTGAAAGGTTGTGGAAGTTGCATTGCTCGTTCTTCCAGTTGGTATCAAGTGTTCAAATGACAAAGACGCGCGTTCGACGAAGACCTCCAGGACCAGCTGAGCCTCTTGCCCCTGAGGCTAGAGCTGGTGGATGTCTTCGTTGTAGTCGGGAGAAAGCTTCTTGGATGTGTGATGCGAGCAGAGGCGTTTCGATGGATGGTGGGAGGGTGAACAGTGTGCAGAGCTCGTCGTCCGGCGTTGGGTTTGAGGGGTCTGATGGATCTTTTGAAGGTGAGGATGGGGAGGGTTGTGATGGGTCGTTCTGGGGGTTGGTGAGGGTTTGATCTGCTGATGACGTTGCGGTGTCGTCGGCGGAATCGCTTTCGAGCTTTGGTTTCTTTGCGGCACTGCTTGATGCTGTTTCGGGAGGATCGTCGTCTTTGCGTTTGTTCGAGGTGCTGGAACTGCTCGTTGTGGCCGTGGTCGAGATTGTCGTCAATCCGCTGCTACTCGCTTGCTGTTGTTGCTGTTGCAGCGCCGCATCGGCTTTGATCCTGGCCGCTTTCTGATCCTCCAAGCTTTTTTTGATCGCCACTGCACCTAGACACAGCTCCCTCACCACCTCGAAGGCCAAGAATCCCAGGATATCGATGATATCGTCGTTCGGTTTGACGTCCAGGTACGCACTTGCGTTGATGAACTCTCGGAACTTTTTCGACTTTCGGAAAGTGAAACTCGCCTGCCTACATTCCGAGTAGTGGACGTACTCTTCCCTCGTCATCCTCCGCGTCGCCTCGTCCGCATCCTTGAGACGCTGCATAGATGCTTCGTGAGCTTCCAAATCGTCATCATCCTCGTCCTCCTCTCCATCCGCATTGGGCAACGCCAAGAGATGTTCCGAGTAGACGGACGAGATCTCCCACGGCAGTCGGATCTTCATCTTGGTGGCCTTATTGGGTCCATCGAGTGTCGTCGGATCCTCGTCGATCTCCGGTGGTGCGCCAGAGCCGCCTCCTGCAGAGTCGCCCGAGTCTTTGGCGTTCTTGCGTACGTCTTTCCAGGAAAGGTAGGTGCGGAGACGGTTGACTTTGGCGCGGTCGTATCGGATGAGGAAGATGAGGTCTTCGGGCGAGAGGTATTTGGAGGCACGGCGTTGGGAGAGGCGACGGGACTGAATGATCATTTCTATTGTTTGAGAGCGAACGATATCTTCTACGAGACGGGTGACGTCCGGGGTGGGGTCGACGACGTCGGCAAAGACGAACATCATTTGGGCGATCTCGACTTGATAGCGGTACTCCGGGGTTGGAGCGTCTGCGGTGTCGAGGTCGATCCCGAGTCCCGGCGGGAAGGCCGTGGACGCTGATGTGGCCGCTTTCGACATCGTGACGCGATAAGCGGGCCTGCTCGGTGCAAGAGCCGAACAAGGATGAGGATGCGAAGGTGCGTGAGGAAGATGTGAGTTGAGGTCGGATGTCAAGGCTTGTTCGGTTGTCTTGCATGGGACGCGGGGTGCATTTTATTCCCTATATGTTAATGCGAGAGTCGATTGACACTGCTTGTAAAACATTGAGAGAAAGCTGACAGCCTCGGCTCAACCGAATAGTCGGAGATAGTGGAGCGGCAATGCATGCAAGCGTCAGCGCCAGTTGGGCATGGACTTGCCGTTCCGTTTTTAAGTCGAGCTATGGCGAACGACCTGTCTGGCGAGGAGGACAGTGCCTCCAGCAAGGCATCACCCATTGATCTAACCTATGGCGTGACCATCGCGACAATGGACAGGCCTGTCTGGTTGCTCGGGGATAGACGCGCACTAGGATTACCCTGGCAAGAGCCTATAACACGAATTGCAGAACGAAATTGCTTCCCACATCCATCAACATCATCCATTTCCAACACACGGCAGAACAAAGGATGTCGCACAAAGCAGTACGAGTGACAAAGGCTCACGGCGCCGTAGTCGAAGCACAAGCAAAGCCATTCTCCGCTTCGGACTTGGCTGCCGACGAAGTGCTCATCAAGAATGTCGCCGTTGCATCGAACCCTAAGGACTGGAAGATGGCCAAGTGGGGAATCTTTGAAGGCATCGAGGGCAACGATGTCGCCGGCTACGTCGAGGCTGTAGGAACAGACGTCAAAGACTTCAGCAAGGGTGACAGGGTCATCGCGTTCACCTACATGGGGAAAGCAGACAAGTACGGCGCCTATCAGAGTTACACCGTCGCACCGGCGTGGACCACCGCTCAACTGGCTGACAATGTTTCGTTCGAGGACGGCTCTACACTTCCTTTGGCTATCACCACCGCGTTCGTGGGTCTCTATGACAAGCTCGGATTACCCGAACCTTCGGCTGATGGTCGAGCTGCTGCTGGCGCCGACAAGGTCAACCTGCTTGTCTGGGGAGCTAGCTCTTCGGTCGGAGCCTATGTAGTGCAGCTAGCCAAGATCTCCGGATTCAAAATCGTCGCCGTGGCAGGTGCTGCAAAGGACTCGGTCCAGTCTCTCGGCCTTGCGGCTGATCAGGTCGTTGACTACCGCGATGATCGAGCGCAGGTAATCCAGAACCTCAACAAGGCTGCTGGTGGTACCCCTTTCACCCACGTCTACGACGCGATCTCGACCCAAGATACTGTCGACACCATCGTCGAGCTGCTGTCCGCTTCCCCCAACAAAGGTGGTAAGGTGACTACGCTCTTGCCAAGCAAGTACGACGACGCACAAGAGGCCGAGAAGCTTCAGAAGGAAAAAGCCACCATCTACGACCGAACAATGTGTGGCAGCGTTCACAGTGACAAGAAGGACTTCGGGGAAAGGTGGTTCAAGACGGTCGCGAAGTGGGTGGGCGAGGGCAAGATCCAGCCGAACAAGGTGCAGCTTGTGGAAGGAGGATTGGACGGAGTCCCTGCCGGACTGAAGTTGCTCGAGGAGAACAAGGTCAGCAATCGCAAGATCGTTGGTAAGTGTCCTGCGTGTGGCTTATTAGATCAAGCTGTGAGAGGAGAACGATTTACTGATCCCGAGCCGATCTTTCTGTATGCTTGCATCTCGACAGCTCGAATTGCCGACACCAAAGCCTAAGCACCCACCGGCTCGAATTGGGCCCACAACGAATTCGGGAAAGGCTTTCGCTTATGACAATTGAAGAGGTGACATTTTCCATTGGACGATAAGATACGCATCAGTGACATGTGGTCGGAAGAGATCAACACGCTGATAGCACTGCGATGCTTTCTTAGAGAGTATCTCGCCTGGCAAATGGCGCCCGACCGTGAAAGCCGAGAGAGGACACGACAAAGCATCGGCAACAAGGGCGGAGAATTTTCGGTCTGGAATCTCGTGCCCAGGGTCGCGTGAAGCTTGGATTGTGGCAGAAGTTCCTCAAGGTCGAGCCAGATTTCGTCCTGCTTTGTTCGAAATTTCGAACCCGACCCTTTTGAGCGTCTGGGTGACTGCAGCTCGGCACAATTCGCGCTCTGTTATCGGTGACTCGTGAAATTCTTCCGCGTCCAAAACGATGTCTCTAGAACGTATATGAAGAGGAGACTACCTTGTGCCCCTTGATCTGACTCCCCTACACAAACACGTACTCATAGTCAACAATGCCAGCACCAACATCAACAGCCGCCCCTCAGCAGCTCCAGCAGGTCGCACAGGTCGCGCAGGCCGCCTCCACCTCGACCATGGCTCCGCTCAACGCCGAGCTCCTGCAGGTCAACCTCAATCCCAACCCTGCCGCTCCGGATTTCGACAACCTTGTCTTTGGTCAGAAGTTTTCGCCTCACATGCTCATCATTGACTGGAACCACAAGACTGGATGGGGGGCACCGCAGATCAAGCCCTACGGACCACTCTCGCTGTCTCCAGCCGCACCGGCCCTTCACTACGCCAGCGGGCTGTTCGAAGGCATGAAGGCTTACCGCTCCACCGATGGCTCGGGAAAGATCCGCCTGTTCCGAGCGGACAAGAATATGGAGCGTATGAACCGCTCCGCCGCCCGTGCCGGCCTTCCCACCTTCGATGGCGACGAGTTCGTCAAGCTCATCAAGACGCTCGTCCGCATCGACCGTGAGCACGTCCCTCACGGCGAAGGCCAAACCCTCTACCTCCGACCGACACTCATCGGCACACCCGACACGCTCGGCATGGGCGTTCCCACCGAGGCACAACTTTACTGCATCTGCAGCCCCGTCGGAAACTACTATTCGTCAGGCACCGGTTCGAAACCCGTCAGCTTGTTGGCCAGGACCGATGTGGTTCGAGCGTGGCCCGGTGGTACGGGCTGCTACAAGCTCGCTGCCAACTACGCCGGTGCGACGCGACCTGCTATGGATGCATTGTTGCAGGGATACCACCAGGTGCTGTGGCTGTTCGGTCCGGATAGGCAGCTGACCGAGGTGGGTGCGATGAACTTGTTCGTCGTGTTCCGCGACCAGGCGGAGGATGGGGATGCTGCGAGGTACGAGATTGCCACTGCTGCGTTGGACGATGGTACCATCTTGCCCGGTGTCACCCGTGACAGCATCCTGTCGCTCTTGCGTGCCTACAAGGCTGGAAACGTCCAGATCGAGGGTCTGCCAAAGCCCGAGAATCTGACCATCTCGGAGCGCAAAGTGACCATGGACGAGATCATCGAGAAGGCAGAGGTGAACCAGATCGCAGAGGTGTTCGGATCAGGTACCGCCGCTGTGGTGTGCAGCGTGGACAAGATCGGGTTCGAGGGCGTGGATATCCCCATTCCTATCCAGGCGGATGGTATGGGCACGTTTATGCGAACCATGCTGCGCGAGGTCACGGGTAGGCAGTGGGGCGCTATTCCTTGTCCCGAGTGGAGCAGCGTCTGCTGAAGCCGCTCTTGCTGAGAATGTAGAAATCTGTAAAGGTCCTCCTCATCTGCTCTGTAACTTATACCACATCGTCTGTCACTCTACTCTAGAAATAGGACTGCGTCACTTTTGTCATTGCTGCATGGGTTCCTGTTTGAGCAAGCGAGGTATCAGATGGTGTAACGGAAATACGGTGACTCTTCGCCATGCAACAGCACGTCGATCTTCCTCCTGTCCGCCTCGGTCATCGATCCTTCCAGCTCTCCACCGTACGACCTTGCTTTTCCGTCATACTTCACATCTCCCTTCGCCTCCACATTCTCACCTCCCTGTTCCACCGTCGCATCCCTCCTATCTCTCCTCCTGTTAACGCTCCAAAACCTCACACTCAACCCCGCCGACACCAGCACACCAAACAACAGCAACCCTGCACTAACCGCCGTTCCCCTCACGTAATACGGTGCCTCGCTCGCCGGAAACAGATGCGTTCCCAACAACGGTCCGCACTGACCTATCGTGGCAAAGATGACCAACCCCAAGCCCTTCTTGGACTCGCTCGCCTGGTTGTCCATCAACCACATGTACAGGATCGGGATGAAGGGGAACAGTCCGTTGATGACCAACCAGATGCCGACGTATCTCGCAGCGGTCGATCGGAGGGTTGTCAGCATGAGGTAGCCGATGGCACCGATGATGAGGAGGACGGTGCAGATGGGTCCGCGGATCTGGAGTCGGTCGGTGAGCCAGCAGAAGAAGAGGCTGAGGATGAAGGCGAGCACGTAAGGTGGTGCGGAGAGGCCTTGGGCTTTGATCGAGCCGAAACCCATTTCGGAGATGAGCGTGGGCGTGTAGACGGGCACGGAGGAGTAGCCGACGTTGATGATGAAGAAGAGCGCGGCGGTGATGTACGACATGGGATCGGTAAATGCGGCTGCTGCTTGGGAGAGGTTGAGTTGCTGTTTGATCGAGTGCCAGCTGAAGGGATGAGCTTCTTTGATCTGCAAGGCTGCCGAGGGAGGGGGGCGGAACAGCCTCGCTTCGGCGATCTGCTTCTCCCTCGGCGTCAAGAACTTGGCCGACTGAATCGAATTCGGCAGGAAGAAGTACGCCGCCGGCGCCATGATGAGTGTCGGCACACCTTCTATGAGGAAAAGCAGCCGCCACGGTTCGACACTCGTCTTCGCATGAACCAATCCATACGCTATCGCGCCTGCGATCGCACTCGAAATCGCCCCCGCCGAGATGAACCATCCGAACCTCAACCCGGTCTCCGTTTTGGGGTAGAAGAAGCTCAGGTACAGCGCGAATCCAGTACCATACCCTGCTTCCGAGACAGCCAAAAAGAACCGTGCCGCCATCATCCCCGACCAACTCGTCGTTGCTGCTTGACAAACACCCGCTACGCCCCAGACAAACACGCAGAACGTCACCCAGATCCGCGGTGGCAGCAGCTTGTACATCACCACCTGGAACTGAAAGAGAATGTAGGCGATGTAGAAGATGGTGAGGAGCCACTGAAACTGCGAGTCGCTCATGCGGAGTGACTTTTCGAGTCCGGCGGTTTTGGCGTTGCCGATGCCGCTTCTGTCGAGAAGAGCGACGAGATAGAGGAGGAAGGAGACGGTGACGATGCGCACATCAAGTTTGCGCCGGATGGAGGATTCCTCTTCGTCGGTCCACCACTTGTTGAGTTTGGCGATGTAGGCGTCATCCCGGGTTGCGTCGGAGGTGGGAGCTTGGGAGGTGGTGCCGTCGGATGCAGTTCTGCCGAGCGCTTGACGAGGCGGCGCCGCGATGTGCGCCTGATTTGGTTCGGGAGGCATGGCTGCGGAAGGAAGCCTGTTTGAGGTGTCGATGGTGGAGCAAAGGAAGGATCGTTCCCAAATGATCCAGGATGTTTCACGTCGAACGGACCGCAGCCTTGTGTAGGAGCCAAAGCGGACAGGCTCGTACCAAAGTCCTCATTCATCTTGACAGATCGTGTTGCCGAGCAAGCCGCTCCGTACACCGTCGGCAGAAGCGAAAGCGAAGCGAGGCGGGAAACACAAAATCTTCTTGCGGAATTACACACTGCGGCGCTGCGGACCAACCCACGATTGCCTGCATAGCAGTGATGCGGTGTGGGGGAAACCAGTTCATCGATGCGAGTCGCAACCTTGTGACTCGCGCAGCTCGCCTAGCGCCCAACTGTTCAAATATGGGGGACCTTGCCTTTCGCCTTGCTTTGAGCGTGGAGATGTGGCAAGACACCGGCGAATTGTTTGACAGCTCTGTCACCTCACACGACTTTTGTGGAGATTCGTGCCGTCGGAGTTTCGCGGTACCATGCGGTAAAAAGCCTGTGTGTACCGGGTAATTCACCGACTCACGACCATTCGAGCAGCTTGCTCCGGCGATCGTTCGAGATTGGAACGTTGTATACTGTAACATGACCGTGCCACGCTTTGAGATGGTGGGGCAAAGCATTCGGAGCGCACCTTCCGAGCTGCGATCCATGAGTCTGTTCAACCCAGTTGCATCGTGGCTGTCGTGAGGATCTGTCCAGTGCAAGGTGGGAGTTACGCACCGACTGACTGAACTCAGATCGACCATCTTCGGAAATAGTTCCTTACGCCGAATCAATTCATTCAGCAGCCATTATGATGATGACGATCAAGAGCTACGAAAACACAGCTTTGGTGAGCGTTCCGGGTCCAAATCCAACAGCTTCCTTACCAGCGCCATCCTCGATCCTGCTTCCTTGCGGGTCCAATCTGTTCCTCCAAACCCCACCTCTCTTCTCCGGCGGCGGCAAAGCATCATCGATCAGCCTCATGATCCCGATTGCCTTTTCATCGTGGTACGGTCTGGTCACCACCTGCACTCCCACAGGCAACCCGTGCATCTTCTCCGCATTGTAAGCCACGCTGTAGAGCAGGAAATTGCACACCTTACTGGTCTCGTTCATCCTCCTATCCGAGTCCCACCTGTCGAACGCCGCGCGTTGGTCGGAAGAGACATTTTCGAAATGCTTCCGTCTGTGCGAATCGCGCGATGCATCGACCCGTGTGACGGGTACGACTGCAACGGGAGCCTTGACGATGTTGTACAGCACGGTTGCGCCTGCCATGGTCGAAGTGTGACTGGCCCCACCGTGCGGGACGGCTGGACAAGGTTGGGTGGGTGCGATGAACGCGTCGAGCGCGAGATCTTCCCACATGGTATGGTTCCACTTGTCGACGAATCGTTCGCGACGCTCCAACACGTCTGCGTGTTCGGCTGCAGTAAGACGACCTCCAGAACCGGCCAACTCGGCGTAGATCGGATCGCGGATGATGTATCGAACAAAAAAGACGATAATACCGCGCAGCCAGCGGGGGATTCGGCTGAGGATGACGGGCATCTTCATTTGCGGGATGAGTTTGTCCGGGCCCAGGTATGCTTCGAGGTTGCGGAAACCATCGGCAGTGAAGAGACGGAGGAAAATGCGGAGGACTTCGAGCGTCTGCAGCTGTTTGGGATCGATCTCGACCAGCTCGATGCGTTTGTCCGAGTATTTCGTCTTGATAGCAGCGACGCATTCGAGGATCGCACGGTAGCAAGGAGGTGTAGTGCGATGGATGCCATCGCCAACAACGTAGCCGATGCGAAGCGGCGTTCCTCTTGCTTCCGATACACCTAGCGGGTTGAGCCATGCTTCGTTGAGCACGACGGTCGACAGACCCGACATGTGGAACTTTGCCATGGCAAGATCGTTGTCCGCTGCGTCTTTAAGCACAGCAGGATCGTTCTTGTCTCTCTTGCCTCGCAGCCATTTGGGCACGTGCTGTCTTGCTACTTCGACAAAGAGCGTCTCGACATCGGCAGCGTTTCTGCACATCGGGCCTGCCACAGCCTCGATGCTCTCGAAACCCTTCCCGTAGTCACAGAGACCGACATACGACCACCGTCCGGGACTCGGCTTGATCGTGTAGATTCCCGCATGGTGCGACGGGATCCTCAAACTTCCAGCGATGTCCGTACCCAATCCAGCAGCCGATCCATCACACGCAATGATAGCGCTCTCGCCTCCCGAGCTACCTCCCGAAGTATGATCGGGACTGTACGGATTGATGGTGCTGCCAAACACGGGGTTGGTGCTTTCGAACGTCATGAACGTCTGCGGGATGTTGGTTTTGACGTAGAGCAGCGCACCGAGGTGCTCGCAGATCGAAGCGACGGTCGAAGTGACGGGCTCGGGAGGCTTTGCGATCCATTCCGAGAAGCCGAGGGTCGTCTTACTTCCTGCGTAGTGAAACATGTCTTTGAGCGAGATGGGTACGCCGTGCAGAGGACCGACGAGCTCGCCCGTTTGAGCAAAGTGCACATCGAGCTCAGATGCACGCTGCAGCGCCTTGTCGATGAACACTTCGGTCAGACAGTTGGTTCGAAGCTGCGCTCGACGTGTAGCACGCACGAATGCGCAGAGCACCTGCGTCGAAGTCCAACGGCCTGCTTTGATGCCTGAAGTAATGCCGGCAATGTCGGAGGAGAGTATATCCAGGTCATGCTCTGCCAGACCCACGTTCAAGTTGCGATACGGACTTTTGCTGTCTTGCGCGACAAGACCGTTGCTGCTAGATGCCTCGTCAGGTAGCGGGTACCCAAGAGCAGCATCACGCTGAGCAAGGTGAGCCTCGATGGCCTTTTGCGTCGCCGACTTGCCCAGCAGGCTCAACATATTGTCGATCTGCGCCGCAATGAAATGGTAGAACCAAAGTGGTACGCGTCGGTAGTACTGATGTGGTCTTCGCAACCGTCGTGTCTGTTCGACGCCAGGGCAGCGTGGGGCTGGATCGGAAGCACTGTTCCGGCAACCGTGCACAGTGTCGCACGAGCTGCGTTTCACCATGAGGCAGCATACCGTGCACCGGCTGCTCGGCTTAACTCTAGACCCGGGTGAAAGCTACTCTAACTCTAACAGAGCGCCAATAATCCCATTTCCGCTTAGTTATCGGCAAAGCTACAATGCTATCGGGTCAGATCTGCCCTTCCGTATCTGCGATGGCGCCAAGGCTCGGTGTTGCACTCCGATACGATCCCTGCGAGGCGTAAGAGGCGTCCTGCCGGCATGGCGGACTTGCGAACGTGTTGGCCATTTTTGAATTCACGGTTCAAATTCAAGATCGCGAGGAGATGTCCAGCAGGGCTCCCTGCCAGCTTAGATGCAGGTCCACGTTCCCTCAGCTGTCACTCGCCTGTCGTTTTGAATTGGAGAATACAAATTTGGAAGTCATGCAACAATGGCCGAGGCGGGCACGTTTTGGGTTGGACCCTGATGCACGTTGTTGTTCTCCGTCCTCGATGCAGCTTCTTGCAGCTTCTTCCCAAGTGACACGGCGTCTCTGGCAGCTTCGATCTCATCGTTCCCATCGAGCATGGTCAAACATGGACCGCATGCTATTAGAGCGGCACTGCTGTGGGAGATGGGTCCCACAATGATTCAATGCCAGGTCACACGCATTGGCCAGCGGTGTTAAAGGGGATGGAGGGCAACGACGAAGCTCGAGTTTCAGCACCAGATCTTGTACCGCGCGTCTGCTCGTTGTGCCTCACGAGATGCTCGCTGCATTGCAGATCCCCGAGCTGCTCTTCTGTAATGGCGTCTCCACCAGGTGGTTTATGCAAACGCCCTCTCGACGGCCGGAATCACGCGGAATGAGGAGCAGATTCTCGTAGCGCATGTGTCCCCTGCTGTTCTGCTCGTCCCGTTCCGCGTCCCAGCTAGTGTGCTTGCGCGGGTGCCCGCTGAAGTTTGCTGGTACATCAGATCCATCAGTTCCACGGCATCACGGGTCACACCCTGCATTTCTTGGACCACTCTCGCTTGTTCAAAGTGCCCTCAAGTGTTGCTCTTTCTCTTCCGAGTGTTGTTCTGCTCTCTGCCTCTTTCCATCAAGACCATCTCTGGTCATCCCTCCACCCTTTCGTCCTGACCATCACCTCAACGAATTCCCCTTGCTCAGCCGTTCAGCTGCCGGAGCTCAAGACATCATCGCGGTCATGCCTGCAGCCGTCATCAACCTCAACGGCTCCTCCAGCCACAGCCCCGTCCAGTCGGTCCCCTCGCACGTCCGAAGCATCTGCTGCATCGGTGCCGGCTACGTCGGAGGGCCCACTTGCTCCGTGATCGCGCTCAAGTGTCCCCACATCAAGGTCACCATCGTCGACGTCAACCCGGTCCGCATCGCGGCGTGGAACTCTGATGTGCTTCCCGTCTTCGAGCCTGGTCTCGATGCCGTCGTCCGCGAGTGTCGCGGACGCAACCTCTTCTTCTCCACCGACATCGATAAGGCGATCCAGGAAGCCGACTTGATCTTTGTCTCCGTGAACACCCCTACAAAGACCTCTGGTGTCGGAAAGGGTTTCGCTGCCGACCTGCACTACGTCGAAGCCTCTACTCGTCGTATCGCATCCGTTGCCACGAGCTCCAAGATCATCGTTGAGAAGTCTACGGTACCATGTCGTACCGCAGCAAGCATGCGTACCATCCTCGAATCCAACTCCAGCTACACGGCGGATGGAACGCTCATCTCCTTCCAGATCCTTTCCAACCCCGAGTTTTTGGCTGAAGGAACCGCCATCCGCGATCTGATGGCTCCCGACCGTGTCCTCATCGGTTCCCTCGACACGCAACAAGGCAAAGCTGCCGCGAACGCTCTCTCCGAAGTCTACCAGAACTGGGTCGACCCAACCAAGATCTACCAAACAGGTCTTTGGTCTTCCGAACTCTCCAAACTCGCCGCCAACGCTCTACTCGCTCAACGCATTTCGAGCATCAACTCCCTCTCCGCCATCTGCGAAGCGACCGGAGCCGATGTCGATGAAGTCGCCCACGCCTGTGGACTGGATGCACGCATCGGACCCAAATTCCTCAAAGCCTCCGTCGGTTTTGGTGGAAGCTGCTTCCAGAAGGACATCTTGAACCTGGTGTATCTCTCCGAATCGTTGGGTTTGAGCGAGGTAGCTGACTACTGGCACCAGGTGATCAAGATGAACGAGTATTCGAAATCCAGGTTTGCGAGAAAAGTCGTTTCTACGCTGTTCAATACGATCACGATGAAGAAGATCGCAGTCTTGGGATTCGCGTTCAAGAAGGATACCGGAGACACACGCGAATCGGCAGCAATCACGCTCTGCAAGTACTTCCGACAGGAACGCGCCCAGATCTCGATCTACGATCCCAAAGTGACCACCAACCAGATCATGCTCGATCTCACCGAACCCGGCGTCCTCGACGACTCGCAGGCCGTTCAGCAGCAGGTCAAGATCGCAACATCCATGAAGGAGGCTTGCGAAGATGCCGAGGCAGTCATCATCTGCACCGAGTGGGACGAGTTCAGGGACGCCACGGCTCAGGATTGGGATGAGATTTACAGGAGTATGAAGAAGCCGGCGTTCGTGTTCGATGGAAGGGGGATCGTCGATGCAAAGGTGCTGAGAAGTGTTGGGTTCAAGGTTCACGCTGTGGGCAAGGGACCTCTTATCGTGGATCCTATCTGGGCTTGAGTGGAGGAAGTCCGTACAGCTTCATCAGATACCCCGCTCGTAGCTTTTTCTTTTCGACATAGATAGTGTCCGTTTCTTCGGTGCAATCAACACCCGTCGCTCAGTGATCCTTACCTCCACCCTGCTCGCGTGTGGAAAAAGAAGGCAGCAAAGTGTCCATTTAGAAGAGGAAATGCGTTTGACAAAAGACCCAAAACGGCAAAGCTACGATCGCAACCGCCACAACATCCCGCTTCCACCCATTCGAGGCCGCTGTGCCCGACAACGACCTACCGTAACTCCGCTCGCTCGAAGGCGGAGGATCATCATCGTCGTCCCTCTTGCGCTGATGATTGAGCGGCAGATACCCCTGCGTATCTCTGCGTGAATGGAAGAAGCGAGGCCAGAGCCATAGTCCAACTAGTGTGGCGATGAAAAATGGCAGATAGAGGCCGGTCCAGATGCCGATCTGATCGGGTAGCAGACATGGTGTGTACGCCATTGCGACGTAAGGTGGTGCGTTGGACTGCGCCATGGAGGTAGAAGGCGGTGTCAAGAGGCTGAGACGAGCAAAACCTGGGCGACGCACACCCTCGGTCATCGAGACCGACTTTACAGTCAGTTCTGGGATCTCGCCGACTCTGAAGCCGTCTACGCTGTTCGATACGGACGTGTTGCTTTCTAGCCTCGTATGGCGATACTCGCAATGATCGTGATCGTCGCCGCTGAAGACAGCCATGGGGTCGATTGAGCTGACCACCCAATCGGTCACCGAGGACGATACCATGTTCTGATACGTCGAGCCTCGATCCGTGCCCTGATGCAGAGGTCGGCTGGATTCGCGATACACTCCATGCTTTGATGACCTTTCCGCATCATTGCAGGTCGTCCCTGGCGGTCTGTGCAATGGAACGTGACTGAGAAGCACGCGAGGAACGCGGATACCACCTGATTTGACTGACTCTACAAAGTCGTATGTCTCCTTGTACGCGCTATGCGCAGTATCCCCGAGTCGACCGTCGAGCTTGCCCGGATGATCCGAGCTAAGGTGCGTATCGAACGGTCCACCGCCTTCGCGCTCCATACCGACGAGATCCTGCGCATTGACGAGGACTAGCTCGTGTGTGGCGCCAAGCGTCGCATCAGTAGAGACAAGAATACGGCCATTGAGGCTCGCTCGCACGAAGGGGTTTCGATCCTTGACAACAAATCCACCTCCGTCTATCCTCAGGCCAAAGTCCCTGTTGAATCGCTCGATCGCATCTTCGCTTGCCGAGGTGTCGACCCTGTGCCCAGCGGTTGTGCCGGGCAGACCAATGTCGTGGTTTCCGGAAAGGTAGAATGTCGGAATGAACTCGGCAGCCGAGGCTCGAGGTACGATCAATTGCCTTGTGGTGCTGAGGGTCGATTTCGGTGCTTCCCAATCAGCTTCTCTTGGTCTCCAAAAGATGTTATGAAATCGATGCACCAACGCCGCCCACTCGGCATCGGATCCTCCGCGTCGTCCGCCATCGGTCAGGTCGCCCATCCAAACCACGCCATCTGGTGGCTGCACCAGCCCACTTCTCCAATTCGACCTGCGTAGTGCTTCCTGATCCGGTGGAAGAATGTAGCCTCGATCAAACCATTTGTTCGGGTTGACGGCCAGACTCGTCCATACATTCTTGAGATAGTTGTCGGAGAAGTGCCGTACAATGGGAAAGAATAAGCTCGGTAGCGGCAAGTCGGGATATGTGTCTTTGTCGATGATCTGTGGATCCGTCACGAGCAGCACGTGAACGGCTGGCTGCACAGGCCATGCTTTGGAGGGTGAAGCGGGCCACGCGCAGCTGTTGGCTGCATTGTGAAAGACAGCGCGTTCACCGTAGAACAAGAAGGCAAGCCAGAGGAGACGAAAGGTGACGACGTGGGTTGAGCCGACGATGAAGGTGAGCAGATGCCGTGCTGTCTCCACCGTCCCACCGCGTAAGGAGGAGGCTCGGTCCGGCATCCTCTCCGTCTTTGCTCGGAGCTTCTTCCTCCTGTCAGATCATCTAACGATTTGGACCTGGTGCGGATCACTTCCAGCTTGAAGGAGGACCGTGGTCGAGCTTATGGGTTGCGAAGCAAGCGAGCCGATTGTATCCCGAATGGAAGAGCTCTAAATACAGAGTTGACCGACCGGCGTCTTGCCGATACGTGGCTCGATGCGCTCACCAAAGGCTTGGCGTGTTGGTCTGTTCTCGACTGAGTTGCGATAATATACCGGTCTAACACGTTTTCTCCGATTTCGGCTTCCCCGCGTGACGAGGCAACGACGAGGAAATTTGTATGTAGCCGAGGCGCGTTACGGCGATGGCTCAGCCGTCGTTGAACTTTCGAGGTTTTTTTCTTCGATACTTGGACTTGTCATACCACACACACTTCGACGTCGGCCATACCTTCACATCTGTCACGGCCTTAGCGCTCATCGACTCGACGAAGCGCCCACTAACGATCACACAAACAACTTTTCCGTGCAGGTCCCATCAGAAAGGAGAACTCGGACAAGCGAAGCTGGTATTGTAGAAGGGCAGGATGCTGTCAACAGGAACTCCAGCAACATTGCGCTGTGCTGGTCGCATCGCATCTAGCCGTCTTGGCCATGCTCCCAGCACCAAACTCTCAAACTCAGCATCATTGCCACTCCGTCGACTCAGCACCGCGGTGGGGACGCCAGCGTATCGAAGCAGACATGTCGGTCGGATCTCTCCGCTCTTGGCTGCTGGACCATCCAACCCAAACACCAAGCGTCACTTTACGTCCGGACACCCACGAGCCTCTAAGCAACCGTTCCAATTTCTCACAGCATACGCTTTTCAAGGCAAGGCGCGCAGCTCGGAGGACTTGCCACAAGAAGGAGACGCGTCATCTTCAGCTTCCACCAACGAACGTGACGGCACACCACCCGCAGCCACCAAACCACAGATCGGATTTCCCGCGAACAGCGAGATCGGAAGATGGAGGGATGAGCTGCTTCGAGGCGGTGAAGCGGGTGAAGACTCGCTCATGTGTACTTCGATGGGCATGGCGGGCGATGTGGCTATCGGCGTCGCCGATGGCGTAGGCGGCTGGACCGAAAATGGCATCGACCCCTCGCTCTTCTCGCAGGCGCTCATGTTCTACGCGTCCAGATCAGCATCACAGGCCTCGACGGATCCGAGCACAGGCGGTGCACCGAATCAGATCCTCTCCGAAGCGTTCGAGCATGTCCTCAAAGAGCCGCTCGTCGTAGCAGGTAGCGCAACAGCATGCATCCTCACCATGAACTCTTCCGACGGCACGCTGCGCTCTGCCAATCTCGGAGATTCCGGCTTTGTCATCCTCCGTCAAGGCACCGGCAAGCAGGGTGTTTTCCACGCCAGTCCACCACAACAGCTTGGTTTCAACACACCTCTCCAACTCGCCAAGCTTCCCAAAGAGTGGGCTCAGGAAGGCTCCATCTCCAACACGCCCAAGGACGCCGCCACCTGGGAATGCACTCTCCAGCACGGCGATCTGATCATTGTTGGCACAGACGGCCTCTTTGACAACGTCGACGCCAAAATCGAGATTCCGCAATTTGCCAAATTCATCAAGGAGAAGCACCACGCTTCGTACGCTGCTCGTCACGCAGCGGCCGGTGAGAAAGCGGCAGAGGGCAAGTTCGACAGCTTGGAAGAGGATAGGGAGTTTGTCCAGGTGCTGGCGACCAATCTGGTCGAGTATGCAAAGATCTGCCAGAGCTCGACGACGAAGCAAAGTCCATTTGAGAGGGAAGCGGCGAGGTACGGCATTCATTTCCCTGGTGGAAAGGTGGACGATGTCGCGTTGGTGTGCTGTCTGGTTATTGAGCATTAGAGATGGTCTGTTGGCATTCGTATGGTTTACTCTTGTACTTTTAGACATCTGATCGAGAATCCTCACATTCTTTCGTAAGGTCGGCAGCCCCGGAGATAGAGTCGGAGTGGGCATCGATCTGTCTGTTTGAACGAAGTGAGAGCGGAGAAGTTGGAGCATGACGGTGTTGGCAGCTGGTGGAAAGATTCAGAGTCGTGGAAGTGCTTTCTTTTGCCTAAAAAAATATGACAGCTGGGGCCTCCACTTTCACGTCGCTTCCCCCGCTTGAGCTCGACTGTTGCTCGTCTCACCTTTCGATCTTGCACTACCACCACCGTTCCAGTGCACCATCTCTACGGCCTCACTCTTCAGTCAATCTTTTGCCCTCTCTGTACTGATCTGTTGGTGCTTGATCTTTGAAATTCGACACCATGCCGAGTCAATCAGCCAAACGTTCGCATCGCCGCAGACATCGCTCCACGCACTCTGACAGCGACGACGAGGTCTCATCCTGGGACTCGCATCCCGTCTCCTCATCCCACAGCACCTCTTCCTACTCATCATCATCCAACGATGCCCTCATCGCAAAGCTACCTACACTACCAGATCTACGATTCGAGCAATCCTACCTCGCTACAATCCGCAACTTCTTGCACGAAGAACAGCCCTCCTCTTCCACCGCACACGACGAGTCGGAAAAGCAACTCCCTACAGCGAACGCAGAGAAAGATCACCATCACAAGGTCGAGGTGACACACGGAAAGGTGGAGGAACATCACGAGCTGTGGTTGGGGAATCTGCGGGTTGAATGGTAAGTCTTATCCTCGAAACCGATGCACAACGTCTATTAAAGGCTGACAAGAGCTTTGCGTGTGAACGCAGGTTTCCGATTCTGTACGTGACAGTGCGGGATCAGCTGCTTTCTCCGTTGGTACAAGGAGCAGTGTGGGGGCTGGGTGGGTTGTTGCTGACGCAGTTTAGACAGTATCTGTCCGCATCGAAGGCGAGTCGATCTGCAAAGGGCGCCGCTGGAAGGGGGACACCGAGCATTCTGCGCAGTCTAGGTCTTGGTAAACGATGATGCCCTACTCAGCCTCACAATAACACGAATGTCAGTTCACACCGATACCCAATCTCTCAATTACTCGTTTGTTGAGCATCCTCGATATCTACAAATGACTCTTGACCTCGTTCGCCGTCCCTTGATCCCAGGAGTACACCAAACCGTGACCCAAGTCTACCGCATCCTCGCCTTTCACTTTCGCTTCTGTCGTGCTCGCCTCCAACTGACTCACCAATCTCGCCAAATCAGCGAATCCTGCTGCACCACCGTCGCCGCTCGCGCCTCCGATCCACAGCCTGATCAGATGCACATCCTGCTGCAATTCCCTCTCATCCGCTTTGACCTCCGCCAGAGACTGCAGCTCTGCACTCTGCGCAAACGTGGTCATCTTCCAAGCCGCATGAGAGAGCAGCAGCGATGATCCTTGGATGGCCATGATGAGGTCTAGGAGGTATCGGCTGAATCTGAGGTCGGTAGTTTTCACGTGTCGGTCGAGGTCGAGCGTGGTTAGGATCGAAGCTGTTTTCTGGACGATGCTGGAGAGAAACTTGATCTCGGAGTCGAGTTGAGTGGATAGTTGGGAGGGGAGAGAGGTGAGGTTTGCGGAGATGTCTTGGAAAAACTCGATGAGGGCTTGACCGCGGGATTGGACGAGAACGCGAAGCACGTCGAGCGAGAGGATGGCGGGTGTGCCTTCCCAGATCCTCTCGACGGTGCAATCGCGCAGCATCTCGGCCATCCCGACCTCCTCCATATAGCCTTGACCGCCGAAGGACTCGATCAGCGTGAGGTAGGATTCGGATGCTCGAGTGGCAACAAAGGCTTTCAGGGCAGGCGTGAGGAGTCGCAGACGTGTGAGGTCTCGTTTGCTCGCCTGGCCGGATTCGCTGGCTCCCATGAGAAGCACGTTGGAGAAGAAGATCTGCAGAAACACGCGGTAGGTTACCGTGACTTTGAGGAGTTGGTCGGTGTGCAGTGGAAGCTTGTCCAGCTTCCCACCACCGAGAGCGGGTCGAATCTGAGCGTAGGCGGTGGCGGAACGTAGACCCCACGAGAGGGCACCGACCGCTCCACCGGCGGAATAGAGTCGAGTGATGTTGAGCACGGACGAGATGGTGGCGACTCCGCGACTGATCTCGCCGACCAACTCGCCGATGCATCCGTCCAACTCGAGCTCGGCGGTGGGCAGGTATTTGGTGCCGAGTTTGCGTTTGAGCCTGTGTACGCGGATACCGTTGAGCTTGCCCGTCGTGTCGTCTCGGATCTTGATCAGGAACAGCGAGAGACCCTTGGAGCCGAGCTTGAGATCGTCGCTCGTGCGCGCCAGCGCCAACGCGACATCTCCATCGGTTGCGGAAGAGAACCACTTGAATCCGCTGATGACGAACTTATCGCCAGCTTCCGGTTTCTTGTTGGCATCGATTGGGCGTGCGACGGTTTCGGTTCGTGACACATCCGATCCACCCGGACGCTCTGTCATCCACTGACCGGCTGTCCACGCCGCGCTCGGATCCGTACTGCACAGCTTCGGAATGTTCTCCTGCTTCTGCTTCTCCGTTCCGAACAGCTCCAACACCCTCACCGCTCCATCCGTCATACTGATCGGACACAGAACAACCTTGGAAACAGGTGCGAACATGACACTCCTCGTAAACGCATACAGCCTCGCATGCTGTCCCAGCTTGTCCCGGCCTCCGCCAAACTTTGCTTCAGGTCGAGCGTAAGATTCGGCAACAATGGCGTCGGAGGCGCAAACTCCTTTGAGGCGCTTCCATCCTTCGCCGGTCACGAGCTTGTCGACTCGTTTGCCCCACGCGTCGTACTGGACGAGGGTGGGTTCGTGTTGAGGGGTGTCGAGCGTTGCTGCGATGTCGGCGTACTCTCCTTCGACACGTTTGCCGAACGAGGTGAGATCGTCGAAGAGTCGTTTGATCTCAGAGGTGCCGAGGGGGTATTTGCCGGAAGAGAAGAGTCGGAGAATAGTCAGACGCAGAGCTGGATCCGAAGACCACGGCGAGGCTACGCGGAAGCGCTCGAACTGGAAGCCTTCTTCTGCCCTCATAGTCGGTCAGTGAGCGAGAATGAGATGTGAGAAAGTGTCAAGTTCGGACTGTGAGGTTTGGATCGTGGCTGTGAGGAGGAAAATGAGGATTGTGGTAGGAAGACAAAGTAGCACGCCTCGTGCAAACACCTGGTGCTGTATACAGCTGTCAAGCATGACAGACTCGAAAGTGCGGGGAAGACGTGTGCAACAGTCACATGTGCAGTCAAACTGCAGGGATGCCGCACAGCGGCTCCGGCAGCGCCGGCAACGAAAAAGAGCGGGGCGCGTATTCGTTTTCAACACCAAACAGAAATATCTCTCATCCGAAGCCGAAGGACCCTTGTTTGACCTCGAATCGGCCCGGATCAGTCGAACGATCCCGCTTGATACCATTATGGCGCTGTATTGCGTGTGTGGCGAGAGTAGCTTGACCGCAGCTAAGACTCTACAGCGCTGCCTTCAAGCCGTGTCTCGCTGCTCCGCCCTCTGCTGGTGAATGGGGAAGAACTGTCTAGGCAGAATATCAATCATCTCCGGCGTCAACTGATCGAGCGAAGTGACGCCCAGCAGCTGCATCCCTCGATGGATCTCATCCTGCAAGATCTGGATTGCCCTCGTCACACCCGCCTCCCCATACCCAGACTGAGCATACAAGAACGGCCTTCCCAACCCCACCGCCTTGGCACCCAACGCTACCGCCTTGAGCACGTCCGTACCCCTCCTCACGCCTCCGTCCATGAACACCTCGATCTTGTCAAACAGCTCCGGTCTCCTCTGGCGCAGCTCCACCAGCACATCCAAAGCTGCAGGCGAGTACTCGAGACTTCTACCACCGTGGTTGGACAGCACGACACCTTCAACACCGTGTTTGACGGCTAGCTCGACGTCTTCGACCGTCTGGACGCCTTTGAGGTAGAGTGGGAGTTTGCACGTCTTTCGGAACCACGCAATGTCGTCCCAGGTGAGGTTGGGATCGATGTAGCCGGAGATGGCCTGTGCGACTCCACCACCCTTGGCTTTGACGTCCTTGCCGTGGTCGTTGCCGAGCTGGACTTCCTCGCCCTTGGTACGCATATCCCGCTCCCGTTTGCCCATCACAGGCGCATCGACGGTGAGCATCACGGCCGACACACCACGCGATTCAATCTTCTTGAGGATACGCTCGGAGGCAGCGCGGTCTTTGTTGACGTAGAGCTGGTAGATGATGGGTTGACCGGTTTTGCGTGCATCGAGCATCTCGTCGAGTCCGACGGATGCGTTGGCGGAGATTCCCTGGATGATGTCGGCTTCGCCTGCTCCGCGAGTGAGGTTGAGTTCTCCGTCGGGGTGTCCGAGCTTAGCCATGGCGGCAGGAGAGACGTAGATGGGGAGGGAGCAGAGGAAGCCTTTTCCTTTAGAGTCGATGAGCTTTCTGGAGCTGTCCACTTGACCGATTGCACGCAGGATGCGGGGACGGAAGACAATGCGGTTGAAAGCAGCTCTGTTCTGCGCATACGTGATCTCGTCATCCGCGGCTGAAGAGTAGTACGCCCACGCCTGATCCGACAGGATGCTCTCGGCGATCCTTTCGAAATCGTCCAGATTCAAAACGCTTCCGAGCGAAGGCAGATTCTCGCGTGCCAGCCTGCGTTTGCGATCCTTCTCCGACTCTTCACCCGCCTGCTTGATTTGAACTGTGCTGGGATTCACTTGGCCGATGTGCTTGGAAGCATCGAGGTTTTCCTCTATCGCTGTAGGAGGGTGAATCGGTTCATACAGCTCGGTGACGTCCTTTCCGGCGTTCTTGAGGATGATGTTGCGTCCACCGGGGTGACTGTCGACGAAATCGGTGACATCGTACACTTCGCCTTTGATGACCACCCACAGACCGTTGCCGCCTTCGGATGGAAGCTTGTTGTAGCTGGCCACCGTGTCCATCGAGATGAGCTTGTCGGCTGGATCCGAGGCCGCCGCAGGGCTGACTTTGCGAGGAGGCGAACGTACTTGATCGTTGTACACGCTACGTGTAGGGACGGCTGATGCGAGAAGCGCCAAACCGACCAAGCCTGCAACGAGGCCTTTGACGTTGCCGCTTCCATTGCTGGACTGCGATGTCTTGCTTGATGATGAGGAAGAAGAGACAGGTCGGTGCTGGAGCGGTCTTGGCATGGACGATCGGAGCAAGGTGGAACTGCTCGCTCTCGAACGTATCGACGACCTGATGGCGTTTCGAAACATGATCGCTGAGCTTCTAGGGATATTGGGGGATGATGATGGTGTTGATTGAAGGAAGATCGTGGTTGCAACAACTCCTTGTTGCTGAAGCTTTTTCATCAGACGATGCTCCTTGCTGTCGGCCCTCAGGACACCGACACAACTCCTCGTCGGTCAATTCAATACAATCCAATCCACAACGTCCTCGCCGACTGACGGAGCGTGATGCCGCGCCCTTCGTCCTTTGAGGCCCCACACCTGACAGAACTGTTTCTTCCAGAGATGCTCCCGCTTCCCCCGCGCGAATGCGGTCAAGTCCAACACTGTGGAATTCGATTCCTGACAAAATGAATTACAGGGGCTACTTCCATTTTGATTGATTTGAAATCAAACCTGCAGCCACGGTCCGTCCGCTCCGCTGCACTTCGGTTGGACCCTGAAGCGTGGAAATCTCACATCCTCCAAACACATTCGCATCGGCGAAAATGTCGGCCACTTGCCGGCGACCAAGAAAAGACAATTTGGCGGAGGTCTCCTACACCTCATGCAGCTTCTTTGTACCTCCTTCGAGCGGGATGATGGTGACGCTTGCGTACACAAAGCGGACTGTGCGCTCTTTCACAGATGGGTGCTTGAAGTAGTCATACAAGTCCGCCTCATCGCATCCGTAAGTGAATCCTGACCTGCGATACTTCGTCCGCGAGATCCTTCTCCTGCAACGCTCTCACTTGCTCTCGCACGTGTCAAGCTTGCATGCGAGCAATCGAAACGCAGAATGACTGAGATGCAGCACAATCAGAACCTTCGGAGATCTGGACTTTCGCTCACAAATAATGAAGGACGTTTGTCGAGACACGAGTCGGTCATCATACCAAGCTGTCCATCCCTCCGACGGAGGGGGAACGCAACAAGAAGCACCAAAGCAAGCAGCATCTGACAACAAGCGACTCGTTTCACCCAGGAGTCAGAAGGCATCTTCAGCCTCCCCAGCCGCGCGTAATGGCCTGCCTGAGCGGACCAGCAGCAATTCAAAACGCACGAAGCACAGCAACATGAATACATGCAGAACCAAGATGTCGAAAGGGCGTCATATTGAGAGCAAGCAAACCACAACAGGGTATAAATATGCAATGCAATGCATCGATGTGACGAAAACAAAAAGCAAATGAATCAATGTCGCAACTCGACTGAGAACCCTCGCCGCCATCAAGCAGCTTGAGCAACACGCGCAGTCATCCGCGGCGACGTGCGACGACTCGAGGAGACGGAAGAAGGCGACCCCTCTTTGACGGTCCTTTCCGCAGCATCGCCTCCAGCCGGCGCACCATCATCGCCCTTCAACCGCTTGCTTACTTGATCGAGTGAGTCCGCCAGACCGTCCTCAGGCGCATCCTCAGCGTGCACCTCTTGACTCAAAGCACTCGCCTTGCGTTTGTTTGCAGAAGCAGCAACACTTAGACTGGCGCCGGCATCTGAGACGCTGGGCTTTGCCTCGTTCGCGTCGGCGTCGTCCGTGTCCAGCAGAGGCTCCATGGTGATGGCACTCGCAGCAAGAGGACTGCTCTGGAACGGTGCAGTGGAAGCGAGTCCATGGTGATTCTTGCTGCCCTCTGGGGGACTGTTGCCCCGCGAAGGTGAGCTGCGGTTGTTGCGCCCGTTGCTTGAGGTAGAGCTGCTCGCTTCTTCGTCGGCAGGCGCGGCCGATCCCGAGCGCGTACCGGTGCGTCTTGTGGAAGATGAGGCCTGAGCGGTGATGGGAGCGGGCGAGGATGCTCTGGAGGCAGGTCGACGGGATCGACTGGTGGACGGCACCGTAAGATGAGTGTCCGATGTTGGCTTGACGGAGCTGCGACCCCTCGACGAGTCGCGGCTCATGGCCTGGGAGGTGGTTTCGGGCTTGGAGCTGCTCGACGGAGCAGGCTGAGACACAGCAATGGCCTGCAAACCACCACCTACGGTAGCGTACGGGCTGCTGCTCTTGCGCTTCTTTCCGAGACCCTTGACGCCCAGATGTTCGAGCTCGGCCTTGGATGCGAGCTTCTTGGCGGCTTCACGCTTGGCAGCCAGCACTGCTTTCTGCTGAGCCTCGCGTGCTTTGGCGAGGGCAGTACCGGGAGCGCCGGGGTAGCGATCGTTGGTGAGCGAGTAGATTTCGGACCGCCTGCCCGAGCTTGGATCGTAGAGTGGATGCGAGCCCTCGGCCGACCAGTAGGGCACGCTGGTGGTGATGAGCGGCACGAGCTTATCAGAGCTGGACCGAGAGGCAGTGGCGACAATGGTGCTCGTTGAGACGATGGAAAGAGGAGGGGCTCGGAAAGCTTGGAACTTGCGACCGCGTTTGGAGGCGACCGGGTAGACGTCGCCGCTGGGCGACTTGGCGTAGGACGACGATGGAGGTGGGGAGCCGCCTGCGGATGATGAGGACGAGGACGGAGCCGAGGCGGAAGCGGCGGCAGCCTGGAGCGCTTGGAGGGCGAGGATCTGATTTTGCTTGGCTGCGAGCGCGATGCGGCTCAGAGGAGCTGGCATGGGCTGCGCCTGGCGGATCGAGGAGGAGGAGGAGGAGCTCAGCGAGCTCAAGCCCCGTGGCGGAGCAGGTACGGCAGACGTCATGACGGGCGCGCCTTGTGGTTACCAGTGGTGAGAGCTCGGAGCTGAGGGGGGAGCGAGCGTGAGCTTCGTCTATGGAGCAAGTGGTGATGGTCTGGTTCAAGATGAAGGTAGGCAGACAAGGAGGTGCTGAAGATGTAGCGGGAGAGTACGAGCGAAACAAACGAGAGTTGCCGGGGCCAGCGGGTCTAGCGGATCGAGCTGCGAGCAAGCGACTCTTGGTTGAGAAAGTTACGATGTCTGTGTGTGTCGGTCGGTGTGTGTGTGTTTCTGCAAGATTTTGAGGTCGAACCGGCTATCGTGGGTAGGCACGGCGGAGAAAGCGCCAGCCAGCCGCTGCTCTGAAGCCCAAGAATGCTCCCGAGAATGGCGCCTGCGAACTCTAATACCGCCGCCGCGTCGCTTCGCTCTGGATGTGCTGATGAGATAGGATTTTTCCAAAAATCTCATCACACTCCACCTCTCAGATTTAGCGCTTGCCAACACAGAAAGAAGGGTCCAAAACTGGACAGTCAAAGTGCCTCGGTCCAATGGGGTATTTTTTGAATGAAAAGCAGCTACTTCACCCTCAAATGGGAAGCGAATCCCATTCCGACGTCAGCACTTGGCGCCTCCTTACGACGGCCTTCAAGTGGATGACCCGGACATGCTGCGAAACGTAGAGCCTGGCCTCACAAGCGTACAATCGGGAAGGTCCGAGTAGACGCTGGCCACTAGAGGGATGTGACGGAACAAGCATCACCAAGGGGAAGGTAGCCGGTGCGAGATTGACAACTCTGTTGGAACACAGAAAAAAAAAACTTTAAAAAGGCAACCTTGCATTTGGCGAGAAATTGACCGGAGTTTCAAGAGATTCATTTCTACCTTGGGTGTGGACTGCTTGTGCTCTCCGCAGGACTTCGTCATCACCCCTCATCTCTGCCTTCCTGCCGTGCTAGCCTGCAATGGTCATACTTCAGCTTCAACAGTGAGTCCAGCCTTCAGTGGACAGGATGCCAAGATTGGTAAGAAGGAGGATCGCAGCGAGCTCGATCTAAAGAAGAGGACTTGGTTGGCAACAAGGTTGAATCGAATGAACAAGCCATGAAATGAATGTCGCCCGCCGTCCACTAGTCCCGGTCAGGTCTCGGGACGAAGGCGGGATATGTCTCTTTCTCTGTCTCTGTTCCAGATACTTTGCCAATCCTGCGGAGCATCCTGAGTCTTTCCGACGTCAGGTCAACCCTCGCTCTGCAATGCAGTGTCGCTCAGCGTGCGTTCACTGTTTCGCAACGATGCCTTCAAGATTGAGTGACTCAGAAGCACAGACGTGTGCATGGTGCAGGGCTCTTGTTGTTACCGTCTAGAGCCGCGTCGCGGACCCTCGGTGCACCATGTTTGTGTGAATGTGGTCCCTGCAGCTGCTTCCCTTTTTCGTGCGAGATCCTAAAAGTGGAGAGGTGGAGAAATCGACCGCCAAGCTGGAGCAACATGCAAGTAAGCTTCACAGCCTTAACCTCAGCCTCCTTCGTACTGTTTTCAGAGACCCACTCATCATCGTGACCAGCGGTCTTAGGCAAGAACGGTACAACTCCGTGGCTCGCACTCGTATCGATCACACCCCAAAACCTCACTACGGAAGAGTTCTCGAAAGAACGGACTCTTCGGACTCGTCCACATCAAAGCTCAGGCAAGCCTCTCTTTCCCCGATATAGTCACGCGGCTGCCGACCATGACGTCGAGGCCAACCACACCCATCCTGCATACACCAGGGTCCAGCAGCCTGGCACATTCCCGAAGCAGCAGCGAGCATTCGCGTCCACGTCAAGGGATCACCATTGAAGAACCGGACCGACCTCGAACGGCAAACAGCAACACCTCACTCACCTCTGGCACGACCACCAATGCCTCCACCTCTCCCTCTCGCTCCGCCATCGTCGGCGACGGCACCTACGGTGGGCGTCGAGGCGGACCTTCCATGAGCAAGAGTCGAACCAGCTCTTCTGGCGGTCTTAGCGATGTCAAAGCCGGTTATGAGCGTCGAGTAGGCTTCGACACCATGCCCGATGCCGACGAAACCAACTCTGGCGCATTCAGCTTTACTCTCCAAGTCAAATCACGCGGATTCATGCGGACCAAGAACACACGTACGTTCATGGTGGCAGTCGACGACAATCCCTATTCGGAACGTGCACTAGAGTGGCTCATGGAGAACTTGGTGGAAGACGGAGACGAAGTGGTTGCTGTAAGGATCCTAGACGGAGAAGCGGATCAGATCGACCAAGATGATGCTCGAGAAGAAGCCAGAGAGCTGATGGCCTCGATCGTCGAGTTGAACGAGGAAGCCGAAGATCGAAGGATCTCTATCGTCGTTGAATTCGTCGCTGGAAAGGTCACATCCACCATCCTCGACATCATTCACGTCTACCGTCCCGACAGCCTGACCGTCGGCACCCGCGGGAAGTCGGCGAACAAGTTTCAAAAGATGCTCGGACAGCACATCATGGGTCACATCAGTCGCGACATTCTCACGTCGTCTCCGGTACCCGTGGTGGTGGTGAGACCGGAAGCAAAAGTGCAGAAACATCTCAAGAAGAGGCTCAACGATCCGAAGCGTAGAGGATATCACAATCTGCTCAAGGGTAGTGGTGATTTGCCGATGAGCATCACCAAGAACAAGAGGAGGTCTTTGCAGGTTCCGAACGCCAGTTGAGGCATCAAAAGAAGCATAGATCGACCGAGGCGATCGCATATGTACTTGTAGTGTTAGTTTGATAGAAGCCGCGTCGGCGTAGACGCATTTCAATTCAGGGGTTCAGCGGCTGCATGTGCTGCGGCCGAATGGGCTGCCCAGTGGGGTATGCCGTCGGGATGGATGGCCGCATCGTGTCGCATGGTGTCAAACAGAGGTGTCTGTGCGTCGGCCTAGCGGAATTCTTTATCTCGGTCAGCCGGGAAGCAAATCGCGTCTCATTGGTCCGTCAAAATTCATCGGCTGTCGGTTTCGGGCATATCCGAAGGGCCACATCCTGACACTTAACCTTACGCGGCTAGGCCAGGTATCCACACATGGCTGTTGCTTGGAGATGAATGTAACTGCAATGGTGAGTTTTCGACACTGTGTGAGCTCACGATCGTGGTTCATACAGGTTGTGATGATGCCTGGGAACGTTGAGTCGATAAGAAGGGGCCTTATCAGGCGTGCGGGTGCGTGTCCCTACTTTTGTTCTTTTCAGGAAGAAAAAAGTCTCGGTCAACTGTGGGGTCCCGTGTGAGACTGTCGTGTGTGTGTCCAACTCTGTCCTCTCCCATCTTCTCTTCCACCTCATTCTCCTTCCTCACACTTACCTGATCCCAAGATGCCGACGCTCAAAGGCCACTGCAACTGCGGGGCGCTCGAGTACACCCTCGACGCCGAACCCGCCAACCTCCGACTCTCCGCCTTCTGCCACTGCACGCGATGCCAGCGTATCAACGGTGCACCATACATCTGGACCACTCACTGGAAGAAGGAGGCCGTCACCTGGTCCACGCCCTCCTCCTTCTCCACTTCTGCCGACAAGATCGATGCTGAGACGCAAAAGGTTTTCGGTGAAAACGTAACCACCGGTCAGCTGTACGAAGCTGTCGCGGGTCGAAAATGGAAGTTGCGTTGCTCCCAGTGCGGTAATCCGATGGGATCCTGGAACGAGGCGAAGCAGCAATGGTCCATCTGGCCGAGTACACTTGCTCGTCCAGACGGAGACAAATCCGGAATCCAAGGTGTGGAAAGCTTCGCACCCACAGCGCACTCCTTCTACGGTCCTTGGAAGGCCGTCACCGTCAACGACGATCTACCCAAGTTCCTCGGCTATCCGAACCAATCCCAGCAAGTGGATCGTGATGCTGAACCTCTCCCGAACAACTTCAACATCAACGATTTCAACCCGCACGATCCACGAGACATGGTCGGATACGGTCCGAATCCTCCCCACCCACACTGGCCAAACGACGCACGAATCGCCGTATCGTTCGTAGTGAACTACGAAGAAGGTGGTGAGAATACCACGTTGAACGGCGACTCGGGAGCCGAGCAGTACTTGACGGAATACGGTGCTGCCAACGGTTCCAAGCCTCCTGCCAACGTGAGGAATCTGAGTGTGGAATCGGCGTACGAGTTTGGATCTCATCGAGGATTCTGGAGGATCCTGGATCTTTTCAAACGCAACAATTTGAAGTTCACCAGTTGGTCGGTGGGTCGAGCGGTGGAGCAGAATCCAGCTGTGGTCAAGGCGATGGAGGCAGCAGGTTGCGAAGTAGCGAGTCACTCGTACCGCTGGTTCGACCACTCTCTCATGACCCAGGAAGAGGAACGTCATCAGATCCAAGCTGCGATCAAGGCGATCAAGCAGGCGAGCTCCCACTCTCGCGAACCACGAGGCTGGTACACCGGACGTCAATCCATCAACACCCGACGCCTCGTCTACCAAGCCTACAAAGAGCTAGGACTCGAGAAAGAACTCTACGACTCGGACGCCTACGACGAAGACCTCCCCTACTGGGTCCCCGCTCCCGACGGGACCCCCAACGAACACCTCCTCGTCATCCCCTACACCCTCGACAACAACGACATGCGCTTCGCCATCACCCCCGGCTTCTTCAACTCGGAAAGCTTCGCAACCTACCTCATCGACGCCTTCGAAACCCTCGTCGCAGAAACCTACCTTCCCGAAAACAATCCCAACTCGGTGCCCAAGATGATGAGCATCGGTCTGCACTGCCGAGTCGTAGGCAGACCGGGCAGATTCCAAGGTCTCCAGAGGTTTGTTGATCATGTGCAGAAGAGGAACAAGGAGCTCTTGGAGCAAGGGGCTGGAAAGGGCGGTGTCTGGGCCGCGACGAGGGAGGAGATCGCCAACCATTGGAGAACCACCCACCCGCCTACCAACAAGACAACTTGATCCGCGCACGAAGCTTTTGCTGCAGCCGCTTGTCAGATGACTTATAGACAATCTCAACTCAAAGAGTCACGTTATATGATCTCGAACCGTGCACACGCCTGCGTCTGTGATAACTGAGATAGATGCACACCGAACGGTGCGAATTCACATTGCTCGAGGCGGCTACGACCGTTCAAACTGATACCTGACCCTATCAGCTGCCAAGTAAAACACCTGCGGTGGCCTCTTCGGCTTGCTCTCGCTCGGCGTCATGGTCCCGCCCTTCCTCCTCTCCACTTCATCGCCTACTTCCGCCGCCAATCTGCCACCTTGCATCTCAGCTGGCAAGATCGTGAATCCGAGCGGTCCACATTCGCAGTCGGGACAGAGCAGGTACTTGACCGTCACCTCCTCGCCCGGTGTCAAACCTAGGCTGAGATGCGACAGCAAGGATGCCACGTCTTCGTCCGATTCGTCCGAGCCGCTGCCGGGACGCTTGCGATCGCGCTTCTCCTTCTTGCGTTTCTCCTTCTCTTCGCGCAGGCGTTCCTTCTCCTCCTTCTTCTGCCTGTCTCGTGCTTCCTTCTCTTGCGCCTTAGTGCGAGGGCTGGCAGGTGACTCGACATTGAGTCCTGAAGCTTGATCAGAGGTCGCTTTGGGTGATGTCGGATCGTTGCCGAGCGGGACGGTCCAGGTCAGGTCGCGTGAGAAGCCAACGTTGTCAAACTGAAGCGGACCGGCTACCATCCAGAACCCTTTGACGCTGGTCAGCAATCGATTCGAGACACCTGCACTGGCAGCATGCAGTGGGAAAGCCGGAGCCTGTGGAGGCGATGGAGAATTAGGCAGCTGCAGCGCTGGATTAGAAAGCGGACCGCTCTCCTTGCGCGCCCACTCACCGGCACCTTTGGCAAGGATGCAGCAGCGACAGTTGTCCATGGGACAGTAGAGCCTGGCGAGGTTGGTGCCCGACTCGCGATCGACGAGACGTGCTTCGAGGGCCATACCGGCGTCCTCGGCGGGTGTCTTTGCAGCGACGGCTTGGCCGAGGATCGAGGTATACGTTTGACCGGGGCTCTTGCCAGGTTGAGACTGGGCGGCGAGGGCGGCCATGATGGATGCCTGGGACGGCATGCCGGGTGGCGACGCCAATGTGGGTGAAGCGGAAATCGACTTGGCATCAGAAAGAGCTGGCGGCTTCTTGTCTTCGATGGTGATGGTAGAGACGGCGGACGTCGTAGCATCCGGCTTCAGGGGTTGAGTCGTATCGATGGGTGCGAGAAACCCCGAGCTCATCTTGAGGCCGGCGGGCGTATCATCGCTCGCAGAAGAAGTGGCCGATGTGGTCCTGGTAAGCTGTGCACCAATGCGACTGCCGTTTCCGCTGCTGGGAGAAGGGTAGACGCTGCGCCTCATCTCGAGCCACTGACCGCTGCCGTACTGGATGTGACTGACGCACTGGATACGGAAGCCGACCTTCTTGTACAGACCGGTGAGCTCCTCGTGTGCGAGCAGCGCCAGAGTCTCGTATCCGCGCTTGCCCTTGTCACCTTCGGGGCCTTTGCCCTCTTCCGCTTTGCGCACGCGAGAGATGTAGTTCTCGAGCATGCGTGTTGCAAGCCCTTTACGCTGCATCTCTGGAGCGACACAAACCGAGTGGATACAGACGATACGCGCATCTTCCGATGTGTCGTGCGTCGACATGGAGCGGAGGGTGAGGGCGGGTGCAGCGGTTCCGGTGATGAAACCCACGATCCTCCGACGAGGTTGACCGGAGACGGAGAGAGGGCCAGCAACTTTTGGCGGAGGCATGGGCACGAAGGCACCCAAGAAGAGATGCGGCGCTGCTGTTTGGCGCGATAGCAACCTTTCGTAGCTGGCGGCATCTTCGGGCGGGTAGCCTTCGACCTCGAGGGCATGTGCAGCGCGAACCTCTTCGGGACGGACATAATCGAAGATGAGATTTCGTGGCAGCGACGAGGTTGCGAACGACGTGCTGTTGGTCTTGTGGAGCGAGGATGTGCGCTTGTGCGAGGAGGGCGGTGGCGAGCGCTGTGAAGATTGGCTCATGTTGGATGCTGAAGAGGAGGAAGAGTTGGAACGGGTATTGGTACGACCGAGGGTATTGGTGATGGTTTGATAGAGCGTGGTCGAGTTGTGAGCCATATGGCTCGGAGGTGGATGCATATTGGACTTGTGTGCTGCGCTTGCGTCGAATCGTATGCAGACGCAGGAGTGTGACTCTGGAGCGGGGAAGAAAGCTTTATGCGGTTGTATGCAGTTCCGGCGCTGGAGAGCGAGCGGCTCAAGCTCTGGCTTTCAACGTGAAGTGGCGATAATCAAGATGGTCTTGACGGTCATCCTCCAACACCGCCTATGATTGGCGATTGCGATGTGATGTGATGGAGGTGAGCCAAGAGCAGGTAACTGGAGTAGCTTCGAAGAGGAAGCGGCAATCTGATCCAAGGTGAGAACTGTTCAAAGACGGGCCGAACCAATCACGAAGGTCGAGCAGCCACAGACTGCGATGTCGTGCCGAAATGGAGAATTAGCCTCGCTATCGCGGCACGGGAGAGCGCCGAGCCACACGTCGAGAAATTATCTCGGCAATCTGCAGGCTAGCACACAGCTGGCTCTCTCTCTCTCTCTCTGGATTTCCTTCTCTGAGAACGTGATCTTTTACCTCACGTCACTCGAACAGCCCGCCAGCAGTTGAAGCTACAAGCGAGGTGACCATGCGGTGCCACTCTATTTCCTTCGGCGCCTCCTCTCGCTCAACGCTGTTGTTACTCTGTATCTGACTTATCCTCGTCCCCGAATCTTCGGATCTGCCGTCCTGGACGACAGTCTGGTGTCTGCCAGCTCACGATGGCTAGACTGCATGTTATGACTACCGTGTTGCTTCACCAAGTCCGACCACAGAACCTAACCCAGTTCTCGCACGCTTTGACCTCCAATACCTGTGGCTATTGGCCGGGCAACTTCGATCCTCGGTGTGATCTCGGCGCCGCTCAGAGACAGCCACCAGCAGCGGCGCTGTGTTGCAATGTTTGTTCCCCCACACTCAAAATTCGCGCGCTGCTTTTTACCCGCAACCCAGCTTGTTCTAGTCTGTCGGCTTTGGCTTCTGAGTCTCAAAATATTCAGCTTGGCAAGAAGAAATATGGTCAACGCCAAGACTCGATGGTCCCTCAGAGTGTTCAACAGCATCATTCACAGCATGGCAACTCGGTTGTAACGGTCAGCTGCATTGCAACAAAGTCGAGCTAGACATTAGACCGGCGAACCAGTCACACACTCCACACCTTCGTGAGCCGTTTGCGAGTCCCGTGTCCAATCTGCTGTGTCCGTGTCGGACATGTGACCGGGCTTGGCAACGTCCATTCGAGAACTGTCATAGCAATCTGGTTGACGCACGTCGGCTCGCTCGATACCCCGCGCTATTCATGCTGTGGAGACATCCGCACGTGCGGAAACCACGCATCGTACCTGCTTCTACGTCCAACGGAATGAGACTATGCTGTCTGGATCGGAACGGCCGCGAGATCGGGGTCATTTTCACCTCGATCAAGTGTGTATGTCCGCCATCCGGAAGATGATCCGCGAGCACGCTCCCTTGACGGCGGGCTTGCGACTGCGGGTCATCCGTGGCTCTCGAGTGTCGTATGGCAGTGCAAACGACCCACGGACCATCCGAGATTTTTTTGGAGAATGTGGAGGCATTCTTCCGCATTAAGCTGTTCGTACCGAGAAAGCCCAGATAGCGTTGCGCAGGCCTTCTTCCCTTCTGCTCAGCTAGCTATCGCATATCATCCATTCATAGGGGCTGCTCATCATCAGAAGTCAAGATGAAGAAGTTCATTGGAAAGGTGCAAAGCAAGTTCGACCAAGCTTCCGGCGGCGGCGGGGGAGGCGGCCAGCCCATCAACTCACAGGCGCCGCCTCCAACCTCGGTCGATGCTCCACCCACCCGTCGCGACATCTACCTCTATCGAAAGCAGCGCGGTGTCAATCTGGGCTCTTGGTTCTCCCTCGAGGGCTGGCTCACGCCGTCGCTCTTCCAGAAGGCAAAAGACCCCAAGGCGAGCGAACTCGATGTCGTAGCAGGGATGGATGCAACCGAGGCCAAAGCCATGCTCGAGAACCACTGGGACAACTTCATCAACGAAGGGGATCTTCAGTGGATGGTCGATCATGGCATCAACACAGTCCGTATCCCAGTGGGCTACTTCCACTTCTTGGCCGGTCATCCCAACGAGCAGGTACGTGCTCTGCTCAAGGACACAGACTACGAAAAGTATGCACCCGTCTACGAGGGAGCGTATGCTCGAATCCAGCGAGCTATCGAATCGGCCGCTGCACGCAATGTCGGTGTGCTCATTGACCTTCACGGTGCGCCAGGCGGGCAGGGCGCCGATGGTCACTGCGGTGTCAGCCATGGAAAGGCAGCTCTCTGGAACTCGAGCAACGACCAGCAAAAGACCATCCAGATCCTCAAAGCCATGGCAGCCGAGTACTCTCGCTTCGAAAACGTCGTTGGTCTCGAGCTGCTCAACGAGCCCAAGAACTCCGGTCGACTGCAAGGCTTCTACGACGAGGCCGTTGCTCAGATCCGTTCCGTCTCGCCGGAGGCCGCATCGCTCCCGCTCTACCTTGGAGACGCTTGGGACACCAACCACTACACTGGCTACGTCGGACAACGTGCTGCCGGCAACAATCCGTTGGTGGTCGACTACCATCTCTACCGCTGCTTCACAGCCGAGGATCACAAGATGCGCTGCGAAGATCATGCTCGAAAGCTTCATCCGGGAACATCGCCGCTTCCCACTAGCAGAGAAGGATGCGGCGACACGGCCGGTTGGCTGCAAAGCATGTCGCACCGCTGTGGCGGTTCGCTCATCATCGGCGAGTGGAGTGCAGCCCTCAATCCGTCTTCACTCCACCATTTGGGCGGGGAGGACCAGCAGAGACCTGCCAAGGCAGAGTACGCACACAACCAGTGGAAGAGCTACGACAAGTTCTGTGCCGGTTACTTCTTCTGGACGCTGAAGAAGGAAGGCCCACCCGACTCGGGCTGGGGCTTCTACTCGGCTGTGGAGCAAGGTGTGCTGCCACAGCATCTCGATCCGCATCGCGGCCAGCGCAAGTCCGTGCAAGAGCTCGAAGGTGCACGACAGGGAGCACAGGACGGCGCGCTCGACGGTCACACTGGCTACTGGCAGAAGCAGAGCGGCGGACCGTATGAGCATTGGCGTTTCGCAGAGGGGTTCAATCTAGCCTGGAACGACTCGCTCGGATTCATGAAGGCAGATGAGTCGAATGAGATTGGGTTCATTGGACAGTGGGCAAAGGCGAGAACGGCAGCTCATGCTCAGGCCAAAGGTCAGGGTAGCAACTTTATCTGGGAGTTTGAGCAAGGATATCAGCAGGGTCTGATGGGGTTCAGGGCTGCTTTGTACCGTTGATCTCCGGCTAGCTGAGCTTTCCAAATGCCACTGGTTTAAGCTTCGAGGGAAGCGTGCGTGTCTATTGTATGTTGGTCGACTGCGGATGAGTTGGAGAAGTGGTGCGGCGGGAGCCAGCGTCCTTCTTGAATAGACGTGAATAGCCGAACTTTTCAGGAATGACCCTGAAATCTCCCTCCGCTGTGTTCATCCTTCTCTCGGTCCACAACATCATCTTCTTCTTCCACCACCGCAACTAACATCCACGCCCCTCATTCATCATGTCGGACTCATCTATTACAACACAGACGCTGAATTACGTTGCTGGAAGCACGGATCCCGAGCAGCAACTTGACCTCTACCTGCCTACCTCACAAGCCACCAGTCTAATCGTCTTCATCCATGGTGGAGCTTGGCGGACCGGTTCGCGAAAAGATCACGTAGACCTGGCACAGTATGTTTCGTCAAAGGGCAAAGCTGTTGCGGTCGTCGACTACAGACTCTCTGTCAAAGATGAAGAGACAGGGCTAACGAAGCACATTCATCCGGTGCATGCGGAGGATGTCAACGCAGCGCTGAAGTTCTTGCACGGTCGAAAAGATGTCCCGCAGAATGATTGGATTGTCGTCGGACATTCGATAGGTGCTTGGCTTGCGTTAGCAGCAATCATCGACGGCGAGCCAAGAGCAGGGAACGGAGAACACCCGAAACCCATGCCACCACCGAATAGCGGCGCAAGGGAGTGCATCAAGACTTGTGTACTAGTGGTAAGTGCGAAGTGACTCAGCTAACGGTGAAACAGCAGCTGACGGTCTGCGATACTTGATCTTCGATCGATTCCAGGATGGAATCTACTCGGTTTCAAATCTCCTGAAAGAGTACCCAGACTATGAAGGCTTCGTAGCACAAGCTTTCCTACCACAGCCAGGTCCGAGCAACTACGACGTTGTCTCCTGCGAGACCTGGCCTCTAGCTTTGCAAGGCAAGGACTTTCACGTATGGCACTCGCGGGATGACGAGTTGCTGTCGTTCAAGCAGAGCATAGATGCTGTCCTGCATCTCGATCGACAGCTGTCAGGTGATGCATCAAGCGGTGATGCCAGCGTGGAGATTCCAGGAGATGGGTTGGCAAGCACCGTTGTGGTCGACGGTGAGAAGAGGACGATCGCCTCGGTCTATGGAGATGTCAGGATCAGGAGCAGTGATCGATTGCATGTGGACTTGCTTAGCTTGAGTGGTGCTCATGATGATCTCTTACACACGGAGACGTTCTGGGATCTCATTCTTGGAATTTGATCCATTTGAGGTTGCATCTGGCATGGCTAGGGTTGGGTTCTAAGTGGGATTTTTGGCCATCGAGCTGTCTGTAGCGCATAAGGTGCTTACAATACAACGAGCGCAGTGTCAGAAGACCGGACCGTCTTCCGCAACTTCGACATCGCGTCTCTGGACTGCAATCGGCTCCTTCTGCACATTCTCCTTCGACTCTTCGACGCTTGGAGTCTGCTGCCCTGTTGCAGAAACACTACCCGACACCCCGTTCACATGCCCCTCTGCGTAACCCGACATCCCTCCCTTACCCTTGCCATTGAACATTCCCAAAGCGACACGATCAATAGCAAACACTACACCACTGTACTCCACGCCCGATCCATTCTTGCCTGCATATCTGCTCGTCTGTCTCTTGTGAACATTGGTCGACGTTGCGTCCCCCTCACACTGCACGCTCGGCACATGGTCGTTAACTTGGTCCACCTCAATCTCGACGTTTTCGTACAGAATCGTGTGCTGACGATCGCCCTTCTTGCAGTCGGCACAGTAGTACTCGGCGCGCCAGAAGGACATGTTGGAGGTGAGTGAGAGGTGGGTGATGTCGACGGGTTGACCGTGGGCGTTGTAGATGATCTGGTTCCAGGTGTTGGCTTTCGAGTCGCTGCGAACGAGTTCGAAGTGAAGCGGAGAGGTGGGCGATTGGTCGGTGGTGAGGGTGTGGGTGCGGGTGGGGACGATTTTAGTGATATGCTTGTCGCGTTTGACCGTGTCGATGCAGATGGTGGAGGAGGGGTTGGTGATGGTCGTGTGGGAGTCGGAGACCGTGCGATCGTTTTGGTACTTGGGAGAGTTTGACGACGTGTCTCGCTTGAAGATGAGGTCGGCGGACTGATCCAATGACTTCCAGTCATCGAGGGTAGGAACGTCAGAGGTGGTCGATCGCTTCAAGACGTACGGTCCAGCATGGTACGCTGGCTCATTCGGACCAGCTTTGGGCGTCTCCCCGACAGGCTCGGGCTTGTCGTTGCCGGTAGCAGCTCTAGCGGACACGCCAACTGGGACAATCGCTTGAGGCACAATGTACGGCCTGTTAGCGCAGACCTCGCCATGTCTAGCCAGCGTCTTGGCACACGATCCCTTATCAGGGTTTGAGTTGGAGTACAAACCCGAGGTAGCCTTGATCACAACTCCGTGCAGCGAGTCAGCGCCGGCTACAGTCGTAGCACCGCTCTCGTCGCGATCGATCTTGACAGTCATCGTGTACCGAATGCGTTTGATGTTGGCTGTTTCATGTCCGAAGGAGCAGTGCGCCCTGTCCGACAGGTCCTCGCTCCTAACAGGGTCGCCGGGAACAACGATGTTCGAGGCCTCGAAGGCTGAAGAGGAGGAAGACTTGTCAGGCAGGTCGCTGTGCAGGTCCTGCCCAGTCAGTTTGAGCACAGTCTGAGGAGAGACAGATGTTTGGCCTAGATTGATGGGCGTGGCGAGCTTGCCAGTAGCCTCTTTGCTTGCCTGGAAAGATGAAGCGTCTCGGGAGGAGAGATGCTGCTCGATGGGGTCAAGCGACGCGGAGACGGCGATCGAGAGCGTCACTATGGCCAAAAGGCCGGAAGCCAGCGGCGTCTTACTGAGTAGCATCTTGACCGATGCTCTAGGCAGAAGGGAGAAAAGTGGATGACTGGGAAAGAGGATTGGAAGGAAGGAATCAGATTTATGCTGTGAAGATTGATGATGGGATCCACTGACTTCGACGAGCGTTCTTAGCCCGTCTTATAGCTGGCCCACATTTGTAGGGTTGCTTCGTTCTCCAGTGAAGTGGGCACGAGGATGCAACTCATGCCACTGCCACTCCGTCCGGTACCTGGCCCTTTGAGCGTCTCTCGTCAGGCACCGAGTTTCAGAAAGGGCCCACACCACAATTGCACAACGGCCGTCGGCTCATTTCACAAGCATTCACTGTGCACACGCTAACAGCACTCATCGAGCTCAACGATTACGGCCCACCACCCGACGCCCCATCCTCTACGACCCATTTGCAATTATGTAGATGAGGTCTTGGTCGAGGTCATCAACGCGTGTTGACGGCCACCACGAGAGCGAGACAGGCCCCAAGAAGTCGAGCTCGAGAGAAGCGCACAGACGTCAATTTAACGTTTTCCAATCTTTTGCAACACGCCAAATTTCACTTTGTCCCTCTTCATGCTCGACCTTCATGGAGCTAATCTCTGCCGACTTTCAACTTTATCCACCATCCGGTTACTCGCTGAAGTTGCCGCTGTAGCTGCGTGCATCCTCCTCGGTGTCCATCTCGCCGCAATCTGGCTTCATTCAGACGACATGTCGGTGCTCAAGACGCTCGTCATCAACCCACGCTCGGGCGTCAAGCCCACTGCTACCTTGTTCTTCCTGCACGGTCTCGGAGACTCGAGCGCTGGCTGGTCGGATGTCGCACAGATGCTCTCACAGCGCCCTTCGCTATCGCACGTCCGATTCGTTCTGCCAAACGCGCCCATTCAGCCAGTCACACTCAACATGGGCATGCCAATGCCATCGTGGTTCGATAGTAGGTCTTCGTACTCTTGTGCGTGCGCTCAGTCGCGCTGCCCTCCACGTTGCCTCCTGCCTCATTATCGTCTCGGCCCACTGACATCTTTTCTAACCTCATCTCCTCTTTCTGCTCCGAACCACTTTAGTTCTCGCCCTAGACGATCTCTCCGGAGCCGAAGATGAAGCAGGCTTGCTCAAGTCGACCGACGAAATCAAGAAGCTCATTCAAGCCGAGAATGACGGCACTGCGAAGGATCTGAACGGGCAGAAGATTCCCAGCGAAAGGATCGTCGTTGGAGGCTTTAGCCAGGGCGGTGCAATCTCGCTTCTCACCGGTCTCACCAACCCAAACCCAGTCGCAGGCGTGGCGGCCTTGTCCACGTGGTTGCCATTGCGTGCAAAGATCGCCACCCTCCGCACTCCTACTTCAACATCACTCAAGGTATTCGCCGCACACGGAGACGCGGATCCCGTGGTCAAGTACGAGTACGGTCAGCGAACGGTGTCGTTCTTGAAGAACGAGTTGGCTTTGACGGATGTCGAGTTCAACACGTATCCGCGCATGCCGCATTCGGCGTGTCCCGAAGAGATCCGTGACCTCGCCGATTTCTTGGAGAAGGTCATTCCGGCTCAATAGACGTCGATGCAAGCTGGACAGACAGGCATTGGATGTAAACTTCCTGCGATAAAACGTTAGCAACAGACATGAAAGCACGCAGATAATGTTTTTCGACCGAACCACCGATCAGGCGCCATCGACTGTGATGATGATTTTGCCGACGTTCTTGTTCGCCTCCATTTCGTCGTGGGCCTCCTTGATGTCCTTCCAAGAGTACACTTTGTGGATGACGAGTTTGTGATCGACATCGCCCTTGCCGTCACCGTCCTTGTTAGCGCCAGAGATCAGACGTTCCAGACCACCTTCCTCGACGAAGCCCTGGACAAGGTCGCTCTGATACTCGACGGTACGCGATCGCAGCGTTGAGCCCTCGATACGCAGACGCTTGAAGAGGAGCTGTGCAATGACCGATTCCTTGATCTTTGCACCACCCATAAAGGCGAGCATGACCATTCGACCGTCTCGCTTGAGGCTTGCCAAGTTGCCGTTGAAGTACGGAGCGCCGATGAAGTCGACGATCACATCCACCGATCCAGCGGGACCTTTGGCACCGGTGTGTTTCGCCAACTCTTCCGCCCAATCGACCGCCTTATAGTTGAAACCCTTGTCCGCTCCGATCTCTTCGCAGAACTTGATCTTCTCCTCCGACCCAGCTGTGATGTAGATCTTTCCCGCTCCAAAAGCGCGTGCCAGTTGAATCGCAGCGAGACCGACACCGGAAGCACCAGCATGAATCAGCACATCTTCGCCCTTCTGCAATCCACAGATCGTCCTCAAAGCTTGGAAGGCAGTAAGGTAGTTCTCTGGAATCGCAGCTGCTTGCACCCAGTCCAGCTCGCTAGGCTTCTCCAGAATCATCCGCGAAGGGACCTTGATGTACTCGGCATATGCTCCACCTACTGCGAGACCAAAGACTTCCTGGCCGACCTTCCAGGGGATATCTTTGAGATTGTTGGTGGCTACAACGTGACCGGAGAATTCGACACCCATGATCTGAGGTGCGTGAGGTGGGAGAGGGTAGTTCCCTTCGCGTTGCATGATATCCATACGGTTGAGTCCGAAGGCTTTGATTTTGACCAGGACTTCGTCATCGCCCAATGTAGGGACGGGTGCTTCACCGAGGTAGAGGTTGTCAGAAGGTCCTTTGCCATCTTTGACCAAGATCGCTTTCATCTGGGAAGGAATTTCGGTCGTCATGGTGCGAGATCGAGTCCTGAGGGATGCAGGTGCGGTGCTGAGCTTAGCGATGTTTAAGCGGTGTGTACGTCGAGGAGCAGTGGACACTTGAGTGAAGGCGCGGGACGTTCCTGTGATGAACGCCAGACGAGGAGTGGCAGCAGATCTGGAGATGGCAGTCAAAAGGGATCGAGGAGCAGTGCGACCGAGAGTGATCATGCTGACACGCGATGCTGTGTCGAACCTTGCTGATCGGCTATACTATGGATCTCCGAACTAGATAGCCGTTTCGAATGGAAGCAGGTTGGAAGATGTTGGAAGCATTCAAATAATGCCGGCCCCAGGGTGACCGAATGGAGCCCGACCGCCGGTGTCACCGCGTGACTGAGCACGGACATGACGTTTGGCTGCATCGTCTAGATCGTAGATTTATTTTCATCGTCAATACGACCGGTCTAACAGATGGTTGCGATCGAGGTTTTCCCGGTTCGTTCCAACTTTGTGGTTTACCGGACAAACAAATTCATCGGACAGCCACGGAAACATCCGCTGCTCGTTGCTGCAAAGCTTGACGCAAAACGGCCGCTGCAGGATGTCAGCAGCGACAGAAAGCTCTCTGAAAGAGACAACTTGAGCTCAAGCCGCAAATGGAAGAATTTTGAACGGCACCGAGATGACCGGTCACACTAAGGTGGTCACCGTCATCAAATGGCCGATGGACGGCGATCTGAGTTTCGTACGCCTCCCACACCATCCCGTCTCATAATGACCGACACAGTCTACAAAGAAGCAAGGGTCACCAGCCGCGATAAACAAGTATGTTTCGGCTGATAGACGACCGATGGGATCCGCAAGTCATGCCAGAATGCAGGAATCGCAGTGCGTGTGACTTGATTGAGAGTCAAAGTGCGGATGCGGAGGTCGCCTTCGTACTCTCTTCATCCTGTTCAGGGTCGACGACGACGCTCGACGCACATTGTCGGAATATGATCGTCTGTGCATCCGTCGGCTTCCAGACGCTGTCGGGTCGATAGCCTAGAGCCCCGCGCGCTGAGCTGCAGGTGCGCGTAAACTCAGCCCTGCCGAGAGACGTTTTTTTCAGAAACATCATTCCCGTGCTCTCTCCACTGTGCTTTGTTTCTTCTCAAGTGGTCGGAGTGCGGTGCCCCAAAGATGGACGAAACATGGACCAAACATCCCTCGTCGCCATGCTCATGTCTTGCGAGGAACACCGACTGCAATGAAACAGCCTGGGTAGGCGCATCGAGTGTGGTCGCTGTTATTTCTCGGGTGTCCAACTCCCGCTGGTGGTGATAAATTTGCGGTGCGTTTCGGCCTGGAGAAATGGGGACCTGACACGAGAAAACAATACTGAGTATCATCACACAAAGCTTTTACCTGGCATCTCGAGCACGTTTCGGCGCAGCTGCTGTCGGAGCTTTACCATGGTTCCAAACCGTTTGTTTCACGAACCCTCGGGCCGCCACGTAGCCCGTCACCTCCCGAAGAAGCTTGCTCTCTCGGCATGTCGAAAAGATGACGGCGACGATTCGGCTTGATGTGTCGGCTTGGTCACGAATCTCGTTATTACGCAACGCCTGCAAAACAATCCGTCTCACTGTCGATCATATTTACCGCCGAGGATTTTCAGGAACGAAACCACTTTCGCTTTTGCCGCTCAGCTGCAGGCGCGTATTGTACTGTTCCTGAGCTTCATCACAAAAAATCCTCGTCGTAAAATTGTCGTCGAAAATCGACACTGTGATGCACACATGTCGTTGAGTACTGTATCATCGGCCCCCTTGTTGGCGGGTTGGCCGATTTGACCTGCCGAAAGTGGCTGCCTGTCCCTGCTGGATCCTGCAGTGCGTTCGCACCACAGATTGCGGTTCGCACTCGTCGAGCGCTTGTGGCAACGTGATGATTAGAGAGACAACGATAGCCGCAAGCGTCATGACGCCTGCAGCAACGTCGTGACCGCTGACGATACTCCCACCACTCAAGTCGATGGCTGTGAGCCTAGACCTTCGATCAGCTGGTCAGCCGAATTCAGGAACCGCCTGATCGGTTAAGAAGGAACGGAAAGGATAGAGTATCCAGGCGGATCAGGCGTGGACCTGACGAGACGACCGGAAGCGTAGAAGGTCGCTCAATCAGCTGATCTGGCAAGCGAAGGTGGCTTACAGATCCTAGGTCGCGGCCGCACGCAGCTGCCACTCTCGTCAGGACTTCGGATATCGGATGGTGGGCGGAAAAACACACAGGGTACCTGAGAGCATGTGGGCTTGGCATCGTTGAGCATACGATGGAGGATCGCCTCAAGTGCGATTTTTTTCGGGAGAGGAGTTCGACTGGGATGTTGAGCGTTGTTTGACACTCCGCAGAATGGTGCTCCAGCGTGTGCGAAATGGAATCTTTGACAGCCAATGTGCGCCTAATTCATTGTCTTGTCGACTGGATTTTCCATTGTCCGGATTCAGACAATGACAGAAGACGACGAAAATTGAGACTTTCTATTTTTTTTTCTTATTTTTTTTTCAGGCAGATGTGCAGGCACCGGCCTTCCAGCTCAAACATGGCTGGTCATCTGCTCTCCCTATTTTCCCCTCCGGTTTTTTTCCAACGACCGCTGGTCTTGCCGGTCCAGACTCTTGTTTCAGGCGTTCCAGTGCAGGTTGCCCGTCACGACACACTTCGTTCTCGCGTTCTGCAAGCGCTCCTGAAATCACCAGTTCTGCTGCTCGTGTCAGCTTGTGTCTCGTGTCGCCCTGGAACGGAATGGCGCTCGCAACATACAAGTTGCGATGTGATATTTTGGCGTCCGCCCCGACCTGGACTTTGTAAGAGCCATTTGGTGTAGCTCTCGTTAATGATCGCTCTTCCGACTACTGCATGCAGCCACCGGAACTGTCGCCTGTCAAAATTCCTTCCGTCTAATCTCCGCCCCCATCTCGTCTACCATTCGCCGTCGCGTTGTTCAATGTGGTCGCGATCGCATTTGTGCAAGGTCTGCGAGCTGCTCGTGTGTTTGGTCTGGCCACTATCCATGGAGATGTTGGAGGGTGTCTCGAGCTTATGTGGTGAGCGCTTAACGGTGTGCTGAAGCCGCGTGCAGCTGCCGCTGCAGCCTGCTGCGGCTTGGCTTGAAATGGCTGAGGACGTCAGAGACATGTGTCTCAGTATGCGACACATCCTCCGTCTCGCCTCTGTAGTTCAGATCCCGATTTTCCTCGCTCCTCCGCCCGTGACCCTGCCTTTCCGCAGGTATCTGGTCATCGTCGTGCGCAATGGGCTCAACGCCCATCATTCCTCCTCCACGGTGACCCATAGAGGTAGAGCCGCCCGCCTGCTTGCCGACCGAGCTGTTAAGCGCACAAATCTAAAGTCTGTGTCCTCGTTCCACAATCCGAGCTCCGCCTGAATTCGGATCCTCGAAGCCTTGTCTGCATTTCGCCCCTCCACAGGCCAAACCTGTCAGCTTTCTGCTCTGTCCTACCTCTTGATTTCGACTGAGTCATGTTCCGTTGATTGTGTCAGTACTGGTTCCGACGGTGCATCCGGTCAACAGCTCCTTACCAAGAGTGGCTTCCACTATATAAGTCTGGTGTCGTCCGTGTGCTTACACCCATCTCCACTTTGTCACCATCTACACCCAACTCTACGTACACCGTCACGTACGCCATAGCATTACACAGCACACGTCTAGCAACGCTAGCGCTGTACTGCTCATCCACCCGCAATGTCGAGCTCATCATCACTGCTCTTCGCTGGCACGCCATCATACTCAACTTCCAGCTCCAGCTCCACCGCTTCGTCTCGCAGTCGACCAGAAAACCGTCGATCGTCAACCTTCTCGAACGCTTCCACCTATTCACGAGACAGCTGGAGCTCCGCCGCCGGATTCGATATGTCGATGCAGGGACATACTTCCCACGACCAGGACTCCATCGACAAGCTCGTGAGCATCGCTGGCAGCAAGGCCATCTTTGGCTCCACATCTCCGCGAAAGAACAGGTCGGCAGGAATGCGCTCCTCCACCGAGTCCACTCGCTCTTTGGCATCTTCGAGCTCTTCGGTGCGATCTCCGCGCACGCCTCTCACCCCGATGTTCTCGCATCCCGAACACGATGTGACAAAGACACCCACGCTCAGCACCATCGATTTGCCAGCCGTGGTCGAGGTGCCAAGGCTCAGGAGACCGCATTTCTCGAGGATCGTATCTGAGGAGATCCAGTACATTGGACGCTCCTCCGATGTTCCAGTCTCCGAGGAGGGTCACGAGGAGCGTGCCAGCTCGATCAAGCGCTCTTCTTCAACCGCCTCTTCCAAGTCTCGTACCTCTGCGAGTCGTTTCAGCACTTGGAACGGAAGAGACGGTCTCATGCTTGCGATGGACGAGCTCGAGCAGGAACTCGCCCGCACCATGGTCACTCTCTCTGCATCCGCGAACAACACCCCAGTATCAACCATCTCTCGGGCTCGCGGCAAGTCGATGCGAAGGCCACACACGGCAGACAAGGTGCAGGGTCTCAGCTCCGCCAGGAGTTTGCCGATAGGTCTCGCTCAGGCAGATGGATCCTCCAGTGCCGTATCCGCCTATCAGTCGCAGTTCCAGCGAGAGTCGTGGATGTCGTCCCACAGTGACGAGGATGTTCTCAGCTACAGCAGCCGTCCCATCCGCTTCTCTGCATCCGACCTCACACTGCCTTCGGATTCTCTGGATCATTCGAAGCGATCCGATGTCGATGCTGACAGCTCGGCCTCGTGGTCCGCACGACCCGTCTCGCAAGTCTCGATCGCCTCGAGCGTGTCCAAGAGGTCTTCGGGCGCTGACATTGACAGTCTACCGGTCCCCGCGCTTGTTTTCGACGGACGCTCCTCTGGCTCCTCCACTGCCTCGGGAGAAGCGTTGTTCCCAGAAGCACCGAGTCGACGGGACAGCTTTGTCACTGCTGAAACCGGACACTCTTTCCAGCGCCTTTCATCTCTCATCAAGCGACCCAGCACACTTCGAGTACCGTCTGGAAACAAGTCTGGCCTTTACCAGTTGCAAAAGGGTGCACGTTCCACTCCATCACTTGCATCGCGCGAGCCTCCTCGAGACCCGCTACCTCCTCTTCCCAGCATGCCTGTCGGTCTCAGCCAGCTTCTGCAGGTCGGCGGTGCTATTCGCCCACCCAGACCTACAAGGTCGCCCGCTAGAAGCTCCACTTCTTCCCGCAGGAACAGCAACGTATCTCACACGGACAAGCCTCTTCCCGCGCTGCCCTGCTAATCGATCTACCTCCTGCTCCTACCGTTCGATTTATTGTAATATCAAAATTGAGCTACCGCTCATTGGGATGATTGTCACTGTCATACTGTATCACATTCGCATCAATCGCATCGACGAGATTCGTGAAACTCTATCCTCAGCCAAATCGAGACTGTGTGCTTCTGTCTCGCATCTGTGGACCTTCTGGCCCGCCCGCATTGACTGCTCGTTGAGTGTCACAGAAATGTAGAAATCACTTGGAGCAACGGGTACCGTTGTCGCTTGGAAAGGGCTCCTATGGGAAAGAGGCGCTGAGCGGTCATAGCTTCCCTCTTCCTTCTCCGAGATAAGTTAAGCGAGAAACATTCTGGTGGGAGAAAAGAAAAAGGCGGCGTCGCTTCCCGCATCAAAATTCACCTCTCGCTTTCCCTGTTGGCACTCCGCAGGGGCAATGACGACTTTGAGTGGTAGAGAAAAGCTCGTTTGCGGTGTTTCGGTCCGTCAGCAAGAGTGTCCGACGTTTCCCACGTTAGCCCTTTTCGATCCTAGACGCCATTTGGAACCGCCAATGGAAGCTACTTCCCAAGTAAGGTTGAAACTCAGCGAGAGCCTCAAGCGGTCAGTTGGCCAGCCATAGGGATGCCACCCTCGCTCGATAGAGTTGGAACGCAGATGGTTTAGTCTGACGATGACAATTGCGCCAATGATCACTAGGGTTGGGCAGGCGTTAGAGTTGGCGACAAAGCTTCTGCGCCGAGAAGTTCGTTCAAGGCGCAGCGCATGAAGCATGGTACATTATCGGACAGCTGGCCTTTTCCTGAGCTTGTCCGAACCACACCGATTTCAGCCATTCATTTCGATTCCGGGTTCCCACTGATACCACCGGATTAGCCACACACCCACATCACAGTGCACATATCCGAGCAAGCCACTCAGGGGCGGCATTCGCACATCATGGCACACAGATCGAGCATAGATAACAGCAATCCAATCCAGATCTTTAAGCGCATCGACAGAGACCGATGTTTGCTCAGTTTGGCGGGTGAGAAGAGTCCAGTTGATGGATGAGGACTCTCCCTGGACGATCAAGACCGGGCTTGAAGCCGTTGGCATACATGAAGATGCTCTACCAGCGATCACAATGGCGAAAAAAAATCTACGGTCAGCTGACACTGTTCTCTCACGCAACGGAATCCACTTTTGCGACTTACCATCAGGGATCGCGGTCGAGTCTCTGATTGAGCGAGGAGCAAGGTCGGCAAGGGCAGAGCAAAAGTGTCAAAAAGAGACAGTAGCAGGAACAGGGTCAGTTGGAACCGGTCAATTCTGCACTCGAGATCTGCAAATTAAAATCGCAGGGCGGGTAGCGTTTGGAACGCGGGAGCGGGGCGTCAAATCCGAATCATTGACAAATAGCCGAGTCGCCTAACCTGCAGCAGATGAAGCTCCTTCACTAAGGAACACGACGTGGCGCCGTGCCTCATCGACGTTCCTAGCTCTCGACCCTGCAGCTCGCTAGACATGCATCTATCGCTTCTGCAGAAACGCAAGAGCGCAGCTCGCTGCAGCTCCCTTCCAGCGCTTGCGAAGCGACCTGGCTGCATGGTTTTGCAATCTCCCCACGTCCCAAACCGATCTGCTAAGCGAGAGGCTATACACTGCATGGCAGTGGGTGCCCTCCTTAATGCGGTCTCGACGCCATGGCGGCACGGACTCGCAGCAAGCCATGTTCCAGCCATATCCAACCTGTAGTGGCCTGTCAGACGCCTACACTCCAATCTGTTCCATTTCCCTTCTGACAAAGATTGCCGTGAGTTCCCGGTCAACTTTCTTCGGAGGGAAACCTTGTGGTCAGACACGAGGATCTGGTGCGGCCACACTCGAGATAGCCGCTCCCAAATTGCCAGGTCTTCCCGATAAGCGCTCACTCCGGAACAAGGGTCTCGAACCATAACCGCCACAGCTTGTCAAAACTTACTTTTGTTCTTCAGCCGCTCGGCGACCTCTTCCAGCTCCTCGTGCACCTGCTGCACGTCGTGGTCCGCATCGATCATCTCGAGGTAACGGATGTCCGTGATGAAATCCCTTTGGAGCATCGAGCTGTCGTCGCCTGCAGCTATCGCGTTGAGGCTTGCCTGTTGGTGTCGTTCACGGACCGTATCGCGGGCTTGCGGGCCTGCTTGGGCTGTATCTTGCTTACACTCCTCCTGGAGTTCTTGGTGGCTGCATTCGGTCTTGGTTGGTGCACTGGAAGGCGAGGCCGGGAGATCCTTTGCGAGGGTGGATCTTTCAATCCCCGGTGTGGCTGCTTGCGCTTTGGCGTTGACACGGGCGTCGACAGCTTCATGCCGATCACCGATCTGTTCGGCGTCGCATGTTGGCGACTGCACCACAGTCTCGCGAGTCAATTCCTTCCCACGATTCTCCAGCCCGCTGAGACAGGAGGTGCCTGATGCTGCACTTCCTTCCAGACTTGTTGGGGAGACCACTTGCTCGTTGCTACCAGTCAACGCGAGAGGCGACAATGTCGCTCTCGTTCTTGCCTTGGACTGATCCCGTTCGGGGACATTTCGTAGCGACCCTTGACGGTCAACCTTGTATCCAGGCCGATCCTCTTGTTCGCGTTGTCTCTGCCGCGACAGCCCCATCTGCTTATAAGTAGCCGTGGAGAACACCTCGATCGTCTGTCTCGGCCCCACCGTCGACCGAAAGATCTTGGGCAGCAAGAAGGGATAGTCCGAGAAGTCCGTGTGCTTGCTCCCCGTCAACGTCAACAGCCAACCCCTACCCGACGTCTTTCTCGCATCCAAACAGATCCGCTTCAACTTTTCGAAATGCTCCTCCCATACAGTAAAGGATTCGGAGTTCAAGACGTAGATGGGTTTGGAGAGTCGACCTTTGACCTCGTCTTCCTGCTTGGATGGATCGCCTACTGGCTCGACCCAGGGGTCTAAGACTATCGCTATCGGATACGGATTCTCTCGACGCATCATCTCGATCACCGTTGCACCACCGAACGAGTGCCCGCAGAGCGTCGGAAACTCGAGGTCCAATTTACCCTCCCAATCTTTCAGTGGGCGTTCTGCCTTGATCAGGCTGTCGGTAGGCAGCTTGCTGTTCCTCGTCGAAGCAGCATGACCGGCCAGTTTGGTGCCCAAGTTTCGCGTTGATCGCTGGACGATCTCATACCCGCGACCGGCGTTGATCTCGTTGAGTACCCAGAACGTCTCTTCGATCTCGGCGTGTCGCATCTCGATCTGGTCTTTGCGTAGATCCACTTCTCGCTCCGATGGTTCCGTCGCAAAGGACTGCAACCCGATTGTTTCGAATGTAAAATAGGGTACAGAAGCCTTCATTCTGCCTGACGACCTGTGTCCGATGATGTGCGGCATGTGCCAGCCACCTTGTTCCGCCTTATCCGGGGCCTCTTCGCCTCGAACGATGCTGCTTACACCAGAGCCGTCGCGGTGCTCTATCGCGGCAACGATGACGCCTTTGCTGGCGAGCTCGCCGCAGTACTGAGAGTAGCTGAGACGGTTCCCCGCGAGTCCGTGAGAGAAGATGACGACGGGAAACTGTGGCGGTCGCTTGCCAAAGTTGCCCGTGTCTGCACGATCGGTACCATCGCGCTCTGGATGCGCGTTGCGATGCAGCTCTTCCGGATCGGCCAGCGGTGGGCCAACCCTGGCTGGCAAACGCGCATTGACGAGTGCCAGAACGGCTGGACTTGCCGGAAGTGCAAAGATACCGTACTGGCCGATGTACTGCAACAAGGCGCGAACTCCCGCGTGAACCGGTCGGCCCAGCCATGCAGCTCGCGGGTATCGTTTCACCTCGTCTTCTGGCATCGGCAAGGCCGGATAGTATATGGTGAAGAGGACGGTTTCGAGATGCAACGTGCAGGTCTTCGATCCCGTCGACCACGGCGACCATGGGTCATCTGCTCCCTCCGACTCGTCCCTTGCCTCTTGACAGCAATCATCATCGCACCGCTGATCTTCGCTGGCAGCGCAGACTCGAGACGATGTGCCGGTTGCCGACGATGCGGTGCCGGTGCTGCTCGTGCCTGCTTGCTGGGTGCTGTGCTCTTTGTCCTTTGCCTGTCGATCCGCCTTGGCCTGCTTGTTTGCCTTCTCGGCCTGTTTTCGCGCCTTCTTCGCTGGTTTGTTCAGCACGCCTGGCTCTACAACGTTGCTGCAAAAGCTGCGAGGTTTGCGCACCGGTATCTCGAGATCGAGCACTCCGACCTTGAACGGTCCGGTGTAAGGGGGCAGGCCCATCTTGAACTCGTTATGTACGGTTGAAGACACCTGCGAGCGTCAAGGTTGGTCGACTTGAGCAAGGGATTCTACAGCATGCTGTCTAGGATCGCGTTGAAAAGTGTAGTGGTGGTGCGTGTTCTAACAAGTCTTGACGCTGCCTGCGTGATGGTAAGAGACGAAATGAATCCTCTGACACTGACCCATCCAGATCAATTCACCGACGGCGGGAAAGCGCCCATCGTTCACAACGAGCCACCGTAGTGCAGGGTTCGAAATCGTGCCGTCTGTCAGAAATCGGAAATGCAGTAGAAGCCGTTGGCTTACCCGGCTGTCGCCAGACAGCTTCTTCCAGCCGAGGCACAACGTCAGCGAACAGAACGTAGCATGATGTCATGAGAATCGCCACGTGGTTGGTATCCAATTCTTGAAAGTCTAACAGCCGTGGGCGACTTTCCGTCAAGTTCGCCTGGTACAGTCACTCACTCGACACACTCAGCTCTATGGCGTTCGGCAATGTCCGATCATCGATACAATTTGACCTTCTCGTTCAAAAGATATGTACAATTGGTGCTACAGAGCCAACATGAAGTCTTATACAGTTACTCGAGGTTCGATGCTACCTTCTCCGTAGCCTTTCCGTTACCAAAGATCCAGTTCCACAGACCGGTCGACTGAGGCTTGTGGTCACCCTCGACCTTTCGTGCACCGTCGTGCAGCTTATCACCAGCGTAGTCAAGCCCCTCGGCAGTCTTTGCTCGGAGCGACTCGTATCCGCTGTCAGCCTTGCCTCGGAGGCTGTAGAAGCTCGAGTTGGCTTCGTCTTTGAGGTTCTTGTAGCCCTGCTGCGACTGGTCTCGGAGGTGCTTGTACTCGCTCTCCGCCTGGTTGCGGGCCTGGTGTGCCTTGGAGTCGAGTTCAGACTTCCACTCCTTGCCCGTCTGCTTGAGATCCTTGTATTCGCCCTTGATCTGGTTGTCGTGGAGAGGGTGACCACGAGCTTCGCCGGCACGAACCTCGGCGTTGTACTGGGCTGCGAGGATCTTTTGCTGAGCGTTGTGCTCGAGCTGGTCGCGGTGGCTTTGGGTCGAGCTGCGTGCCTCATCGGCCGCATCCTCGGCCTTGCCCTTGAGGTTGAACCAGCCCTTCTGGGCCTCGTCCTTGGCGTGCTCGTACTTGTCATCGGCCTTGTCCTTGGCCGAGAACCAGCCCTTCTTTGCGCTGTCGGCAGCATCCTCGGCCTTCTGCTCGGCCGCCGACTTGCCCGAGAACCACGAGCTCTTGGCCTGCTCGCTAGCCTCGGCAGCCTTGTCCTTGGTCGCGAACCAGCCCTGCTTTGCGTTGTGGGCAGCCTCGTCAGCTTTCTGCTCGGCAGCTGACTTGGTCGAGAACCATCCAGACTTGGCCTGCTGAGCAGCCTCGTCAGCTTTCTGCTCGGCGGCGGATTTAGTGGAGAACCAGCTGGACTTGGCCTGGTGCTCTGCTTCAGCGGCCTTGTCCTTTGCAGAGAACCATCCCTGCTTGACGTGGTCAGCAGCCTCGTTCGCCTTCTGTTCCGCTGCCGACTTGCCCGAGTACCAGGACGATTTGGCCTGCTCACCGGCCTCGGCGGCCTTGTCCTTGGCGGTGAACCAGCCACGCTTGGCCTCGGCTTCAGCTTCGTGCGCCTTTTGCTCGGCGGCAGACTTAGTAGAGTAGAAGGTGTTCCTGGCCGAGTCTCCAACCTCCTCGGCTTTGTCCTTGGTGGCGAACCAGCCCTTCTTGGCCTGGTGAGCCGCTTCATCCGCCTTCTGCTGGGCAGCGTCCTTGGCCGAGTATGCAGTGGACTTGACCTGCTCTCCGGCCTCTTCGGCCTTGTTCTTGGCTGTGAACCAGCCCTTCTTTGCCTCGGCCTCGGCTTCCTTTGCCTTCTGGTCAACGGTGTCCTTGGCGGAGAACCAGCCGGATTTCACGTCTTGCTTGGCGTGCTCGGCCTTGCGGGCAGCGCTGTCGACGGCGTCCTCGGCACTTCCCTTGACGTTGCGGTAGGTATCCTTGACCTCGCCCTTGAGGTTGCGGTATCGGTTCTCGACATCGTGCTTGGCGTCTTCGAGCCTGTGCTCGGCATAGTCGACCTTGTCGTTCACATTGCGACGAAGTTGGTCAATCTCTTTGGAGACAGTGCCGTAAGGTACGCTGCCGGGAAGCTGGTTGGGATCGTTGTGCTTGAGGTCGGCTCCTGGACGCGCGATAGGACCAGAGATGCCTCGAGCAGCAGAAGAGCCGAGAGGAGGACGCTCGTGAAGCTCGGTAGTGGCTCCAGCGTGGGGCTTGAGGTCGGGAAGCGAGTTGCTACCAGGAGGCCCGGCAATGTAGGTGCCGTTGGTGTCCTTGCGGTACTGCTGCAGCAGAGGATCAAAGACATAGTAGCCGATACCGACACCGACGGCCGAGGCACCGAGAAGCGGAAGGACTCGCTGTCGGAAAGCCATGTTGGATAGAGACGTGCGGATTGACTCTGTTTAGACGATGTAGGGGAGTGGAGAAGAGATGAAGTAGGGAAGGTCGTGTGTTCAACTCAGATACGATGATGGTGGGTGAAGGGGAAGATCAGGTGCTGAGGAGGACGTTTGATCTTGGTTCGGATGTGCGAAGGAATGCATCCCAAGGGAGTTGCTATTTCTGACTCTCACAGTGTCATCTTTGGAGAGCATGGCTGCTCGGACACTCGCTCAAGTAGACAGGGTGAGGCGGGCGCTGCCAAGCGTGAGAGGCGCGATGCATGCAGAGGGACTCATCTTGACGTACACGGTGCCGTCTCACGCATCCAGAGTCACATGCACCGAGAGTCGAGACCACGGTCATTCCGAACGCATTCCGCTCTGACGTAGGGTTGCTGCCAATCCACGAGACTGCCAAAGCAACCACATCCGACCCGATTCGTGATTTCAAGAGCCTGTTGCAACAAAGCGGGATGATGCTCTACCGAAAAAGGATATTTTTCTCCACTTTCTCGACTTTGGTATTTTGAGATGACGCCAAGTTGCATCAAAGGTCGTTCTCGCACGGATGGAAGATCAACACCGACTCGCACCTTCTGGACCCTGAATCCTTTGGCGAGACTTTTCCGCTTTGACGGGATGTCCGCTCCACCGCACACCAAGTCCGGGGCATCAAGCTGTGGACCATGAAGATCAATCGTGCTACGGTGCTGGTGGGCCGTAAGGTGGTGCTGGTCCCCTACCGTAAGCAGCATGTGCCTCGCTATCACGAATGGATGAAGGATTCGACGATCCAAGAGCAAACGGCTTCCGAGCCGCTTTCGCTCCAAGAAGAATACGAGATGCAGCAGTCGTGGGCGATCGATGAGGACAAGCTCACCTTCATCATCCTTGCACGACCCGAAGGTTTACAAAGCGAAGCAGGTGCGGAAGAGATGATCTCAGCATGCAAGATGGTCGGTGATGTCAACATCTTTTTCAATCCGCGGCATGATGAGGATGAGGAAGACCAAGATGCGCCGACACAAGGCAAGCAGCAAGACCTCCCGCAAAGCATGGCTTTCGACGCCGAGTGTGAGATCATGATCGCAGGTAAGTCCAAAGCGATTTCAGCCGTGGTGTTTTCTGCTGGCACTGGCTGACACCGAGAGCCTCGATCCTGACCCGGACAGAGCACGACTACCGTCGCAAAGGCATCGCGCGCGAGGCATTGCAGATGATGATCTCCTTCGTCACATCGGATCCGACTCCGAAGGCTTCATCACCATCAGATACATCAGCAGGTAGCTCTACCGCTGACCCCGACGCATCTTCCACCGCTTCGCAAGACCGGGAAATCCACTGCACCCTGCCGATACCCTTCGAGTGGCTCACCTGCAAAATCTCTCTCAGCAACGACCCCTCTATCAACCTGTTCGAGTCGCTCGGCTTCACCCGCCACAAGGTCAGCCAAGTCTGGAAAGAAGTCGAGATGCGATTCACCAGCAGCGATGTGACGCTCGTTCAGCAGTGCCACTCGTCGATCGAACAGGGTCTCTTTTGGCCGCAAGAATAGTTGCAATTGCGGACCACGTTGGAGAATGGTATAGAATTGCTAGTGTACATTAGTCCATGCAGTTTGATGCGTGATAGCCGAGAGCTCGTCTGAGGAAAGATCCAGATCGTGTCGCGCCCGAAGATGGCGTCGTAGGTCGTAAAGACGTTTGAATCGATGCTCGCACGCTGCGGCTGAGCTAGTGCTTTCCTCTCCCGACTGAGTTGCAGGTGCGACGGGTGCAGGATATGCAGGATCAGTCACTGACGACGTGCTTTCCGAAGCCTGCTGATCTAGCGCAGAGCAAATCTTAGCCCAGGGACAAGCGAATATGCGATCCCGAGTGATGCGCCGCTTCTTCATCATTGAATTACCGTCGTCAGCCGCCACACGTTTTCCGGACGTTGGCGTGTCACTTTCGACTCGCGATCCTGAATAGCCTTGCCCGGTGAGAAGGTCCAGAAGCCTCGGCTTGATTGTAGCAGAGATCGAATTGGTGACAGGCATCGGTATCGTCGCCGTGTCTGACTCCTCAGAGATATTTGCAGTGCTCGAATGCGAGCTGTCACCTCCTTCATCGAGATCTTCTCCTTCGTCCGCTTGTTTATGTGAGTCAGCGGCTGAGAATCGAAGTCTGCTTCGGCGCATTGCGCCTTGGTCCGGCGATGATGTAATGCCAGAGCAGACTCTGCGATGACGAGAGACAAGGTGCTTGTGTGCAAACCTTCGTCCACAATCCAGGCACTCGAAGGGCCTTTCACCGAGATGTGCAGTTCGAACATGAATCGATAAGGTTGACTTGCGCGTGAAGACTTTGCTGCATCCGTTCCACGTGCAAGCGAAGGCGGACGGACTGTTCCGAGCGCTCATGATTGACGTCGCGACGCTTCCGAGACGGGCAGATCTTGTCTTATCAGATGCTGATGTGACAATGCTGAGGGTCGGAGAACTGAGACCGCGAAATACGCCTCCTCTTCGAGGTCTTGTCGAGTGAAGCTGAGCAGCCTTCAGCACAAGCTGCTCTTCTGACAACGCCGGAAATCGGCGGTGTGCCGGCTCGGCACCACCGTTATTCACCGCAGCATCACTGGCCTGCTGTCCTGAGACCTGGTTATCTTGATTGGGTAGGGACATGGTCTGATACGAGCTCTGTGCCGCCACATCTGACGTGGATCTCCATAAACCTTCGTCCTGCTCGTCCTCAGACGATGAAGCATAGCTGTCGTCGGACAGCTCTGCACGTAGTTGATTGCGTTCAGTCTCGTGCTTGCCTTCAAGCATCTTTGCTTCCATTTCGAGTCGAAGTTTGCGGTCTTCATGTCTTCTATAGTGGGCCTTGAGGTTGTCTTGACGCTGGAATCGCTTGCCGCATCCTGGCCAAGGACATATCGGTGGATGAGCTTCCTTGATGTGTGCCTGCAGAGCAGTCCAGTTGGGGAACGTGTAGACGAACGGGCCTGCATCCTGATCACCATGCTGTTGCGGTAGATCATGCTCCATCGAGCAAGTGTATCTACCTTCCTCGTGCGTTCGAAAATGTGTTTTGCGCCGCGAGTTGGTTGCGAACCGTTTACCACAGCCAGGATAAAGGCAGACGAACGGCAGAGCCTTGGCTTCTAGTAGCTGCAGATGTCCTTGCTCTTGCTGACCATCGACATTCACCGCAGGCCCGCAGTGGTGATCACGAATGTGTTGGCGTAGCTGTTTTCGCTTATGAAAAGTCAATTCGCATCCATCTTCGGTGCAAGGATAATCGTGGGCGTTCGCTTCCGTCGCCGACGACATATTGTCAGCATGACAGGCTTGTACATGATTCTTGAGCTGGCTCGAGGTCCAGAACCGAAGTGCGCAGTCTTGATGCTCGCAGACAAACGACTTTTCTGAAGCATCACGATGCCGACGTTGATGTGCTTTGAGGTGCTCATTCCTCATGTAGCGGGCGTCGCAACCGGGATGATCGCAGGCGAACGGACGCTCTCCGGTGTGACTTCTGACATGTTGAGCGAGCTTGGAAGCCTTCGCATAGCTCTTGCCACATCCTGGAAACGGGCAGCGATGCGATGGTGGTCCGTTCGATCTGGTGCTCGGACCCGGTTCCGATAGATCGGAGAGTGTGGATGTGAAAGTCGCCGGCTGTGGGCCGCATTCACCCAATGCAGCCACAATCATGGTCGGGTATATGGAATTACGTTGCGTTCCATGACTTCTACTTATGCTGCGGGCGACTTCATCAGCTGATGAAGGGCTTTCCTAGACGGATGGACGGTCAGATGGATGGATGGATGGAGGACTGTAGAGTGTCGAGGCTGAGTCTGGGGTCGAGAAGGCGAAAGACAGGAAGGCGCTTCCCGCTTCTAAGTTATTTTCGAGAAAAAAAAAAAAAAAGTTCCAGTGCGGCGGCATTCTTTCGTGCAGCTGGACCCTGAAATCCTCACGAGACCGTTGGGTGGATGTCCCGGTTGTCTTCTTGCGTCCACTCCACTCGAGCGCCAACATTCTCTTTCGCTCGCCGCTAGTCAAGGATCTGGACATCGTCAGGCGCTTTCGAGTTCGTTTGGAGAAGACACGAGAGAGACGACAAGTGATGCTGGAGGCTTTGCGCTCATAGGCTTGGCCATGACGAGGCAACGGCCGGAAACAGGGGTGACCACCGCCATCGCCTCGGAGCCTTTCAATACATCGGCACTTGACCTCGATCGCCGCGATAGCAAGATCCAAAAGCTCAAAGATACACGTCAAAACCTCGCCTCTATAGCAGGGCCATCGACAATCGAATACGAGGTGGAAAGGATCCGCGATGTGATCCGAGGCAAAGCTCTGGACGAAGACTTTTCCACAGCCGTTCGCGAGCGATGGCAGACATGGTCGCGCAACGCAAACCCATTTCGCTCGGATCTGGGCTCTTCGGCCGCTTCGGAGCTGAAAGGCGCTGACGACTCAGCTTCCGAGTCGGATGCTCCGTCAGAGGATTCGGCAGCGGAGGATCCCGACAATCAAGGCGCGGACGATCTACCTCAGAAGAACAAGCGCAAACGGACTGGCCGCACCAAAAGCGACAAAAGGCAAGACGGTTCTCGGGAAGTCAACATTATCGAAGAATGGGAAGGAATCAGAACACAAAGAGAAGTCCTTCTCAAGGACATGGACGCCGTTCTTCCAAGCGCCTTTCGATTCACTGAGCGTCAATTGAAGGTGTACGCTAATCGGCTCAAATCCAAATACATCAACTCGCTCGACCGTCCGTTTGAATCAACCGACATTCACAGACTTTTGCATCATGCTCCACCGAGAAACAAGCCCACAGCTGCCCGCGCTTCCGAGGCTGGGTCATCGTCTTCGACAGTGGTCGGATCATCATCGGCGCCGCTCGTATTTACCATTTCGTTCTTCAGCAGCAATATCGACGGGAGCAGAGAAGACGCTGCAGCAAAGAGGGATGCCGACCCTTCCACCACAAACGATGACACGGATGGAGACAACGCGAGGGACGAGTACGTCAAACGCATCTGCGGTGATGGTTTGGGGGGCATGAAGCGCGCACAAACAGTTCGATTGCTCTCGAACCAGACCTTGTCAGATCTTCAAACCTCGCTCTGCTGCTGGTCTGATGAGCTGCCAGAACGTTTCGGATGGCGAAGTCGACTGCAGCGACACGAGCAGAGGCGAATTCTGTCAGGTTCTACCCACCACTTCCCAGTCAGTGGCGTCGGCGTCGAAGAAAGCACCGATGTTCGTCTTGCAAGATACACCGGCAAACGAAGGCAAACGGACACGGCACTCATCATCGAGGACAAGCTCTACACAAAGGGCGTTCACCACGGAGAGTCATCTCACGAGGTTGATTACGCTACGCTCTTCGACCAGTGGAAGCAGTCGACCGGAAACACAGACGCCAAGGTCGGATGGAGCGAAAGGGGAGGCAACCTCGATCTGCGCCTCGACCAAATCAGCGCACTACGCGCAGGCCAGCCGTACTGGTTGCTGCATCAAGGTGATTGCGTCCACTGTTTCGTCATCGAGCAAGTCCGAGCGCTCCGTCCGAGCGAGCAGAGAGCGCTTCGCAAGAATGCCGCCGGTGTAAATGTAGAGAGCGCCCCGAAAGGAACCGAATTCGTTCCCTTCCCGCGTGTCACTTGGCTTTCCACTCCCGCTATGCTTCGATTTGCAGCCGATCACAACCACAATTACGGCCTCGGTCACCACATTTTGCGTTGGGAGGGCACGCTTCCTCCTTCACAACCGTCCCAGCTTAGGGAACATGTTGCACCAGAAGCGTCGGGCTCGAAACAGGGCGATGCTACCCCACAAACTTCGTGGCAAATCGCCAACCTTCGGACGAGGCGTAAGGACGAAGGCCTGTTGCGCAAGAAGCAGGGCAAGTGTCTCGCGTGCTCGCTTCGCAAAGCGCAGGTTGGGATCCTTGGAGGAGACTCGGTTCGCTTGCCTTTGGCGCCCACGGATCCTGACAAGGATGACGGTACTCAAGACACGCCCGCCATCGATGGTCTAGATGACCACCTCACGTCGATCTGTACGCCATGCGCTGCAATCCTTGGCCTTCCGACCAAATCGACCTCGACTGGAACTTCTGCTGAACTCGACTGGGATCAGATTGCTGCCATGGACCATCGCACTGGATGGACCGTCTTCCCTCTTTATTGATACCAGCACGCACAAGCCCATTGTTTCCAACCACAATCTGAAAGCGTGCTAGAGACTAAGAGTGGTGTCAGATATCAGAGAGAGAACAAGAGCGAGGCACATCTAAATGCGGGATCAAATCTGGAGGACGGGGCAGAGGAAAGGTGCGTGTATGGCCACCGAAACGGGGCTTCCGAATTCGAAGGCGTGATTATCGTACAAAGGCGGTGGTCCACAGACTAGACCGTACACGCTCGCCCTCGAGCGCGTAGGTGTCTGCTTCTACCCCGGAGAGGCACGCACTGCGCATGCCTTTTTGAGCAAAGACTAGGTGGTTACAAAAGACGTCGCAATCAGGCGTGGATCTGGGTGACGATACCGGTACCGACGGTCTTGCCACCTTCACGAAGGGTGAATCGCGAACCTTCCTCGAGAGCAATGTCGTGGACGAGCTCACCGTCGAGCTCAACGTTGTCACCGGGCATGACCATCTTCTCGTCGGCATCCTGCGTACCAGGGGGGTGAGTGAGCGAGACAGTGACGTCGGCGGTTCGGATGAAAAGCTGAGGTCGGTAGTTGTTCATGAAGGGAGTGTAACGACCACCCTCCTCCTTCTTGAGGATGTACACCTGGGCACGGAACTTCTTGACGGGCTTGATGGAGCCGGGGATGACCATGACCTGACCACGCTTGACCTGCTCGCGCTTGACACCACGGAGCAGCGCCCCCATGTTGTCACCGGCCATACCTTGGTCGAGCTGCTTGTGGAACATCTCGATACCGGTGAGGGTGGTCTTGAAGGTGTTGCCGAGACCGAGGATCTCGACTTCGGCACCCTTCTGGACGGTACCACGCTCGACGCGGCCGGTGACGACAGTACCACGACCAGGAATGGAGAACACATCTTCGACGGGCATGAGGAAAGGCTTCTCGAGATCACGAGGGGGCAGGTCGAGCCACTTGTCAGTCTCTTCCATGAGCTTGAGGATGGCCTTCTGGCCCACCTCGGGGTCACGGCTCTCGAGGGCGGCAAGAGCGGAACCAGAGACGAAGGGGGTGTTTTCACCGTCGAAGCCGTAGGTGGAGAGAAGGTCACGCATCTCCATCTCGACAAGCTCGAGCATCTCGGGGTCGTCGATCTGGTCGACCTTGTTGATGAAGACGACGAGCTTCTTGATACCGACCTGCTTGGCGAGCAGCAAGTGCTCACGGGTCTGAGGCATCTGTCCATCAGGAGCCGAGACGACGATGATGGCACCGTCCATCTGGGCGGCACCGGTAATCATGTTACGGATGTAATCGGCGTGACCGGGGCAGTCGACGTGGGCGTAGTGGCGGTTCCCGGTCTCGTACTCGACGTGGGCGGTGGAGATGGTAATACCACGGGCACGCTCTTCAGGAGCCTTGTCGATGGAGGCATAGTCGATGAATTTGCCGGTACCTTGGGCCTCGTGCAAGGTCTTTGTGATGGCGGCGGTGAGCGTGGTCTTTCCGTGGTCGACGTGGCCGATGGTGCCGATGTTCATGTGGGGCTTGGTGCGCTCAAACTTTCCGGTATCGGCAGCGTAGGTGCGCACCTGCGAGGCGATAGCAACGCGGGGGAGCGAAGCGGCGCATACTCGAGCACGGGAGGCGAGGGTGGAGGGCGCCTTGGTCGAGGAGCGGGTGACGAGAGTGCGGGCGACAGCAGGAGAGGCGGCGACCGACTTGGTGGATGCCAGCGATCTGGCGATGGAGCGAGGCGCCTGAGTGCGGAGGAGGCTCATCTTGAATGCTGAAGCGTGCAGATCAAGAAAGGAGTAGGGACGGTGTAGAAGAGGTTGAGAGGTGATGGAGGGTTGGAAGGACTGAAAGGATTCGAAGCGGTCGTCCTCGAGACGGTGATGCTTGACCTGAATGCAACAACAGTCAAGCCGGCTTGGCTGCGTGTCACAAGCTTTTTTTTGGAAGAATTGGCCGTGCTCGCGTAAAAAATTGCAGCTCGAGCCTGTGTCAGCCAGAGAGCTTCTCGCCTGTTGCCTCCGCATCCCGAATCATTTTCGTCCTTTCTCCTCTAAGAATTGGCTGAGTCCATCACCGATGCTTTCCCCCGATCTGCGACGGGAATTTTGGTCGAGACGGTGCATTGCGCGCTCGACAGATCGCATCGCAACCAAGTCGTGCTCCTCTTGTTTGCCGTCCACCCATCGCAGGCTTGTCGATCCTCCCTCTGCCGTGATCTTCCCCTTTCAACACGATTGGAGCCCGAACATCAGCGGTCGGCCACGTTTCTTCGATCCCGTCTTTGTTCCATCAGTTGAGGACACAGAGCGGCTGCTTCTCGATTCTCTGCTATTTTGCTTCGCCTCGGCCACGGGGCTAAGTTACACACCCTTCTGACGCTAGGCTCCATAGCTTGAGCAACGATCTTCATCATGGAGGACGACCCCGACATCAAGCGTGAGGATCAGATCAAGCGATCTTCAACCGCAAATGTCGACGAAACACCAAGGGTACAGCACGGCGGAAAGAGACCCATCGACCCTTTCGCTGAAGACGATGAAGACGACGAAGACGAACGCGCCGCCCGCGATGATGACGACGACGAGGACGATGACGAAGATGACGACGATGACGACGATGACGATGATGATGATGACGAGGACGACACGGCACGTGGCCATCGCAGACGTGCCAAGAAGCAGCGTCGCAACCGTTTCCTCGATGTAGAAGCTGAGGTAGACGATGATGAGGAGGACCTCGACGAGGAAGAGGAGGAGCTGGCGCGAGAGGATGGTTTTATCGAGGAAGATATCCCTGACGACACGGAAGACGTCCAGAGACGCGCCGCCGCCGATAATCAGAGGCTCGACCGCTTCCGAAGACAGGAGGAGGACACCAATGCCGAAGCACTCGCAGAGGAGCTGCGCCAACGTTACGGCAAATCAGCACGGTACGCCGCACAGTCCGACTATGCCGAGGTGCCGCAGCGCCTCCTCATGCCCTCCGTAGAAGATCCCAGCTTGTGGGGAGTGCCGTGCAAGCCCGGTCGCGAACGAGATATCGTCATGACTCTGGTACGGAAAGCCATGGCAGAGAACTTCACTTCCAACCCCATGCGCATCATCTCGGCTTTCTGCCGAGACTCGATCCCTGGCAGAGTCTATGTCGAGGCACGCAGGGCCGATGACGTCGTCAAGGCTTGCAATGGCCTCGCCGGTGCATACGCTCGTCAGACCACCTCGCTCCACCTCATCCCCATCTCCGAGATGGCGGACCTTCTCAAGCTTCAAAAGGTGCAGAATGAGATTCAAGTCGGTGGCTGGGTTCGTATCAAGCGCGGAAAGTACGCAGGCGATCTCGCGCAGGTTCTCGACGTTTCCGAGAACGGCGAAGAAGTTGGTCTCAAGATGATTCCTCGTATCGACCTGAACCCGAAAGATAGTGGACTCTATACCGACAGTCTGGGACGCAAGAGGAAGAAGGGCGCTGGCTCGTCTGCCACCACGGTGGCTTTCCGTCCGCCGCAGCGCTTCTTCAATCCCGAAGAAGTGCAAAAAGCCTACCCTCGGGACACGCCCACCAAACGTGGAACTCAGTGGGTATTCCAGAACGACAGCTATCGCGAGGGTTACCTTGAGAAGGACGTCCGAGTCACAGGTATCATCACCGAAAACGTCAACCCGACTCTGGACGAGATCACCAAGTTTGCCGGCGAGAGCTCGCTCGAGGACGGCATCAACAAGCTCGCCGCTGTCGACCTGAGTCTCATCGCCGACGCAAGCAAAAAGGCCACAGAGGCGCTCATCCAGCCCAAAGACCAGGTCGAGATCTTTGAAGGAGAGCAGGCCGGCGTCTACGGTATCGTCAAAGCCATCAACAATGAGGTCATCACAATTCAGCTCGAGCACGAGGACCTTATGGACCAGATCGTCGAAGTGCCAGCGCGCAGCGTCCGCAAGCGCTTCAAGCCGGGTGACCACATCAAGGTCATGTCCGGCAAGCATGCCGACGAGACGGGTTTGGTGGTCAAGGTCGAAGACAACGTCACGACGTTCCTGTCGGATCTGTCCATGCAGGAGGTGTCGGTGTTCAGCAAAGACATTCGCCAAGCTGCCGAGGTCGGTTCCGGTGTCAACGTCATCAGTGGATACGAGCTGCACAACTTGGTTCAGCTCGACGCTCAAACCGTTGGCATCATCTTCAACATTGAGCGAGAGAGCTTCCGGGTGCTCGACCAGACCGGTCAGGTGGTCACCGTCAAGCCACACCAGATCAGCTCCAAAAAGGACACGAGCCGCGCATTCGCGCTCGACCACGACGGCAACGAGATTCGTTCAGGAGACATGGTCAAGGAGGTCGCCGGTCCGTTCTCGCGTCTGAGACAAGGACAAGTGCTTCACATCTACCAATCCATGATCGTCTTCCTGCACAACCGCGAATATACGGAGAATGGAGGTGTCTTTATCGCACGTGCACGCTCGCTGGAGCCCTTGGCACCCAAGAGCGTCTCGACCAAGACGAAGAAGGATGGCGGTGACCTTTCCAAGATGAACCCCGCACTGTCCAGTCTCAGTAGCGGAGGAGCTAACGATGTGCGCGTCGAAGGTGTCCGACGTATGGGTGGACGGGACATGCACAAGGGCAAGAATGTTGCCATCATCAAGGGACCGTACAAGACCTACCGTGGACGCATCACCGAGACGACCGGCAACATGGCGCGTATCGAGCTCACCTCGGTCTCCAAGCCCATCACCGTTAGCCTCGATTGGTTGGTGGAGAAGGATCCCATCACCGGCCGCAGCACAAAGTTGAACGCAAGCGGCTTTGGTGGCGGATCCGGTCGTGGCGGATCCGGTCGTGGCGGATACAGTGGAAGTACGGGCGGCGCATCTAGCAACCCTTATTCATCCGGCGGAAGCTCCATGGGCGGCGCCAGCGGTTACAATCCGTACGGAGGCTCGCAGCCTGTATCGGCTGGCGGCGGATACGGTGGAGCATCCAATGGTGGCGCTGGTGGATATGGAGGCTACTCGCAACCTGTCGCCACATCAGCCGCAGCAGGTGGCGGCTATGGAGGAGCGGGGGGTATCGGTGGCCGCACGCCTGCATACAACCCATACGCGGGCGACGGCGGCAAGACACCAGCGTACAACCCATACGGAGATGGTGGCAAGACGCCAGCGTACAATCCGTACGGAGACGGTGGCAAGACACCTGCCTACAACCCGCTCGGCGACGGCGGGAAGACGCCCGCGTACAATGCGGCGGCCGACGGAGGACGTACGCCGGGCTACAACCCGTACGCTGGTGATGGATGGTGATCTGGAGGCGATTCTTTTCCGGTCATTCTATTGTTGTGTCATCTCAAAAACTCAATGCATCTAGCTAGCGTTAACCTCACTTGCTCAGGGACTCAATTGCTCTCAAGCGACGAAGCTTTCGACCGATTGCGACTCAGTGCACGATCAGGTGTTCTTTCTTGCCGTATCGACGAGTATAACTGCAGATGCACACGAAGCTGAGAAGAATTGGAGATTTGATTAGATGGAGCTTCGGCTTCTAGGATTGCTGGGTAAGATGCTGCTGGCGAAAGTGGGTGAGATCCGATTCGGTCTGAATGCTTTTGATATGTTGGGTCATGGATGCTGCTGAACGATGATACTGAGCGATGCTGTCCGGGTCATTGGATGTGGTATGGGGTATGGAGCAAAGTATCGACTGCAGATGTTGCTTTGCCACCTTGAGGGGCGACTCGAAGTGTTGGTGTTGGTTGCGCAAGTCGAGGTACTCTCGAGCCATCTCGCTGGACGCTGGCCGCACGGAACCGTCCGTCTGTAGCAGAGAAGGTTGGAAAAGCCTCGGATTCTCCAAGAGCGACTCGCCAACCATGACGCCGCTCGCGCCCGTCGATTTGAGATTGCTGACGACGTCTTCCCAACACCTAACGTTGCCATTGCTGACCACAGCCGTGTCTCCATGCTGTCGGTCGGCGCATCGAAGCAAACCTTCGCTTCGCAGGGCTTCTTTCACCTGAATCACCTGGTCGAGATCCGCCAAGCCTTTTCTTCGTCGCACGGACGACGCAAAACGGGGATGTACAGTAACAAGACTGCTTCCTGCTTGAGCCAGCAAGACGGCCAGCTCCGCAGTCTGCTCCTTTGGCACGGTCAGTCGGATCTTTGTCGTGACGGGCACGTCGACCGCTTGCGCCAGACCCGATACGAGCTCTGTCACCAGAGGCCAGTCCTGCTTGGACAGTAGGTATGCGCCGTAGTGACCCTGCTCAGCATGTCGCTGAGGACAGCCCAGATTGAGATCGATGGCGTCGGCGAAGAGTGCTACCTTTCTCGCAGCTTCGACAAGCTGCTGCACGTCGTTGCCGGCAAGCTGCACAATCTGAGGTGCGGACTGTCCGAACAGCGAGCTGTCTCGGTCACTGATGATGTTTATGGGCGCATTCGTGCCAATTTCCAGACTCTTGCGGAGCGTCTCGAGCATGACTTGGTCCGAGTTGAGCTCGGGAGCCATGTACATTTGCGTCCAGGTCGACGTGGCTCCGTTTCGCACCGTCTGCAGCCGAAAGGCGACGTCTGACTGTCCCACCATGGGTGCGGCGCAGTAGAGCAAGCTTCCGAGCGGCAGTTTATGGTTGACAACCATCACTGCGCCCTCGGATTACCCGTCGGTCGTGGTTCCGAGTCTCTCTGAAGGGTTTGTGCGCCTCTATATCCGAACTGGAATCGATTTCAGGAGTTGCAGTCTCCTTCAGCTCGCCACATCCCGATAGCTCTTCAGTCGCATTGTTACCGAGATCCGTCCCCTCGTTTGTCGATGTTGTCAAGCGAGAAGTCACATATGATGTTGGGCGGAAGACAGAATCGAGAAGCACAGAGAGCCAGGGTCTTCTCAGGCACCATGCCGGCTTCCAAAGGCGAAGGTCACGTGCACTACACCCTGGCTTAACAATTTTGGCGCGCCTGTGAGAGCAACACTCGAACGGCTCGCTGCTGCAGGCGCGTGCTTCGAATTTATGCCCTCTGCGATTGCGGCCATTCCGAACAAAACGCGACTCTTGAGGCAAGGCGCGTCCACGTCTGAATGAGAGACCAACACAAGAAGCTCGGAGCAGCCGATGGTGCATACGACGTCCATCATCCCAGCGCCTTATCGCAACAGTCATCCGCCGCTTACCTATGATCACACACATCGGTCCATGACTGCCAACCCCGGAGGAGACTCAGTTAACCAAAATGCCGTCGCCACTTAAACCACGACGATCACCACGATCCAGGATGTCGCTCGCTGGCACCGGCTCAGGCGGCGTCCCACTCGGAGGCTCGTCGATGACCACCAAATCTGCAGCTGTGGATGCTGCAAAGGAAAACAACAGATCTGCCAGGTTGTCCACGACAGCGGGCAAAGATGACACCATGAAGGCGGCAAAGGAACGTGCAACTTCCAAGAAGCGTGCCGCTTCCATCGGAGGCGATGAGCTCGACACGCTGCTGAAGGAGTCCAGCACAAAAGCTAACGCCACCGTGGCATCCACAAGCAGACGCAACGCTCCGGCGCCACGAAAGAGTGCCATCCGTCAGGTTCCGCAGATCTTCCTCAGCCCAACTGGTCTTGTGCCCAGTCCAGAGTCCAGAAAGGGCCTAGCTATGCCCTCGCTTACCGAACAGATCGCACAGATTGGTAGGCCGGAGCCGGAGACCAGCGGCAAGTCAATTCGATCGTCACTCCCTCATGTCAACGCTACCGATCGCAATCTCGGGCTCAGCTCTTTCGCCAACGTTGGCAAGGCTCGCGACTCGATGCAGGCAACTAGCTTCGGATCGCTCGGCGGAGCAGCGACCAGCATTCTTTCTGCTCCCAACGCCGCGGCACCTGCGCCAAGAAGTGCCATGACTCAAGTCATCCGACCCAAACGAAGGGTCACTTTCAGCTCTAGGCAAGAGAAGACCGAGTTCGCACGCGATGAGCCCACTCTCCGCCTCGGCAGCTTGAGAAGGGAGCAAGTCTCGCCTCCTTCGACGCCTGCGAGCTCTTCTGTTGTCAGCGCTGGCTTCGCTTCGTACATCCAGTCTCAGGACGACTCCAGCTCGGAGAGTAACAGCGAAAGCGAGTCTGAGTCCGAGTCCGACATGGATCTCGATGCTTCCAACGAGCTGGCCGCCAGGTCCCTCGCCGCTTCGATCGCAGCATCTCTGCCGCACGACGACTCCACCCTCGACCCTTCCATGGACGCATCGGCCGACGAGAGCAACGCATCCGCCTCGAGCTCTAGTACCAACATGGACTTCACTGGCACGCACGGCTCCGTTAATAAGCGAGCATTGGCCGACACTTCAGATGACCAGGTCTCCATGAGTCTGGCTGCTGGAGGCGAAGAATCGATGCAGATGGACATCACTCAGTCCTTGTCGGCAGCGCCAGCGCTCAAGCGCAGACGAAGCAGCAACACTGCAGCCGACGTGTCCGCCTCGACGGACGCCTCGGACAGCACCGAGCATGGTGCGGATGCCTCTTCCTCGGCCTTGGATCAGACCACCACGATGGAGTTCACCGGCGTGCACGCCCCAGTCAATGGCGACGAGGACTCGGAAGACTCTGATCACAGCGACGCAAGCGACGGCATGGAGATGACCAAAGCCATCACCACTAGGATCGAGGCCAAGAAATACGGTGATGCAACCACTACCATCATCACCAACTTCCCCGACACGGGCAGCAGCGACTCGGAAGGCGACGACACCATCCAGCCAGACGCCACCTTGCCTATGGAGATGACTCGCGTGGTCACAGGCTTCATCCGTGAGAAAGACCACGCCTCGAGCGATATGGATTTCGTCGACTCGAGCTCCAGTGCACCTTTCGGGCTTGCTTCGTCTGACGACTTTTCGGAGGCTATGGACATGACGATGCCCATGGGCTCCAACGTATCGCCTTCCAAGCCAAGCCAGAGCCTCACGAGGACGCCTACAAAGCTGGGCACCGGCGCACCGAGCCCGTTCCAGCCGACACCTGGCAAATCGCCCAGCCGTTTCCGCCAGTCCTTGCGCGGAGGCATGGCTGCCCTCGAGGCCAATACTCACTCGCCCGCGCAGCGTGTCGGAGGTCCTTTGCCGCCTCAGGGACACGTTTCACACGCGGGCGTTCCGAGCGACAGCACATCGTTCAGACGGTCCATCATTGGCGGTGTTGCCTCTCCTGCTTACCAGCATTCCCCAGCGAGGCGCATCCAGACGCAAGAGGCAGTCGACCGACGGTCGGGAGCTCCGCTCACAGCCGACAACTTGGCTCAGGCGAGCCGCCTGACCTCCGTGCGTGCGGCCGGTGCATCGCCCTCTTCAAAGAACAAGGTGCCGGTGACGTCCGCCGTGGCTGGTCAACGCAAATCGCTGAGCAGCGTAGGCTTCAACTGGCCCTCTGGACCTGTCGCATCGACATCGCGCTTCTCGCCGTCCAAGGGACTGAGCCCGAAGCGTCGCGCCGGCCGCTCATCGCTCGTGGCCGCGATCCTACCGGATTCTTCATCGGCAGCCTCCAACGAGGACTCGTTCCATTCGGCGGTCGAGTCTGGTATCAGGAGCGCAAACGGAGCCAGCAGCGAGCCGCATGACAATTCCATCGCCCACTCTGCCGCGTCCGACATCGGTGTGGGTGTCGACAGCTTCGACGACTACAGCAACGACGAGCGCAACCAGGTGCCAGTGCAGATGCCGCTCAATGACTTCCTTCGCTTCGTCGGCGTTCACTTTAACGACGACATGAGTGCTTCGCGTCGCAAGCCAGTGCCGCCCGCCAGAGGCGAACAAGCTGCCGAAGACGGTGCATCTTCGGAGCCGCAGGCGCCCGTCTCCATGATGCGCCTCGTTAAGGCTGCTTGTGGAACCGTGCCTCAGCTCGAAGCCCTTCGTGAGGCGTGCCGAGAGATCAAAGAGCAGGTCGACGATGGACGCGAAAAGATGGTCGAGATGGAGCAGGCTTTCTACGACTCTCCGCCCGACTTTGTCCGCGAGATCATGGGTCTTCAAAACGAGGAGGAGAGACGAGATATGGAGGCACAGTTCAAGCTGCAAAAGCAGGCCGCACGTGCTCTCGTCAGCGCCGACTACTACGGCTGGCGACTCGACAAGGAATTCGACCAGGAGATGATTCAAACGCTCCAGGCGTACCACGGACGTCTTCAGTGCGATCTCCACATTGTCAACAGCAAGAAGGAGCAACTCCAGCAGGAGATCCTCCCTGTCCTGCGCGTCAAGCACGCCAAGCTCAAGGCGGATCTCGCCCTGGCCAAGCGGCGCCAAGCGGAGATCGAGACATGCGATGCTGAGGAGCTCAAGGGACTGTATTCGAGCATCGAAGAACAGCACGAGGTGCTCGAGTCGATGCGTGCCAAGCTGATGGACATCGAAGAGCAGCACGAACGTCTGCTGGTCCGACTCGAGGAGAATCGCGAAAAGATGGCTGCGGCTCAAGAGATGGTCGACAAGGCGCACGCTACCGTCGATCAGATCCAGGGCTACACGCGAGGCGAGGCGGGACGTCTGCTGCGAGAAATCCGCAACCTGGAGAAGTTGCACCTCGTTCGCATCCTGGACAACGGTTTCGATCCGAGCCTGGATGAAGTGGAAGACGGAGCTGACAGCCTTGAGCAGGGAAGCGGCCGCGACGTGGTCCTGATTCTGGATGGATGGCTCCAAGTGTCCATGTCGCTCTTGGCCAGCAGCACGTCTCGCCAGCTGCCGAACAACAGCAAGGTGTCGCGCATCCAGCTCAAGCAGAAGGGCACACGGGCGAGCAACGACGACACGAATCTCGTCCGCAAGCTCTCTGTCCAGATCCTGCAAAGCGACTTTGACGTCGAATTTGCCGATGGCGTGCCACAGGATGCCCTCGTCATCCTCCGCCGTATCTCTCAAACGCTGATCCGCCAACGCATCTTGCTGGCCGAGATCGAGCACCTCCGCTGCCGATTCCCCGTGCAGCTCCTGGACGACATGTCAAAGTTCCCATCTACCATCCTCAACGGGTCGCTCGACACATCCACGAGCTCGTCGGCGGCCGCCGAGCGTGTCGACAACGAGGTGGCCTTGCAAGCCTCGGTGCTGCTGCCCAACAAACGTAGCAAGATCGTCATCACGGCAACTTCGGATCTCAAAGGTGCGGGAGAGAGCCGCTCAATTCTGTTGGCCGATAGTGTGCGCGTCGAGAGGGTGTACGGGAGCGTCGACGCCGAGGCAATGTCGCTGCAGATCCTCGACTGCATCGAGACGGATCCCACGATCGGCTCGTTGAGCAAGGCTTTCATCGAGACCATCGAGACTTTCGATAGCTGAAGTCGCGCTCTTCCTCGGCCGGATGTGTTTGCTGCTATGTACTTTATTTCCAAATGGATCGATGCTACTGTATTCCCATCCGTTGGCTGATTTGCGATGCTGTGATTTACTGACGGCAGGTCGATCCCAGTCGTGGACGGCATCGAGAGGTTCAAAATACTTGTATCGATTGTTGTGATTGATGCTGTTGCTAGTGTACATGACCTCTCTTCGCCGACGAGAGCGAACGGAGGCGAGAGGAGAGGAGCGAATGTTGTTACATGGTTGTGCGGAAAGGCTGAGTATCGTTCTGTCGGAATCAGTGGTGCTGAAGAATGTCCTGAGCGGATTGGGACTTTTGTTGCATGCGCGACTGTGTTGGTGTAATTTTTGCGACTGAATAGCTGTACGGCTCGGACCATCGTGGCTGAGCCGAAGCTTACGGAAACCAGGATGTGCTGGTGGATCAGGCGGCCTCGAACCGAATCAGATCTGTTTTGACAATCTTGCCAGATGATAGTTGATCGTTGGCTTTGATACGCCGCCTCGAGGTTTCTGTCGGTACCAAATGCGGGAAATCAGCATTGAAAAGGTCAGTACATAACTTCCTCAGTACATTTGACGCTCTCTTCGTGGAAACTTACCCTGCTGGACATGCAATCTTGCAATGCCTTGGCCGAATCCTTGCAGGCGCCCATATTGTTCAGATCGTTGCTCGAAGCCCAGCATGCGAGCATGGTAGCGAACTCTGCAGCGCAAGGTGCAGCAGCTGCGTCCTTCTTCGGTCTTACTTTGAGCTTGTTCAGCTTCATCGTGACGATCCCGCAACTGACGATTGAAGACGGTGGAGGAGGATGGTGTCGAGAAGAAGAAGCTGCAGCAACAATTTTGAGAAGCTTCAATTGGACTTCTCCGGATTTTGTCGGCCGGTAAGAATTTAGAGTAAGATTGAGGCGGAACCGATTGCTGCATTGGGATTGAGAGTGTGAGGTGGAAGGCCCAAGAGAGCTGCAGAGTTGCAGAGAGTGTCTGGCCGGTTTTGGGCTCGGGACACGTCCTAAAGACGAGCGAGAGCGTGGGGCAACTTCTTCCCGAGCTGCACCCTTAGCATCATCATCCTTGAACTCGAAGTCCATCCTCCTCTCGACCAGCTCTTCCTCGCGCTCTCGCTCCATCGCTTTGCTATACAGCGAGCTCTTCTTCGTATCTCTTCATTCGGCACTTTTCCGCACAGTCGCAATCCAATATGGTACGTAAAAACGGCGCTGCGGCGTGGCCGTCGGCATGATCGTGTGACGACAGTCAGAAGCGGCCGGTACTGACACGATTTCTGCCCATCTACATCCCGCCAACCATCAACCTGCATCCGACTCGATCCTGGTCGTGACCATCTTTCGCATCCTTCCGGCCCGACGATTCGCTTGCAACCCGCGCGCGCCCCCGCCTTTACCTCGCAACGGTTCCATCGGCGCGTCTGCTTCATCCTCGATGGCACTCGAATATGAACATGCTTAACCGCATCTAGTCTGACGCAAAAGCATCAGGCGCCCAGCCCAATCTCGCCGCTTTGGCAAGCAAGAACTCGCAGGCAGTTCGGTAGGTTTCGCTTCTAGCTCTGGAAGACGATCTGGTTCTCTGCCTGTCGTACTGACAATTGTCATCTTCTCAATCTGCCTCTTCGCCCATTTCAATGTCGTCTTACGTGACTTCTACCTCTGCATCGTACCGCCAACAGCCGACGAGCAGCACAGCAAGCCGCAGCGAAGCCCAACTCACCACGAGCCGCGGGTGCCGGTGGTTCCTCATCGACCATGATGCGCCTCTACACGGACGACAGCAAGGGTCTCAGCGTCGACCCTGTCGTCGTGCTTGTGCTCTCGATCGCTTTCGTCTTCTCCGTCGTATTGCTTCACATCATCGGAAAGTTCATGAGGTGGTTCTCCAAGTAAAGCGTTCGGGCGGAGAAGCATTCTCTGGGCCAGTGACTGTCGAGGCGCTACCAATCAGCGTACTCGGTCCTTGTAAATACCTCGTCATCGGTCGACGCTACCAATGCGATGTTGCTTTCACTCGTGTTGCACTTGCTTCGAGCTGTTGTCTCGATTGCCTATATGAGAGTAGCTGTATCGCACACGGAACCACGGAGAATGAGATCGTCCTCGGTTTGGATCGGTCGATCCGATCGATCACCAGCCGATTTACTTGCGCCTGTTCGTTCAGTGTGCATTTCTCGTCCATTTTTTTGCGGTCAATTTTTACGGAAGTGTATGAATTGGGTCTACAAAAACGGCAATTCAAGTTCGAGAACTCCACCCGCAACTATGGCGGCTGGTCGATCTCTTCGTCGCAACGATCAGCACAAAGCATGACACCCTGTTAGAAGACGTACGAACGTGCTATCGTATGTCAGGCACAGGAACAAGTACAGTATCTCCTTAAGCACGCAAGATCGAGCCGGGAGGAATGATGGAGAGACCCTTAGACGGTTCCAATTCCTGGACCCCTTACATCTAGAAATGGGAGAGGCGTCCTCGCAGCACCTCAACCTGACAGCACTGTCAATCAAGCTTCTGGACTTCCCAGGGCCACTCAGCGAGACAGCTGCCGACAGGGCTAGCTTGTGGAGAGAGATGTTTAGCGTACCCAAGACGCAGGCTCGCCATATCCTAAGTCACACTTTGCCGTGCCTAGAGCAAGGGTAAAACCCTGTCGGAAGACTGTCGTTCATCGGGAATCAGCGAGGACGATAGCCAAGCCTTGATTGTCACGCGCCGACCACTGCCAACAGCGGACGAGGATCATAAGAGGAGGAGGCGGAGGCTGGAACTCGAAGCGGTGCATGCTTCCGAGTCGTGTCTCCGAGCCACCGACGCGCAGCGCACATGAAATCGATGGGAAACGCGTGTCACTGCTCAAGAGCCTGAAAATTTTGGACTGGCTGCAGGTGTGAGCTGGCACGCAGGCAGCCGCCTCCGAGCGGACTTGCGAAACCTGCAGCTGTCAAAACAGAAATGATCGGCCTCGCTCTTGGAAGCCGAACGCTGCCTTCCCTCTTGCAGCACCTTTCATGGGAGACAGCAGTGATGCAGAAGGCTTGGCCTGAAACGATCTGCAAGGTGCATGGCAGGATCGCTGGCCGAGCATCGTCGCTCTTGGTATAGTCATCCTCAGCATTGCGCGCCTTTGCCAAGGAGCACTTGGCCTTCAGCATTCACTATGCAAAGTCGATCCCTTTCGTGGCCGACGTCGCCCGAAAAAAGAAGCTCACAAGCGCACAAACTGGGGCCCTCGTAGCAATTTTTACTCGGAACATCATCGTCGAAAAAGGCAGAAGGGCGACCGCAGGACGAACAAAATCCGACCATGAAGTGCCAAAGAGTGCCGGGCGAGGCAAAGCACTTCTCGTGGAAACAGCTGCTTGGTCGCTTGAAGTGTGTCTAGGCCACACCTGTCAAAGCTGATGTTGCATGATCCGACAGTGCTGACAGCCCGCCTGCTTCGGCGTCGAGTCTGCAGACACTCTGCGCATACGACAGCCAGTGTGATCCCGCTTCTCGTTCCTCGTTCTTCGTGCCCAGCAACCCCTTCTCTGACATTGCTTTGACTGCCAGTCTGCCTGCCCTGCAACGACGATCAGGAATGCTGCGCATCTCAGTGCTGTTCAGCCCGAGGCTCCGTTCGTGCCAAGCGATGGTCGCCCCCGTCCGTATTTCAGCGGCACGCTTTCCGCTGCTGAGAACTCCGCATAGCGGATAGACCGTGTTGGGACTTCGAAGGCGAGACCCTCCGGCCTTCTGCGCACCTCGCCGATCCTTGCCTAAAACAGCAAGCAGTGCGTGCCATCTGCCGAATGGACACAGCGCCAAGCCATGTCTCTCAAGAAGCTTGGAGAAGTGCAGTGCATCGTAGCGCGCTGGCTCGCATGCCACGGCGCCACGAAGCTATTCACACACTGTGTACTACCTCGGTATCCGCCGAAACGTCTTCATTTCGGCCATCACCGTCGGGGACTGCCCTTCTGCTGAATGCAAGAGCACGTTGCCGGCCCCTTGCCTGCCTCTTACGCAGGGAGCAGCGCTAGGTCTCCGCCGTGTCTGTTGCACGCATCCGATATAAGTCTCGCTCGAGTTGGACGTGACACTCATCCCTCTTTCCCTAATACCTCTCTCTCCTCTCTCTTTTGATCGCAACAGGCTGTCACTCTTTCCAGCCTCCTTCCCTACTACCATCACCCCAGCTCCCGCCCTCACCTCCCTTCATCATGAAGTTCTCTGTCACAGCATCTGCGCTTTTCGCGCTTGCCGCTTCTTCTCAGTGTGCCTTGGGCGCTGCTTTTCAAAACCTAGAGCTTCGTCAGGGAGGCGATGTCAACACTTTCCTTCAAGGTCTTCGCGACGCCAACCTCACCTCGCTCGCCGACGTCCTTTCGCAGCACTCTGCTGTCACCGACCGCATCTTGGCGGACAGTACCCCAAAGCTGTTCCTCGCTCCCGACAACGAGGCCATCTCAAACCTTCCTTCTTTTGTCACGAACGACTCCGCGCGCCTCGAGGCGACTCTGCTTCAGCACGTCCTGCGAGGAAGCTTCGATACGAACTCCCTCAACACTTACCCCCTGCACACAATCGGGCACTCGTACATGAACGAGTCTGCGTTTGTCAACTTGCCCGGTGGAGCTGGTCAGGCTGTTGCGCTCGCTCAGTCTGGCGACCGTAGGTTTGTCGCCGAAGCTGTCAACAACGGCACCTACACGTTGAGTGGGAACCAGACCAAGCTGGACACGGTTACTGTTCAACCCATCAATCACGCCATCACCATCCCTGGCTCGGTCACTGATACGCTCAAGTACCTCAGGTACAACGGCACAGACACGCTGCTTCAGCAGGTTCAAGGCGGTGCCCTCGCCAAGACCATCGACTCGATGGCTGGTATCACCCTCTTCGTACCCTCCAACGCTGCTATTCAGAAGTACGTGGCTACCAACCCCAGCCCCAATGACATCCCCACCGTTCTCGGTCAGCACATTGTCGCCTCTCGCGTCCTCTACTCTCCCCTCCTCATCGACCAAGGATCCATGATCTCGTCTTCCGGCCAAGACATTGTCTTTGACAACAAAGCTGGAACCGTCAAGGTCGGAAACTTCACCGCTAAGATCCTCCAGACCGACATCATTGCTCAGCAGGGTGTGATTCACGAGATCGACAATGTCCTCGCCTCCACTGCCCTCGACACTGGACGTGCTGCCCAGGCGCAGAAGTCTGCCATGGAATCCATCAACGCCGCTTCCGCCTCGGTGCTCTCGGGACCCGTTACCGGCAAGAACTCTATCACTACCCAGGGTAACGACGTTCCTGCTGCTCAACAGGGCTCCGGCGCCAACAACCGAAGTGCCAACCAGAACGGTGATTCCGCAGGTACGGGTCAGACCGAAACCGCCATCGGGAACGGTAACACGGGCAGCAACGGCGGTGCTTCCCAAGCCAACTCGACCGGCAGCAACAGCGGCTCCAACGGCAGCAATGGTAGCAACGGTAGCAACGGCAACAACGGCGGTAACGGAAGCAACATTGATCACCGAAACCAGAACGGTGCCCTGTCGTCTTCCACAGCCTCTTCGTTCGTTGCGACAATCGTCGTCGCTTCGTCCATCCTTGCTCTCGCTTTCTAGACGACGAAGAAACTGAAGGAGTGGAGAGAGTCCTCGCGTCTACCATCTTTAGATTTTTGGTTCCGATTGGGACGCGAGCTGCCCTCTCTCTTGTTCCTCACTCGGATGCATTTCCTTCCTCGAAACGCTCCGCTTTCGCTTTGCCTTCTTCCGCGACTGTATCTATATGTTTTGTTGTTAGCTGTCACCTTGCTGGCCCTACATTCCGGGGCTCAGAGACGGTCATCCTCAGAAAGTTTGCCTGCTATTCACGACTGTCCATCTCACGTGTCTGACTGTGTCGAGGTACGAATGACATTGACGATCTCGACGAGGTTGAAGAGAAATACATGCACTCAGTCCGTCTTGCTCTTGCCTCCCCTCCGCCAACCCATCACACGCGAAGGCGAAGCAGCATCCGGCACAACCGCATCCACCGTCTGCAATGCCTTTGTCAACATCACATCCATAACCTTCTCCAACGACCCTGCCAACGGCACCCTCGTCAACACAGACGTCGACTGCAAAGGTACCAGATGCCAGCTCAACCAGGGTCGAGCTTGCCTCGGCGGTGTCCTCGCACAGCTCTCGTGAGGAGTGTGCGAGCCCAGCAGACTCGCTGCTCCAATGTGATCCAGTTCCGTGTCCATCCTCGATGCCAATGCGAGCCAGTCTTGGCCGGTACGATCGGCGGTGTCGGGTGAAGATCTGAGCAAGCGCAGAGCGTGAGTTGGTCGCAACTGCAGCAGTGCACCTGCGATGGAGGGTAACGATCGAAGAGCAGTGGTGACACCGTGACACTCGAACTGAATCGATAGCTCGACATTGACCACTACACGACGGTGCCAGTTTTCTTTCCATAGAGCCGATCTGCACAGGGAGGAAAGGCCGAGGAATGAAGCAGACGAGGCAGAGAACGAATGCTGTGTCAGCAATTGAGGTGGAGACAAAGATGTGACAGGGAGGGGGATTCTCACCTACCCCACCATGGATCTCTTGCGACCTCGCATTCGGACTGTTGCCAAAAGATCGTCATCATCAGTCGAAATTGCGCACGAGAGAGGGTCAGTGAAAAGCTCTGCAATGTCAGATGCCCTGCGAGTGTGAGTCGACTTACCTTCTTCGAGCTTGCGTCGTGTTTCCTCCCACTTGTCGAGCTTACCGCCCTTTCCGCGGTTCTTGCCAGCTGAACGAGCAGTGACCTCTTCCGCGTAGCTGTTGAGGATGGTGCGGTAGAGCGCTTCGGAGGCAGGATGCGTCGAAGCGAATGCCCTCTCAAGCACGTACAGGTCCACAGCCTTATCCTCGGCAAATGCTGAAACAGAGGAGAGGCCAAAGTCGATCAGAACCACCTCGTCACGGTCCAGATCAACGGTCGCTGCTGCGCCGTCTGCGGCGGTGGATGGCGAAGCAGGGCGCAACATCATGTTGGAAGTGGTTAGGTCACCGTGAATGATGTCAGCTTCGTGCATGATAGCCAACTGTTTCCCGATCAACCTCATCAACTTGGCCTGATCATTCTCCGAAAGCACTGTTTCCTCCTCTTCGGCATCTCCGTTGCCGATCAACGTGTCGTCCTCGCCTTCAGCACCACCACCGAGCCACTCGCGTACGCTCTTGCCAGCGATGAGCTCAAGACCCAGTATACCCTCCTTCTCATCAACGCAGCGAACGCTCGGTACAGCTACCCCCGCTTTTGCGCACCGAAGCAGTGCCCTGGCCTCCATGATGGTGCGCGAAGCAGTGATGTTGTTCGAGAGCGTCGGATGTCGATAGGTCTTTGGAAAGCGCCATTTGAGCAGGACGGAAGCAGGAGGCTCCACTTTGGTCGATTCGAGCTCGGACGAGCGTGGCTGAGGCCATGAGAGGATGTTGTTGGTCGCAATGCGGGAGATGTAGACTTTGGCCTCGGCACCTTGCTTGATGAGCTTTGACGTGGACGAATCGGAAAGAAGGGCGACCAGAGGAGGCGCATTGGGAGTTGACCGTGGTGCAGCCGTCGTCTGCTTGGTCGTGCTTGGGCCTGCCACCTTTTTGCTGGTGCTGGTGATTGAAGACTGATCGCGAGACGCACGCCTCGATGTGGATTGACTGCCCGTGTCCGGCGAAGACGACTCAGGGATGTTCGAGGGCACACCTGATTTCGATGTTGTGTCCTGGGTTGGCGCATCGGAGGAGGTGTCGACAGAAATGCTAGTGACAGGCGTTGCTCCTGATTTTATCGTGCTGGTCGCCTGTAGCAACGAGGGAAGCTTTGGACGCGCCCCGTCGGTGCTGGATCGAGATGTACTGGACGAAGTTCGCGCTCTGTGCGATTTAGCCGCAGCCGCAGCATCCTTTGCCTGTGCAGATGCAAGACGCTCTGCCGCTGATTGTGTGTGCTTTCGCGGAGAAGCGCCGGCCGAGGCGATCGACGACGCTGGAGAAGTTGAGAGCATCGCTTCAGTGGTCGCCTCCACCGAGTCGACGATGGAAGTGGGCCGCGAGCGGGTTGTCGGAAAGGCTAGCCGCGGTGTGCGATTCGACGGCGGGCTCGAAGAAGAGCCGTCGCGGACTCGGTCATCGATTCCAGACATGGTCGACGACGTTGACCCCGAAAACGTAAGCAGAGATAACAGACTTGCAAGCAGAACCGACCGCGCCGACTCGAAGGTATCGAAAGAGTTGCCAGCGTCTGCAGAATCGATCGAAGGGCGTAATGCAGAGCGTTGGCCAGATTGCGAAAGGTGAGGGAGTGAAGCAGGGTGCACAGATGAGCTCAGAGCGGCACTTCCGGGGCCAGATTGATCTTCTTTGGCGTACGAATGATGAAATCACGAATCCTCTCTTTTTCAGCTGCGTTTCTTCTTCCCCTTATCGTCAGCTCCACATCGCAGTCGACAGAGTGTGAGCTCATCATTTCTTTGCTCAGGACGACCGTGTCGTCTTCTTCACTCTAACAATCGTTATCTAAATACCTACCACCTTCGCCTCATCGTCATGTTGTGCTCCACAGATTGTTACGTATGTGAAGATGCTACCCCCAGCATTGCTACACAGCTACACGTGTATATAGGAGCTTCCATGAAGCAGAACTTTATCAATTGTTCCAAGAGCCAATGGGTGCCTCTCATTTAAAGCTTGATCCTCGCAGAGTTGTCGACCTTGGTGTGGGTCCCGGTGATAGTCCTCTTGGTGCGTTTCCACTTGCCCATATGAACAGGCCCTTCCCCATCATCCTTCTCACCGTCTGCTCGCTCGACGAGCCAAAAGTCGGCTGTGAGCAATGCGATGTTCTTGCCGACCTGAGCCGAGTACACCTCCATCTCGAGCACCGATCCGATCGGACACGCGTTGAGATAGAGCACGCCGATGTTCTGCGAGACGCCGAGGAACGACCATGGCTCGCCGTAGACGCCCGAAGTGTGATAGAAAACGACCATGCTGGTGATGTTGTCCACCAGCGTAGCGGCACAGCCTCCGTGCATGTTTCCGAGCGAGTTGTCCATCTTATCTGTTACCCGCATGCGCAGAACGAGGCGAGCGTGGATGTCCTTCCGTATCGCTGTCGGCGCCGTGGCGCTGCCGGATGTCTTCATGGTGAGTCGTGCTTTCTCCTGCGAGTCGTCTACCTCGGCCGCTTCTCGGACCAGCTCGCCTTGCTCGTTGAGTCCCTCGCGTTCAGCCCAGACGATCGTGATACCGCCATCCACTGCTGAGCACGAGTAGCCGTCGGTCGCTAGGTTCCGTGTCATGCCGACCGCATCTTGCGTTGCATCCTGAAAATTTTTCACGATTGGGGCTGGCATTTTGTATGTGTCGGAGATGTGGAAGAACGGCTGCGTAGTGCTTCGAGCCTATTATTCTAGTTTCGCAGGCTGATAGCGTTCGTGGCCATTTGATCGTGGACAGTAGGCGATGGTGATCCTCGGACCTTCTTGTTGCCGTAGATGAATGCTCGCGTGAACGACCGTCAGAAGGATTGTCGCGAAAGCTTAGGTGTGCCAACGGGATTGTTTGGTAGGCTGATAGCAACTGACATTGCTTGACGAAGTGTCGGCCTGTCCGGTCACGAAATTGCAAGCGAGCCGGTCACCCGAATCCGGCTCATCTGTTGGACACAGATCAGCGTCCGCAACGCCGACTGATATTTTCACGCGTAAAACCTTATTGCGGGGATCAGACCCTTGGTCACCACCGCCAAACCTGACATCAGGTAAATTCTCAGACACACACATGCACCCTGTACATAACACCGTACACTGTAGCGACCCCCTGGTCGCGAACTCGATTCTGCGAATCTCATGGATCATTCGCTATTGCAACGAGGCCGGCGTCTGGTGTGTATAGCCGTTGGCTAGACAGCTACTGGACGCTCGCTCGCAGCCTCCCCGCTCGCCACGTAGCCGGCCACAGAGATAACAACATCAAGAATCTGGCCAACTTGTTCGAGGTGGGCCTCATCATGCGACTTGTCCGAGCGAGTCCATCTACGCTCTACCTGGTTTAGACGCGAAGTCACGGCAACTGTATCATCACCGTTTCCCAGATGATGGTGCAGCCGTACCATGTAGTAGAGAATCTGCGTTTGCAAGCCGAGACATTCGGCCTGGTCCGCGTCTGAGCAGGGGATGGACAAAGGCAACAGGAGAACGACAGAAAAGGTCAGCGAAGCCATCTTTGCGGAAAATACGACAGCACGTTTCATGGCCTGTGTTGCTACGACTCACCTCGTTCAGCTCGTTGCAGCCAGTGCAATACCCTCGTCAGATCCCTAGGCTCTTTTTCATCCGAGCACGACAGCAACATGCGCGCATACGTCCACTGGGCCCGCGCTCGCAGCTCGATGTCCCCATTCGACAAGCAGTTGGGCAGATCGGGTTCCATGAGCAGCCGCGCCCCATCTGACATATTCAGATGAAGTCCCAATGTTTCGGCGAGCTGCACTCTCGCGCAGAGGATCAATCGAGTGCAGTCCATTTCTTTTGCGATCGAGAGAGCCGCCAGCGTCGGCATGAGCGCCAGCACTGGTTCAGTGCCTTGCGCCCGTCTTGCAGCTTTGCTCAAGAGCGACTCCGCGGCTTGTTCAGCAGTAAGTCGACTGAAAGCCTTGAAACGGAATGAGAACTTCTGTTCCGCCGAGCTCGACTTGCCTGATTCGAGGAAACGCAATGCGAGCTCGACCAACGCGCTTGGCGAGTCGACAGCGTCTTCAACGTCGCAGTCGTCATGGATGGATGCGGTGTCTGGCAGGCTTTCTGCCAAGAGCTCCAAGACCGCTTCGTCCTGTCGACGCGTTGCTCGCAATCGTAAGATTCCGGCAAGTGACCTATGCCATTTGGTGTAGTCGTCAAACGAAATCGCCTTGAAGGTCGCAGGCGAGACCAGCAGGCTCAGCGCCGCATCGTATCGTCCTGCACGTGCAAGCTGTGGGAGACCGAAAACGAAAAATCAGCATTAGACGCGATCACCATCACACCGTGGAAGGCTCATTGTCCGACTACTTTGCGTTACGAAGACACTCACCCTTTTTGCCTTGTGACAGATTCCGGCGATCCGGCTCTCTTCTTGCAGGGCTGATCGTGCTATTTTGTCCCCGTCCTTCCCGATCCGATTCTGATAAATATCGGCGACGGCTGACTGGCCCAACACATCCCAGAGGTGCGCGACCTCGATAACATAACGGAGCGAGTCTCTGCCCACACGGCGTTTGGCATCTTGTACGAGCTGCAAGGAGGCCTCGGCGGCTGCCAGACCATCTTTAGAAGGCTGAGCAGGAGCGGCAGAATCCTCCAAGTCTTGAAGCGTCTCGACCGCCGAGCGACCTCGAGACAGATCGCAGCCTGCTCGCCAAACCGCATCGTTGACAGAAATATTGTGTCGTTCACTGGTCGAGACAGTGGCCGATGCTGGAAATGCGGCGAGGGTGCTGGTTCCGACACCTTGGATTCGTAGCATGAGGCTCTCGCAAGCAGAGATGCACTCGTTGTCGTTGGCGGATCGCGCAAGGCTGACAGCCTCATTCAGGGCGGCTCTAGCGGCGCCGAAGCTCTCGGTCCTGACATGAAAAGCGGCGAGGTGCAGCAGCGTGTGTTGATGAAGCTCGCGATCAGCACCTGGGGCGTAAAAGTCGAAAAATCTTTCCATGTTGTCCTTGGCCATTGCATAGTCTCCGCGTAGCAGGCCCATCTGATAGTCTCGAAATGCGGCAAGTCTCGCATCGGGTAGGTCTAGCGAGGTGAGGTCGACCGCACTGAACCCGTCGGATCTACGTGAGAGCCCCTGTCTCCATGCGCGCGCGCTTGTCGTCAATTGATCTCTCGCCTGCAGATCGAGGCTGTCGAAGATGAGCTTGATGCGACGGAAGTAGAGGCCGAAGAAAGACCGTCGCTCGAAGAAGATGTCGGTGGCATTTAGCATGCCCATAGGCTCGTAGCTCGGCATGATACGATTGAGCTTCTCGTTGAACAGCTTGGTCAACCCATCCGGAACATGAAGCAGATCGAGCATGCTCTCAAGGTACTCGGTCATGATACGAGCGTCGTCCTCGGCTCCTTCCATCGTAGCCCTTAACTCGTCTGCAAACGCCACATATGAGGGTGTAGGCGGGCGTGTCTGGTAGATCTTGTCCATGAGGAACAGGAGTAGCTTCTTGCGGGCAACAAGAGCCTCGTCGTTGAGCTGAACTCGGCAGTGAAAGTTAAAAAGGATGAGAATGGCGATCGTTTCGCCATTCATTTCGTCGGGCGGCGCTGAATCGATGTCCATGATGGTGCTAGCCTGAAAGCAGGCCTGTCAAGAGCCGTCGATCCAGCGACGAATGTCAAGAACAGTGGCCAGCATTCCTTGTACCATGACAGGTCACTGTAAAAAACCAACACTTCCAGAACGCGTTCCAAAATATGACAATCGCGCCGTGCTGCTGTGGTCTCCACTTCTGACCAACGACAAATTCAGAAGGTCGGGAATCGGACTTGACAAAGCTTTCTGTCACTTGTCTGCATGCAAGGCTTTTTTCCACTTAGCTTCCTCCTCTGACATCACGATCGGCTCTTCGCAACTCGAAGTTATATCGGTTCCTCACACAGTCAAAATGGCTTTCTCAGAAGACACCAAGGTGCGTCAATGTCCTCATCGCTGGCAAGACCCGTGGACTCAGACGAAGCACGGGCGAACTTCCTCGGCAAAATTGCCCAGAAAGGCTGAAGACAGGCTGTGAAAGTGATTCTGGCCTGGTCAGTCGGACTGAGTTCAAGTCCTAAGGGCTGCGCTTGCTGGATCAAAGCTAAGCTTCATGCTCGAGATCTTCACACGAGGACCTTTCACTGACACGAAGACTCTTTTGCTAACCAATGCTCTCTTTCGGCAACCCCGATGGCAGGAGCGAATCGTCAAGGCAGTCGACGTCTCCAAGACTTTGTTGCACTATGGCTGGTAAGTGTGGCTTACTGTCTTCTCTGCTGTCACAATCATGCTTGCCGAAAGGCTGACTCTCAGACGGATTGCTCTGGTTCCATCACTCCGACGTGACCTTGTAACCTGGCGCAGGGTTCCTTTCGTCCTGTACATCGGCTTCACCCGAAGCACACCGCAGCCCAGCTTGATCAAGTAAGTACTCTGCGCGGCACAGCCGAACCTTGTTCCGAACAAAGAAGATCGTGACTAATCTCTTTGTCTCGACCCGAACAATTTGTTCCGATCGCTTCGGTCCCCCTTCCCTCTTCGTCCTTTTCAAACAGGCTCATCAGCCCGCTTGCCTGAGAATGCGAAGTCACCGGATGTTCCGATCGAGTTAGCAGCTTCCCTCTGGCGCTGCCTACCTGGTTTGCACTACGCCCTTGTCCGCTGAAGTAAGCACTGATCGCGACAGATCCAGCAATGCACACCGCTCTCTTCCTTTGCTCAGCCGTGTGAGCTAGTGGCTGTCGCTACGAGATGCCAAATGTCTGCGCTGTCCATAAGCATAAATACATGCGCTATGCACCCGTCCACCCTTTCCTCCTTTCTACTCTGTCGAATCCACTCGAGGTCTCTTTACCCGCCAAAATCGGCACTACACGCTTTCGATCCGCTCGTCCGCAGTGAACGTCACGCATTCATATTACAACCAAGGGCAGTGACGCACACTTTCGGCCTTCAGTTGAGATCTTGCTTTACTTGTCATGGCTAAAACTAGCTTAGGCATCAGCAGCCATGCCAAAAAGAGCAAGCCGGTGCCTCAGATGCACCAGGGCCAAGGTCGAGCCCAGCCCTTTCCCAGCAAAGAGAAGAGTTCGCGTACTTTCGTCATATCAGAACCCGAACCTGGGGGCGTTCAAGGGACGCCTATGTTTTTGCCGCATCAACAGGGACGCAATCGCGCTTTTCCTGCTGTCGGAAGCGTCCAGACGAGTGTCGGTCAAGATGGTCATGGGACCACGCAGAGATCTTTCCGTCATCCACCTGTCTGGGACATAGACCCCGAGAGCAGCACAGGTATCTCAAGCTCCGACCGTCGCATGTCGTCGATCGGCCCTGATCCGAATCACATCGCAAATGCCGCTTTTCGCGGAGACTATACTGACCTTTCCGAACGCCAAGGCAGCCAGAGGTCGATCGGCGAATATCCATTTGCTGACGATCAACCATCTCGCAACACCAGCAAGCGGTCGAGCACCGCCTACGAGTCTGCTGCGGAGTTTGCCAATCCAGTCAGCATATCGTCGGGTTCCAGAGATATTCGATCGGCTCCCAACCCTCTTCGCCGACCAATGTCGGCAAATTCGCAGAATGTGCACAATCACGACCCTCTCGACACGCACGTGCGCAATCAGCTGCACCAAACACAAGAATTCAGGAAAGATGCTCAACAGTTTCACAAGGAGCTGATAGCGAGACTGGAGAAAGCTGAGCAGTCTGAGGAGGGCATAAAGAACACGGTGGAGCTGCTGTTCACGGGTCAAATTGGTGTTCTCAAACGGGTTGACGAGATGCAGCAGGAACAGCATCTTTCCTGTGAGTGGCCTCGAGGATGGACAGCCATCAAGCCCGTTCGCCTTTCTGACAGCCGGACTCTCCTCTGCGTCGACATGATGTATCCCCGACACAGTGGGGCGACTCCTCGAAGTGATCGATGGTCTTGAAAGAATGCTCAAGTCGGCCGTAAGTGGAATCGACAAACTGGCGTCGAGCGACGAAACTCAAAGAAGCCAGGATGCGGTGCGATACAACGAGGTGAGTTGAGGTGCTCGCAATGCAGGCACTGACCGAGAGGAACGCTTGTCGACGTTTTCTGACACGTGGCTTCTTCATTGTAAACCGACGGGTTCGCAGTTGCTTGCTGCCGTCGACACGTGTCGAACGTCGATTGAAGGAAGGCTTGAGGGCATCCAAGAGAGCGTCGATACATTCGCAATTCGGCAGCAAGAGAGCCAGCTGGCTACTGAGAGGATCTGGATGGAAATTGAAGAGCGTGGAATGGCGTATCAACAGGCAAAAGCGAGCCGAGAAGAGATACTGACCGCCCTCATTGGGTCGGATCTGACTGTATTCGGGGCGCGAGATGGCAACGAGGCGAATATAGGATCCTACCGTCGACAAGGTCACCGAAAAGCCGCCACACGAGCTTCGTTGAACATGGTTGCACCAGCCAACAGGCTCTCTCACGCACACGGCTTTGATCCTGCTGAGGACGGTCCACGCAGGGATCCATCTCCAGAATGCTTACCCGAGCCACCCTCGACCGAAGGCGGCTCGGTGTACGCTCGAGACTTTGAAAATTGGAACTGGCAAGGTGATGTCGAGCAAGCTTCCGACGAGGAAGACGCATCGCGTATTCGGCCAAAGGCCGGGCGACGTACGTTTCCGATCGGGCCGATCGACGACGAAGACCTTCCAGTGCCACCAAGACGCTCCCCAGACACAAGATCATTGGCCAAGGAAGTTGGTCGCCCAACCGGCAGATCGGCGGCTCCAAAGAAGTACGGACGTCAGGCGCAAAAGCGCGCCGCCCTTACGACGCATGTCGAAGCTCAAGGTAAAGAAGCCATACCATCCGCGTCACGTCTCGATATTCGTAGTCAGGGCACCGGTCCCTCTGCTGTTTCTGGCAAACAGAGGCTGAACATGTCTGAAATGGCCGGCGACACGGTCGATGGACTCCGAGCCACTGACCGAGCTTTGTCTCCGCAGGGTGATCCAGTCAACTCGCGAGCTCGCAAGGGGCGAGTGGCAGCGAAAGCTTCAAGACGGAGGCGCCGGGACGACTCTGATTCAGACGAAGAATACGGGCCCGTTCGAGTGGCAAAGAAGCGAGCTACGAAGACAAAGCCCGTGAAGACGCCGCAGGTCGAACACCGATATCCCACCCGTGGTCGCGGAATCGCGGCTCCCCTTCCATCTGACTTTCCCTTCAAAAAGTGATGCACCCGAGCCCTTCGTTGCTGAGCGTGTTTGTTGTGAACAGTCTCGGCCTTGCCGCTATCAATAAAGTTACTCCTGTACCCCGTCGCTTGTTATCATTCACTTTGTGACTTTTCCTCAGCTTGCAAAACACCGTCGCCTTTGTGAACGGACTTGACGAAGCCTGTGACGGAGGGCAACGAGAATAAATTCTCCCAGCGCTTCAGGTGGATATAAGCTGTATATCTAGGAAACTTGTTTACACTGGTCGAATGCCCGAGTGGTTATGGGGCTGGCTTCAAGAACGCAAAAGTTGATTTCTTGGCCACGTTATGGCAACACCTCCAGTATATCCTGGGTTCGAATCCCAGTTCGACCAAATACTTCTTTTTTCTCCCATCCTCCTCCTCTTGTGCGCCGAAAGGAAAGTGTACCGGACTTGACGCTTGGCTTTGCATGTGCTCACGGCGTGACTGTTGAAGTAAGTGAGCGGACGATGGATGTAGCACAATATGACGCCGAGATCAAATGACCCGAGCGCGCGTGTCGATTTGAAAACCTCGGTTGGCACAGCGTCTTTGCACTTTGGGCATCGAACAGAAAGATCATCGACAACAAATTGTTCGTTGGGCAAGATATATACACGTGGACAGGCAAAGAAGGTGTTCTATCGGGTCGAGTCGGTGCTGCAGGCGTCGTTGCGACATGCGTTTCTTTCTGGCCCCGTCTATTAACCGCGAGTGGGCAGATTGAAGTTGAGAAGCGGCTGACTGTTTCGACCTGCACCTTGGCTCAGACGTCGACGGTCAGTTTCGCTCAGGCGCTTCCTAGCCTCCGGGGGTTGCGCGGGAAAGGGGCTCGGAGTTGGAGTTGCTCTCTCCAGTGCCGATGTCGGCTGGGGGGACGTAGGGCGCGTGCTGGTGGGCGTACCAGGGTTGGACGCTCTGGAAGCTCGCGGATCCAGCTGTTCCACGCCAGAGATCGACTGGCGCCACTGAGCAGCTCGATTCGCTCCGCCGCCTTCTCGACCCTCCTCGCCGACTGCTTCTAGCAACGTGGCGCTGAGATTGCGCGATCGTCGGCGTTCGTCTCGTACACTAGGACTGCTGGCTCTGGCGAGATCGAAGCTGCCCTGCACTGGCGATGCTACCCTGCCATTCGACGCTGACCCAGACATGGTGGGCCGAGCGGCGGCAGCGGTAGCAGCAGCAGCAGCCTTCTGTGCCTCCCTCTCCTGCATACGCCTCCTCTCTATCTTCTGCTTGCGCTCCCATTCGTCCTTGGCTCTACGCAGGGCTTCCGCTTCCTGGACCGTCTGGGTAGCGGGCGCCTGCATCGCAGTCAGTTTGGCGCGGTGTCGCGCTTCGAGTTCTTCGATCGACATGGCACGCATCCGCGATTGTGCATCGGCACTCCTCGTCCTTTGATGCGCCGCAGCAGCATTTTCAGCACCTGGGTTCGTCCAAGGCACTGCGGCCTGGTCGCTGCGACGACTTGCCAATGATCGACGAGCTTGCATCACCGCATTGCTCTGTCCCCCCGTGATCGTCTTGACGGCACCAAAGTCAGGCGACGGAAGAGAAGTCTGCTGCGGCACTTGAGTTACGCGCGGCTCCGCGTGCGCCTCTGGATACGGCTGTGCGTAGACTGCGGGAGAATAGGATCGCAATTGGTCTTGGTGTGAACTGCTCTTGGTCATCGGAGCCGCACCTGCCAACGACGAAGCAGTGGGCGCCATCGGATTGGAAAATGTACGTTCGTGCGAGCCGAACGCGGGTGACTGATTCGACCTGACAGTATCAGTGCCCAGGGCTGATGCCGTCGTCAAGCTCAGACTCTGGGTGCGCCTGTCAGCGTTGTTGAACTGACCAGTCTCGGACACAAGAGCAGAGCTGGAGAGGCTGGGTGGGTTGCTCGGCTCTTTCTGAACTGGTGCAATGTCCATGAAGCTCGCGGAGTTGTCCATCAAGGCTGCTGTGGAGGCAGAGCGCTGACGGAAAGATCCAACGCCCGTGATCGTCTCAGAGGGAGCGGACCGGGTCGGGTCGACGGATGGCTGCTGTTGTGAAGCAAACAGGCTCGTAGATCTCGGCATATCGCCCATCTTTACGCTGTGAACGGGGCTCATCGGAATGGCCTCAGATGCGGCGGTAGCAGGGTGACTGGGTCCGAGATCCAATGCAGAGGTGAGCGATGGTAGATCGAGACGCAGCGGACCTTCAGCCTCGACCGGTTCCGGTCCCTTTTGAATGTACTCGAGGAAGTTCGCGCTGTGACGGCTAGCGGTTTGGGCAGGGAACGGATAGGCATTGTTGTCGAGAACGCTTGATGCAGCTGGAGAGTGTGCGATCTTTTCGGTGGGAGACAGCGGCATGAGTAGCTGCGTGCCATCGGTGTTGGCACGGAAAAGAGTCATGAAAGAGCTCGTGCGGCTTCGATTGTCCTTCAAGTCGGCTGAAGGTGCGGACTGAACGCCATTTTCCTCATCTTTGCCGGCGATGTTGCGGCTCGCGGTCTTGTTGTAGCCGTGTCGCGCTTCCCACTCTGCGAGGTCACGCTTGGCAGTGCGCGCGACCGCACGGGCGGCGCGTTCGGCTTTTGATCGCATGTTGCGACGCTCGTCCGAGCGCTTGAGCGCCGCGAGCTGTGTCCGAATGTCGGACCAGAGACGCATCTGGAAAGCGAAGCCCATGAGGATGAGCGCGCCGAGGACACCGAGCTCGATCTGCATGCCTTGCACGAGCGGGAAGCGGCCGTTCTGGAAGGTGGGCGGATACTTGTTCTGGAAGAGCGAATCGAAACCAAGATTTCGGACGTAGAACTCCTTCAGACCTTGGGTCGAATAGCAATCGATGCCGAGCGTAAGAGCGGTAGCACCAATGATGGCGGTGGCTAGAGCCAGCACGAGTGAATGAGCGCGTCCGTTGCAGCTGACTGTAAAGAAGATGGCGTACAGTCCAAAGTACAAGATGAAGCGGAGGCCCACGGGGCGAATGAGACCGCCCGGTCGCAGAGCTTGCAGGAACAGACCAAAGAAGAAGCCACCGAGTCCACAGGCAAGAAGGCCCGCTCCACGCCAAAAGACAATAGAAATGGCGCCTCCTACTGCACCGGCGATGACAGCAGCGACGAGGAACAGGCCGCGGATGGCCTTGGACGGCGGATTGACAGCAGACTCGACGCCGACCTTGAGAATGATGGAGACGCAGATCAAGGCAAGGGCAAAGAAGCCGGACAGAAAGTAGCTGGACCATCTGTTGCGGTGACCGTAGAACGTCATCGGCAGACCGGTGATGATCAAAATGGCACCCAAGACGCCAAAGGCCGGATCGATGATGGTGCGTAGCGGGAGTGTTGTGGTGGCATTGTTGGCCGACGATTCCGATGCGGGTGCGGTCGAGTTTGTCGTTGCCGTGGCTGCGGGAGCGGATGAGGTTGTGGACGTTACGGGGATCGCGGTTATCACAGGAACGTACCAGACGCTACCGCTCAATGACGCCGAAGCGGTCAGACTTGAAGGAAGCGACTGTCCTCTCGAGAGGGTCGTGGTGATGGTCGATACCACCGTTGTCGAAGTGACAACTGGAGACGCCGAGGTTGACGTTTGTGTAGCCGATGAAGGGCTACCGGAGGCAGAGATCTGTGCCGATTGCTGCTGCGCATAGGCAAAGCTGAACAGCAGAGCCAGCAAGCCGAGGCTTGAAGCCGTGCTGAGGCGATATTTGATCTGCATCGTGAAGGTATATCGTTGATTTACTGGCTGATAGCTGAGTACCGACAGCCTTGATCGTGTCGGTGTAGTCAGAACTTCATGATCCTCCGATCGTCTCAATGGATGATGCGGTCTTGTAGAGAGAAAGACTCTGGGCACGTATCGCTTGAGAGGCGAGAAGAGGAGAGAAAGGCTAGACGCAGTGTGCAGCACAGAAGCTGGTCAGAGCAGGAGTGTGCCTCTTATGATGTCTTACAAGAAGATCTTGGATCCGTGCTCGCTTGTGCTGTAGCCGAGGATGAGGGTCGTTTCTCGATTGGGCGCGGGAAGATCCATTTTTTGGCGCGCCAGAATTCTCTCGAATCTCATTCGACCCGAACGCGATTTGCCTCTCCGCAATAACCGCTCTGTTGAAAGTCCAACCAGACAATATGCCTCATGAAGCTCCAGGGGGCCGAAGGCGAGCGTTTGAGACGAGCTGGGCTCATCATGAGCATTCAAGACTGGTCGAAGTGCAGCTCAGAAGGCGCAGCTGGCCCAAGACCTCATAACTGGTTCACATCACCACGAACGCCTCGTCCAACGCGACTCCGACGCCATCTGTGTGGGCTGCATACACAGCCAGCGCTTCGGTTGTAAGTCATCACAAATTACAGCTGCAGACCCGTGCGCGATCGCTGATACGCCGCAGCCAGGCTCCAGCGGCCGTTTGCGCATCCTGGCACGAAATGGTGGGGAGCCAATCTTTGTTCGATGTCAGGGTCCACCAGGTTGTCGGATTTTCCGTCCGTGCGGCTGCACATCCGAAGTTGCCAGGGTCTCGAATCTTGAATTGTCGTTTGACAGCCGATGCCGATAAAAATGGCACAGTGTGACGCAAGGTTAGGGCTTCATGTGCAACAGTCGTCGATCCAGGTTCCACTTAGAGTGTTTTGGCTCGCAACTCGACCGTGCCACAGAAGCCCCTGTAGTGTTTTTCGTGGTTGCATTTCTATAGTCACCCTTTCTTAAGAATGTGTTTGCAGTCTGGACAAATTATCAGCACCAATCCGGTCTGAAAGCCAGTCAGAACTGCGATTCGCGAGCAGAATCTGCTTGCGTCAAACACAAGCCATGCGAATATCACGGTGTCTCAGTCCTGATGGCGGGAAGGACCTGCCTTTGAACACAGAGAAAATTGAGCCGGAAGATGGAGGAACGAGTTCCATAAGAACAAAAGTGTTACATCGCGAATTTTGTGTAAATCCGCTCGCGAAATTCAATTTGGAGCAGTAATCCCTTTGTTGGACATTGACAAGAAGATTTTCAATCAGAAGACGCGCACTGAGCCGGCACACGTCACTGCTGCCTTGCTGTCGTTCCGGCGTTGATCACTTCGAGTTTTCGACCACCTCGACCCATACTCTCGTCTGTCGTCTTGATCCACCTTATAAACACACATCATGTCAACAGCAGCACGAACCGCACCACAAATGGCCGCTGCCGCCGCTCCAGCGCCTGCCACCAACGCCGCTTCCGCCATCTCCAAACCGTCCAGCGCTGATGCTCAGTCCGAGCTTGACCGTGCCGCTCTCGAAGCTCTCGAGCTCGATTCGGACGTGATCACCTCTGTCCGTCTCGACGGCTTGGCTCTTACTAAAATCGTCAAGCACTGCCGCGATGCACACCCTGCCTCCGCTTCGGGTGCCCTTCTCGGCATGGATCTCGGCGGAACTCTAGAGGTTTCCAACGTCTTTGCGCTTCCCAACCCTGGCCGAAGCAACAGCGAGCGCGATGAAGAGGAGGACCGAAGCAGTAGGAATGCCACCAGATACACCTCGGACATGGTCCGATTGCTGCGAGACGTCAATGCAGATGCCAACCCAGTCGGTCTCTACCAGGGCTGCTTCCTGGGCGCCTTCCTCAACTCGTCTGTCGTCGACGGCCTTGCCGCCATCTCTGGACTCGTGGAGCGCGACGGTGCCAGCGGACGTGGCAAGGGCGTTCTCATCGTTCACGACCTTGCCCAGTCTGCCCAGGGCAACACTTCGGTCAAGGCGTACCGACTTTCGCCTTCGTTTGTCGAGGCCCAGAAGAAGGGCAAGTTCCACACGCAGAGCCTCATCGACCACAAGCTCACCTTTGCCAACATCCTCATCGAAATTCCCGTCTCTCTCCGTAACACTGCCCTGCTCGACGCTTTCTTGAGCAGTATCTCCACACCTAGCGCATCCGGCCCCTCGATCGTGCAGCCCAGCACATCGGATCTGTTGCGCAACCCACCCACCGCCGCTCTCACACCCTCCTACACTTCCCTCAACCTCGCATTGGAGCCCGTCCTCGCGTCGTCGCTCGAGTCGACGCTCGAGATCATGGACGAGCATGCCGCCGAGGCTGGCAACGTCGGTTTCCAGGCCCGACAGCTCGCACGTGAGAAGGCCAAAGCTGAAGCTTACCTTGCCCGCAAGAAGGCCGAGAACGCAGCACGCGAGGCGCAAGGCCTGGCACCGCTTCCCATCGAGGACGTCAACCGTCTGTTCAAGATCCCTGCCGAGCCATCGCGTCTCGAGGCCACCTTGCTCCTGGGTCAGATGGACAGCTCGGCGAAACGTCTTGCCGAGACTGCCGCTCTTGGCGTCATTCAGCTCAACGCCGCTAAGACCGGTGCCGTTTAGATGACACGCATCAGCAGCATGTCTTTGCACGATGATAGACACGCAACGTTTGAGACTGTCCGTCTTTCACGACACACAAAATGAGTACGACCTGCTCTGCCTTACGATCTTACGATACCACCTCATCGCCGTAGGACAAGAGCCGCATGCACGACGCATGCTCCTCTCTCTCCGCTCCACTTCGGCTCCTCGGACACGATGCCTGGATCGCCGTCACGGTCACCAGGACTCAGCAACAGCTTGCTGCGTCCACATTCCTCTCTTGTAGTTTACTTCCTCCCATCCAGTCTGTTTGCATATCGAAAACGCACCGACCATGATTACCTGCGCGAAAACCACTGACTGCGCTCTGCTTGCACGTTTCTGAGGCACACACGGCGCTTTCAAACGGTCCGACATGCCACCAGTAGGAGATGACTTGGCCTTTTGCCCCACCTTTGAGCCCTGAGGTCATACGAGACAATCATGAAGATCAAGAAGAAACAAAAAACTGACGTTGTTAGACCCTATCATCGAGCCCGAACGCGTTTAGTCACAACATCTTGTCGTACGTAAAACATAAATTATAGTATCACACGTGACCATCTTCATAGTGGCTCTCGCATATTCGAAACAGACCGATTTTGAATACAGATTGTATTGAGACTATCATCAAACGATGTAAGTCAGCTGAATGGCTTCGCGGAAGATTTCGAAGGCTCTACAGCTGGTCGCCGGTCCCGTCGAAACAGGACCGCTGGTCACGGCACAAAGTGGGCTTCTGGCTTGTCGGCGCCCTGTGGGCCATCCGGACTGCGTGCTTGCGCCTGAGGTTTCTGGAAAGTCTCGTCGGGGCTTGACTGCTGGTTGGCTCGCAAGCTGATTCGTAGCAATTCGAGGTTGAGACTTGCCGACGCTGCTTCTACCTTTCCATATCCTTTGAGATACCATCACCCTCAAGATCGATATCAACAGTAAGTGTTGCCTATACGCATACAACCAGCAGCCTTCATCACACATCAGCACAGTAAGGAAAGCAGCCGCCTCATCGCATATGTCGGAAAGCAGGACGGAAGCCGGAAAGAAGCATTGCACTGCAGAGGACGGTGAAGGAGATATAGACTCGGTCGGATTCTACAACATAGACCACCCGACACATCACAGCAGCAATCCTTGTACCATGTTTTGACCTCGTCACCATGGCGCACAAGCGGCGAAGGCGAAGGCGAATCCCGCATTTCAACCAGAATTTCAGAAGCAAGGGCTCTTGATGCTGCCACTTCCAGGCCCATCCTTACCACGACGCACACGATGAATGATCGATCGACCCGGCATACCGACATACGTACGACTGCGATAAGGCTCTCCGCCCCTGCATTTTCGTACTCTCGTCTGAAACAAAATGCCTACTGTGAATGCAAGCTGGTCTATTACGGCCATTTTGCCTTGGCGCTTAGACATTTCGATAGATGATCTCGCCTCGCAACACACCGACGCCCGGTGTTCCGTCGCAGATCGCCCGACAGTTGCCTCGCACATCGACACAGCGCAGCCAAGCACAATACCTTTTTTTCGCGGATATCTACTCGACGTCCACAACCAACAGTTCTATATCTGCGCTCGTCGACAAAGGGCAGAGGCATGATGCAGTTGGAAAAGTCGGAGGAAATACATTGCCCCCCGACGATGTGCTTGACAATTTGACTCCAGATTAGAAGCAGCGTTCGGGTACTGGCGGATCGTTGGCCTGCGGAAGGGCTGCTGGATATGCCTCTCTCTTGACCGGTTCTCACACGGAATTCGTTCTGACCAAAACCCTCCCTCTTCTTCTCAAACCACCTTCTATCGCTCACTACAGATGGCGGACCACAAGGACAAGTCTCAGAAGGGCAAGAAGACCCGCTCTGCTCTTAACGATGTTGTGACCCGCGAGTACACCGTCAACCTTCACAAGCGCTGCCACGACATCGCCTTCAAGAAGCGTGCTCCCCGCGCCATCAAGGAGGTCGTCGCCTTCGCGCAGAAGGCCATGGGCACCAAGGACGTCCGCCTCGACCCTAAGCTCAACCAGGAGGTGTGGAAGTACGGTGTCAAGAACTTCCCCCGCCGATTGCGTGTGCGCCTCGAGCGCAAGCGTAACGACGACGAGGGTGCCAAGGAGAAGCTCTACACTTATGCCGTCCCCGTTCTCGGTCTCGGCACCGCCAAGGGCCTTCACACCACCGTCATTGACCAGGAGTAAACCCACACTCTACTCGTCAATGTCTTCTGGTTTCGCAATCGCATCTTTCATTCTCACTTGCACCTTCTAAGGTGGTTTCCGGCATCACCGATGGCTCGACACAGACAAAGTCACGGTAGCTACGCATTCTTTTCTCTTACATCACCACGTATCGGGGCAACGTTGCGAGCTTGCGTTGTTCTACCCGATGATTCTCTACCACATTCTCGATACTCGAAAGCGGTGACTCGAGTCAGCGTCACCGCTTTTATCTGTACCTCTACAAAACTGCAAAGCTCTCAAACCAAAACAAGTCTGTATACGCCAGCAACTTTGTCCCCAATTGCCTGTGAACGGATTCTCCCTGCCGTATGTGGAACACTGATATGTGTCTGACCGTCGCCATAACGCTCGGGGCTTGCCAAAGGTCGGCTTGACAAGGTCGAGCTGATCAGGGGGAACAATATCAGTGACTTCCTTTCTGGAGCGACAGCTCCGCAACATCGTAGATAAGTAGAAGGCAATGACTTTGAAGCCGCACAAAGCGCCTCTGTCTGTCTGTCTGTCTGTCTGTCTGTCTGTCTGTCTGTCTGGTCCGATCCTGGTGCGAAATGCGACCGATGACATTCGTTGGCTTCCTGACATTCGAGTCGATAATCGACCTTCGCTTCGAAAGAATTACACTGAGGAGTGGGGAGGCAACGGTTCTCGCCGAGCCCGATATTTGCTGAGCATCGGAGCCTCGGTGGCAAGTGCAAGTGAACTCGAAGCTCGTCTCTCTCTCCACACCGCTTCATGTGACTCGGATCATGGCTACGATTGACAAATCGGTGCTCGACCTATGCTCTCCACATGTCCGCCATGCTGTCTCGGCCTCGACATCGCGTTGCGTGAGCTTCCTAGCAAAAGCAGCGACAACCGTTGCAAACTCATCGGGAGAACGCCGACGATCTTCGGTCATTTCCGACGGGTACTATCGGCTACAGCGGGCGACGCTTCAGACATACCTTCTTGCTCTCGGGCCCCTCTGTATGTTTGCGGTAAGTTGTCCGGATCATTGGCGCTGTCACATCTCCTTACGCCTCACTCGTTGTTCACTCGGGACGGCTTGGTGTGAGATGAGAGGGCGCTCCGTGCGATTGTCCACCTGTCAGCAGACCCTGCGTGCGTGTGACATCCCCGCCGAATGTGATCTCCTGACAGCGCGAGAGAGAGCACATTCGACGGCGATCCCGACCACTTCACACGTTCTTCACAAATAAAACAATAAATAAACGAAAATTATTCAGTCAGAAAAACCGACTTTCCGCGGGGCCTGACGAAGTGGAGGCAGAACAGCGGCATCAGCTGCAATCTCAGTCATGACTTCTAGGCACATCGACTCTCGCGTAAAGGGACGGTATCCCCGTCTGTAGGCGACGATCAGAGCGCACGGGCTCGTCTCGTCTAGAACACATGTGCGGCTGCGGCGAGAGACGCAGAGCACTTTGGAAATGCAGCCTTGGTGACTGAGCTGGGCAAGAGAAGAGAGCAGAGTGTGGCAGTCGAACCGGTTCGTTTAGTGGGCCTTGGACTCTGCAGGGCCAAGTCAAAGGGTCTGAATGCAATACATCTGCTGCAGCCGATTGTCATCCGTGCACAATCGAGCCCATGAACCACAGCCTCTGACACCTTTCAGACCATATAAGCTCTTTCTTCTTACGACTTCATCTCTACAGCTATCGAGAAGCGCAACCGGATCTCGACTACTCTTCGCAATTGTAGAACCTCAAGGCTAGGCTTCGCACACCGAGTCGTCCCATCCTCAACGGCATTGTCAAAGTGTCCCGCGCTTCACTCAACCGACTTCGACGACATCTAATCCTTGCATTGTATCCATTGTGTGCCTTTAAGTAGTGCAGACACCAGACAACCCTCGTCAAAGTCGTCCTTCGCCCTCCCATCTTGCCACGGACAAAATGGCACCGTCTGCTGTGGCAACCGCCCCCATCGGTGGCACCGAAGCATCGAAGCTCACGACCAAGACGCAAGCAGCCAGCATGCCCGCAGCAAATCCAGGCGATCCCCCAGTGATGGACCTCTATTCAGGCAGCGCCAGCAGCCTCAGCAGCACCTCGACTGACGACCAGCTGCGACGCGACATTGTCTCAGGACTGCAGTCCACCCAGCTAGTCATTCCGGGCAAAGAAAACAATCCCGAGGATCGACGTTTCGCTTATCGCAAGATTCTGCCGACCACCATCTTGTACGATGAACAAGGCCTCATCCTCTACGACAAGCTGACCGCAGCACCCGAATACTACCTCTACAACGCCGAGCTTCAGATTCTCAAGGATCACGGTCCTGAGATCGCGCTGAGGATCTTTGGCCATCCCACGACGGCTGCAGAGGAGCAATCCAACGGTGCAGCCGCACTTCCAAACGACAAGCCCCGAAAGCATCAAGAGGCACCAAAGCAGAACTCCTTGCCACCACAGCGAGGCGAGGCCGCTTCCACAAAAGAGAGGTGGGGTGACAACGGCGTCGGCAGACATAATGGAGGTGTCAATGCCGAAGAGGGTCTCGACGGTGACCGAGCCGTAGGAGCAGGATCTCTTGTCGAACTAGGTGCTGGCTCTCTCAAAAAGACCATCCACCTCCTCCGCGCGCTCAGGCTCCTTCCGGCGCTCTCCTCCGGCGGGCCAAGCGTCAATTACTATGCTCTGGATCTCGACAAAGCTGAGCTGGAGCGCACCTTGCGCGATCTGCGAGCCCAGGAAGCCACATCTTCTGACCAGACTTCCTGGACCATTCACGGAGGCAAGGTCGGTATTAACGGCCTGTGGGCTACCTACGATGCTGGTCTCGCATACATCGGCAACGAGGGGCTTCGAGCTGCCTCGACAGCAGCCGGGGCTCAGAAAGAAGGTCAAAGGTGTCTTCTCTGGCTGGGATCGAGCATCGGCAACTTTGATCGAAAAGCGGCTGCTGAGTTCCTGGCCAAGACAGCACGCGAGAGCATGCGCGCAGGTGACACCATGCTCATCTCGATCGATCGCCGCAACAAGCCAGCCGACGTCGCACTAGCCTACAACGACCCCGCCGGTCTGACGCGCGACTTTATTATGAATGGTCTCGACCATGCCGACCGGGTACTCGGTGGCAACGCGATCGACAGCAGCAAGTTCGAGTACTTTGACCGCTACAACGCAAGGGAGGGCCGCCACGAGTCCTACTACCGCGCCAAGGTTGCGCACACCATCGCCATCGCAGGCTCGGGCGAATGCATCCCGATCGAAGAGGGCGAGCTCATTCACATGGAATCCAGCTACAAGTTTGGCGAGCGAGAAACGCTCAACCTGTTCGACTACGCCGGTCTTCGAGTTGTCCACCGTTGGAGCGACAAGACCGACAGATACGGCGTCTGGCTCGTAGAGAAGCCCTGCTTCCATTTTTCCAATTCGTCGACCCTGCCAGCGTTGACGGAAGCCAAAACCCAGAGTGACACTCCTTTCAAGGTCGACAACGGCTGGGGTGGCACAGACCTCGACGAAGCGGCTCAGAAGGCTCCGCTGCTCGGCCTTCCCAGCCTCGACGACTGGAAGACGGTGTGGGACGCCTGGAATTGTGTCACTTTGACCATGATTCCTCAGGAAATGCTTCATGAAAAGCCCATCGACCTGCGTCACATTTGCTTGTTCTACCTCGGTCACATCCCTGCGTTCACCGACATCCACATCTCCATGTACCTCAAGCAGCCGCACACCAACGATCGCTTCTCTGCCATCTTTGAACGAGGCATCGACCCGCACATGGACGACATCACTCAGTGCAATCCACACAGCGAAGTGCCCACCAAGCCCGAAGACTGGCCCACTCTGGAAGAGATCCTCGCATATCAAGGGGCTGTTCAGGATCGGATCCGACGCATCTATGAGGATGTAGCTCGAGGTGACCTCGTCATGAATCGTAGACTCGCGAGGATGCTCTGGATGACGCTCGAGCACGTCAACCTGCATCTAGAGACTTTGCTCTACATGCTGATGCAGTCTCCCAATACCAAGCCTCCAGCTGGTTTCATGGCGCCCGACTGGCGATCTCTCTCGCAGCGATGGCAAGCCGAGCACGACAAGATCAGTGGTAGCCTGGCGTTGGAGCAACGCTTCCACTTTGAAGCTTCATCTGTCGAGCTTGGTCACGACGACGATGACAGTCAGGATTTTGACATCGTCGCCACTCGTCCTACAAGTGACGTCGGCGATCTCAACCTGCAGCTCGGCCAACCAGAATTTGGCTGGGACAACGAGCACCCTCGACGAAGGGTGAAGACAAAGGCATTCTCGATCTCGGCACTGCCCATCTCGAACGCTCAGTATCGAGAGTTCCTCAGGGCTACCAACAGCACGGATGCACCTGCTTCATGGATCAAGAACGACGCAGACGGCAGCTATAACGTGCGTACGTTCTATGGTCCCGTGGATATGACGACCGCCCAGCACTGGCCAGTTCAAGCTTCGGGTAAGCAGCTCGAAGCCTATGCCTGCTGGAAAGGCGGTCGCCTCCCGTCCCACGCGGAACTTCGCAAGCTTATGGATGCTCCACCCGAGGCGCTGGTGCTTGATCTCACGGTGCCTCCCTTCGACCGAGACTCCGCCAACGCAGAACCTCAGACCAGCGACATCGACCCTCCCGGCAAGCAGGCTCCGCCCATTCGTGGCTCGGCTGTCCGCTACGTGCCTCGTCAAGAGCAGTCGGAGGAAGACATCAAGTGGATGCGTGAGGCGCTCGCCATGGCGCAGGAGGCGCTGGATGCCAACGAGGTTCCAGTCGGTGGCGTCTTTGTGCGCAAGGGCGAGGTGATCGCTCGCGGACGCAACCGCACCAACGAGCTGCTCAATGCGACTCGACACGCAGAGCTGGAAGCGATCGACCACATTCTGTCGATCATGCCGCCTTCTGCGCCCGACTTTGCTGTCGCTCCTCACGCGGGACCCGATGGAGACAACCCTTTCAAAGACACGACGCTCTATGTGACCATCGAGCCGTGCATCATGTGCGGAGCAGCGCTGAGGCAGATCGGAATCGGACGTGTCGTGTTTGGCGCGGGCAACGAGCGGTTCGGAGGCAACGGAAGTGTGCTGGGATTGCACGACGACGACGCGATTGTGAGCTCACCCGGATACGAATCGGTAGGAGGCTATCTGAGGGACGAGGCGATCATGATGCTGCGCCGTTTCTACGTTACGGAGAACACCAACGCTCCCAAGCCGCAGAACAAGTCGCGCCGCGTGCTCAAGACCGAGATCCATCCACCGGGCGTCTCGATGCACGGCCCTGGCACTGCCGCCACCACGACAGCAGCTTCCGAGGGCGAGCCGGTGGTGCAGAACTCGAGACGCCGAGGCTCGCAGAACCCGACTCAGGGGCAGGCTGCGCCGTCTGCCAACGTCGGATTCCGAAACTGGCACCCGGTCCCCGCGGCGCTGCCGCGCTACGACTCGGACGGCACGTTGCTGCCCGGCCACAACGGCGGTGTGTGGGAGTGGACGAGCACGCCGTTCATGGCCTACGAGGGCTTCCGATCTTCGGCGCTGTACCCAGGCTACAGTTCGGACTTTTTCGATGGCAAGCACAGCGTGGTGGTCGGCGGAAGCTTTGCTACAGCTCCGATGGTTGCTGGTCGACGCACTGTGGTCAACTACTATCAGACGGGCTATCCTTACATCTTTGGAGGAGGGAGGGTGGCGTGGGACGAGTGAGTGCGATTCTAGCAGGGACACTGTTTGCTGGTACTTGTTCTTTGTGAATGCTATTGTTGTTGCGGCTGTTGCTCGTTGTGTGCGGAGGAGTGTGATCGATCGATCAGACGAAATGGTGCCGATTTAGTCAGCGCTTCGCGAGGCTCGCAGAGGCTGGATAGTAGCGTTGCGGCCTGAGCAAAATGGGAGCGGAAACAGTCTGGACGGATATTTCGGCTTAAAGCCGAAGAGCTGAGGGTCCGCGCAAGTTCATCTGAGACTAGTGTCTGCGGGTGTAGCCGAAGGGAAGCCTAAACAGAGTATTTAGTACGGCGATCCGGGGAAACCTCATGCATGGGGTTGTTTGGCAGCTGCACACGCTGTGGGTAAGCTCGTCGCTGCGGCGAGAGTTGGGAGGAGTGGGTGTGTAGAGGGCCCGGACAAATCCGTCTGATGGCGCCCCCTTGTTCAGTGCCCGCAGTTTGACGTAGAGGAGAGGGCGGCTGATAGCGTCATTATTCGGCTTGGCAGAGGGGTACAAGCGAGATTGTGTGGAGTACTTTCTGAGTGAGAAAAGACTTGGCGTAGTGCCGTTGAGAAACGACTTGGCGTTTTGCATTGCCGAACAAGCTAGGCAGGATGTATCGAGCAAGAAGCCACACCGAAACCAGCTGATTGGATGGGAAATCTGCGCGTTTCTGGAGCCCCGCGCTGTAACCTTCGCTGCATCACGATACTAACCGAGGGCATTGGGATCTATCATGTCGAAATGGATGGCGTTTCGGTGACTCGCGGACGCATGCTTACCCCGCGGCAATGAAAAGCAGAGGAGAAAGGCGGAGATCGCGGATTCCTGCTTGGCGACTGGCAATTTTTTTTCTGTATTTTTGTCGTAAAAGAGATCCACTCTTCGATCCTCGGCATGACGCGCTTTGGTCTCGAAAAGCGAGCTTTCGATGACACAGTAGATCAAATGTTCCGTGCCGTGGGTTGCGGAGACCGAAAAACAATATAATCGGCGCGGCGCGATTGAAAACCCGGCACCGAGTCGCCGTCGAGGCTTCAGTGCCGTCTTATCATCCCTGATTCCAGACGACGGGACTGAGAACACGTCTTGGCAACTCAGCAAGATGTGGATGGAGAGCTGAAGCGGAATAGCAGGATACAGTTAAAAAGGTGTGAGAGAAAAGGAGAGACGGGAGAAAAACACGAAAGCAAGAAGGGTCAGAGCATCAACCGGTGATTCAGTTCTACCTCGGCGCGGAGCTGTGCCCTCGACGAAATCGGCGTATTCTACGCGGAAACGTTCGCTCGCTGCTGCTCCGAGTGTGTTGCAGAAGCTGACGCTTTGTACAAGGCAAAAGTCCAGATCTGCAAGGAGATCAACATAGAGGTTTTGTTGGGTGTTGCGTGCCTCGAGCGTCCCTTCTTGGATGGTATGCATGCGAGATCAAAGAGTAAACATTTCGTGCCACCCGCAGGCACGCATGCATGTTGTGAATACTAGCGTGATTTTTTTTTTCGCGCGGAGAATGCGGCGACATGTTCGCCAGCATGAACGCGAGAGTGTCCATGTTGATTGGTCCCATAAGGATCTGGTCATGAGTCAATCGAGTGCGACGGCAGTTGCTGTTCGAATGGCAGACCGGAAAGGATCGCCTGTTCTCATGCTCAAAGGGCTCGGTGTGTGCAGTGTTCGGACTTGGAGTCGTGTACGGCGCAGTCTGTTCTGTATAGTCAAGACGGATGGAAGGTTCCACGCTTCAAGAGGAAAAGCCATGTTTGGTGAGCTGGAAGAGAGTCGCCGGCCAAGTGTTCATTTTAGCATCGATCGATTCAAAGAAAAACGCGGGGGTGATCAAGGGCAAAAGTGGCTGCGTGCCAAAAAAGACAGGCAGATCCTCCAAGCACGAACGCATGACAGCCGAGGTCAGGCTGGCTCGCCAAAAAAACAGAAGAAGGTGGAGAATGGAGAGAGAAAAGAAAAAGTGGAGTTGACATGTCCGGCCAAGCAAGCCACTGGAAAGGCGCGCTGAACCTTTGCCCTTTTTTTTTTTTTTTTTTTTTTT